GAGATGCGTCGAACGCAGAGTAAGTGTTCTTATCTTCAGACCTAAACATATATCACCCCGCTAATGACCCACAGAGAATAAGGCGACAGGTAAGCTGCCCTTCTGATCGAAGGGGGATTTGATCTAATTTTCAAATCTTGAAATCAGAATACCATTTGGGTCTATTGAAAGGGTATAGTCTTAATCCTCTCTGACTTCGATTTCAAATATAAACTGACGACGTTTCCAGAAAGCTTGCCCGTCTAAGAGCCCAGCTTCTGGAGCCAGTAGGAGGTGCTGGTTCTGGCGGCGGCGCGGGATTTGATGTCAGCAAGAGTGGCGATGCACGAGTGGCTCTTGTTGGCTTCCCCTCTGTCGGAAAGTCTACATTCCTGTCTAAAATCACCAAGACCAAGAGTGAGGCTGCAGCCTACTCTTTCACCACGCTGACAGCTATTCCCGGAGTACTGGAGTATGGTGGTGCTGAGATTCAAATCTTGGATTTGCCGGGTATTATCGAAGGTGCCTCCGAGGGCAAAGGCCGTGGTCGGCAGGTCATTTCGGCCGCAAAGGTGAGCGGGCTAGCCTTTTTTGATGGGAAAGTGTGCAGAAACACTGACAAAATTTCTGCTTTTAGACAAGTGATTTGATCTTGATGGTCTTGGACGCCACAAAGCGTGCCGAACAGCGAGCCTTGCTCGAGGCTGAGCTGGATGCTGTGGGCATTCGATTGAACAAGGAGCCGCCGTATGTCATACCTTATCGAAGGCTTTGCGCGGGCCCAAATACTAATACAATCCCAGTAATATCTACTTGAAAATCAAGAAGGCCGGTGGCATGAAGATCTCTTTTGCGACCCCCCCAAAGAACTTGGACGAAAAGATGGTTTACAACGTGCTCCGGGATTACAAAATTCTTAACTGCGAGGTGCTCGTGCGAGATGAGAATGGTATGTGGTGCTTTGACACAACAACCAGCCCAAATTACTGATTTGCGACGTTCTAGCTACGATCGACGACTTTATCGATGTGATCATGAAGGATCACCGGAAGTACATCCGCTGGTAAGATTGACATTAACGATATCTGGTACTAACTAATACATCCATGGATGCTAATATTTCTCTTCCGTCAGCCTTTACGTCTACAACAAGGTCGACAGCATCGGCCTCGAATTCCTTGACGCCCTTGCCCGCGAGCCTTACACAGCCGTCATGAGTTGTGAACTTGATCTCGGCGTGCAAGACGTTGTCGAACGCATCTGGAAGGAATTGAGACTAATGCGGCTTTACACAAAACGGTATGATATATCCATGACTTTCAGTTTCACTGACATGCCTGACAATTATCGTATTTATAGAAAGGGAGAGGATCCCAACTTCGATGAGGCGCTCATCGTACGCCAGGACTCCACCATTGAGGATGTTTGTGACCAGATTCATCGTACAATCAAGGACACATTCAAGTATGCGATGGTGTGGGGGGCGAGCGCGAGACATGTTCCGCAGCGGGTAGGATTGGCACATATGGTTGCCGACGAGGATGTGGTATCCATAGTGGCCAAGTAGAACTTAGGGGACGAGAGCGATGATGAAAATATTGACACGGCTACAAAGAGCTTGAACACGAAAGTATGATTTTAATGCTGTTGATTTCATATACCATGTATGAACCTATGAACAAAATACAGAAAAGAATATCCACCTAACCAATCCAACCTTCGAAAACCAGAACTCCTACTGCAAGATACGTTGACATACTTAGGCAGCTCCAGCAATGGCAGCAGCGGCCACCACGTTCTGCTGGCCAATGGTAGGTTGAACACCCACACGTTCCTTGGCGAGCAGGTCAACCAGCAGAGGACTGGGACGGCTGTCACGCTGGGGGTAGAGGCCAGCCTGGTTGTTCTTGTACTTCAGCACAGAGTCCAGGTAGATATCGAAGAGGTAGGATGAGTCGAGAGGACCGCCCTTGGCCTCGGGGTGGAATTGGGTACTGAAGATGGGACGAGACTTGTGAATCATGCCTTCGTTGCTCTGGTCGTTCAGGTTGACAAAGTACGGCTTCCAGTCCGAGGGCAGAGTCGAAGCATCAACGGCATAACCGTGGTTCTGGCTGGTGATGTGGCAGCGACCAGTGCTAAGGTCAAGAGCGGGAATGTTGTGAGCCCGGTTTCCGTACTTCAGCTTGATGGTGCTGGCACCGGTAGCCAGAGCCAGGAGCTGGTGGCCCAGGCAGATACCGAAAATGGGGACCTGGGAGGTCTCCATCAAACGCTTGAGGTGGTAGACGGTGTCCTGGCAGTGGGTTGGGTCACCAGGGCCGTTGGAGATGAAGACACCATCGAAGTGGTGGGCGACCTTGTGGATGGGGTAGTCGAAGGGGAGGACAGTGACGCTGGAGCCACGGCCCACCAAGCTGCGGAGAATGTTCTCCTTCACACCACAGTCGATGACAGCAACGTGGGAGTGAGGATCAGCAGCAGCAACATGGAAAGGCTGCTTGGTGCTGACCTGGCGCACCAAGTGGATTTGCTCAGGGTCAGTGAAAGCCTCATCCTCGTTGGCATCATACTCCTCGCCGACGGTAATACGGGCCAGAGAAGAGCCTTGCTCACGCAGGTAGGTGACAATAGCACGAGTATCGACACCAGAGATGGCAGGGACACCTTCACGGGCACACCACTCGCCCAGGCTCTGAACAGCAGTCCAGTGACTGTATTGCTCGGCGACATCGGCAACAACAACACCAGCTGCCTGGAGATTGGGGGACTCGAAGTACTTCAGAAGTCCATTGGTGTCCTTCTCAGCAGAAGGAACACCGTAGTTGCCGATCAGAGGCTGGGTGAATACCAGGATCTGACCACGGTATGAAGGATCGGTCAGGGACTTGGGGTACCCAACCAGGGAGGTAGTGAAGACAGCCTCGCCGGAAATGTTGGAGCGGGCACCGAACGACTTGCCAGAGAACATTGGACCATCACGAATAGTGAAAGTGGCAGGCTCCATAGCGGCACGCTGACGCACAGTAGCCATGAAGCGAGCCTGAACAGGTCGCTTCATGGAGGCGAAGGCAGAAGCCCGGGGAGGCATTGCCTTGAAGAGGTTGAAGATCATTTTTTATTTTATAAGTAACAATTGTAAATCAGTAGAAAGCTTTGTGCTATTCAGTTGATGTTGGCTTTCCAAAGGTGGTCCGAGATATAGTCCTGGGAGGTGAAGATCGAGGGTGCCAAACACATAAGCGCGACTGAGCAGGTGGCAGTCAAGAGTATGGTAGAGAGAAAGGGGGGGGGTTGGCAATTTAGCGCATGGAGATATTTTGTGTTGGGATTCTGTAGAGAAATAATGGGGAAGAAAGCGGAAAAGAAGGGAAACAAGAGGTTTTTCATCCCCCGACTCCGTGGGCACGTGTTCTCACCGACTTTGCCGGTGTCGGCCAATCGGAGCGCGTCAAAATTCTGTTATCGCCTTAGGGGATCTGACTCATCCAATCGCCGGCTTCGGCATGGACAATGATATACCTAGATAGGGCTATCACAAAGAATTATTCAACTACTTATATATGGTTAACCTTTTCAATGGGATCATCACATTTACATAACTTCAAATTGAGATATACCTAGGTAGGTAATATTAATTTATCATTGAGGCGGCTTGGTCTGGATTCGGTCGGCTGTACACCGTACACCACACTATTGCCTCACCCAATATGGCACATTGCAGTAGCCCTGTAACTTGCCCACGCCATTGGCCACTAGGAGGTGCTCAATTATCGGGCTTCTATGTGTGTGCAGGAAACTCGCCGTTCAATTATAAAATTTCGGTAGGTTTTGTTGTGTCACACACGGGGTTCCTTTGGACTCAGGGTAACAACGTAGTGCTCAAGGGAAGCAACGGTGGCGACCAGGGGCAACATCACGGCACATTTTTGAAATGAAGGTAGCACCAGCTATAAGAACCAGTTTGAATATAGGGCAAAAGGGTCAATACAGGTAGCCTCTAGCATTCTCAGAACAAGAACTCAACAATGATTTTGTCTCAGTATCTATCCTATGCCCTATTGGCATTCCTCCTGCCCTCGGCGACTTCTGGACGCTCCATTTTCTCAACCTTTGGAGATAGAACCCAAAGCGCACTTCTGAAGTCAGGATGTGATGATGGCACGGGACTTGTTGACCCAGATGGCAAATGCAATGGCACTGGACTTGTGGACGACCCAATGCCCCATGACCGAGAAGGGTTCAAGTTCGAGAACCCATCCACAGATTGCAAATATGCATCTCAACCGCACATTTGGGACTCGTTCAAACACCTTGAGAAAGACATGAGCAAGTTATTCACGTTGATCCACAAAAATGTCAGCTTCACCGTTGTTGGGCATCACCCGATCGCTGGCCGCTATCACGACCTAATGCACTTTTACGTCAATGCCCTGCGTCGAGTCAGCATATTGTTTATTGACCATGCAGATCTGTTTGAAATCCACCCCCAGGGAATCTATGGCGGATGTAATGCTGAATGGTCGGTGGAGGAGATTCAGTTCAAAGGCGTGATGAATTCCGGTGAGCAAGAGACCTTCCTATCTTCAGCATTGCTGACTTGCTGACCCACTACAGGCGACAAGTTCGACATCATCAATGTCTGGTTCACACGTTGGCATGATGGCCAGATGGTCGAGATCCGCACGTACATAGATGCACCGAAGATCATGGATGCGCTGCACAAGAACGAAATATGGTGGAATGGCACGACCCTCCGCGACAATCTCCAGTATATGCCGGGGCCAGCGGGAATGCCAGATTTGAAGGAAATTGAGGGAATGATGGGATATCCGGACGGGAGCAAATACGAGGACTAAGCTGGAATGTGGATGGCTAAGAGAGGGGAAAAATAACTATGTATACCTCGTACATCGATGTAGTTTCGTGTAGTTCAAATTGGAAAGGGGAAGATGTCTAATTTGCTTGGCGCCGATTTAACCAATCCAACTCCCCGCACTGTTCCCCGTAGTTTTCCAAATATGTCCGAGCCAACGCCTCGCAAGCGCTCGCGTTTAGCCTGCACTTCGTGTCAGTCGCGAAAGCGCAAATGTTCAGGCGGGCAGCCTTGTAGCACCTGCGCCCAAACTGGTGCGGAATGCCAATACAGTGCGCGCAAGAAACGCGCCAGATCCCATAGTCTGTACCGAGCGAGCCTGTCACTCAGTGAACGACCAACAGATGGCTGGTCCGATGCAGTTCCAAATACTATGAGCGCTGCACCCAGCGCTACAATACAGGCCTCTCCTCGCCGCGCAAGCAGTCCAGGGGGCGTTACCCATTTCCCTACAGGCCAATTCTGGTGCCGCGTTTGTTCGCAAGCTTGGGCTCAATATTGACCCAGCGCATGCGCCAAGATTGCAATTGTTCGCCTGGAATGTCGGTGAGAGACGGGTATCGCCACCGCTATCGTCGGAGCTTCCCTCGATGCCTATCACGCCGATTCCGACGACTATCACCAAAGTCATCTCACAGGAAGAGATGCGGCGGCTAACAGCTATTTATTTCGAGAAAGTCGATCCATGCTATGCATTTCTGGACCGTAAGATGATCTTTACTCGAATTGCAAAACGCTGGGGATCTTCTTCATCTCCCATTGATTCTGCGGAACAGCCCTATGATGCTGTACTATGCGGCGTGGCTGCCTTCGGGTATCTATTTTCGCGTCGCGAGATCATAGCAACGGAAGTCCGACTCATTGAGACCGCCCGCACTCTACTGGATAAGAGTATCCTCGCGGCGGAAACACCGTCGGTCGACATAGTGACAGGCTGGGTGTTGCGAGCTGCGTATCTACGCATGACAGCCTCGCCACATGCTGCATGGATGGCCAGCTGTACATTGATGCATCTCATCGAAGCTGCAGGGTTACATCTTGAAACATCAGATCCAGAAGCAGCAGGCCTGCTTCAAGTATCATCGCCTGAGACGCGCAGTTGCCAAGACGACGATATAGGACACCAGGGGACCAGCGATCCTGAAACCCGGCGAAAGCTCTTTGGCATGGCTCGTCACCTCAACACATGGATTTCCTTTGACCTCGGCCGCTCCCGCGTTGTGCTTCACGGCGCCACAGCCCTCTACCCTACAAACAGACCCCAATCCCGCAATCCACCGCAGCAAGCACCGCCCCGAGCACCACGCGCAGACCTCTTCCATCTCCTCCCGCTCTCCGAAAACCTCGATCCAACAGGACCCTCACTACAAGATCTCCCAGAACTCGAAACAGCCCTCAGCTCCGTCCTGGATCTCCTCTATTCCGAGCCGTCGCTAATATTAGTTCAATGCAACCTAATGCTGTGCATTTACCGCCGTCTCCGCGCTCTAGATCCACACGGCCCATTATCCTCTAGCCTCCTTGACCGCGTCCTTGCACTGGCAGCCCGCGGGCTCTGTGCCGCTCGTGGAATGGTCGCCTCCACCTGCCCCTGGCACCAAGTTGCCAACGTCCCCTTTCAGGTCGTCTGCTCACTTCTAGCAATTGACAACCGGGCTGCGTTGGCGCTGCTCGCTGATGCGATGCGGACTCTGCGTGAAGTTCTCTCTGCCTATGATACACCTTCTATGCGTGAGGCATATTCCACGGCATACCTACTTATTGCGTTACATCAGCGGCGAAAGGAGGATGATACCCGTGCTCTTGGTGAGGTTCTGCGGGTCAATGCCGCTGCTGCGGCTCCACCGGACCAGAGAGATAGGCACATTGCAGCGACAGCGTTAGCCGAGCAGAGCCAAAGGCAGGAGCAGGCTGCGTCAGAGTCTCTGGTATCAGATGCGGAGTTCTCATGGCTCGGTGATTTGATGATTGATATGCCTAGTCTGCAGAATTTTGATCTGGACCAATTTCTAATGACGGATGTCCCATGGCCTTTACCTGAGATGGGGATTTGAGGTTTATGGGGGTTTCCTAGACCGATGCAGATTCCACTACTCTACTACAATTTCGAAATTTCGATCGTTGTTGCCCTTGCCTTGACTGGAGAGTACACAAACCCGCTTCCTTCCTGTTTTCAACAGGCCACGCACTATTACCCCCCCCCCCCCCTCATTTTCCTTTCTTTCTTTCGTCTTCATATTCACCTTAAATTTTTCATCCCAGGGTCTACTGTAAACTTGTGGAGGGATACATGGTAATTGAGAATTGAGAAAGTGACAGAACATAGCCATAGGTATCTCCGAATGCCATACTCCACAGGAGGCACGGAATTGTAGATCACATTCAAGTAGTCTCCGACTTCAACACCCAGTGCAAATACTGAAGAGCATAATTATCAAAATAAGCCTCCAAATAGCACCTGCTGTCCCCTGTTATGTTTTAGTCGAATCGGTCGAGTTGCTATGTCGAAGCTTCTCGAAACTTCGATTGACCAACATGTCACACGTCAAGACTTGATCCCTGACGTCACCCCACCTTGAGACACCTCGATGACTGACATTCAAGTACATTCAAGTCCTTTGCTGGCCTTTCGTGCCTTATTCCTTCTCCAAATCTCATGTTCTTGAATCTGTGCTTTTCCATATTCCTTTTAGTTCTCAATCCCCTCCATTGCGCTCGATCCGCCTTCCCTTTCGAACCTTCTACATCATTCGTGAAGTACACCCTCTCTCGTTTCCCAAGCGGGATTATTTTCCCTTCATAAATCACCGTCGGTTCATAAGCGTACACCTCCGATCTGAGGCTCACAGTTTCTGAATTCCTTTTTCCATTTTCCCATAAAACCCAAATTTACCCCACACTATGGTTGCCGAGACCAAGCTCTATGACGCCTTGAGCGTCAAGCCTGATGCCACGCAAGATGAGATTAAGAAAGCATACCGCAAGGCAGCATTGAAGCACCACCCGGACAAGAACAAAGACAACCCTAAAGCTGCTGAGAGATTCAAAGGTACGGTACCCCGCATGCTCTCGGTTTGCCACACATGACTAACAGTTTTTTTAACAGATGTATCGCAAGCCTACGAGGTCCTATCCGATCCCGAAAAGCGCAAGGTCTACGACCAGTTCGGCCTCGAATACCTGATGCGTGGCGGCCCTGCACCGCCCCCGCCAGGCGGAGGCGGAGGCGGCGCAGCTGGCTTTGACGGCGGCATGCCCGGAGGATTCAACTTTGGTGGCATGCCCGGTGGAGGAACGCGGACGTTCCACTTCTCAACCGGTCCTGGCGGTGGTGGTGGGTTCAGTTTCAGCGATGCCAACGATACTTTCCGCACCTTTGCCAAGGACAGCGGCGGGATGGGCGGGATGGGCGGCATGGACGACGAAGATTTTATCTCGATGCTCGCAGGAGGACTGGGTGGCGGCGGCGGTTTCCGTAGCAGCCGTCCGGGATACTCGAAACCGAAACGCGCACCTACCCCCGAACCAACAATCATCGAGAAAGACCTGCCACTAACTTTGGAGGAAATCTACAGCGGTACCTCCAAAAAGGTCAAGACGAAAAGCAAGGCTTTTGACAGTATGGGCAAGCTCACTACGAAGGAGGTGACTTTGGAAGCCAACATCAAGCCTGGGCTGCGTGCTGGCTCGAAGATCAAGTACAGAAATATTGGGGACCAGGAAGAAGGTGGACGACAGGATGTTCACCTGATTGTGAAAGAGGTATGAGAATGCTCCTGGCTGCAACAAATGCACTTGACGAATCATTACTAACAATCCATTACAGATCGATCATCCCAGTTTCAAGCGCTCTGGTGACAATCTTATCACAACAGTTGATCTCAGCCTGAAGGAAGCATTGACGGGCTGGGAGCGCATTGTCCGCACCATCGACGGGAAGTCAATCCGCGTGTCTAAACCAGGCCCAACCCAGCCCGGTCATGAAGAGCGCTATCCCGGTCTAGGAATGGTGAGCTCCAAGAAACCCAGCGACCGCGGCGACCTGATCATCCACGCAAACGTCAGTTTCCCCACTAGCTTGACTAGCTCCCAAAAAGACATTCTCCGGGATGTGCTGCCTTAGAGGATTTGAATTAATTGCATATACCTGGCGTTTGGAGTGAAATGGGGCGGAATATTTAATGACAATGACACGAACACACTTTTGTATGAGGTTTTTAATAAGGTCTTTCATTCGATAGGCTAGTCTTTATTCTTTATGCATATGAATACAATTTGCCCTGGACAGGTGAAGCGCGACCAAATAACGTAATATACTCGTGGACACCTGTTGCAGTCTAACCCGATTAAGCGAATGCGGAGAAAGCAGTGACACCTTGGAGAAATCAAGCTTGGAATTCATCACTTCTGTTTACCTTGGTCTGTTTACATAGAATCATGAAACAACGAATCACCTTCATCCAGCGCGTCGATGCCGGCTTCGACCCGCAGCAAGTCGTACTAACCACGTCATCCCTCTCCGTCCGCGGCCTGGACGCCGCGCGGGAGGATCGCATTACGGTCGGACTGGATGAGCTTCCAGAGGAGGTGAGAAAGGATTGTCGATTGCAGAACCTATTGAGAATCGGGAAACACTAACCGGTTTATTTGTTGTGTTTAGTTCCGTGCTGTGCTCGAGCAATCTCATGAGCTCCATCTCCGCTGGGCCTCCGAAAGGTCTTTTGATGCTGTCGCGCCATTCAGCAGCCGGGTTTCGCCTGGTCTGCATGTGCATTATACTCCGGTCGAGTCGGAATCATCTTCGTGAGCTCATACCCATATTCTGGGTTTGGGAAAAATGGGATTGACTGATTTGGTTATCGATAGGGAGGCGCTGTGCACGCTGCTCCGCACGGTAGTCGCGCCTAACAAAGACGCTCAATACAAGGATTGTTCGAAGCAGGAGGTATTCTATGATTATTCCTTTCCATTCGAGGGTACTACCTGGCTATGTTCTGGATGCGTTCGATCTGACCCGGAAACTGCTATACAGGATTCGTTCATTACACCCCCACTTCGCTCGACACAATTCGCTTCCTCGGCCTCCCTACAATATTACACATATCTTCCTTCCATCCAGTCTCTGGTCAGATATGTTCAGACCAATGTCTGTGACCATAATCGTGCAGATGGCCCCGAGTGCCACACCCGGGCCGATGCTCTCCTCTCAGCAGATTCGGTCGATATCGACTATGACAGCGTTTCGCGCGCCTTAACTGTGTCCGGGCTCTGGACTAGTCCACCGACGGGTGGTTGGACGGATCAGTTTCGGAAGCCAGCATCCGCTGCTGATCAAATCGAGTTCGGCCTCCTGGGCGCCGACGCAGGGCTTGAGCCAGAGGAGATCAAGATGGGCGGGCTGTTAGCGGTTGTCGGGCTTGACGAGAAGCTAAGTACGTGGCCTCTGCATTTCTTATATTGCTTGCCCTCTTCTAGCTCTAATTATCCGGAATGGTCGACTAACTCTTGTACAGAACCAACCATGTTCTCATTCCCCTCCCGCCACCAACCTCTCACTGAACCATCGACCTACGCCGTCTCATTCGCTTCCCCAACTGGTCTCCATCCAACAATGTCCATATCCATGCCCCGATCATCCCTCAAACGACCCCCAGCTCCCAGCGACACAACCTGCGCTCTACACACATACCTCACCCTCCCTTCGACCATTTTCGGAGATCAATACCAGCTCGCAACAACAGATCCACTCTTTCTCGAGTCACACAATCTTGTAGCCCTGCGTGCCTTAGCAGGCGAAATGGATCTTGAAGCCCCAGACTGGGTTGTTCAGCGCTGGGGCTCAAACTGGCTTCTCGAACTAGCAACTCTCAGAGAAACTGAAGACGCGACCACCACACCAGATCACTCAAATTGGACTGCCAGTATTCCTCTACACCTGCGGTACCAGCCGCCCTCCGAAACAGGCCACCGTACTGCCCACATCCCCTGGCCGGTCGTCTTCTGGGCCTGTACTGCCGAGGACGACACGAATATGGGTGTAAACCCCTTCGACCGCACAAATCTCGGTTGGGACAGTTTATTCGGTCCGCGAACTTTATTCTACCAGCTTCAACCTGCAGGCGATCGTCTTGTTGAGGAGGTCGATGTGCCGGTTCTACGACTGGAGGGCGGGGATGGCTACTTCCAAGGCAAACATATTGAGTTTGGCACTTGTGTGTTTATCTCCCTTGGGTTCATGTGGGTGCTTTGGCGGCTTGCTTGTGTTGCTTGGTCGTCTGATGTTGGAAATAAACGAACCAAGGGTGTGCATGATAAGAAAGAATAATTGGTTTATATGATATTGGATGCTTCATTTACTAGCGTTGACGTTTCTCACTGTCTTTTTTAACTCGTAATCCAGAATACTATCCTACCAGTTTCTTGATGAGTGACCTCTAAAGTATGTAATCCTTAGTAGCATATCTAGGGCCACACTGATGATGTTTCAACTTGATTAATGAGAAATTCTGGAATGTAGTTCGCAGAATACACAAGTAGAATGTCAGGCGACAGAACGATAGCAATATCTGATTGTGATTCTGAAAATGAGAGGTAATTGCCATTGATATCTGTGACTTTTACCAGAGGACCGAATGCAAAAAAGACTATCACGCTAGCTCCCAAGCTGTGGGCTAGATCTGCCATACTCCCGGAATGGTATACTGTCGTCGAGAAGGGTCCCACGGTGAGTAAATGCAGGTCCTGGAATGTGAGTACTCATTTGCACAAACGACGCTTCGTATAAGTCATGGCTGGCCTCCGGATGGTAGAAGAAGTTTCACAATCATGGTCTCATGGTCTCATTTTCCTTGCCCAATGGCATGTTTGGTCGCCATATTTGCAAGGAGACAGTGCCCGTGGATACCACAAAGCACATGCTGGGTGTTGATACTATCGGGTGTAATGGTCGAGGTTGGGTTTGTCCATTTGTTTCTCGGGGGTTCGGGATGGGGAGGACTGGGTGCCACAGTCTGAACAGGGCTTGACTGTGGTACGAACCCAAATTAGCGAGTGTCGGTAATTTGCCAAACAATGAGTAGTACTGACTTGAACAGATTCACGCAGCTAACGTGCTGGCTCGTCTTCTCGGGGGTACAGGTCTCCGTGGTCGATCCAGCGCTGATCATGAAGCCCCCATGTAGATTGAGATCCCCACATAAAGTCCAACTCAGAACACCACCGCAACCGGTCGAACAAGGGGCACTGCATCTCGGAAGTAATATCGTATGTCACCAATCGTCCGGTCTTGCTCAAGGTCAGCCGGGGCTGTCGAGGAGTAGCAAATGGCGATGGTCTCGCGAGCCAGCCAAACTGGCGTCGAAATGCCATTTTGAGTGTTGTGACTTGCTAGCTGCAGGGAGATTTGTTGTCTATAATATCCAACGTTAGTAGGCTCTCGTATGGATATGGTTGTCGAGGTGTCACACTTCAGGAGTCTGAGTCTGGTTGAATAGGGGAGGGAAGTGGACGATACATGTACTTGTGCACACTCACTGTAATGTAGGAGAAACCAGGTATTTGTGGAGATGTGCCTCAGTTCGTCGTGGCAACGGGTGTTTGAGAAAACAACTGTAGGGATTGGAGCTCGACATAAAAACTGGGATCAGATTTGCAATTTCTGAATGTGGGACATCGTTCAGTGCATTTGTTTATTCTAGGCTAAGGTTGTTTACACAGTGTAGGTTAAACTACTGGCTACAGAAGCATTTACAAACGCATCTTGAAGTAGAATACCAAGTTATATTGTAATTCTACCTAAGAACTTGCTTGGTTTCACCATAAAGGCTACTTATCCTGAACACCACGTAAAGGTGCAAGTCTTGTTCAGGTGTTGCACACAGGACCCGTGCAACTGGGTAGGGGGATGGGGAGGGGGAGGGGAACAAAGAAAGAAGTAAAGTACCTAGGTAAGTAACAAACAAAGAAACAAATAGACAATAGAAACAAAAGGGACGTACCTGAGTAAACTTCAGATCTCCTGATGTTCAGTGGAGAACCCAGAAAAGTACAGTCTGTTTCCGCAGAGGTGGAGGCCCTGATACCAAATCGGGTACCCAAGGGATTCCCAGGGTTCCCTGAGTTGTCCTGTAGGGCTCAAGAGATCTTAGGTTTCCCCGAGCTGTCCTTTAAGGCACCCACCCCACATGCTTCGTGCCATTCACAGCCTTAACTAGGCCGCATCAAAGAGCCATCAGTACCTCAGGGTTGTCCTTCACTGGTCAACAGTAGACATATCTCGGATATGACTCTGGAGCTGAAGGGGACCACGATGTGCAATGTGGATCCAGAGGAAGGAAGGAAGAGAAAGAAGAAGAAGAAAGAAAAGCTGGGGGGAGGGGGGGTATTTATAATTTTCCAGTGGCTTAAGGCAGGAAGGAACTGGGGTGGGGGACGAGTTTTGACAAACAGGGAAGGCACCTGACCGAGGACATGGGTGCCTGGGGGTCCCCTGCTTATGAGCCTCAGGATATCACAGCTTAGTCTATCTCCGAACATGAGCTTTAGCCCTAGCACACATTCTAGATAGTGACGTATAATATATCCTCCTGCTTCAAGTTCCAATTTCTGCCTCATGACTCAGGTAAGTGTTGTCCTATGCTTGACTCGCACTAAAAGATTGAATTTCTCATCTAATGAGAAGATAGGCCAGTACTTGGAATATTCCGCCAGCTCAGCTAAACAGCCCTTGCCTTCTCGAATACCCTTGCTGCCATCTCGCCGACGTGGACCGATTGACGAGGACGTCCCAGGATGATTTGACAGATTGTCCACTCAGAGCTTCCTGCCATCTCGCGCCTGCGTGACTTTCAGCAATGGACTGGAGATGTGATATAGCTCATAGCTCAATGCATCCACTGGACTTTGGATCGAGTACCCTCAGGCCACGCATGCACCATCGAAGAGAGCTCTTGTTCGAATTGAATCGGGCTACTGGAACCTTGGAACGATTCCGAATGCCTCATAAGACAAATTCAACCATCGCGGCCGTCGAACAGGCTACGACAAAAGAACTGTTCAACGTCATCCTCTATGACTATGCTCCCTATTCTGCTGGGATCAAAAACAGCAAGATCATACTTGGAGACGGCAAGGATAATTGTGCTGCCACATTGTTTGGCGATGTACACCCTGCTAACATGATAAGTATTCAGACACAAAGGACCATGTCCGAGACTCAAGCCAACTCACGTCGAGACCACTAGGAGACGAAAACCTTCGAACTACCTGCACGCCCAGTTTTCAGTGTTGCCGTCTGTCAAATCGGGTGCCACAACGGCTCGGGCCGGATCCACATGACCCGAACCTGCATGCGATGCAATACCTATAGGGCTGTCAGAGCTTGTGAAATCCCCCGGTCCCTCCATCGTGTTTAAAGTGTGAGACACCTACTTATGTGTCATGACCGTCTCAAATTGACCGAACCGTCACGCAACCGGCCGACCAGGTACATATGTATGTTTCGAGATCTGTGTCTTGGCGGGCGAAGAGCGTATCGAATACCGAACATGCGAGGACACAGTCACACAAGAGCTCAGTTATAGAAGAATGAATACGTGTTCTTTATGCACCTATGTGTACAAAAATTTCCCTGGAGGGTGGAGCTTTCTTAGCTGAGCTGCCGCCCCTTTTACGAGGGCAGACCCATTGACCCGCTAGATCGTAGGATAAGCGCAGTGACATCCTCTCGAGGCCAGCGAAAATTATAGTACGTTTTTGATGCATGTTCATGTTACAAAATTCCATCCAGGAGTGAAATCCAAACGGGTGTATGGCTAAGGCCTGCATCTGCGTGGCGAATTCGGATGTAAGGAACTTCTTGCACTGGGTCGATCCAAGCAAAGATATTAGAGATCTACGGGGCAATTTCAGAAGGACCTCGTACTCATCTTCCTTGCAGGAAGGATTAGTATGAGATATCTGGTGTCGCTAATTCCTATATACGTCGTAGTCTCGTTCTCTGCTGGGGTCGAAGTCGCGCTTCATCCAAGCAAAACGTAGTCAACCGCCCGGCTAGTTGGGACAAGGTAATGATGCTCCTTGAGGTGATCTGGCCATTGAGCAGCTAGTTGGGCGACTACTTCGGTAACCGACCTCATTACGGTGTGGTTTCTTTTGCTGGAAATTTTGGTGGAGGTGACAATGGGAAGGGGTATGTTATATAATACTACCAGACAATATATCTGCCTTAAAATTATCTGCTACTATTCCATGAGATCGCTATCGAATATTGGTTTCATCATTCTTCCGGGGTGTCGAAGAATAGCTCTCAGGTCGGCGGTCGGCGGCCGTGGAGTCAGTTTGGAAAGGCCCGAGTAAGTGCTGCGGCTGCCTGGGGAGGTCCTCGGCACTAACCTAAAGCTCGCAATAGCGCTTGCGTAGCTCCTTTGCTGCCTGCGCCCAGGAGGGGTGGGCGTGGGGGCCGAGAGAAAATTAGATAAATCGACCAATAGACCCCAGGGCCTCGTACTGAATGATTTTCTCTTCGTATTCACACTGTTCATCCAGAAGACTCATCATCAATCTTAAAACCCCCTTCACAATGCCGATCACCAGCGATTTCATCCTTGACGTCTCGAAGTTCCGCCCGGAGAACGTCACGGAGTCAACGAAGAAAGCTGCAGCTCTCCTAGAAGACATCACCACCAATGGCCCCCGATGGTGGGAGGTAGGCATCGAAAAATATCGTGAGATGCGGGAGCTTGGTCAAACACCGCTACCCAAGCCCGTCTATCTCCCAGAGGCTCTCGACGGCACTGTTCCTTCGCGCGACGCTGGTCGTGAGATCCCCATCCGTATCTACAAGCCCGACAATGGCCAGCCCAGCAAAGGCATCTTCCTGCACTTCCATGGGGGCGGTTTCGTGCTCGCAACGCACAAACAGTGAGATTCTCCCCTCCACTGGCTCCTCCCTCCGACCTGCAAATACTAACGTCTTCGACAGCTCCGATAGCACCCTCCGAGAATATGCCAACAAGTGCCAGCTCACAGCTATCTCAGTCGGATACCGTCTGGCCCCGGAACACCCCTACCCGGCTGCCGTGCACGATGCTATTGATGCCGCCGAGTACATGGTGGACCACGCGGTAGAGGAATACGGCGCTCCCCTCCGCTTTCTCGGTGGAGAATCAGCAGGGGCCTGTCTCGCCACCCTGTCAGCCCTACAGCTAATACGGTCACGGCAATCTTACAAACTGTCGGGTATCGTTCTTCCTTACGGCTTATTCGATCTGACCCTCGGGCTTCCCACGGTGGCGGCTTCCACCAAGCCCGTCATGATCAATTTGGCGATATTAGAGCGATTCAACGGCGCCTATGTGCCGGGAATGAGCACCGTCGAGCGCAAAATTCCTTCTGTGTCTCCACTATATGAGGACCTCCGGGCACTTGTTGCGGCCTCCGGAACATCGTTGCCCCCCGCTCTCTTCCTCTGCGGAACGGATGACCCGCTACTTGATGACACGATCTTGATGAGTTCCAAGTGGAGCATTGCCGGTGGCGAGGCTATCGTTAAAATCTACCCTGGTGCCACTCATGGTTTTACTGCGTTTCCCGGTCTGCCTGTGGCAGATGAGGCAAATGCGGTGACCCTAGGTTTCTTGCAGGAGAAATTGAGCGACTCGGCGTGATCAACGACAATTATAGATGTTTATGGAAGGGGGTCTATATCAATCAGACAAGTACCAGGTAGCAATGAAGTAATGGAAGCCTTGGTCCTATTTGCGTCATTAGTAGTTATCTAAATGTAATGTAACCCCTTATTCCCTTGATGTCTCCTATTCTGGGCCTTGATGTGCATAGAAACTGCACAAGTCTACTTCAACATTCAACCAACAACGATATAATCATGAATAACAGCTGTGCCATTGACCACACTTGCAATCTGGTCTTCAGTGCATGTCGATTCCAAAGCAAGAATATAGCAGACCGGACCCGGACTCTCCGGGACCTTGTTCTTGATATGCCAAGTAGATGGAGGCCCCTGTGTGGAATAAGAGGCATTATGAGCCGTATTTATCTTGCCTGTGGCCAGATCGCGATTGAAGAGCGCACGGTAGAAGATTTCATATGCAGTCTGTGGCTGGTAGGCCGGGACTTCATGACCAGCGTCGTAGACACGAGTGAAAGAAAAGTTACCATGCTGCCGGACCTGGCCGCCAATATACGAGGAGTTCGTGCGTAGAGGCGTGTATCCAGCAGACCGGAATCCAGAAGCACCAGCATGGTTAATCAGCAAACTGGCGTCTTCGCCCCCAATCCAGTTGCAAGCGTAGTCGCCGTCACCGTAGACGAGAGCGACCTTGATACCGGAGTCGAGCACGTACGCCAGGTCTTCAAGGTAGCCGTGCACGTCGGAACGCGGATAGTCTCCGACAGATTTGAAAGCGTTGTAAGCACCATTGCTTGATTCGGTGAAGTTGATCGGGACGCCCAATGCGCCTTGCACCCAGTGCTGGTTCAGCCAACCTAAGTAGTAGGACGGTGGGAAAGGGTCTGGGTTCCTGTGGGTGATGTCGTAGTAGCCGCGGTCTGAATACTCTATGTATGCACCTTCAACGTTGTTGCTACAGACCTTGTCGGCGTTGCGGCACGCTTTGTTGACGGTTTCATTGTTGCCGTACATTTGCGGATCTCCCTCTGCGGCCAGCGCGCGACAGTGCGTGATCAAGTCTTTGCATCCACCAGGGCGACTCCATGCGTCCATGGCGAGATCATATACGGTCTTGTTAATGGCCTGGATGTCGTAGGTATTGTTGTATGCCATTACTGGATATGTTGGTTCCTGTACTAGGAGATCGATGCAGCCGTTGATGATGCCCAGTGTATCCAAGTGAATGTAGTGTGATTCTCCCGGGGTATCGATACTGCCATTCTTTATCTTTTCGTTTTGTTCCTGGAAGAAGGCAGTAAAAGATGGGCCGTAGCGACCGCCGTATGACTCGGTCCAGATGCTGACCCGCTCATCATGGGGCTTGTAATGTGGAAACTCGGTGAACCAGGTCTGGGCAAAGTGCCACAGTGACCGTGCGGAGTTCTGAGTACTATTAGCCACAGTCGACTTATCCTGGCTAGCTGTCGTGCCGACGTAGAAAGTGTTATTCTGCTTGGGGACCCCGACCCACTCCGACAAGTTCCAGGCACCTTGAACTTGATCGAAGGTACCGTTAGTCGGGACATCATAACTGAAGCCGACCTGATTCGGCTGGTCAATGTATAGCATATTGACATAGTTATTCCAGGACCAAGGATTGAGCTCCGTGGAATTAGAATCCTCGTTGACTATACAAGGGCCATTTTCCTGCATGAGACCAATCATTGAGGAACTTCCTGGGCCTCCATTCATCCATATGGACAGTGGCGCATTCTTTGGGTTATGACGAGACTCGAAAAACCAGAAGAAAGTGTTGATCGGGTAGTCTTGATCAACATTTACATCGTCCAGAGACCCTGGTGGTAGATGGACGTAACCCGAATATGATCTCACCCCTGGAGTTGTTTCACAGATCCCAGGCTGTACAATTTATCAGTATCGGAGTTCAAATAATTGATCGTGTTACCTATAGATAGGAACTTCGGAGAGAATCGCACCTGTTTGTATGAAATCTTTACTCCCTTTTGATGCTGCGATTCAACTACCTTCAACCCATCTGGTGTGGGCGGAAAGTACTGCGCCGCAGCAGTTACTGCCAAAGCGGCGGTCCACAAATAAATCATGACCTGAACAAATTGGGGGCAACAAAAGAAAAGCCAAGAGAAGAGTTACAAGACCATGGACGTCCACGGGTTGTAGATCCCAAGTGTAAGCGGGGTGCGGGTACCTCGGGGAGTGCCAAGACAAGACCACCTGATATTTAATGCCCTAGTTATCTTATGCCTACAACAACATTTATAATCATAATCATCTACCACGCGACGTAATGGAGAAAATCGAATTGTATTGCACTAGCATAGGTTCAGACACATTCAAACAGGGAAAGTTCAACGCTCTGTAGTTCTCAATTTTCCCAAACCAAATCCCTCAAGCGTATTCCCTAAAGTCCTTGACATTTCAAACGACCTTGACATGGAACAAATACCGTTGACGAATCTGTGCTGGGTTTTCCACGACGTACTCACTGTGGTAAAAGCCCGAACGGCCACCTGCAGTCGTCGTTCCCACGCGAACATCTGGCACCCGGAACCCCTTGAAATCTGGGTGGATGTATTCAGCATCACGCCATTTCTTATGGACAGTGCCGCCACCATGGTGAACTGAAAAGGCCGAGGATTTGCCCAGTTCAACTTCACACAGCAAAATCAAGGCTTCCCCTTTCTGTTGGCAATATCCCGCAGACTTGGTGGATATGTCGGCAAAGTACCCCAGAAACGAAGTTCTTCCCACCGATACTGACAATTCCATCGCCACGCAGTCCTTGACTCAATATCCCTGCAAAGTTGCTGGATGCTGAGCCATGCCACAGAAGCCGCCGGTCTCCAATACTAGCAAGGTTTTCCTTTTCCCACTGGGTAAAACGCTCTGCCTCCCGGGACGTTCGAGACGGAACACGCCGATGACCCCCTAGGATGTGAAAGGGTTAGACTGGGTTTCTTACTACTATAATTTAAAATCAGCTTGCCTTGAATTGATAAGGGTGTTTGGAACTGGAAGATTTTTCCAAGTACTCCCGGAGCATCTTGAATTCTGTCGACTTCTCGTTCACTGTCAACAAGGGATAAAGGTCAGCTTCATGCTTTGGACTTTTTTTTTTTTTTTTTTTTTTTTTTTTTTTTTGCATAGCACTCGAAACTCAGAAAGGAAAAAGAAGAGAGAGAGAGGCACAAGGAATATGTACCTGGGGTCATCTTTGCCAGACCAAGTACTTGGGATATTTGGCTCATGGCCAACGAGGAAGACTGGGATTCTTTTTCCAGAATCTCGCCGGCATCGCGCAACTTGAGTAAGAGATCGAGAGATTCAAATTCCTGCCTGACAATATCATTTGTGTCTGAAAGAGTCAAATTTGTGAGAATCAAGCTTTCGTAGATCGTGCACAATCTCTTTCTCGCCTTGGAACTATAGACAGGCGCCAACTGAGGGTCGGTGAGATCCATCAGCTTGCCCAAGACTGCAATCCCAACCAGGAGCTTTTTCTTATCCACCTTGTTTTCAACCAAAACGCTGCGCCCGTGAGTGTGTAGCAGGTGGAGGTAGTTCTGCAAGTTTCCTGATGTGAATATGATTTTCAAAACATTTTCAACACTTGCGGGCAACGGGGTGGTCTTGCTGGTGAAGATCGGAGCTTCCCTGTGATGTGTTTCGAGGAAAATCCAGCCTTTAGCATTGGGAATAGCATGTCGGTCTTTCCAGGCTAGATGACTGCGCGACTTGAACTTCGACCTGAAGGTACGTTTGGCCGAGTCCAAGGTTCCTGCATTTCCAATCGAGTTTGATTCCTCAGATGATCCAAACTCGTACTGCAAGTCCCACGTGTGGAACGTCTGCGACTCGCCATGAACGAGAAGTTGGATGCGCGAAACTTCGACTGCTTTGTTCTGACCAGATCTGACCAACGTGGCGTCCCATGTCAATCCCGCGTCGTCCTGGTAAACGGAAAGCGTACTACCTAAGAACAAAACGTTAGACATTCAGCCCCCCCCCCCCAAAAAAGGAAATACTGTATATCACTAACTCGATGTTGGGTATCTTTTGTCAACCAAAGCGATCATACTCTTGAGCTTGATCTGTTCTTCATCCTTCGTTTTCTTTGAAGAGTTGCCTTGGTCATCCCCGAGCGAAGATTCTCGCGCACGCTTTTTGCCTTTGGGCTCAATGTCTGCATTCTTCTCTCGCTTGAGTATCTTTTCCTGAACGCTCTTTGGAATATCCGTTGCGATCTTCTGGAGTAACCAATCAATGTTCACAATTTGGCAACCTTCCAGTTTATCAGCCTGATCGACTGAAATGAAACCAACCTGTCAGTTGACGCCACGTCAGATGCGAAACTTGATGCTACTGACTCTTTTTCAATTTCCTCTTGACATTTTCCTCAGTTGTCACCAGATGAGTACAGTCACCGATATTCATCGATGCGAACTTCGCACCACATTTTTCAACCATCCGCTTGATTTCTCCTAGGTAATGGGGGGTCATTCATCAAATGATATCTAGAAAATGCCTCTCTCTTTATTCGACTTTGCTTTGGCTTGAGTAGGAACATACCATGTTGATACCCAGGAATTGTACCACTCGCACCGATGACCAAACCCTTCAGATTGTCGGCCAGCTTGTCCACCGGTTTTTCGGAAGCCATCTTCCCCGATGAGAAAAGATCCGCACTAATTCTAGCTCTATGAGGGCTCTATGGGAGCATCCAAAAGAAACCCAAAGACAAAGTACCAAAATTAAACCCAGAACATCGTCGTGGGAGAACTGGGCTACCCTTTTAAAATATTGATGGCACTGTAACAATGACATTGTCAGACAAACAAAGATGCTCCTTTCAAAGCCCCGGTCTTCTCCTTTGAAGCCTAAGGCTGAGGGCTACAAATTCATCCGAAAACATCTAGCAAATTCACAGTGGCTCGTTGAAAAGTTGAGAAGCCCTTTGTGCATCTATTACTGCCAAACACTAGAAGCAAGAGGAGATACATGTGGATGTCCTTTAAGATTTACAGTGTAGCATCTTACGTGGATAAATTGTGAGTTGTTGATTAATTTGATCAAAGCATAACAACATCCATTAGCTGAAATTAGTGAGACAAGGTTGTCCCCACAAGAAACGCTATACCCTCCTGATTGAAACTCATCAAACCGCAAATTTCATTAGAACAGATTAAAGATTCAGCTAGTTGCAAGTGAAGTAGTTGAAAGCCAAGACAGGACCAAGCTTGACCTCCTCTGCCCAAGCATCAAGATCGTACCGCATGCGATTCGAGTTGCTAAGCTTCTCGCCACCAGCAGGTGCATGGGCCTTGAGATCAAAGTCCGCAGGTTGTTCGTACAGGAGAAAGATGTACCGATGGGGAGCGCTCATAGGAGGGGGAGCAGGACCGATGTAGTTGGCGACGAAAGGCGCATCGAATTCGAGCGCACCATCCCTGGTGACCTTGATATCGGACTGTATCCAGTGGAGTATGGGGCTCAGAATGCCGAAGGAAGGGAAAGGTGCGTCAATGTCCAAGCTCACGACCAGGTAGGTGCTGGAGGGGTTGGCGCCGGGGAAGGAGAGCTTCGGAGGCTCTTGAGCTGCTGTGGCTTTTGTGAGTTCATGTTTCAATTGTCACACGACTCTGGGGAGAGGGAAGGTGACATGATGGAAATGAACCCGTCCGTACCTTTGAGGGGGAGCCATGTTCCTGGCTGCACGTTCTCATGGCTGCCAATGGTCAAGCCAAGGATCTTGGACTTGTCGTCGAGGAGGGACAGGCCCGCTTTGATGTGGCTATCCGAAGGCATTTTGGATGGAACCTTGATGCGATGAAAGAGAGATGAAATTTCGGATGTGTCCTTTTGATGTTCCAATGGAACAAGGAGTCACCTGAGCAGTTGGCTCCTTCCCAAAAGAAAGTTGCACATGCTTTCGGACTTAACGCGGAGATAACTGGCTCTTTCCCTTTTGGGTATTCTTATATCACTACATAAGGTATCTCGAATTTTGTTATAGCATCTATTCTTCCACTCATTCGGTGGATCATAGTACAACTATCCTCTCGTTTTTTGGCCTCTTTTCCCTTGCAATTTGAAATAAACATTACATTCCGATGAAAGGCTCACTCCTCGATCACCTTTGTGACCATAGCTCGCACACGGGCATTCCCCTCATCGGGGTACGGGGTTCCAAAATCACGCACAAAAGCAATATCCTTTTTACTTGTGTCAAACAATTCCATGTCGAAGCGACGGACAAAAGCCGCCAGTACAAGAAACAGCTCCGCGTAGGCCAAGCTGCAATATCATGTCAATAGATATTGGGAAGGAAGGAGAGGGGTCAAGTAACATACTTCATGCCCACACATATCCGACTGCCTTTGGAAAAGTTGACCATATATCTGTCGAGATGCTCGCCTTTCGCAGCGGCACGTAGCCATCGGTCTGGGTCGAAGGTGTGCGGATCGGGGAAGATCTCGGGGTCCGTGAGAACGAAGTAATTGGTCTCACTGACAGGAGTCTAGATTTGATCATGTCAACATAAATTCCGGGGTTGGAGCTAGTAGCAGTGACTTCACATACTCCGGCAGGAATGGTGTGATTCTTGTAGACCAATGCTTCATTAGGTGCGACACGAGCCGATCGACTCGCAATCCCAGTAGACACACGTAATGTTTCCCATACAACGGCGGACTATAAGAAGGAATCCATCAATTATTGTTAAGACCATAATAAGACCAGGGATAGACGCATCATCACACCATAGAAGAGAGGACTTACCAAATACGACAACTGTTCAAGCTGCCTCCATGTTGGTCGAGACTCAGGAGTGGGCATCACTGTCCCCAGTTCTTCTCGCAGCTTGGCTTTGATTGACTCATTCTTCAAGATGTGGAATGCCGCAATAACCATCGATCGGGCAGTTGTCTCGGTACCACCGATAATCATAGCAAATCCCTCATTGTTGAGGCGAACAGCGCTGCGCATATCCTCCGGCATAGTTGGGCCACACATAACTTCCATGACAGAACGAGTTCCCGAGCTTGTCGACTTGCTTTGCAGGAATTCCTCTGTCCGACGAAGAAGGTCCAACTTCTGACTCACCAGTGCATGCACGAATGGGTCAAGTTTTTGAAGCAACCACAACGGAAGCAAGGTCATGATAGTCTGCAGGACCGGGAAAAAGAATAGGACGTGACTGAACTTGAAAAGTCCGTTGATTCCATCTCTCACACTCGTGTTGAAGTCATCGTGATCAAGATTTCCACTGTCGAAACCATAGACATATTTGTGAATGACATCGGAAGTCAACCCAGCAAAGCCAGCACCGAGACTGACGACTTCGTGGAATTTAAACGCGCGTTTGAAATGATTGTCGAGTTTGTCAATATTTTCATATATCAAATGTCCTATGTTGGAGACGGCCTGCTTTGAAAAGTGTTTCTCAACATGTGAACGCCGCTTCCTGTGATCTTCTGGAGAGACACTAGAGAATCCCGACCCCTCGAGATCGAATCGAGCGACCAACTCAGCAGCCTTTTCGCGCCTGCGCTTGCTAGAGGCGTATATTTCATCGTAATAGCTTGAATCCTTGATATGCACCTCAAGAGGGGTAATGCGTATAATGGGTCCTAATGAAAAAATTAGACTCGTGATACTGCATATGTCTGGTAAGATTGACCGTAAATCTTATGTAGCCGCTCCATCTCCCAGATGAACATTCCTCCCTTGACCACATTGAAATAGAATTCATAGCCGCTTGTGATAGCTGCAAGTTTTGGCCCGGGAATTTTGCTGAGTGGATGGAAATACAACCGATAGATACTTTTGACGGCAATGTACATTACGAAGCCACATATTCCGAGTGCTAAAACACCGGCCATGTTGCAAGACTGCTCAACGAGTACAAACGAAGGATGAAATTTGCAAAACGATGTCAAATTTTCCAGGAATCATCTCGATTATTATAGCGGAGAAATAGTCATGCGCAATATGGACTATCAATTTGGCTTTCCCCACAAATAGTGACGGGATGAATGCCAACTCAGCCGGTGTGAAATCGCCGAAGGGCTATTGGTTGGATTACGCCCGTTTTGAATTGCCCATCTCTGACAATGACGGGGAAGGTGACAGACAGCATTGGCGTAATGGCACAGTAGCGGCGTCGGACTAGTTAGAGGACAGGATACTTGACAGCGCCAATAGGAAGAAGGCCAGGTATATCAATGGCTACCCTATACGGCCCTAATCCATATTGGATGCTTGGCGGTGGCAGTATCGGACAAGACGCCTAGATTGTGATAGTCCATGGCCAAGTTGCCGCTTTGCTTTCGGGTCCTGAATATGCCGAGGTTAGCCCAAGGTATCATTTTTTAGCGTCCACGGGTGGCGGAGTCGGTTAATAATCTACATATGTGAGTAAAACTAGGTAGCATCGTATTTATAATTACTAACTAGGAGTCCTAAGTGTAGGATCTAAGAAATCACAACAAGATACTAAGATAATATGATAAATCAGCGACAATAAGGACTGAGACACAAGAAGGTAGCCTTGCCTTGCAGGGTTAGGAAAAAGAGATAGTAAAAGTCACAACACATTGATTCACAGTAAACTCAATTCTTAAGCCAAAGTTGTTCGCAATTTAGTCACACACAGTTATCAATGTGTAGCTCCGAATACCGTGATGCAAATAGCAGGAACTTGTGCACGAGTGAGTCAAAACAATAGGCGAGTCCAGCCACTAATTTCAAGGAATGAGAAGAATACAAGCATTGAACATTGGGAATTCCGCTTTAGTTGAGTCAAAGATAATTCATAAAGTTGGAGGATGAATGAAATCAGAAAATCCCGGCCGAGAGTGATTAAATTACCATACTTGAAGAGCCCTAGAGACCTGGAATTGGGTCACAAGGTCCTTGAGGCCCTCCGAATCAATTCGAGGAGGGGTTCACATAATACTCGAATGCTTTGATTTTCTTCGTTTGGGCGGTTTGTTTCTTCATGAAACCTTCAACCACCGAATAGAGAAATTCCTTTGGAAGTTCTCTGTTCAGCCATACGGCTTCCGCAGCGTCCACATACATGTCCACAAACAGCTTTCGAATTGTAGCAGACTCAGTCGTACTGTTGTAAGCATGACTGATCAAGGCCCCACAGGGGTAATAACGCTTTCCATCGTGAGGATCAGGTGCAGAGGATTTCTCGATTATTGCGTCGATGGCTGAATTCTGGAACTTGACGTCGAGCAACTTGTCCCCGAGCACATATGCGTTGACAAGATCATAGTACTCCCTGTAATGATTGTTTCCTTTACCAATCACTGGGAATTTGCCAAAGTAAAGCCAGTGTGAATATAGCGCAAATGCCTGGGGGTTGTCTTCCGGGAGCTCAAGAGTTTGCTCCTTGGATTCTTTCCACGGTCCGGACATAGCCTTTTGAAAAAAGAGTGAAGATGTGCAGATAAGTGATTTGTGGATATGGAAAGGCGACTTTGTAGCTCCGACTGTGATTGTGACTGTCGGTCCTTGAACTCTGCGTCGAATTAGCAGCAGTAAACAAAGGGTTTCAGCCATGATACTTACTTGCTGAAGTCGCTTTTCTTGCTTCGCACAGTCCCTTGAGCCATTTCTTTTTGTGTTTTGAGTGAGGCCCAAGAGACTTGGAAGACTCGCTTGGAAGGATCGTACTTGGTAGGACTGAAGGTTCTCTCAAACTGTGATATCGTATGAGTTTTGCAAGGGTTGACTAGCGAGAGGATTAAACATCGAGGTGAAATCTCTGGGAGGAGTGGGAAGAGAGATGGAAAGATAGATGGAAAGAAAGATGAAAAGAAAGATGGATGGAGAGAGGAATGGTGAAGAAAGAGGAAGGGAAGAGTCGACAGTCGAAGAACTCAGTCACTTACCAAAGGCCAAACAACTTCAGTGATTATATTCCTCAACATATGTCGTTTTCTCTTATCGACTGTCCATTATTTTCCGTCTCTACCGACTCCATTTAACATCTAGATATTTCAGTGTCTTCGAAATTCCTCCCACCTCTAGAAGACTTTGCTGTCATAACAGGAGCATTCCCAGTAAAAAGGGGTATCAGCAATACGATGCAGCTATACAAAAGTGGTTTATCTGGTCTACTCAAGCTGTTTCTAAGAGAAAGATGCTATGCTCTTCTAAATTGTGATAAGTTATCTGTCCCGATGGCGAGGTGAGTCGGCAAAAAAAACTCAAGGATCCTTGAGTGCTTATAAGAGCTATATGTAGTGAGGAAGCATAACAGATTCGCAGGAAGTTATAGGTGCTTTAGATGAGATCTAATTCAGTTAGGGCTATTTTACAGTCCTCTGATAGCAAAACTTCAATGGCAACAGTATGCCAACATGTCAAATTAGAAAGGTTGGAGTGATATGATAGAAGATCCCAGAGGTCTCGGTTTCCCAACGCAGAAATTAACGCCTAAAGTTGCAGGCGACGAGGCACCAAGGCACCGACATGTACAATATGAGGATCCATGGGATAATGTTCAGATGGGACAGACTACTTGTAACCATTTAATAGACCTGTACCAGATAATTGGTGTAAAACAATTCAACCGACTAAAGTGGAAGATAAAATCCGAAGATCAATGTGCAAAAGAGTGTATTCCAAGTCCGGGAAACAGGATATAATGCAACTCGAGCGAAAGCTCTCCAAATAAAGGGCAAGGAACCCAAACACCCATTCTCCGACCTGGCCCAGGAACAAAAACAAATACCACCACTCGCTAAAATGCAGACACGCTAAAATCAATGGCAGGAAACCAACAACACGAAACTCTTGGTTGGAGGTGAGAGATGGGGATGGCAGAGGTATAGAAAGGGGAGACTGGATGACCCAACAACACCTACATGGGGTCAGATGTGTATATGGTATGTGAGGTATAGTGACAAGGTGTGCATCGAGAAAAATATGGAAACGAGAAGACCGAGGCAAGTGCAAAGAGGAAGCAGAAAAACTGTTGTTAATCAAGATGTGCAAGGTCACTCAGCCCTAGCATGGGGCAAGGTTGTATTGAGTTTAGTCCCACCAGGGGACTCGTCGTGTACTTCGCGGTCAGTCTGTGAATATGACTTTTCAGACTTCTGGCCTTCGGGTTGGTCGATCTCAGCTTCAAGCTTGGCTTCAATCTTGTCGAGGGTCTCTTCTACCTCCGGGGTGTCCTCGATATTGGGTGCGAGCTTGGGGACATCGGGAGACTTTTGGAGTCGAGGAGATTGTTCAGGTTCAACCCCCTTCTCACCTTCTTTGTTCGCTTTGCTGTCCTGCTCGGCGGCCTCGGTGCCAGTATGGTCTTCGAGGGTAATAACATTATCCTCAGCCTCCGACTCGCCGTTAGCAGAGTGGAACTCGTCCTTCTCAGCAGGGGCCTCCGATTTCGTGTCGACGAACTCCTCATCGTCGCTCGCAGTAGGAATGTCAGGAGTGGTCTTGGCCTTCTCTGGGGATGGAGGTGCCTTAGGGGATTTGTCCAAATGTTCGAGATTCTCCGCCTCGGTGACGTCTGTAGGTGAGGTGTTATTGCTTGAATACGAGAGCGCCGTAGGCGATGACGAGGCACGGCTTGAGCCAGAGCCCGGGACGTGGCGTGGATGCCGCGGGGGCAAGGTAGGTGGGGTGCGAGCCGGGATTGTGACCAGACGAGCCCGGGTGAAACTCGGCGACGTACGCTTGGTGTCACCGTTTGTCGTCTGGTCCTCCACCTTCGTGGGCGAGGCCGGGACACTCTCCCTTGGTGTGACCGTGGCATTGCCAACCTCGTGGATCTCAAAGTGCTCGTCGTCATCCTCAAACTCGGGGTCGTCGTGTGTATCTTCGCAGACGCTCGCTTTCGCTCTCCTATCCTCCGCCTCCTGGCCCTCCAATTGGCGGACCTTAACATGTTCTTCATCACCGTGGATAGCAATTGCATCCCAGTGTGAGTCCTCATCTTCATCCCAGGCATCCATCGGGGGACGGCCAAGAGACGATCTCTTCGCGCTGCGAGAAGATGCACGGCTGACTGATGTAGCCTCAGTTAATGGGGCGTCATCTGTCTGCGTGCCACGGTCGACACTGGCATGACTCCTGGAGCTCTGCACACTTGCACGCCAGCTATTGCGCGGCGAGCTATCCATGCTGCGCCGCGAGAAAGTGCTATAAACAGGACTGTCCAGGTTGGGCCGAAATTCAAATGTCTCGTAGCTTGGCCTCGCTTTCGTGCCGGCCTCCCGAATGAAAAGCCCCTCCGCTTCCAGCGCCTTCACTCCATACGGATCGGGGTCGTCAGCAGCCGGCACGCCGAAGATGTGTTGCCCGTCTTCCGTCAGCTCCAGATCGCCAGGTGTTTCGCCCGATGGCGGGACGAAACTCTCGTCGACGTCAGAGTCGCCCTGCGCGGCCTTCAAGGTTTGCATGAGGGTTTCTAGCTCACGGGGTGGATGTCGGACTTTGCCGGAAAGAATCTCGTCGACGGATATCCTCTCGCCGTAGAAGCGCTCGTTCTCGTCAGTTCGCTCAATGATGATCGTACCATCAACCGCGACGCCTGCGTATAGCCCTTTGCTCTTCATATATGTCCAGATGGGTGCCTGGCGTTTGTGCACCTCGGATTCGAGGACACCACCCACACCTACAGGCCCTGCGGATGCGCTGACCTCGCCGCCCAGCGTGCAGCGGAATTTCTTGAATGCGTCCAGCGCCTCGTATGTGTTTATGATTACCACGCAGTCGTAAATATCAACGCCAGCGAGGAAGCCTATTCCCGCCGTGTGTAACATGATACCAGATGGCGGGCTCCATTCGCCAGTCTCAGCGAGGCGGCCGATCAGCACGCCACTACCGCCAGAGCCACTCATCCACAGACCTGTGCGCATAGTCGTGAAGATGGCGATTCCCTTGGCATTTTTAAGGACTTGTGTTGGGATCTTTTGGATAACGCGCTGCTTGCCCTTGGGACGATTGATCTTGCCATTCTCATCGGTGCCAGGTGAGGAATCGGGGGCATAGAAGCCGTCTTTGCAGAAGCTGCGCAGGATGCGCGCGGCTTTATCGGCTTCCTTGTCGATTGTCATAGGCCAGAAGGCTTCGGCGCCCAACTTGTGCGATAGGCGGTTGACTGGGCCGCCGAGCTTGTCGACAGTATCCCACGCTTTATCGAAGCCCTTCTTCGAAATGGTTTTGGTCTTCTCCCACCGGTTTGGGGCCATGGCGAATGGCTGTCAGATAGAAGAGACTATAACGCTATTATAGGGTAATTGAAGAAGTAGCAAAAAGTTGGATGCGCTCCGCGCCGCAAAAGGCTGAACAAGGGCGAGATCTATACACGGGGCTGTATCTGAAACACGACTTGCGCCGCGAACATGAATCCCGGCAGATTCTTAATGTGATCGGGAATGTTTGCAGCGAGATCGAAGAGTTGGGATCTGCGGTTGCAGCCCAGGAATGCGGGGAGGAATGTGTTTGCGAACGTATGGAAAGTATACTCATAGGAATGTACCGGGGAGATTATAGAGAGAGAAAGTAAAGATAAAAAAGATTTCCCGGGTCAGACGGAAGAGTTTAAGAGGGCCTGGGCCAGAACAAAAACGTTATGCTCTTCCATGGTTCCAAGGTTCGAGGCAATGTCATCATCCATGGATCAGCTGTTTCTTTTTTTTTTTTCTTCTTTTCTTCTATTTGTTATATACTGTAACTGTGATGTATTGATGTATATGGAGTACTCTATACTATTATAGAAAACATTCTACTTATGATACTATTGCTTGTTACATTTGGAATAATATCTGAGATCTTGTACATCTGACTCTCAGAAATGACCAGTCCAGATAATCACATACCTCACACCCCCACCTGGAAAATTAAAAAGCCCTGGTCTCCAGGGCTAGAATGCGTGTCAAGGCATTTGCTTAAACTCTTTTATCTACCCCGTATTCCATCCTAAAAAAAAAAATAAACACTCATATGAAACACATTGTTATTGTTAATCTGTTCCCTTTGACCTGGGCTGCATCTTCAAGCCCCAGTGGATCCCATAGATGACAGCTCAATCGAGGCTGAGCAGATCCACCACGCTATAGGCAATGTCCGCATTCATCGGCTCGGTTTTCCTTATAACTACTCCGTATCCGTACTAGTAGCGATTCGATATTAGATATTATTCAGCTGAAATGTTCCAGGGTTGCCAGCGCAAACCTAGTGTATCCCCAGAGTAATGATGCAAGATCATCTTTTGTGCTGATTTCATAACCCATATACGCTAATGTGCTTGGCCTGATACGGAAACCCGAGAATTATGTGCTTTATTCTTGCCTACTTGGTGTTTCGCAATGCTAGTTAATCTGTAAGAAAGTCCTTCAGGCTGTGAGGCTCTCGGAACATTTCATCACAGCCAATCGGGGAGAGTTGGGCACTGTGGCTGATAATTGAAGTATATTATTGCCTCGGGCTGAGATGCAGCTTGGGCGCTATAGAGATCCGATTGGGTAGTTTTGCTAGGTTTCAATAAAGACACCATCCAAGGTTGGGTCGAAAGAGCAATACATCTATGTATGGCCATACCGATATGGGGTGGCTAGTACCTAGACCGTAGACGAGATCTAGCCACTCTAGCGCCGCTGTGGCGGATCGTGACCCACGATGTTGCAGTAGTGTGGCCCCTTGCAAACTATGACTATAGATGCGCGCAGAAAGCATACCTAGTCGTGCACAATGCTAACCGATTGGAACTATTGGGCTAGTACAAACTATTAATTATAAAGGATATGGTTTTCATTCATATGAAGATCTAGCATCCAATACATGCACACATGCCTCGCCACACAGCATAGCCATCAGAAACTGCGGGAGAAATGCGCAAGACGAATCCAAATCTAGTGGGGTAACATTTCAAAGGCGATGGTATAGAAACATAGTGCAATCAAGAACAAGCTTAGCGCAGTTACAACGCACCAAGCTCCTTAAGCTTGGAGACAAGGCCATCGACATCCTCGACCTTGCCACCACCCTTTCGTGGCGGGGGTTCTACAGAACATTAGCTCAATCCCACGAACAAAATAGCAGAACCACCAAAAACACATACCAGTAACCTTCAGAGTCTTCAGCCGCCGTGTATCTTCGACACCGAGATCGGCAAGGGTTTTCTTCTCAAGGGGCTTCTTCTTGGCCTTCATAATGTTGGGCAAGCTAGCGTACCGCGGCTCGTTCAACCGCAGATCCGTAGTGATAACCATAGGTAGCTTGGCGCGGAGAGTCTCAACACCACCATCGACCTCGTGGGTGATCTCAACAGTACCAGCATCATCCTTAATATCAACTTTGCTGGCCTGCGTAGCCTGGGGCCACCCAAGTAGACCAGCAAGCATCTGACCAGTCTGACCCTGGTCACCGTCAATGGCCTGCTTACCCAGCAGCACAAGGTTCACATTCTGCTCCTTAACGACGGCCTGCAGCATCTTGGCGATGGTCAGCGGCTCCGGGCCGCCGTCGCCCTTGTCTGGTACGTCAATGTGGAAGGCTCGGTCAGCGCCCATGGCCATGGCGGTGCGGAGGACATCAGGGCATTTCGGGCCGCCAGCGGAAAGTGCGAGGATATCTTCGACCTTAATGGGGCCCTTGCGCTCACGAAGGCGGACAGCCTCTTCGATTGAGAGCTCGTCAAAAGGGTTCAGGGAGTGCTTGACACCAGCGGTTTCGACACCGGTCTGGGCTTTGTTGATGCGGGGTTTGATCTATTTGGTTCAGATGTGGGTGTCAGTCATGGTATTCTAATCCCAGAGTGAGTGGCGGGCAGTTTCCATGACCTCGTCGGTCGAGATCCAGCTCCGAGCGTCGGTCCTCCGGAGCTGCACTTGGAGGGGTCATGGTGAATGGGTACTTGACTTACCGCATAGTCAATCACGCGCTTGACGGGCACCAATATCCTTAGGCCGCTCATTTTGTGTATATCAGTAGTCGAGCAACGGCCAATGAGTTGATGTAAGGAAGTTTGGAGGCTCGGAGGGAGAAAGCCTGCGGTGACGGAGTGCCAAGAAATCAAAAACGCCGACGCGGCCCGAGTTTAACCCTCGTCGCACCACTGACTCCTCAGAACACAGTGCGCTTTTGCGGCCATCATAACAACAAGCGCTTGGGATCGGAACATCAAGGTGGTGTAAGTCTGCAGGTACCTTGGTATTCACATACTTGTGATATTTGCATTGCTAAATATTGATTTTACTGAGTGCGGTTCCAAGTTGCCTATCCTACCATTTTTGGCTCACTTTTGTTATGTATACTAGTACTGATTGACCATCTCTTCCTTTATACACATCAACCATTCATGGTACATTTTATTGTACACTTGCTCTCTGGTGACCGTGATAACCAATGTGGCTACCCCGGGTAAAGGACAGCAAGGGCTTTACAGCACGAGAGCACCGAAGTAAGTTGTAGCATGTAGCGTACCTGACTAGAAATATATAACCATTTCTGTTCATAACCAAATAGACAGTATCAAAATAAACAGGGCTTCAAGGTCACCACAGCAATTTATCTTCAGAAACAGCAAGGACAATGAAAAAGCCACATGGGTAAGCCCAATGGAAAAGTACAAGACGGCAATTAGTTATGGGAGTAAGATAAGGTTGCTGATGGCCGCAATTCGTCGCCGTACTTATACCACCGAACCTGCCGAGGTTAACCATACAGCCTACATATATTGTGATAATGGATGTTGTTTTGCATTTGACAAGACTGAGAAGGATACCCTGCTGTAATCTGTTGACTTAGTCATAAACTATATAGCATGTAGTGTCAAGGCCTGGCCCTAATATTTTCTGGTTTGCTACCAGCCGAGTTGATCCCTCGCCCAGCTACACCATCGGTGTTCAACAGCTTCGCTGCCCTCTCCATTATATAAAGTATGTCCAACAAGGCTACTTCCTCAGGGCATAAAAAGGATTGGGATGAGCTAAAAAGGGGCGAAAAAAAGAGAAAAGAAGAAAACAACGGCTGCGACGCCCGCGAATGGAATTGTTCAAGAAGGTTCTGGTCAATCGTCTTGGACCACTCAATCAAAACGCGGTACTTTTATTGTTGAATAGAGATGCATTAAATATCAAATACTCGGGGTGAATATCGAGAAAGAAAGTAGAGCGCCGATATCATAATGGCCTAGCTACATAGTAGACAATGTTGTCATGGTACTGGCAATATTGGGAGGTTGCAGATAGATACATTTTTGAGACAATGGATTGTACCTTATGGTAAACTTAAACCCAAGGTGTCCATGCTAGTCTAAACCTTGAAATAGGATTGCATCGTAGATGGTGACCTTCCTATGTACGTTTTCCAACTTTGCTGATATGTGCAGTAGATGGAAAATATCCATATTCAGCTGTGGTCAAAGCTAAGTATTCACACCGATCACCAAGTTTCTTGTTTGTAACGGCCAGTTTGCTCCATGCCAATGAGATAGCCCTCGGCCTGGGAACGGGTGAAAGGCTGCCCTGGTAAAGGAGCTCCTCCATGTTGGAAGGCTTCGATGAGAGCCTCGCGCACAGCTTGAGGCATGCGACCCGAAGAACCACAAATATAAACAGACCCCTGCATATCGTGCAACACCCGGAAGAAGAGAGGGAAGTTCTCGCGCACGGTATCTTGCACGTAGATTTTGCGTTGCTGATCACGCGAAAAAGCGGCAAGTACCTGTAGGGGGATGAGCTTGCTGAGCTCCGTCCACTCTTTCTCAAAGAAGAAGTCAGATTCTCGGTTTCGGCCACCGTACAGGAGAATAGTAGGCCCGATCGGCGGGTTGACGCCAGGGTTTTGCTCGCGGTAAGCCTTCACAAGTGCCGCTTTCTCCCAGAGCATGGAACGCAGGGGTGCAATTCCAGTGCCCGGTCCAATGAGCACGGTTGCTGCGGTCAGTTGCTGGACTGAAGACTTGAGACCGCCGGGCTGGAGCTGGACTCGGAGGGTGCTACCTGGCCGGAGGACGGATAGATATTTGGTACAGACCCCCTCGCGGATTCTCTTGATAACTGTTTGGTATTTGACAATGGCAATGAGCAGCTCGAATTGTGTATTACCATCAGCAGTCTGTTTGCGTTTTCCGCCGCTGGCAATGCTGAATTGACGGGCTCGCATGGCCGGGAGAACAGATATCGCGTGTTGCCAGGGAATTTTGACAGTGTCGAACTCATGCAGGATCTCAAGTATACTACGTCGTGGGCGTGTCGTGTAATCCCATAGCTCGTCGAGATATTCGGGATTTGTAAATTCTAGTAACCGTTCTTTGTGCATTTCATCGTTGGTGTAGTGTGCGATTGCAGAAAAGAAGGATCGGCGGGGTATCCCTTTGATGTCGAGATAGTCTATGAGGAGGGCACGGAGTGTGAGGTTGGGATATGAGTCGAGGCCAAAAATTGGTGGTGGCGATGGAATATCTCCAGTTGAAACGAGACGGATTGGTCGATCTGCCTGATCGTTCCAACCCATCAAGTCAATGAGGGTTTGAACATCATTCGAAGAGCTTTTCGGTGTGATGGCGATCATGTCTCCCGGAGCGTAAGAGACAAAGTCTGGAACGGTCAAGGTAATATGGCGCACATCCTGCCAATGCTTTTGCGGAGTCACACGCCGATTTTCAGTCAATGTCGCACATAGAGCATGTGGGATGGGTCGGTAGTCATGGTCTAGATGGTGTAGCCCCGGATATTCATCCGTAGAAGGTTGATGTTTACTTGGGACGGCGGCTTGGGGCATTGGGACAGAATCGTTTCCCCCTACCGGTTCCAACTTCCACTTTGGTGGGAGGCGCACATCATCTGGGATCGGGTGCTGTCCAGCAGGAAGAGGATGTCTATCCAGTAAATGTTTTCGAAAATCCGTCATCCATGGTAGGAGGGTTCCCTCGAGTCTGTGTGTCAAGCCATGTAAGTCGTGAACAGGTATCCAAGGCGAGGGTCAGAAAACCTACCCTTCTGGATGTTGCTGGTCTGCTTCACCTGTGGGATAGATCTCATTTGCACCAAGTTGTAGTAGTCGTTTATAGAGCTTGCGTATCGCCCAATTGAATCTATCACAATCAGCCGTTGAAACCCACCACAGTAGCGTAACTTTCATACTTAGGATACGAGCTATCCCCCAGCCCAAAACAAGTGAAGTTTATGCCTTTCAAAAAGGTAGCAGGTAGCTTCTTCAGCAAGAGCGACTTCCAAAAAGACCGCGCATTGACCGGCAAATCGCCTTGACCAGTGGTCGATGCCACAAATATGGTGAGTGTGTATAAAAAAAGGGATTCCTATGGGTCCATTGGTATTAGGCCTCTAGAGGGTCATTGTCATTACAGAAAAGTGCATACCGGCTTGCATTGATTCAACTCGGATACATGTGTCGCAAAACGGAGCCGCTCGGTCAACGCGCCCAATTCCTCAGCCACTTCCTGCGCATTTCCCGTTTCTGAGCCATATAAAATGAGCACGGACCGTTCTAAGGGACGTGGACGTTGGGTGTCGCCCATTCTGCGCTCTGGTGTGGAAGTGTCTGAACAGTTCTTGCTGTGTGCCCCTCCGAAAATCGGCTGACGTCACCCAAAGACCAATCAATCTTATCGAACACCCACCGCCTTATCTACCGCCTACCTGAGTTGACATTGTAGGATGTACTGTCCCGTGAAGAATAGGCGTTGAGGAAGATAATCTAATTCTGTGCTTATATTATGTTGAAAAAGTAGGTCTAAGAAGTGTGGATGAAACCTTGCATAGGTGATATGTGCTTTTCATAGTTGAACAAGCATGCCAAAGGGACTAATGGAGGTAATGCCTATATAGTTATGATGAGTAGGCCCACTGCGAGATATCCTATGTTATTGGCCAATCTCTAATCTGGGGCTGTCTTTTTGTTGGCTCAAAGCGAACCAAGTCCCTTGTATACTGCCCTAATAATAGGCCTTATAGTTGGGAGTTACGAGCTGCTCGTTTCACTTGGAGTAAACATTGTAAGGCTAAATTGAAAGAATAAAGGGTATCGTCAATCTGCTTTTCAGAATTCATCGTCGCCGCCGCCGCCCCCACCGTCTTCATCACCAATATCATCTTCACCATCATCGAAGTACTGTTCGGCATTGTAATCACCGCCCATTTCGTCATCATCCTCAGAGAAGTCATCGTCCATGATCTCCTCTTCCTCCTCATCATCCCCCTCAAGCAATGCGGCTTCGTCTGCATCTGCGTCGCCTTCCTCCTCGTCTTCCCCACCAGCTGTGCGTTTCACAGGCCCAGCTTCGTCTTCCTCGTCCTCAAAACCGCGCTTCACTCCGGCGACTGAAGCCTGGGCCTGATAGCCATCCAGGGACGTGTCTGGTCGGAAGTTTGGCTGGAGGGTTTGCCATAGCTCGCGGGGGAAGAATTTCAAGACTGAACAGTCAAAGCATGCAGAGTCAGTAATCTGCAGCCATAGAAAAGTCAACGCTAACAGAAAACAACTTACAGTAAGATCGTCCGGTGATCTTGGGGAGGGTGCGCCGTTTCTTTTGATAACGGCCGGAATAAGTGGGCATGCCATGGAAAGCGTCGAAGTTGGCGCGTGCGGCGCTGCCTTTTTTGGCGCTGGAAGATGATGCATCAAGAACGGAGTAGAAGGGGCCCTCATGGAAGCTTTCACGTAACTCTCGGTAGTAGTCTACCTGGGTTTGTTCTGCGGGGCTCAACTTCCGAGCAAAGGGGACTGTGTATTTCTGAGGAGAGAGAGAGTTAGGCTCTGTGGATTTCGACATTATGGAGATTGGTGCATTGTAAGGGGAAGATTTCCTGGAGAGCCAGGCCAAGAAGCAAACATACAGGGTATAACGGTGTTGGAGCTGTGTCTGGCTCCCCGCCAGGGTCGGCATCCCAAGTAAACTCTGTGCCGGGAGGCTTTTTGCCCTTTGGTGCCCCACGACGCGACATTGCAGTAATAAGACGTGAATTAATATGGGCCAGCGAATTTGGGGATCATTCTTCATGATATAACTGCGGAAAGATGATAATGACTCCGGAAAAATACATTTCTTCACCGCCCACCCGAAACAGAACTAGGGCTGGCAGATTCCCTCAGTGCTTCCCCGCGTGGACGCTAAGATAACAATGCGCAGATCCTTACCGGGGACTCCGTGCACAATAGACTATTGAACTTATTGTTTTTAATTGAAAATGAGACTACATAATAATCAATAAACTGATTCATGTACTTTTCAAATTTATTGTGACATCATAGTCCGGCAGTCACTACCTGAGTCCCGCCAGATTGCACAGGTCCCCAGGGACCCTGGTTCACGCGCTGTTGTAACGTTTGCATGATATCTTCGAACCCTTCCATCTGGCCATCAGTTTCTTGCAACCGGCTATACAACGCGACGAGGACATCATGTTTCGCAGTGGCAACTTTCCAAACGACACTCTGGGAATCACCTGCACCACCCCCGACGAAGTCTGCGTAAGTGCGAGGTGGCTTAAAAAGATATGGAAGAAGGGTAGTCAGGGCAGGCGGGGTGAGAGCTGCCCATGCTCCTGACGTGGGGAAAAATCCATTAGTGGCTGGAGACAACTGACCCAGACCCTCTTCGGAGGGCAGCTGGAACCGTGACGGATTAACAGGTGCTGAAGGCGAAGGTTTCCAGTTCGCTGTTGTAATAGCCTTCATAAAATTGATGGCCGACAACGCAACATCTTTCATCACTAGCACGTCGGCAGCCCCTACGACATTGTCCCAGAAAGTGGGGTTTTGGTTCACATAGAGGAAGTAGAGGATGCGCGCTGCAGCTGCTTCGCGTTCCCAGTCAGTTGGAGTTGAGCCGGATGTGTTCAAATTCATTGAATCGGAAACCCCAGTTCGCTGAGGTCCGTGGAAAACTTTTGCCAGAACATCTAGAGCTTCGCTGTTGGGAGGGTTTGTGGGAATTGCGAGAACCGGGTTGGCACCATGTTTGCCCGCTTCTACGAGAAGCACTCGGGGGAGTGAAGCTAAAATAGCAAGGTGACCTGTGGGTACTTCACCATGTGCCCATTGCGCGCTAGGAATAGCGAGAGATCTGTTGATGCGGGAGATAATCCCATCAAGTAGGGTAGAAGGGTTCTGCAACAAGTGGTTGGGATACATCTCGGCGTACCGAGCCACATATGCCATCACTGGGCCAGATAGGTAGAGAAGATCCACCGAGTCCAGCTTGGACTCATCAAGGTAATAAGTCAGCACTTGGGAATGCAGTTTGTGTTCGACAAGGAAGTCGAGGGCAGGGGACGAGAAAGTGGAACTAGACTGCACAGAGCTGCGAGCGACGAGGCCCGGTCCATCGATCTCTAGCAGCTCGCGGAAGAAGTTGAGCAGCGTCATGTGCATCAAGACATCGGTCACTTGGACCATATGACAGGTTGCAAAATGCAGAAGACTACTGCTCTGGTATTTAGCCTCGATCTCCGGTACTTGGGCTGTTGAGATGATGTCCCAGCGTAGTTTTCCGGCTTTCGCCAAGAGTGTCATTAGTCTGCCCTGTGCGAGCGTTCTTTCGCGTTTAGAAAGACCACCGGGTGCATCACTTTGGAGGCTACATAGTCCGAACAACAGACCGTAGACATCCTTATCGGTGAATAGCCTCCTCCACAAGAGCCCCTGTCCGGCATAACTCTCGTCACCAGTGTGCTCATATTCTCCATTTTCCAGGTGATTAGCAACGTCGACCTCCAAAAGCGCCCATAATGTGTCGAGTGCAGCCTGTGCAACTTCGCCCGAAGATGTTGAAAGCCATAGCTCGACGAGCGAAGCCACCAAGTCTGAATCACCTGCCACTATGGCAGCTTCACTGTATTTTTGCCCAGCTTTAGCTAATAGTGAAAGAGCTAAGAGATTGATTGGTGGTGATGGGGCCTTGAAGCCAGCGACAAGATTGATCGGAGGATCGACAGCTTGGAGATCGGTGAAGGTGAAGTAGGCGGTAGCTCTGATTCCGAGGGTTGTAATAGGTGTAGGGTCTTCTTGCAAGATGGGAAGGAGCACAGAAATTTGCGATAGAAGAGTGGCAGGGACTACACGATCGGTGGATTCGACTAGTTGCAACTTCAACTTGTCGATGAGAGGAATGTCCAAGGCGACGGAGGGGTTCTCCTGGACTTGAGCGAGGTGTGATCTCACTGCATCAAACGTTGAAGGGACCGACATCGTGATTTCTTGCAATATCTTCAGTTGCAAAAGCCAGTCACAGACTTAAAACTGAAATGGATGCCTTCGTGACAGGTGAAGCTGGCCCTTCGCGCCGCCTCCGCCGCGGGGAAAGCTCATATCCGCCTCAGGCATCAACTCCAAACCGACCAAACATGACCGCATCAACCAACCGTCTCTACTACTCCGTCCCTCACCAGAAGTTCCTCTCGATTCCAGGATTGCAACCTACAATCATGGAGCCTCCACAGTGTCTAGTTTCTCAGAAGTCATCCGATTCGGGTCTCCATATCCAGCTACACCCACTCGTTCTCCTCACTGTCTCTGACCAAATTACCCGGCATGTTGCCCGACAGCAGCATGGGCCGATAATTGGCGGCCTCCTAGGCCAGCAGAATGGACGGGAAATAACACTTGAGCATGCATTCGAGTGCCCGGTTACTTGCGGACTGAACGATGAGATTATTTTGCCGGCGGCATGGTTTCAGGAACGTCTTCAGCAGTGTACGCGGAACCCCTCACAAGATCAATTAGATCTGCCCCTAGCGAGTACAAACTGACCATATAACAGTCAAAGATGTGCACAAAGACCCCGCTCTCGACCTTGTTGGTTGGTGGTCAACCACGCCATCGGCCGGGCCGAATGACGCCCATCTCCCCCTCCACCGACAAATCCTCCAGGACTACAACGAATCCGCCGTCTTCCTCGCCTTCCATCCCTCACAGCTCCAGGGTTCAAGTTCAAATGGCGGCAAGCTTCCCCTGACCGTGTATGAGAGTGTTCATGAAGGCGAGACCGCCCCGGATGCAGGCAAGGACATGCAGGTGGATGGCGAGGAGACGGGGTTGAATATCAGATTCAGGGAGCTGCCCTACTCAGTGGAAACAGGGGAATCGGAGATGATTGGTATCGATACTATTGTCCAGGCTTCGGGCACAGCTTCTTTGAATGCGACACAGGAGCCAACCAAGCGCGCGCAGCAGACAGAACAGGCAGAGTCAAATAAGCAGGACTCGCAGGTTGCGCTCTCACAAGAGGAAGAGGAGTGTAAGTTTTCAAAGATCCAACGCAACTGCTGCTTGGATGGTTGATACTGACTGTTTTGAAAAGTAATCGCAAGCCTCAGCACTCGTCTCAATGCCGTTCGCACCCTCGAATCCCGCGTCTCCCTCATCAAATCCTACCTCTCCAGTCTCTCAGAAGCGGATTTTAGCTCAGATCGATCAAAGGACAATACATCCGCCACCAAGCTGTCCCACCCAATCCTCCGCAACATCAACTCTCTCCTCTCGCACCTGTCCATCCTCTTTCCGTCAGAGCAAAGCACCTTCACCACCGAAGTGCTCTCGCAAAGCAACGATGTGCTATTAATCTCGCTACTCGGTCAACTCGGCGACAACGTCAAGGCCATGCGCGAACTAGGCCGCAAATCTGCGGTTGTTCAGACTGCGCGTCAAGTAGCTTCCGCGCGCAAGGATCCCTCCATGCTCCAAAGGAGCTTCAATGAGGAGTTCTATGGCCAGGGTGGGCGTGGTGGTCCTGGCAGTGGGATGTATTCGTGATACTAGTCACATGCAGTACTTGAGTGTTTCCACGATCAGCCCATGAAAATACCCCCACAAATGGCAATATGCTGGATCTTGAGCGGGTTCACTTGCTTTGCTTAGACAGTGTTCCTTTCCCGGCCCGTTTCAAGACCATCTAGACGAGATAACGAACTTTGATATGATTATTCTTCATTTCTCCTGTTTACTCAGTGACAGTAGAGGTCCCAGATGATACTATACAAGAAATGTAAACCTACAGCGATGCAAAGATGGGGATATGACAGATAAAGAAAAAGGGGAAAGGGAAAAAGAATATGTAAAGAATAAAGGACAAGGAAAAAAACACGTCGCTATGCAAACAGGCGGGTATCCATACCTATCCAAACAACGGGACATAAAGAGAAATGTAAAAGCGCAAAATTCTCGAAGTGCTCGTGGGTAGCGTGAGGTAAAAATAGTAATATGCTTGCAGCTCAATCACAGAGTAAACATGCATAACAAAGCAAGCCCTGTCAATATGAGAGGTCGAAGTCTACACCGAGTCATAATTGAATCATAGACATGGATCATGATTGACGGTTGCCAGGGTAGGGAGGAGGAGGATGGTAAGGGTCGGGCATGGGCATAGGGACTTGCTCACGGAGAGGGCCGTCGGATGGGTAAGGGTGGACCAGCGATTCCGAGTGCAGATTGTCATGACTGTGAAGCGAGGAATCCTCGTAGGGTGACGGGCTTCGCTCGTAAAACCTAGCTGACGGGTTTTGGACATGATCATCGAAGTCCGACGCATACGGCGAAGTGCTCGTGAGCGCGATCTCGGGGTTGGGTTGGGGGTGAGCTAGAAGCACATCGCCCTCTTCGTACGGCGTGTCGCCATAGCGGCCCGTTCGGCCTGCGGACATGGCCGTTCCAGCGCCATGATAAGCCGTTCCGTGTTCGGTGAGCTCGCTGCCATCTTGGGGTGGCTGGAGCCCGAGTGACTGGTCTTGCGGCTGATAACTGGGGTCCAGCATACGACTTTTGCGGCCGACGAACAGCCAGCGCGCACTTCGCCCAATGGCTTTGAAAAGGTCCAATGGGTTCATGGCATCAATCAAGGCCCTTATGCCGTACCGTCCACCTTGGTATGCAGACTTGCCGTTGCCGAAGAAATCGGTCACTTCACTTTGGTTGGCGAGGGTGTAAGACTTCCAGGAAAAGGCCCAGAGATGAAGTATACCAAATATAGCCATCTCACAGTTGATCATCAACTCCGGGAGCCCAACCTTGAGATCGTTCATAGCCATTTTATCAGTCGCTGTGACAGCACCGTTAGAGACTAGAAGGTTGATGAGTGTCTAAAACGTGGAAACAAAAGTTAATAATCCACTTTATCAGATGATCCTAAACCAAAAAAAAAAAAAGACTTACCGACTGCCAGAATGACAGGAAAATGACGAGCTTAATCGACAGGATCTTCAAGAATGGCTGATGTTGCTTGATGTCTTGGCTGGTCTGGTGGTAGAACTGGATCAGACAGTACATGGCGATGGTGACAGAGACCGATTCGATGACGATAGTCTATCAATAGGTTATTAGCGGATCGACAGGGAACGAAACCCAAGAGGTCACCACTTGAAACATACCCAGATATGCGCAAACGCGGGACTCAGTGACTCCTCGCAATACATTCCAAAAGCCTGTGCGACGACTGCAACGATAGTCATAAGAACGCGCATGAGACAATATTGGAAAACCCCGACCCAGACAATCTGCAAAATGATCAGTCCCGTAAAACTCCTCAACATGTGCTCCAGTCCATCATCTTACATTGAACCATGTCAATCCACTGCGCGGGGTTCGCCAGATGCGCTCACCACCACAGCATTTCTGAAGCCAACTCAACGGCCAGAGCCATGACTTTGGCTGAGTTCCACGGAAGTAATCCTTCTGGCTGTGTAGATCCGGGGCGATATAGTGGCACATGAGGGAGAAGAAGGCGGAGATACAGAAGGCTTCGTAGCAGTCACCGAGGACCTTAAAGTAGACGGCGTCATGGTAGAAATATATGCTAAGCCATGCAACGAGGGAATAGACGGGGACCATGAATAGGATGCGGATAATACTGCGACGGAGATGAGGACCATGTCAGCAATACTGTTGACACTTTAACCGCTACCCTGGAGAAGGAAACTCACTGTCGCTGTTCGATCGGCTTGCTGTAATGTGTGGCATGTAAAATAATGAGGGCAAAAGATACCACACATGCGATAATAGCGCAAGCGCCGCCCACCAGGAGCGCTAGAGCATGAAATGTAATACCGCCATCCCAGAGTGCGACCTCGTCAACTATCTCCGGTCAGTCACTGCAAATCTATTCAAGGCGGAAGGGGGCAACACACTTAATTCAGCCTCTGTGGTATTGCACACTGGCCAGCCCATGGTGGCTGGGTGCTAAGGTGAAAATGGCAAAGAGGGCTGTTGACCCTTTTTTTTTCTTCTTCCCTTTATCTTATCCGGATCGACAGGGGAAAACGCCACCGAATATCAACAAAAGAGGAAATGTTGAAGAAGCAACTATTTCCATATGGAGTATGGAAAGTAAAGGATTGGCGTTCTCTTGGCTGATTATGCCACGACCTGTCAGGTCTCGAAAATCGGCTGATTTTCTTGGGGATCATCGGATGCCGAAAGGCTTAGTCTTTTGATCTATTTTTATATTTTGATTTGCTTGGCTCTTACTTTAGGTGGACCCCTAACATATTCATACCTAAGTCTGTAACTAGTTGGCTATTCAAGTTAAAACTTTAGGGGACAGCTAGGAGTCAAGCTCCAACTCCAAATATCTCAATAACAAGCGTATTCGCGAGCTGGATTATGCGAATATCGGTTGGACAAAACTCACCGGTGCTGGAGGTGGAAAACATATGAGACTGTCCTAGGTGCCGACGGGGTTGGGGTGCTTTGGCCTGCTATATTCCGAAATGGCGATGGAAAGGCTGGCGAAGAGATTGATCAGGAGAAGTTTGAAGATTCTGACGGCGTTCAAGGTATCAACGAGCTGGTTTGAGTGGGAGCGCAGGAAAATCGGGAAGGCTGGGAGTTTTGGACGTTTCCTCCAAGATGAACAGAGGTCGTCCTGATGATCATTCTATCTCCTGTGAGTGTGCCATGCTTACTATACTACACGTCGTGTATGTATACTGTAGAAGAAGTAGTATAATTCATTTATCCCAGCCTTTCGGGCGCTGGATATGATATCGCGTGGTGCGTAGGTTTACAGAAGGGGCTAGTAGGAAGGCAGCTATTACATACTTTTGATATTTTCCATAGCATTTTGCAGTCGCTAAAAGTCTATTGTACATGGCCAATAACAAACAATGGCCCAACTGCAAGATGCTTTTAACCTTCGAAAGTTCAAGAGCGCCATGAATCACCGCGCCGCCCCCACGCCCCCGCCCGAGGTCCGGGGCCAGAGCGAGGTCCAGGTCCAAATCTTTCTGGCCCGATGTCCACGAACTGATCGTCATTTTCGAAAGTAATTCGTCGCATCTCATCGCCACCGCGACGTGGGAATGTGCCCTTCCGAATCAGCTCATCAAATTGGTCCAGACGTTTGTCGGCAACGGGACGTGGAACGGGAAGGTAGTACAGCTTGGGTTTTGCAGTGGTAGATTCAAACAATTCATCCAGAGGTTTAAAGCCCTGCCCAGGTCGTGACGAAGGTGCAGGAGCCGCAGGAGCCGCGTTGGAGGGACGACGGTCAAACTGCTCCATATCGCGGCGCGGGCCCAAGGGGGAGTGCGATTGAAACCTGATTCACGTCGTCCAGAGGGAGCGGAGCCCACCTCGGCGAGGGTAGCTGTTGTTCCGTCATCAGATGTCTCATATCTCACTTCCCAACGGGCAGCAGCGCCAGCTCGGTCTCGGGATTCATCTTCTGTCTGAATCCATTCCTTGATCTTCTCCTCAGGGATAAAATCTGCTCGGAGATTCTTGCGGTTGCGCTCGTTGGGCCACACAGTCCCATGGACGGCAGAACGAACCCGTGAGGCTGCTGTGATACTGGTGAAACTCACAAAACAGTGAGTTTTGATAGAATCGAGATGGAAGTCAACGATGGCGTCGGAGTCGGTGGTTCCGGGTGCACATGCGAGGCTGGCCAGGTGTTTGCGAAGAGCAGTCGGCTGGAGTGGGCGCATAAGGCCGTCGATATAGAGGGCAGAAGTTGCAGGGTGCAACGCTGGGGGGGATGTCTGCATCTTGCATCTCAATGTCTCGTGGGGGAGAAGCGAGTTGGGAGGATGCACCAGCAGGTGCAAATAGGTTGCGGAACCGGGCGTCTTGTTTGGTGGGGGTTTTGTGCGAGTCTGTTTGCGTCTCAATAGGTTGTTTGTCTGTGTGATCCTCCGCTGTTTTTTGGTCTTCAGACTTTAACTTGCTGAGCCCCTCATCACGGGAAGCCGCCACCTCATCGTCTTTCAGCAACACGCGTGGGGTCGTTTCCTTTGCGCGAGCTTTCCTATTCGCAATCTCTTCTAGAGTAGGAGCCGGGCTCTGGCTGCGGCGTTTCCGTTTGCGTGTATCCTCCACTGCCTCTTCCACCGGGAGAGGTGTCGATAACTCTGTGTCAACCTCGGAGGTCTGGGCAGCAGAGACCGATTTTTCTTGAGCCTTCACGAGCTCCTCCTTCTTCACATCTTGGACTGCTTCATCCATTTGCGGCTGGAAAGGTGCAGCTGCAGACTTTTGTTCTTCAGGGGCAGTTGCCTCTGTTTGTGCCTCCTCCGCAGGCTTTGCGACATCAACTTTTTGCGAATTCACGTCGGCTGCCGAAACTGCTTCTCCCTGGGTCGAGTCATCTGCCTGCATTTGTCCATCTTGGGCTGAATCTGATATTGGGACGGGTGCTGATGCCTCCTCTGTTTGTGAGATTGTTTCTTCCTTGGATTGTTCAAGCTGTTCATTCTCTGGTTGTTCGGGCTGCGGCTTTGGCTGCGAAGCAGCGTCTGGTGCAGGTGGCTGTGATTCGGTGGATTCTTCAGCGGGAGCTGCAGCTTCGGTCGTTACCTGGTTTGTTTGTGAGTCAAGCTCGATCAATTTGTCAACGAACTGCTGCTTGAGGCGGAGGCCAGTCTGAGGGATGCCGCGCTTCTTGCACTCGGCCTTCAAATCAGCCACTTTCAACGATGAATAGTCAATCATGATGACAAACTCTCCACATCAAAGGTCGATGTAAAAAGCGAAGTTGAGTGTGACGAGATCGGTTGTTTATATCAGAAATAAGGAAAACAATTGGTTGGAGCGCAGGGATTGGATCTGGGGACGCGATGGAAATGCGCGCCGATGATGTAGGACGCTAGCCACATATGGACTAGCGTTACTCTTGTCTGAACAAATCGGCATGCAACCGGACAACTACCTGCCTATGTAGGTGTCTCTTCAATCATTCAAGTGAATTATAGAAAGAAGAGTAAGATCTAATTGACAGGAGTCGAAGGGAATTTAAATAATTTGTCTTGTTCAAGCACATAACTACCCATCTAGAGCACTTCAACGGAGGAACAATCTTAGATGCGGCTGAAGTAAACCAGCATTGCTAAGTTCACTAATAGTCCGCAGCTGCGGCAACGTGGTCAAGTTCACATGCATACATAGTATAAGTGATATACATCAATACCATTGCTATCATCCAGAAAAGAGCATATTGATGCCAGACGGAAGGAGCTGTGTACAAGTGGGAGAATAGAATAGCCTTGACTCTGGTCTAAAGTCGGGACCAATGGAAAGTTTTCAGATGCTAGAGCAAGATGTGCATTATTTGCGTTGAATAACTCACGATGCTACTTCTACCACCTTTATTACTACGCTCTTCATTTATTTATTTTAGAAGATCGTCATACTAGTAAGCAGTCGGAGCGAAACACTGGCTTGGAGGCAATCAACATAGATATATTGACAGTGATCTAGTCATTCGACAAGGGTGCTTTTAATCCACAATCCCCGCTGGCAGCAGAGCCACGTAGTCTAATGGCGCCGGCTCATTGCCATTAGGCATACCGACAATCTTCAAAGTATCACCCTTGTGCACTTTGATGCCCCGGAACTTGATACGAATCGCCGAATGCCCATCTAAATATATAGAAGGCGTATGACTAAAGGTATCCTCACTATTGCCAATCCACTGGCCAATTTCCCGATTATTCAGATAGACCTTCCACTCTGACTGGCCACCGTATACATCGTAGTAATTCACGGCAAGGTCATAGGTTCCAGTGGGAAAGTCTATTTTGGTCGAAGCGGTGCCAGCTGTACTGTTGGAAGTTGTGACAATTGCAACCGAACCAGAGGCTGTCTCGAAGGGGTTGACGGCATAAGTTTTGTAGCCCTCTAGCTTCATGTCTTCCGCTTCGATGCGCCACGGGTGATGGCCAACGCGCTTGGCCTCATCAGGGATTCCAGAAAGATTGTGATAAAAGGTATTGATCGCATCTCTCCATACAATTGAGTGACCGCTCTGGTAATCTAGGAAGTGGCGCACATGGTTGTATCGCTCAGTATCAATTTTGCCCTCAAGTGATTCCCACTGCGTGAGGAAGGTCTGTGCAGTTTCGGCACCGCTGTAGTGTTCATCATAGAAGTGCTGAATAACGGTCTTTCCCGAGTGCAGACGATGAGTGTATCCCACATGATGGAACCATAGCAGAAGGTTGTCTGGTGTGGTGTCGATATTCTCATACATGGCAGCCAGTTCATCCGGATACTGGCCCGAAAAACCCGTGCCATTTGCCACCGTCCGGTCCATTCCAATGCTGTCTCGGTCTGCGCGGGTCCATTGGCCCCAGCCATTGTTATCTTGGGATGCAGGGCTTGGACCATAGTGAGTGTATATAATATCTGTCAATGTTTGGATGCCCAAGTTCCCACTATATTGTTCGTAGGCGGGCCATGATTCCATGGACATGCGAGTGATGGTGTCAAGTACCTTGCGATCCAGCCCAAACGTCAGCCTGATCCAGTCTTGCAAAATGTCCTGGGCATCGTCTGCCGGGTTCCAAGCCAAGCGACCATAGGCATATAGGTTTGACATAGATAGGTGGCTACCAAGCCAGGTGGTGTTCGTGCCCACGTTGACAACAGCTGCTGATCCGCCCAGTTTGCGATTGAACCGTTTACCAGCCACGATATCGCGAACGAGTGATGGCTGGTGGTCGACGCGGAGGTCAGTGTCTAAGATTGTCTTCCAAATGGGAGCAACATAGACCAAATGAGACTGTTGGCCGAGATATTCTTGCGTGACCTGCAGTTCAATGGCCATACTAGTGTTGAACAAATTCGCAAACAGCGGTGATGCTGGCTCACGGACTTGGAAATCAATAGGCCCATACTTGATTTGGATCACCACGTTGTCGTCGAATTCGCCATCTAGATCCTTGAAGAAATCCACAGCAGCATTTGCACGATCATCGGTCCAGATTGATTCGTTCAGCTTATTGTAGACGAACGCGCGATACATAACAATGCCACCGTAAGGCTGGACTTCTTTAGCGAACAAGTTCGCTGCATCTGCGAGGGTCCTGTTATACGTCTGGGGGCCTGGCTGTCCCTCCGAGTCAGCCTTGACGAGGTAGCCAGCCATGTCAGGCACTCGATCATAGACCTGGGCCGTAATTTTCGACCACCATTCGACGACAGATGCATCGAGGGGATCGAAAGTGCTGAGCCCTCCATAAGTCTGAGGGGATGCGAAATTGAGAGATAGGCCAACTTGTATACCGTATGGACGGAAGACATCGGCAATCCGAGCTACCCCATCGAGGTTTGTGGGACTCAAGAGGGTAGCATTCGCGTTGACATTGTTGATGACGACAGCATTGATTCTGATCGAGGCCAAAAGGCGGGCGTATTCAGCAACACGGGTTAGGTCGTCGACGATTTGACCGTCCTTGAAGAAGATAGAGGGGCCGCCATAGCCGCGTTCGATTCTTCCATCCATGTCATCCCATTGATTCACCCAGCGAATAGGCGCAGAAGGATTGGTTGCATAGGCGACCTTGGAGTGGTTCCCCTGAGCAAGCATCGACAAGTATTCAAAGGTGCCATAGAGAGCACCCCTTCTCGTTTTGCCCAAGGATCTGAACGTTTTCCCCCTTGGTGTCGAGCCAAAAGCCATCTTCTTCCAGCACAGGTACACCTTTCCCAGCACCGCAGATTTCCCGATATTGATCAACTGTGCCAACAACAACCGAGGAAGATGTCTTGCACTTGTTATGTTTCACTTGCACGCGCTTTCCATAAACACCCTTGAGACCATTCTGTAACTCCGTCCCGCAACATACACCGGACTTGTCTCAGTCGTATTGAGGATGACGATACTCGAAGGGAGGTTGGAATGACATTGACCTGAACAGGGTAATGATGCGTACCGCAGCCAGCCATTGAGGCCGTTCTCAGCGGCTGCAAAGCCCAAGGAGGCAAAGAAGAGGAGCGCACGCATTGTACTGGTCCGGGGGCATATACCCAATCACTCACTGCAGATCAAGTCCCCCTTTATATGAACTTCCCGCGAACATCGGAAGGCTCGCCGGTGGCACATAGTTCGCGGAAAAACTTCAGGCTAAATGAGTGATCCGTCCAAGCCAAGAAATACAGGCTAATGTACTTGCAGCGATTCCCCGCAAAGAGTGCGGAGTTGCGTGGGGGTTGATTCGGCACGGACATCAAAGCTGATTTTCTTCATGCCTAAAGTCGAGAAAGCCACCGAGAGAGAGTCTTAGCAAGAGCTAGCTCCAGTGGACTCGAGAAAAGCTCCATGAGACCAGTAGACTCTCCGGGGCTAATAAACTGAGTTACCGAATCGGGAGGAAGATGGATCCATCCATGCGTCTACAGGCGAGAAGCCTTTCGAGATTATATAGCCGTGAGTATCATCATGGCCTGTCGTGATTATGGGATTCATGTGGGATTTCAGGTGTCTCTGAGCTCAGATTTACAATTTACAATTTATCCGGGCTTTGCTTTTTGGTTTACCTGAGCTGCAAACAATATTACGATAGTACGGTCCTGCTGGTTACTGCCCAGGCGGGTGTAGCTTATTGCTAGCATGTAGCCAAAAAGAGATTTAGATCAGCGCCACGAAGCCTTATGTGGACTAAGGCCTAAAATGGACGGGTAGACTCATGATAATGAATTGCATTTTGGGTATTACATTTTAGGCTATTTCTATGAAATGGCCGAGTCCAAAGACAAAGCGCATTTAGCAAAGTGGTCAAGGAGCTTGGCACGCTTGCCCAGAATATGCCTAGTTCGAAAGATCCATAATTCATCACTATTCATGGGAGAAATTTTTTGTTCAAGAATGGTTCAAGATTCTATTTTTCATGGCTCGCAACAGGGCGATACGCTTAAGCCTCACGGCTCAGGATGTCGGAGTCACCGGCATCGAGGATAGCCATGGCGGAGCAGCGGAAGAGCTTACCGCAAGCGGTACCGAGCTCAATCTATAGGGCGAGTTAGTCCAATTCGCTCTCCGGGACGCCTTGCGGTGATCCCTTCGCTGAGCAACTTCACTCTCCGAAGTGGTAGTTTTGACCACTTCTTCTCTGAGTAGTGTAGCTGACTCCGAGGTGCGACAGCCAATGTCTCAGGCTGCCGACCCGAAGGAAGGGGGAATGAAACGTACGTTGTTGCCGTTGAAGTGGTGAACGGGGGTCTTGGCGAGCATGGCGTAGTACTCAAGCTCGGACTTGCGCAGAGGAGGGCAGTTGCCGGAGATGAGGACCAGCTTGGCCTTGCCAGAGCGGAGAGTCTTCATGGTGGACTTGGTACCCATAGTAACTGAGAGAAGTCAGCGAATTGCTCATTTGTGCGATCGAAAAAATGACCTGCTTACCCTTGCCAGACTTCATCACAAGCGCAAGGCGCGAGGAGAGAGTGTCACCGGACTTCTTAGTCTTGACCATTTTGAATGTTTTGGGGGGTTGGCTCGTAAGAAGGTTTGTCGGATGGTTGGCTACGGAAGAAGAAAAATTCGCACAGATGAAAATAAGATCAAGTGTGGAGCGAGCCCTAACCACACGTGACATGTACCACGTGATTGAATACCGCTTTCCGATGTTATTTTTCTGCCACCGAGACCGGAAGCCAAGTTCTTCCAAGGCTGCGGGGGGGTTTGACTCACTCCATTTTATTACAAGTACACCCTATTCTCCATTTCCATTCTCTTTTTTCCCTTTATTTTGCATACTTCTGTCTTTTTCACAATGGCTGAAACTACCAGTCCCCGTACTGCGCAATATCGTCAGTTATCTCCCCCGTTCTAACATAATGAACCGCTACTAAATCCCGTAGAGAGAGTCGATTCGCAACCTGAGAACCCTTATGCTCAGTTGATCGAGGACCAATCCATTGCGGTCATCCCTTCTTTCAAACTTGAATCCGGTGTCACCCTTTACAACGTCCCAGTCGCATACACCACGCGCGGAACACTCGCCCCCAATGGTGATAATGTGTTGGTGATTTGTCACGCTCTTAGTGGCAGTGCCGATGTCGCTGACTGGTGGGGTCCTCTTCTTGGTGGTCCGGGCCAAGCATTTGATGTCTCTCGTTTCTACGTCGTCTGCCTCAACAGTTTGGGCAGCCCGTACGGAAGTGCAAGTGCTGTGACTTACAAGGATGGTAAGCCTGAAAACGGCTACTATGGACCTGAGTTCCCCTTGACGACTGTCCGTGATGATGTCAACATCCACAAACTCGTCCTGGATGACCTCGGTGTCAAGCAGATTGCTGCGGTGGTGGGAGGATCCATGGGTGGAATGCTCACCTTGGAATACTCCTTTTTCGGCAAAGACTATGTGCGAGCTATTGTGCCCATTGCGACTTCAGCCCGCCATTCCGCATGGTGCATCAGCTGGGGTGAGGCACAGCGGCAGAGCATCTACAGTGACCCGAAGTATGACGATGGCTACTATCCATTTAACGACCCGCCATCTACCGGGCTCGGTGCAGCTCGCATGTCAGCACTTCTCACTTACCGTAGCCGCAACTCATTCGAGTCTCGGTTCGGTCGCAATGTACCTGATCCAACCAAGCCGCGTAACATCAACGGCACCGAGAAGCTCCCCACTCCCCCGAACGAGCACTGGGCCATCCACAACGACGGACACCGTGGCGGAGCAACTTCACGCTCGGAGAGCAGACAAGGCTCACCGGCCGCCGTGAACGAGGCCGAGGTCCAGTTCATGGACCCACAATTCTCCGGCACCAAAACATTTGCCGAGTCGATGCAAAGCCCAAGCTGACTGCATCCGGCCGTCCTCGTCCACCGACCTACTTCTCTGCGCAGTCGTATCTTCGCTACCAGGGTGACAAGTTCGTCAAGCGATTTGATGCCAACTGCTACATCGCCATGACCCGCAAGCTCGATACGCACGACGTGTCCCGCCGCCGCGGCAATGCTAGCACCGACACCGAGGATACCGTCCTTGAGGCCCTCGGGCGCGTAGAGCAGCCAGCTCTAGTTCTGGGCATCGAGTCGGATGGTCTGTTTACATTCGCGGAGCAGCAAGAGATTGCGGCTGGCATCCCCAATTCTCGCCTCGAGCGCATCGATAGCCCCGAGGGCCATGACGCATTCTTGCTTCAATTTGAACAGGTCAACCGCCACATTGTCGAGTTCTTCCACGAAGTCCTGCCCGATATCATGGCAAAATCAGGTGCTGATGGTGCCGCTGCTGTGGCCAGTGTCACTAAGATGACAAAGAGCAGCACTTTCGGTGAGGCCGAGGTGGAGGATATCACCGCTTGGTAAAGCGGCGAAATCCCAAAACAATATTGTCAGGCGCAGTTCTTTCTGCAGCCAATCCCATGCTCTAGTCTGGGTCCCGAATCCCTTTGGAGGGGTCCGCGACCGGATAGATGTCATGGCGCATCAGGGGAAGTAGGTTGCCGTTCTTTTTTCCGTTCCGCCAGTCAGGGAGATGAGCATCCAACTGCCTCTCCCGTCTCTCACTTGGCCTTTGCCCTCGTCCGAGAAGACTGTCAAAGAAGCATCCAACTGCTCTCCATCAGACCCGCCCTCTGGGTCAATTTCTTCCGGGAGGATACTCCGCGGGGGGTGATGGGTCCGTTTTCGGTATTGATAGCCATTGGTTATCTTCGCGACAAATATGTCGCATCATTTAAATAAAAGTATATAGAAAATAACAGATTTGAATATATTTTGATTGCGAAACTTTAATGAAGCTAAAGTGACAGATCCAGTTTATATTCGAATCGGATAGGGTCCCCACGGCAACTGTGACAGAATAACTATCTTAAAAAGATAAGTTTGGCCGAGCTGTATGGTCAGAAATAAGATTGGAGGTTTTAGAATAATTTATGAAACCTACGGAGTACTTATATCCTACGTCTGTATGTAGTTAGGATATGTATTTCAAGTATTATTGGTGAGCCTTTTATCTACTGTTAAAAGAAGACTAGATACTTAAAAAAAGGCCCAATTTGAGTCACACTAGTATAGATGCTCTAACTACATATGTACTTGGGCGCTTAAAGCCTTTGAACCAGGATTGGGTAGGATTTTGGAAATTGATGCCATTAATGTCTTGGATTTCTATTTTTTTTAAGTAGAAAACAAGGATATCCCAATATCCACTATCTCCCAAGTGGACTTAATACGATCTAGCCCTATCTTTTTTATTTTTTATTTATGCATACTAGCTCTAGTAGCATCACTATTTTTCCCTGTTAAGCGCTGGCATTATTTTAAGACATTTTTCTTCTTATCTCTTAATGTTATAATGTGACTCTGGTCTACATTCCCCCGCATACCAGACAGTTGTACCGACAACCGTTCCTGGTCCCTCTTCAAAAACACATTGGGAAATTGCCTTCGATCTGCAGTTGAGCTGTGGACTTCCCTCGGATTAGTGGCTTTTTCATTGTTTGCCTGCGCTCTTTCCTCCTCTCTCTTTTGATCTGTTTCATCGTTCGATCCCCTTGAGACCAGACCATCGGAGCATAACCACAGCCATTTACGACATGGAGCGCAAGCTATCAGAAAAAGCAACTGAAATACGACGCCGTCTGACCTTCACCAGAAGCAGCTCCACGCGAGGCCTAGAATCCACACTGGTCTCGCCTATTGATGCCAGCCCATCAAGCAGTCGCCCTCGGTCAACGACGAATTCCGAGTCTCCCACGCACGACGGGCCAACGTGGGACAGCAGTGACCCCAACCCCGAAGGGGGTTACAGTTTCACGGACGAGCCAGGCTACTTCCGCCCTGCATCGCCGCTTATCGACCGCCAAGAGATCGAAGAAGACCTCGAAGCTGATATCAAGCATGCATGTGCTATGCCATCCCACAGCATTGATCGTGGGCTTCCAACAGGATTCACCTACCGGAGTGATGTGCCAGTCCGGACAGATGGACAAAATCCCGCTGGTCAGCCAAGTGGCGATGCAGCTCCTTCACCCTTAAAACATCATGCCATTCTTCTGTCGGCGCCCAGACCAATCAAGCCCGAAACAGAAAGTACCACGAAACATGATTCCGGAGTCGGTACGAGCTTCAATTCTCCCAACCAACCAGGTAGACCATACGACCACAGCGTATCGGGCACAGATACCTCGGCACGGTTCTATAACAAACAACCCTCCGCCTCACCACCGCACAACGCATCAACAGGACCCCGCGTCCGGAGCCAGAGTCTAGCAACAACAGTCGAAGACAACCAAAGGGAAGGAGCCAACTCTTCAAGTCCGGTTCCATTCCCATACAGTCCTTCTCAATCCAACAGCGAGTGGATATCCAAGCCAACGACGCTCGACAGCCCAGTCAGCTCGCTCAATGAAAGCGAACAAAAGTTCGAAGCTACCGAGTCCGAGCTCGAGACAGAGCCAGAGGCCAACGAACCTGAGACATCCTCTTCAGCCATACCACCACACAAAGCGCCACACCTTGATGGGGCAGGCGGGGCCTGGCTTCCCGCTAGCAGAGAAATCCACCTCATCAACGCAGAAAAACCCACAGCAATCGAACCCAAAACGACAAAGCCATTGACCCGCTTCTACAGTTCCTGCAACCAAACGACAGGGTCATTCAACTCCCGTGAATGGCCGACGAATTTCCGGGAGGATCGGGAGCCGGGTGTTTACGGCAAGGTCCCATCAGATTCACCACTAGGCGCTGGAAGGGCCACAGTGTCAAGACCGCAAACAGGTAACCCGAGATTGGGCAGTGCTTCGACGAATGAGGAAAAATTACCTGGCAGATACCCGTACCAATCGTTTGGCGGGTCCAGCCGCGGGATGTCTTGCTCGTCTTCTTACTTGGGGGATAAGTCTAAACACCAAGAGCGTGTTTACTCTGATGTTATGCCCGGTTCGCCGCCTAAAAATAACCGGCGGAAGAAGGCTTCGCTTTTGTTAAGGAAGTTGGCCGGGTTTGGGGCGAGGACGAAGGGCAATGACAATGGGAATGAGGTTTGCTGATAGGAGCAGGTTGTGGGAGTTTGTGGGAGTTTGTGGGCATTTGAATATGCATTACTGGGATTGGAGCGGTTATCTTTTGATTCCTTTACCTTGGGAGGCGTATTCATGTCTTTGATATAGACGTCTGTTCTGTTCTATGTATATACCCTCTTATCATATCTAGTGCTTAGTTTCTGGGGACATGCGGATGTTTGTATTGTTCTATTTGCGACCTCATATTAGCTAGTTTCATTTCAAAAAGCATCGTTTTCAAAGTTTCACAGTGTATATATCCGCACTATGTATATTGGTGTGTCGTTCCCTGGCCTGGGATGTAAGACAAGACCACAATTTATCTACACGGTTAAGACACCAGGTCTACTTCAAACTACTATCTTCATGAATTCACAAGAATAAAATTGGAAATTGGATTCGGAATACCGAAATAATGTTGAATCGAAAAATCCTCGTATAACCAGATGCCAAGCCAACCTACCCCACCCACAGATAAAAATAACATCAATCGTGAGACATGATCCTATATAAAGAACACACATGCAATACCAACCACAGCCCTACAGACCAAGCCAGAACCTCGTCTTGCCAACCTCAAATTCGCCATGCAGCTCCTCAGCCCCCGTACCCGTAATGAGAACCTGGTACGTCCCCTTCTCAGAGATCCACTGCTCCCGCTCCTCATCCCACCAGCTGGTAGCCAACTTCTTCTCAACAACCAACTGCACAGTCTTAGTCTCACCAGGCTGCAGGAAGACCTTCTGGAAAGCCTTAAGCTCGCGCACAGGACGGCCAACATCAGTCTTCGGGGGCACGATCCAGAGCTGCACGATCTCGGCGCCAGCCACAGAACCCGTATTACAGACAGTCACCGACGCAGTGACAGGCTCACCGGACTCAGTGTACTTGGTTTGTTCAGGAACAGTGTCGATGCGTAGATCCGAGCGGGAGAAACTCGTGTACGACAGACCATGCCCGAAAGCGAAGCCCGGCGCAACATCGCTCTTCTCGAAGTACCGGTACCCAACGTAGATATCCTCGCCATAGAGGACACGGCCGCGCTCAGACCGGAAGTTCAGGTAGGAGGGGTTATCCTGCAGGCGGCGGGGGAAGGTGATTGGTAGCTTGGCGGAGGGGTTCACGTCGCCGTAGAGGACGTCCGCGATACCGTTGCCGCACTCGTTACCACCGAACCAGGCTTGCACGAGGGCTTTGGCGTTGTCTGCCCACCGCATTGTGACCGGTGTGCCCGACTGGATCACGACAACTGCGTTCGGGTTCACCTCCAGCACACGGCTGATCAGCTCATCGCTGCCAGGGGGTAGGTCCATATGTTCGCGGTCGTGGCCTTCGGTCTCCCATTCCAGGGTGAGACCGGCAAAGATGACGACTTGCTCGGCGGTTTTGGCTTGCTCAACTGCGTTGGCGATCAGTTCTTCTTGGCTCACTTGTCGGCTGGCGCCGAAACGGAAGCCGCCTGGACCGAAGGCGACAATTCCGCGTGTGTCTAGGTCTGAGGTTGGTGCGCTGCCGAACTGGAAGAGAACCTTGTATGTTTGGCCGGCCTTGAGCTCTTTGGTGCCGATCTCTTCGATGGTAGCTGTGCCAAAGAAGGCCGAGCCTTGCTTCTGGTTCTTGGTGTTGTCGACGACAACTTCGCCGTCGATGAGGAGTTGGCCTGTACCGACGACTGTCACGCCGAAGTTGTAGACCCCGCTCTCCTTTGGGGGTGAACGTTCCCTCCATATCAACGTAGTAGGTCATAGACTTGACCTTAGGGTTGACGTAGTCCATCAGGAAGCCGGAAGATTCGAGTAGATGCAACTCGTCCACGGCCTGTCGGTTCTCGCCAGAGTTGGGGTGTTCATTATAGACCTTGAATGTGAAGCCAGGTTTGCCGTCTGCAGTCTTCAGCAGTGGACCCAGAAGCGGTAGATCCTTGTGAGAGTACACGCCCTGGCTGTACTTGACCTCTCCCTTGCTCTTGGCAGAGACACCGTCGAACGGAGTGACAGTGTAGTAAGGAGCCAGAGAGGCTGAACCACCACCACAGTATGCAGCGATCTTAGCGTTGGGACCAATGACCAGGAGAGATCCATCTTTCTTAAGGGGAAGAATATCACCCTCATTCTTCATAAGCACGACAGACTCGGCAGCAGCGCGACGCATCAGAGCCTGGTCTTCCGGCCGGTTGAGGGCCTTCTCAGGTGCTCCTTCGGGAATTCCAAGGGGTTCAACCCAGTTCACCAGATTGAGGATATTGCGCACTCGTTCATCGAGTTGGTATTGGGCCACCTTGTTTGAAGAGACGGCGTGCGCAAGAGCCTCGCCACGCCAGCGGGTCTTACCGGGCATCTCGATGTCGAGACCAGCGACAATGGCATCAGAGGTACTGTAGGTACCAAACCTACAAATAAAAATCCAATGTAAGCCTCCAGATAAACATAAATTTAGCAAAATGAATCCACCACTGGTACTCACCAGTCACTCATAACGACACCCTCCCATCCCCACTCCTTGCGCAAGATATCATCAATAATAGCCTTGTTCTCACTAACATGTGTCCCATTAACCTTATTATAAGCGGTCATAATACACTGCGAGCGACATATCCGCATAGCCAACTGGAACGGCATCAGATAGATCTCACGCAGCGCTCGGTTAGTAAGAATACTGCTGACAGCCAGTCGCTCATGCTCTTGGTCATTGCAGACAAAGTGCTTAAGCGTGGCAGCAACCCCCTTCTCCTGCATTGCCTTGCAGAAGTAGCCGGCTAGCGTACCGGAGAGCACACCATCCTCCGAAAAGGACTCGAAGCCGCGCCCGCCTAGCGGCGATCGCTGGGTGTTGATCGTTGGGCCTAGCACGACGTGTGTGCCTTTTGCGATCGCTTCTTCGCCCATCAATGCACCGACCTCCGATAGCAGCTCGGTATCCCAGGTTGCACCGAGCGCTGTTGCGCAGGGGAGGCATGCTGCTGGGATACCGTTGAAGAAGCGAGTGCCACGGACACCATTTGGGCCGTCGGACATACGTAGCGCAGGGATGTTTAGGCGTGGAACTGATTCTGTGTGCCAGAAGTCACGACCTAGTGGGATGTGGTTAGTTTTGGATTGCATCTCTAGCAATGAGGATCGGATTTACCAGCTGTGAGGGCCACCTTCTCGCCGAGGGTGAGCTCCTCGATGACTTTTTCAACATCAATTCGAGCCATGCTGTAATGCAGTTCTCTTTTTGGGCGTATATTATCTGTTCTCCCTCTTGTTCAATTGCTTCAAGACAAGATGAGGCTATTCTGTATCGAGCTTGAGGTATATTGATCTCGAAAAAGCAGAGAAGGGATGCAATCCGTATCTGGAAGAAAACGGAAGACCAGAATCAACCTTTTATACCCAAAGGAGAGTCACTTTCCTTTTTCCGATGTATGAAGTGTCAGATTGTGAAACGAACTCGTGTAGGCGGGGAAGCTGTGGAGTAGTGTCCAATGACGGATGACAATATGAGATCAGGAGTTAGTTAAACAAATAATATTCCACGATACTCCAAGATGTTCAGTGGATAATCCACTCGCTATCTCAAAGGGCCACGGAGGTGGTTGCGAGACCGAAGTTTACCCGGCAGGGTAAAGGGCGGGGCAGAGGTGTCGGATGTCGGACCGACAGCCTGAAGAGCAACGGAGTACATATGGAGTACGGAGCAGGGCAATTATGGAAGATCCCTTGAATATTGCATTTCTGTTACGTTCATTTAGAAAAGAAGAAATAGTACATGTGAAGAAGTGAAGTGGTTTGTCCCCAAACACCAGGCAAAATGCAAAGACAAGATAGGAAACAAGTAAATAGTCCAGTGTAGGGGAAACTTGAGGTTTGGAGCAAAGAAAACATAAAAAAAAAAAGGTAAAAGTCCCATTCCTTTCAATAGGGTATCAGGGTGAATGGTGAAAATCACGCTCCTCGACGAGGACGTTTGTTATCATTTCCCATTCTCATGCCGCGTCCACCGTCAGCGCCATCATCAGGACCCTGTCGACCACGCTTACGGTGCCCAGAGCCTCCAGAGCCGCTGCCACCCTCGCGCTGGTGATCCCGGTCACGTCGGTCACCACGGCGCTCGCGTTCGCGATCCCGATTGTCCGACCGGCTACCCCGGTCGCCAGAATTGAAACGACGCTCGTTTCCATCCGGCATCGGGGGAGGTGGAGGGGGGAGGGGTGGTGGCGGTGCATCCATGGAGGACGGGGGGCGCAAACGGCCTTCAGCCTCATGGGGCTCACTGTTACTAGGTGCTGGTCCACTCATTTCCGACGGTCCATCCGGGCGATCACGTCGGTCTCGACGTCGCATCTCTTCGCGTGAGCTCTGAACCCGGCGCAGGGTCTCACGGGGTTCGCCAGCGCCCTTCTCGTCGCGGCTTCCACCACCTCCTACATCGCTGCGGCGACTGCGTTCCCGGTCATTTCGACGGCCATCACGTCGATTGCGACCGCTGCTGCTACCATCACGGCGCTCGGGCTCCTTGTCGCGAGTAGGTTCCATTTCACGGCTGCGATTGCCAGTCGGCCCAGAGCGACCCGCGTCGGGAACGATATCATCAATCAGGTCACCACCTCGGCCACCGTTGGGACGGTTGCGGGGTAGGTCTTCTTGGGGTCCTGCAGGGCCCATGGGTGGTCGATTTGCAGGCTGAGGCGATGGTGCCTCCATGTTGCTTGAGGGGCGATTGGCACCTCTGCCGCGAACAGGCGGAGGGTTCCCACCCCGGTCACCACCGCCACCACCAGACTGCTGGAGCATATTATTAAGGCCTGCGAAACGTTTATCGCCACGGCCACGTTCCCCACCGAAACCTTGTCCAGGCGGTCCAGACTGCCCAGACTGGGCAGAGGGTCCTCGAGGTGGTTGTTGTGGGCCTAATCCGCGAGGACCTGAGGGAGCAGCAGCGGGGGCTGCAGGTTCATTGACAAGATTCCGGAGGCGGTCCGGATGGACCCCTGGGGCACTACTCGAGCCCACGGGTTGTGTTGGAGCAGCGGGTTGCTCAGGTGCCCCACGCCCACTTTGTCGGGCAGGGCCAGTAGGTGTCTGGCGTTCCGGAGTGGGCAATGTAGCATTGCTCGAGCTGAGCATTGGAGGTGCCTGCCCAGGAATATTACGTCCACCGCGTCTTCGAGGGCCTGCAGGAATCTCAGACGGAGGTTCCGGCTGCCGAAGTCGACCATGAGTCATATCAGGACCTGGTGCAGTGTCCCTCGGATCAGCTTGTCGATCCGTGCGAGGGGCCCGGGGGAGATCATCGATGCGGGAGGACGAAGGGAATCCGCCAGATCTGCGATCATCGGGCGGAGGGAATCGGTCAGGTCGGTTTGGCAGGTCAGCAGGTCTGGGCGGCGATAGAGGACGTGGCGGATAGGGCCTCCGATCATCTTTCTCTGGTCTCTCTGGCCTTGATGGGTCTCCACGCCGAGGAATATCGACTGGTCGGTCCATGTGGTCAGGCATCAGCTCTCCCCGTCCAGAAGGATCGCGTCCATGGAACGAATCATTGGGTCCGGATCCACGCATGCGGCCAGGCCTATCCATAGGCCAGCCATTCTCGCGAGTAGAACGAGCATCGCGAGGTGGTCCACGCATGAGATCATCAGGTGGAGGTCTTATGGGGAAGTCGCGATCACGTTCGTTGAGATGCTCATTGAGACGTCCTCGAACATCGCCTAGAGAACCATCAAAGGAGCGGTTATGATCAGGACCACCATGACGACCGCGGGGTCCAAAGTCGGGATGTCTCTCTCGTCGATCATCCAATCCTTCAGGGCGCGGAGGGAGTCTTCCATCGCTGTGTCGCGGCGGGGACGAACGGGAGGATGAACTTGTTGACGAATATCAGGTCTTTTGGGAATATCAGGCTGGCGGGACGAAGTGGGGGCACGAGAAGTTGGTCGAGATCGCACACGGGGTTGTTCACCGGATGTACCGTCTTGGCCGGTATCTCCAGTGACCACGGAAGGCGTGGTAGATCCGGCCTGAGAGGGTGTTCTGGTTGGCTTGGCTTCACCAACCTTCCCTGCACCCACATCGGTCATTTTCGCATCCTCGATTTCACCATCCTCGACTTCAGTCTTGCCAGACTGTTCCTGCTTGGAAATACCATCGGAGCTGATGATGATGGAAAGATTAGTCACTCTGAGCACATCGAAATGGTCAAGGTTGTCACTTACATTGAGGATCCAGCGGGGTTAAACTCTGGGGCTGAGGCATTCAAGGGTGTGGCAGAACGTTGCGGGGTCCCGGGCTTTCCAACTGCGTCGGCAGATGTCTGAGAACCAGGCTGAGCTGCCACAAAATAGAAGGCCTGTGGCAGCATCCACTGCTTCTCACGCCGGTTGAGGTCACCGATCAAAGACGCGGCAGGAATTTTCACATCGTCTCGCTCATCGTTCTTGCTCAGGTGGTCAACGCAGTTCAAGATATCGCGACCAATCCAGTTCACAGCAGGGAAATGCTTCACAACAGCCTTGAGCACACTGATTGCGTTTCGAATATGCATGTATTCGCCACTGTTGAGACAGCTCTTCAGCGCGTTGGAAAATAAACGGTGCCATTTGTACAACAGACGGCGGAAGTCTTCGAATTCCAAGAACATCACTGGCACACCTTCGGGATCGACATTTTTGGCGAAGCCAGGAAGGTCTCTCTTGGTACCGAATGCCTCTTTCTCGTAAACTGCCTTGTCGGCATGCCACCTAGTAAGATCACGCAAAAGCTCATTCAAGAAACGGCCAAGATTGTCCGCTTCTTTGGAAGTGCACAAGAAGATGAGAGCAGTGAGTCTCTGCTCGCGGAAAAGCTGGTCGAGGAGACCAACGGTCCGGAAGTTGGGGGTTCCAGAGCTGTGCAGGAACTTCAACATCTTGAAGGAGAAAAAGGCATCAAGAGGGGACAAGAGGAGCCTAGGAAATGAAGCATTGCTCCAACAGAGCAATGTTGAGAGCGTCATGCTTGAGGCGCATGCCGGCGAACCACTTATCTTTCTCTTTCTGCAACCGAGAGCGTGTCTGCCCATATGCCTTCAGGTGATTCTTATTCTCATCCAGAATGCGTTCCTGTAGCTGAGTAACCTGGCGCTTCAGTTGCTCCTTTCGCGCCGTGCCCGCCATGCTAATATCAGATCGATCACTGTTGATAGAGACAACCCGCCGTTTGAGTCTGTCAATTTCATCCTCGTAGGATTTCTGCGGGATATGAACATCATAAAGGGCAAGCTGCCAGAATGTTGCATAGAAGTGTGCGCCGATAGTCTCCCATGTTTCGGCAGGAAGAGCAGTTCTGACATCGTCGATCAAATCTTGCATGACGGGGTTGGCTGCCAATGGTTCAGCATTGACCGCAGGAACGGGCGTAGCATCGGGTCCTTCCATCGGAGTCGTAATTGCGGTTTCGTCCTTATCGACATCCATGGAACCGTCTGCCGCAGCGTCTTCGGACTTTGAAGGCGCTTCTTCGTCCTCGGCAGTGTCCATCTTGTCGCCGTTCGACTTCGACGCAGAAGCTGAACGTTCTTTTTCTTGTTTTGATTCCTCGATGTCCGTGATTTTCCGGGCGATGCTGGGCCGCCGAATCCAGAAGGCGATTTCGGGCTGAATCCCAAACTCCGTGACGAGGGATGAAAAGTCTGGAACGAAGGAATCAAAATCATCAACCGAGAGATTGCTGCGAAGCAGGTCAAGGTATTGGGTGAGAATGCGGTGGATCTCGTCAAAAATATTTCCGAGCAATTTGAGCTCCGAAGAAGTTTCATTGTACACACAAGTCAGTCGTTCTTGGGCAATGGCAACCAACAGCTGACCGGCGAGTCTGGTGTGGGTCAATGAATGGACCAACCGTTTTGAGGTGGTCCTGGACTCATGACGCTTATCTAGTAGTTGCAAGATGGTCTGGGATTGGAGAACATCACCACCGGCCATGGCCTGAATTTGAGCGTCGTTGAAGTCGTTGTCTGAGATGATGCCAGCCATTGACCTGATCAGTTGCTCTAGCACAATCAGATCGGTCGAGTTGTTGTGCCGCAGTTGCTCCACCACATACTGGAGGACTGGGGTAGGGTCCATCACAGAGTACCGTTTGTAAGTTCGACCGGCGAATGTGGAGAGGGCGTTCAACCATCGACTAGTCAATAGTCCACCTTCCTGGACTCGACTTCTTCCTTTCTGGCCAAGGGAATTGATAAGAGACCAAGATAGGATGTCATAGCCAAGGTAAGTAAAATAGCGTGCGCATTCAACCACAACTTCGATGAGGTTTTCATACGACTCAATTTGGCTCATGGCGACATTAATGACAATTCCGGGATTGGCGTAAGCAATCTTGGCCAATGCACGGGCCATGGGTCGGATATTTGTCTTGCTGAGTCGTTTGAGGGTGTCCTTGGTCTCCGCCCTCGCCTGGTCGAAGGCCTCCTTAATGTCTGGCAGCCGGGACGTCTGTCCTGAGTACCACTCTGCGTACATGTTGTATCGCACATCTCTGGGGAAGAAGCTGATGAGATCAAAGACTTCATTGACCACACCAGGATTTGCTTTTGTTAGACTGACAGCGGGTAGGAGAAGACGCTTGCAAAGATCGCGCCAGCGTGTTCTGTTCTCTTCGGATCCGTCTTGGACCAAGCTTCCTTTTCCAATGCGTACAAGCTTCGCCAAAAGGCTGGCATCTTGTCCAATCTTGTGACCAGAAAGGTTGAGGAAAGACGAGCAAAGAGCAAAAACATCGTCGACAGACTGACAAATGGGGATGTTATCGGCCCAGTCATCCCAGTAGAATCGATAGTCGGTGCCGTCGTTAGTGTCTTCCTTATCCAGTTGAGCCCATCGCAGAACTCGTCTCGCAGGTGGGGGGTGTAAGTCCAACCTGCCCCTTCGCGCTGGTTTGATCGGAGGTCACTATATATTGAGCTCCGGGGAAGTCACCGGTAGATGCCAATGGTCGGAACTGGATGTAAACCTTGTTCAAAGAGTGATGGAGTATGCGGTGGATGAACTCGGGAAGCTCGGGGTAACCCTCCATCAACCAGGGGAACTTGCTGATGACGAAAAGGGATTCGGGAATGGCACCAATGGCGAGGAGACTCTTGAGGAGCAGTACTTTCTGGTCGGATGGGTCCGGTAACTCGTTTTCCGCTTTGGGTGTGCCCTTGTCGGATTCTTGGTCTTTACCAGGAGTCGCCACTCGCGGCTCGTCCCGCAAGCGAGAAGGGGAACTGTGTCGTCCGACAAAGCGCCAGCCATCATCAAAGCATTGATTCCACCACCCGGTCGGCCAGCCTTCACTCTTTCAGCTTTCTCTGCCATTTTTTCAGACTTCAAAATCTCCATGGTGTCGTCAGATCGCCAGAGGTGAGCGTAAAGGTCACGCAGAGAGATGAAGCCAACTTTGATGAGGAGGGCAGCAAGGTAAATGAGGTTATCAGGGAGAACATCGGCTTTGGTTCGAGCTGAAGAAGAATAGAATCGCAACTTGAAACCAAGCAACTGTGCTGCAACCCGATTGCCCTTTGGGGGTAGAGTGCCAGTCTCTTCAAGCCATGATCGTGTGGCATCTTCTTCAAAGGATGAACTATTAGTTTCTGAAAGACTTCGTTGCCTTTCCTCCTCTGAGATCGGTTTGCGGCCGATCTCAAAGAAGGCTTGAAGTCCGATTTCCCTTACTCGATCCCAGAATTGGCTATCGCGCTCCTCATTCGCGCGCACAGTAGTGGACCGCTCCTCATCCGTTGTGACCCACCCAGTTGATCCAGGAAGTGCCCAATTCGGAATGCCGGAGTGGCAATGGCTTTGCGCTAGGTTGTGGAAGGTGTCTTCCTTCGGCCACCAGGAGCTAACTCGCAGGAGCTTCACGAAGAAACGGTATTGCTTGACAAGAACTGCAGCGAACACATCCAGTGTGACGTCTAGCACACGGCCAACATCCATGTCAAATGCGCCAATCATAGCCTTGACTCTTTCAAATGTATCCTCAACCACCTCGCTCGAGGGCGGCTCATTGTTGCTTGTGGTGAATAGCTCGGTGATGAGTTTTGAGTATCCCTCCGATTCTTCTCGGAGAAGATTGTAGTTCGACTGTCGGTAGAGGAGATTGGTCTGCTTGCGAATTCCCATTCGCGCGAAGGTTTCGCGAACCAAGCCCAGAGCCTGCAACAACGGGGTCTCAAGCTGAAGACGCATCAAAGAAGGATCAATATCTGTCGCAAATACAAGTGGTTTGAGAGCCGGGTTCGAGGTATCAGCATCAGTCACGATGGAAAGTGTATCGAGGAACAAGGATCGCGGATCGATTCCTTGGATCGTAGGCTTTCCAGTGTCGGCCTCCATATCCACATCCTGGGACGCAGATTCTTCTCCGATGATCTCTTTGACAGCATTTCCTGCGTTTGATGGTGGCAGCCGACCATAGATGGCGGAGCGAATAAGCTCCTGGTAGACAGACGCAAGCCGAGCCAGATCCTGTTGCACGCGAGCCGCAATCCCTTCTTCGACTACCTTTTGCTTGCCCGCTGAAGTCCATTCCTCAACAGCATTATCGGTCACATATTCGTAATCATAAGGCGGGGGTGGGAGGGAGGGAGGGCGGGTGATGGTCTCCGAGCCAGCTCGAGACGGCGGGTTAGGTTGCGGCTGTGAAGCAGGAGTATTCGGCGCAGGAGACGGGGTAGGTCGCGACGTGGCTGAGTCGCCATTGTACGACGCGGGTTCGACAGGCTCCCTGGGCTGGTTCATTGCGGGAGGAGACATGGCGTTCGGTTCTCTATGCTGCGAATTCGAAAAATTCTGACCATCGTTGGATCCGCGGCGGGAACCAGCCCGGCTGCGATGCGATTGTCGGCGAGATCTGTCACGCGTGTCGTTTTGCTCTCGGGGAGTGGGGGATTGGTGTCCGGGGTTGGTAGGATGATGTGCCATGTTGAGGGAGCCAGGGCGATGGGGTGAAGGTCGCAGGTCATTGCTCCCTGACTCGCCGGACCACGAGCGATCAATGCGTTTCCGCTTGCCACCATGCCCGTACCCAGGCGCCATGATAGGTAGCCGGGTTAGACGCGAGGGGTTATGACGGTGGAACGAGACGCTGAAAGGTTGCAACTCATGCAGTCGTTTCTGTAGGAGCCCGGAGGAACGTATATCAGCGCTTGCAGCAAATTAAGCGGAGTAAAGAAAGAAGACAAATAACGCGCATAGCAAACTTACCAGCAAGGATCGTTCGTTGAAAGTAGGCGGCAAAGAAGCCAAAGGCGTGTAAGGTGAAGATAGAAGATGCTGATGGTCAAAGCTTGGTTGGACCCCAAGATGTCAACCGGTGCCTGAGGTGTCGATGATATGTTCAGCTGTTCACTCTCATTTACTACCTCAATCAATTATAACTTCAATTGTTCTTACTATTGATTGGGAAGCCAGCTCACCATTGAAGAATTTAAATGGCGAGCAATAATATCTCAAACACCTCGCTTTTGAAAGTTCTACGAACACCGCTGGGCAATATGTATGCTTTGTATACATGATGCTTCACGAGTATAGAACAGATCAAACCCATGCTTCATTGCAATAGAACCTACTTATGCTACAATTCAAGAGCACAAAATAATGGGCTACTTAATGAATTTGTATCATATGATTTTCTCACAAATTAACAAAAAGACTCGCCTTTCACAACAAGCCAAGAGCCTTAGCCTCACCCTCAACGATCTCAGGAATAAGATCAATCAGCTTAGGCTTCTGGGGTGTCCAACCAAATAGCTTGCGCGCACGGATCGAGTTGGCACGGGAGTTCGAGCCCCAGGCATAGATTCCAACAGAAAGTACTTCAGTCGTCTGAGCGCCATCGAGAGACTCAACATCGGGAGAAGCAATAAGCTTCTTATCAAAAGCAGACTTTGCAACCGCACGCTGGATATCGCCCCATACAAAGGACCCATTTTCAGCGAGGTAGTAACCCTCATTATTCCAGGTAGCCTTGCCGCCTCCCACTGAGGCTGCCTCGCCCAGAGCCAGGTAGACATTACTCAGATCCTGGACGTGGACCTGGTGCCAGACGTTCTCGCCTTTCCCAACCAGGAAGCCCTGCTTGCGCTTCAGCACCGCAGCGCTGAGCAAGTAGGCTTGGATACTCTTCGTGTTACCAGGGCCACGGCCAGGACCATAGATGGTAGGTGGGCATACGACTGCGACCTTCACACTGTCCGAGTTCTGCTGACCAGCTCCGATGATGATCTCATCCACGTTACGGTGGAAGGCGTCTGATGGAAGGTTGACCAGCTCACTGACGCCCTCCCAGTCGTTGTACTCCTTAGGTCGCTCAATGCCGTATGTGCCAGCACGCTGGTCCTCAACTGTCAAGATACCAGTGCCGGAGGTGTGGATCAGCCACAATGGACGCTCGGGAGTATGGTGCTGAGCGCCCTTGGCGATGGCCTTAGCTGCGGCAACATGATCGCAATCAGCGAAGTCTGGGTATATGTTGTTAGTAACGTGATATCTTGATACATGGCTCCCTGAATAAACATACGGAAGACGATGTCTGCGTTCTTGACTTCCTCTTCAATCAACTCGGACGAGTCTAGATCGCCGACCACAGTCCGAATCTGTGGGTATCTACTGGTGACCTGTGCGGACTTTTCCTCGCTACGGACAAGGGCTGAAAACTGCCAGTCAGGATGAGCGCTAGCAATGGCAAACAGGCCGTCACCGCCGATGTAGCCAGTTACGCCAGTCCTGTAGAAATTTATAAGATGGAATATTCGGTTTACCAGGTGTGGACAACATGACGACTTACAAGAAAACCTTGGGAGTCATATTGGAACAATGGAAGGGGAAATATTGCCTAAACAGAAAAGTGAAGCAATGCAAGTGACGGAAGTTGAATGCTTTGAAATCAACAAGAAATTTAGCCCGATATCCAAGTGGGGATGAGGGGATGGGCGGACTATGGATTTCCAACTTGTAGCCCAGATGTTGTACACCCCGGGCAGATTTAAATCAGCCTACATAGGTACATAGCTAATATCCTACATATGTATGTAATGGAACGAAACATCCATCTTGACCATTTCCATGTCCGTTTCCATGTCCGTTTCCATGTCTGTTTCGTAGATGGATATAGATGCAGAGCTACCCCACATGATGTCAGAGCGGCTAATATCTTTACCTCTCACATCCCACAATTTCCAACCCTCTATACATTCCAATACTATCGACAATGGCCTCCGGTAGCTGCGCTTGTCACTATATCAGTTACACAGCCTCTACTCCCCCAACCTGCCTGGTCAACTGCCACTGCACAACTTGCCGCAAACAAGCCGGCGCACCCTATCAAACCTGGGCATTCTTCGCAACTGACGATATCCGATGGCTTGTCAATCCCAGAGAACGGCAGTCAACCAACGTTTCGAAGCGTACCTTCTGTCCTAAATGCGGTTCGACTCTAAGTATGCTCCAGCATAGTGATCTGAAGAGTATCGCAATCGCTGCGGGAACACTCAATGAGGGGAAGACACAGATCCCGCCGCCAAGTCATCATATCTTTCTTAGTGAGAAGGCGTCTTGGTTTGAATTACCGGAGGGAGATGGTGCGAAGAGGTGGGATAACTGGGGGGGAATATGATAAGTTGTAGCATTGATGTGACTTGATAGCATTCGGGGGTTCTCACTTCGGTGCAGGAATAGATATCTACTACAGCGCTTTTCAAGTCATATAAAACAATTGCAACTATCAATTTGAAACCTTTGCATTGGCCAGAAAAGAGATACTGATTGTTCATAGGCTGAGATAACATAACAGGAGGACACGAAAAGGTTATAAGAGTAACAAAGGGGAATCACAGATTCGTGTCGGGGCTACATGTACAGACTCGTTGCATCCTAAAATCCGATCAGAAAGTGCTGGTGGCCAGTCGGCTTGCTGCATTTCGCGCATCGAGACGGTCATCGTCTTCCTCAGCGATTGACCCGACCTGGCTGGAAGCTCGGTTGCGTCCTTTACCAGAGCCCTGGCCATTCGCCTCATCATCATCGTCAGGAAGTGAGGGGGCAGTAAAGCTGCCACTCATGCTACGTCCAACATTGTCATTGCGGCGAGGAACACCGCTCCACGAGTCACCCTTAGGACCCTGGCTCGAAACCATGTTGGGCCGACGCGTCGCTGGATGGGACTCGCGACCCAGCCGGCTCAAACCACCAGAAGCGTCAATGGCACGGATGTCGGGTCGAACACTCTCCAAGGTGGCCAGAGTACGACGCTCGGCTTCGATCTGGCGGAGAGTGTACTCACGAAGGCTAAATAGAAGATCATGCGTGGTCCGGTCAAACCAGCGGCGCTTCTCCTGGAGAAGGTTTGAAGTAACACGCTGGGTCCGCTTGGTCAAGTAATCTTCATGGTTCTGAGCCTCCTCGAGAGCGTTGATCGCTTCGTCTACCTTATCCGGACGCACCGATGAGCTAACCTTCAAGCGATCTGCCGCGGCACGTTTGCTCCGCGCACTTTGCTGGGCCTGGAGTAGATCACGCAGGAGGATATGGCGGTTGGTCAGGGTTTCTTTGACAATGAAGGCATCTGAAGAGTGATAGCTCAACGGTTCACCGAGCGTGGTAGCTTCCGCGGTTGCCTGAACAGCGTGGTAATCGCCAACAGTTTGAACGATCTTGCCAAGTTTACGGTAAGCGGCACCCAGGCCGGGATGAGTCTCCTGTACGCTCATCTGACCGAGCTTGACGCCGAAATCAGCTTCAGCCAAGCCAAGCCCTAAAACAGTCAGATCCAATCGGTGCAATATGCGACGAAAACAGCTTGAAACTCCAGTAACGTACCGCGACGGGCCTTAACAACTCGGTCGACCTTGTGGCTCGAATCCATTGATCCCAGGTAGAACATCTTCGCAGTTGGACGGGCAGCTTGCAATTCAGGTGTGTCATCTGGAGGCGGTGCGAACTGCTTCAACATCTTTCGTCGCACACCTGTTGCCGGCTGCTTCATTCGCAGCACGGGGCTATACCCAAAGTCGCTCTCCACGAACAGCACAACCTCGTCGTCTTGGATGAGGACCTCATTGTTCAGCACAACATTGAGCCATCTCTGCATTGCCGATTTGATGCGAATCTCATCCTCCTCGGTGCCTGCACCGGCTGGCGTCACTGGCGATGGCACTGCAGGGACCAGAGCTTCCGGGTTGGCAGAGACTAGATGGTCTGCGAGCTTGACAAATTCGGAATGGGTCCGACGCACATCACGGTACTGGGTCGTGCGGAACTTGGGGATATTGGTCTGGATTCAATGCAAAAGCAGGAATTAGCTACGGTATAGGCGCACAAGACTCCGCAAGGGTAGAACCTACGTGGACGTCGAATCGCAGAATTGGGTCTTTCTTCCCCGTCCTCTCCAAACCAGTGATTTTTCCTTGGATCCTATAGGTGGGGGCTGGAGGCCGCGAGTCTTGTCGTGCTCCGGTCTGATATTGTGCGGGGGTAGGAGATTGCTGCTGTTGGACGTTTGGAGACTGGTGCACACCGAACGGGAAATGCGCATCGGGATAGTCCGGGTCTCCTAATTGTGCGCTCTGCAGCTGAGCAGAGAGGTCTGGAGATTGGGGGTCTCCATTGCCGATGCTGCCAACATCCGCCGATTGCTCCTGGCCGGGTAAAGGGGAGGACGGGATGTCATTGTTGGAAGTGGGGAAGGTACCTCGCTCAGCACGCGGCGAGCCCCAGGGTGAGGTACCAGTGGGGTGATCCGGGTCGGTAGAGATGGCAGAGTAGTCCATCTTGGTTGAAGGTCGGTGTAAGGAGTATCTTCGCTGACAAGGGGGAGTGGCTGGTCATGGTAGGCGTCAGTATTAAACGGCTGAAGATCGGACCCCCACAGCAACGGCCAACCTTCAAGGTAAGACCTACCTTGTGCAGCTTCAAAGCGAGAGAATAGCTAGGGTTATTTAAATTGACATAACAAGAACAGCAAAGGAACAGCAAGGGTATGAGCAAAAGGATCTGAGTAGTTGAAGAGAGGCAGGTGTCGGAGTGAGCTACGTATGAAGGAATGCGTGCGCCAAGCCTCGCGATCCCCAGTCCGCTTTGCGGTCCGATTTTCTTTGCTCTGGAGCTTGTTCCTCCAACGGTATCAATAACAATAACATACAGCCCCAATGCCAATTTCAACATAATTTCTCATCCTTTTATCCCATATTACATGAGCGCTTCCCCTTGGAATGCTTGTGGCTCCGTTGTTGCGCTTTCCCCCCGGGGTGCGCTGTATGAGCTCCATTCTATATAAGACACCGAGCAATGTTACATGCAAAAATACATGCTCCTCCCTCAAAGGTCTTCGCTCCAATTATAGACAGCTCCAACGCTTTTCCACGACATCGACATGCCAGGATGAAGCTTTGGACCGAACCCGGAACATCGGTATTATCGCCCACATCGATGCAGGCAAGACTACCACTACGGAGCGCATGTTATTCTACAGTGGCTTCACACGGCGCATTGGTGATGTGGACGAAGGCTCAACAGTGACTGATTTCCTTCCCGCCGAGCGCGCACGCGGCATCACTATCCAGTCGGCCGCCATTACCTTCCATTGGCCTCCTGGAGAGGTAAATGCAGCGTCAGGCCCCCAGTCTGGGGCGCAGAATGAGCCAACTCCGCGTTCTGCTTACCCACATACTATCAATTTGATTGATACCCCTGGCCACGCAGACTTTACATTTGAAGTCATGCGGTCGCTGCGCATCCTGGACGGCGCCGTCTGCATATTGGACGGTGTTGCTGGCGTCGAAGCGCAGACGGAGAAGGTTTGGAACCAGGCAAGCACATATCGTATTCCCGAGTCATTTACGTGAATAAGCTAGATCGTGATGGGGCTGCATTTGGTAGAACGGTGCGAGAAGTCGCCTCACGCTTGGGTGTCTATCCAGCAGTCTGCCAGATACCGTGGTTCCAAGGAGGCAACGGCCCTTTTATCGGGGTAGCAGATGCGATTCATCTCCAAGGGCTACGATGGAAAGAAGGCGAGGATGGCCGCACTGTGAAAGTGGCCGACCTCCAGCAATTAGAGGCAGAGGAGCCGGCCCTGGCCGCAGAGCTGCGGCGGGCACGAATTGCCTTGATCGAGCTGCTTAGTGAGCATGACGAACAAATTGTTGAGAAATTCTTTGAATGTGAAGAAGACCATCTCGCGGTCTCATCAGCTAATATCATTGAGAGCTTGCGCCGGTGCGTGTTGGACCAGACGAGTCGGATTGTCCCTCTGTTTGCAGGTGCCAGTTTCCGGAACATGGGAGTCCAGCCGTTGCTGGATTCTATCGTGAATCTTCTCCCCAGCCCACCCGAAGCTCCCGACGCAGAGGTGAGCATTGGGGGTGTCAAAGGAGGTCTGCGGGACCTGCTGTCAGGAGACTTAATTGTGGAGCAGAGCGAGAAGGCGTCCGCGCCCTCTAAAGGGAAACAACCAAAGAAAAAGAACTTGGCTTTGCAGACCAGCTCAAAAGACGCTATTAGCAAGCTCCAAAGCTGTGCACTAGCATTCAAAGTAGTCAACGACGCAAAGCGCGGAGTCCTAGTCTACGTGCGGGTCTATTCCGGCTCCTTAGATCGCAACAGCCTTCTCTTCAACACGAACCTCCACCTATCCGAACGTGCTCCACGTCTGCTGAAAATGTACGCCAACGATGCCGTGGAAGTGGACTCCATCCCCGCCGGGCACATCGGAGTCGTAGTCGGGCTCAAACACACCCGGACAGGCGATACACTCGTGTCCTATGCCGGGAACAAAGCAACTCCCCCGGAGCCACTCACAAGTCTCCAACTCCGACCAATTGCCGTTCCACCACCGGTATTCTTCACCAGTGTTGAGCCGCACAGCCTAAGCGAAGAGAAGCGCATGAAAGAATCACTCGCACTCCTCCTCCGTGAAGACCCCAGTCTCCACGTCAATATAGACGAAGAGTCAGGCCAGACGCTTCTGAGCGGGATGGGCGAGCTGCATCTCGAAATTGCGCGTGACCGACTAATCAACGATCTCAAAGCCAAGGCCACAATGGGCCGCATCGAGATCGGCTACCGAGAATCCGCACTTGGCGCCTCCATCCCAATAACCAAGATCTTCGACAAGGAGATCGCCGGGCGGAAGGGTAAAGCAGGCTGCACAGCAGTCGCAGAGCCACTGGACGAAGACCTCGAGTCCCAAGAGGTAGACGAAGCCACGCTCCTCGTCGAAATGTACGACGGCAATCAGATTGTCGTCCGCGCCCCCGGCCTACAAATTGACCGCCCCTCCCGTAGCGAAGACGAAACCAGTCCCTTCCTCCCACCAGGCATGGACCTCGTCGCGTTCCGCACAGCACTGCACAACGGAGCCGTGGCAGCGCTTGCCCGCGGCCCTCAATTCACCTTCCCAATGCGTAATACACGCGTCACACTAACTATCGACCCGGCCGCCGACCTCTTCGGCACCGAGACGACCACCTCAGCCCTCTCATCTGCCGCACGCCAAGCCACCGCCGCTGCGCTGCAGGACGTGCAGTTTGGCGCGGGGACAACAATGATGGAGCCAGTGATGAATGTGATTATCAGCATCGATGAGGCGAGCCTCGGCTCCGTCGTGCACGACATTTCTTCCTCCCGGGGTGGACATATCATCTCACTCGACGAAGAGGTACCGCTACCAGGTACGGACGCGTCGCCGACTTCTGCATCCGCACTTGAAGAGGAGGCGCCGCCCCCCATTGATCACAGTCGCGTTTATGCGCCACCGGACCCATTCGAGACGCCTTCTGTTGGAGCGGAGATCCCTGTTGCTGCAACTCGGCCGCGCACGATTACCGCAAAGGTGCCGCTTAAGGAGATGGTCGGGTATCTCAAGCATTTGCGGAGTTTGACAGCTGGTCGGGGAACTTTCGTCATGAGTGTTGACCGGTTTGAGAAGATGTCTGGCCAGAGGCAGAAGGCTGTGCTTGCGGAGTTGAGAGGCGGATTTTGATTGCTGACTCTTTGGCGTCAAAGCCAATAAACGTCGGATTCAGCTTGAGGATTTCTTGTATATCATCACATCTCATAGTATCTCATCATTGTATCAATACATATGTATTCTTCTACTTTGCGGCCACTTTCTATATCGCCGCGCCAATTGACACCAGGTCAAGCTAGTATAAGTATATGGACTATGCATCTGGCCTTCCCTTCACCAAAGAGGGAGATTCTAACAAGGTATATATGCGTAGTGCAGATAAAAGGCAGCTAGACACAAAAAAGCAATACGGGACATAAAGTCATGGGACCTGAGCAGCGGTCCACAAACAAACATAGAATATCGAGCAAAGTAAGTCGCTTATATGCTACCAGTTGTCATCCCATTCATCCTTGCCCTTACCCGTCGTCGAAGCCGTCGTATTCTTACTCTCTCCTGTCTCGGCACCAGACAAACCAGGTGTAGAGTTAGCCAGCGAGGAGGCAGTGGGGCCCTTGCGCATGGCAGCGGTTCCAACAACGTCAGACCGTTGAGACCGTTGTGATGCGCTGCGGCGGTGGTTGGATGTCTCTTGGTCGCCCAATGACGAGAAGTCGTCCCAGAAGTCACGGCGCTCAGGCTCCACACGGTTACGACGTCCGTCACCACGTCCATCTTCTCCTTCCACAAACTTATTGAACTGGTCGGCAGCGCCGCGGACCCCTGTCTGCAGGTTCTGGCCGAGTGCTGAGGCATGGACGCGGGCCTGAGCTGCGAATTCGGATTCGGCCAGCTGGATACTTATGTCAGTAAATGCACCGAGAGAAACCACACGCTATAAAACTCCTCAAGTGAGGTCGTACACATACCTGTTTAGCCGTTGGCTGTAGATAAGCATCATTAACCTGTTTTGCGCTCTTACCAACCGTTGATGCGAACCACCCAAATCCTTTGCTGAGAGTGCCCATTGGATCTTTCTGAAGATCTTCAAGCGGCTGACCACCACCGCCACCACCCCAGCCTCCGAATCCCCCAAAGGGCGAAGAGCGACGCTCACTCGCAGAGGGCGCAGGCATACCACCCCCAAAACCAGTAAACTTTCCACCCTGTGACGGTGGCAGGTTATCGGCACGACTGGCATTATCATTGCCCAGCTTCGCAAAGTAAGCCTCGTTCTGTTCCTTCTTGCTAGGCACACCACCCCGCTGGCTGTCACCGGAGCGAATGGATGACGCCGCAGGCGACCCAGCACGCCCCCCAGATGTAGCACTCGCGCCAGCGCCAGCAGCACCGCCCAAGCTCAAGGGAGTGCTCGAGCGCGAGGGATTATTCTTCTTCTCCTGACCCTGGACGTACTCGCGGCCGTCGACTTTGCACGATAACCGCTCCTTCCATTCCTCGCCCGACTCACTTTCGTATCGTTCTTTGATGGTCGAGTCTTCGAATGTGCGGCCTTCCGAGACAGCAACTGGGTGTTCGTCGTAGAAGGACTTCCAGGGATCGTTGCCTCCTAGCTCCATGCGCTGGATCTCGGCGTGTTTGAAGGCGTCCATGGTGATCGAACGAACGAAGGAAATGTGCACGCCGAGCCCGCGATGTGTGCCAGCGCAGTTGAGGCAAATGAATGTTCCGAACTTCGGAGAGGCCTAGTTAATGTGCCCATGGCAGGCAAAGAGTTAGCAGGGTGTGTGGCTTGCGGTGTGAGGTTGTGGGTTGTTCGGGGGTTATAATGCATCTTGAAGAAATCAGGGCGACGGGCGAGGGGAGATAGGTAACGCGTACCCATTGAGGCGAAGGGGCACCGCAATCGCAGCACTTGTCATTTCCATTCGTCTTGGAGATTTGGAGGAGCTGTGGCACATGCCTGTGTCAGTGACCATGTCGCGTTGCGGGAGTTGATCAGCCAGCACACCTTTGTCCTCGTTTCCGGGTCGACTTCCCACATGCGAGACATAGTGAGAGAATATACAAAGAAAAGGCGGCCAGATGAGACGTTAGGGAACGCAATCCAACGGAGTGCGCTAAGATGTTGTAGGGTTGAGGTGACCCGAAGTTGAGTAATTTACCCCTTTTCCCTCGCTTCAATGAGTTGCGCAGGGATTGAAAGGTATTGAAGACACAAAGTCGATGCAATTCGCTCGATGGTAGAATAAAAATCAATTAAAGAGAAGTGAAACAATATGGATTCTATGTTTTGCCTCTGATCGGCAAGGATCGGACTTCGCATCATCCCCAATCGAATCGGGTACAACCCACTTTGTATAGACATGTCTATTGTATAGGTGTGGACTACTCTTAAATCCAATATGCCGGGTGGCAGATCGTCATCATTTAGTAAATGTGTGCTAAGGTACAATACAGAAGGCGAAGTAAAAAAAAAAAGAAAGTCGTTAAGGACGGAGAGCGCATCAGCTAAGATGGCTCTCCTGCATGGTCAATTGATCCATGTTGTCCGATAAAAAGTCATGAATCCAACCCCTCCAGGGCTCTCCCCAATTTCCCCCGCAATCGTTGAGTAGCTAAGATATTCACGGTGATCTGTGGCTTACAGAGCACTATGATCATATCCATACGATCCTCCGTCGAGTCCTTCCCTTCTGTTTCTCAACTCCAAAGCCAATTAACAAGTACCTCATTCGGTCAAGTGGAAAGTGTTGGGCATTTAAGCCTGAGTAGTGACGGCAGGAGCAGCGTTCTCCTGAGCAGGAGCAGCAGGAGCAGGAGCAGAAGCAGGAGCAGTCTCCTCGGTCTCAGCCACAGCGTTGATATCTTCGTCTTCCTTACCGGGGCTGTCAATGGCGACCTTCACAGCGATGACGCGACCATCAATGTCCTTGCCGTTCATCTCGCTGACGGCCTTGGCCTGGAGCTCCTCCGAGGCAAGGTTGACGAAGCCAAAGCCACGGGTCTTGCGGCGCTCGTTGCGAGCTTGCAACTTCTTAATCATGAAGCGGGGGATCGGACGCAAGGCAACCTTGGCAGAGACAGGCTCGTAGGCAGCGAAGATCTCCTTGAGCTAAAGGGAGAAAAGGATGTCAGTCAATGTAACCTCAGGCGGAGAAAGGACGGAAGAAATAGATGTAACCCACCTTGTCCTCAGTCAAGTCGTACGGCAGGTTTGCGACCATGACCTTAGTCTTAGAGGGAATTCCATCCTCGGGAGGACCGCGCTGCTTCTGGGGGCGTGCGGCGCGGGCCTCACCGGCCTTGGAGGCAGTGTCCTTCTCGTTTGTGGTGTCAGCAAGGGGGGGTCTCGCTGACAGGGGCCTCGGTGGCTTCCTGGCCATCCTGGGCCTTTTGCAAGGTCAGCATCCATTTCAAAGTATCGATGTGGGTCGACTCGAGGAGGGAAAGAGTTCGGGCACATACAGCACGGCTACGACCGGTACGGCCACCACGACCGCGGGCACGGCCACGGCCACGGCCGCGACCACCAGCACGCTTGCGACCCTCGGCGCCACTGGCACCCTCACCGCCGCTGACAGCACCTTCCTTGGCCTCGGCGGGCTCGGGCTTGCGGGCAAGCTGCACGGACACCTTGCGCTGAAGGATCTCCTTGCCAGAGAGCGCCTCAATAGCGGCAGAAGCTTCAGCAGCAGTAGCAATATCCACAAATGCGTAGCCAACGGGACGGTTGGTGCGGGGGTTCACCGGGATCGAGGTGGTCTCGCTGAGAGATGAAATGAGTCAGAAATGGTCCAATAAATGATGGTTTCAAGCGCTTGGATGTTTGTTCAAGGTGGGGTAAACTGGGTGTGCTCCCACAGATCCCAGAGGTACTCACATGGTGTAGGCCTTGAAGAACTCCTTGAGCTCCTCCTCAGTGGTCGCGTATGCGAGGTTCCCGATGTAAAGACGACGACCCTCATCTGCACTGGCAGCCGCGGCATCGGCAGCCTGGGTAGAAGGGGTAGCACCGTTGGTGTCGGGCTTATCGGTCAGAGTGGTCGCAGCCACGGAGTCAGCAAGTGCGTCGACGGCAGACATCTTGAAGGTTGAGATGTTGATGGATGAAAAAGTGTCGGGTTGTTTATTTGCCTAAAGCTGAAAGAGACTTGACGGGAGGTGGAGCGAGGGAAGGAGCAGGGTAGCTTTGTGCCCTAGATACCAATTGAAAGAGAAGATGGGATTGAAGTTTTTGATGCACTGGATCTTGAAGAGAGGGAGGAGGAGGATGGGAGAAGGAGATGGAAAGGGAAAGGAGAGGCGGTGTGGCACTAGCCCAGTGAGAGCTCGAAGTGACGGGACAGGTGCGATCGAGGTACTTTCCTCGATACTCACCGCCTTGACCAGCCCCTAACCAGCCCTTAACCCGCCCATAACTAATCTAAAGCCCACCCCCTAAATGGCCCCTAATTTTAGGCTCTGGCCCCCCAAGATACTCCCCGAGCTCCTTCCTCAGACCCTCAGCACCTTTTCCCCCGCTTTAGAAGGAAAGTCTGACTCAGAACAGCTGGCCTGATGTCATTCTGGAGACCAGTTGAACCAATTGTGAGCTGTTCCCAGCTCCCATTTTCCATATTATTCCACTTATTCCACTCTAGTATTAGTAGTATTTTATTTCTATTCTTCTGCTCTGCACATCTGCATATCATCCAGATTCTGCATATATGCATATACCTGTATGACTTGTCTTATAAATAGTCAGAGGATCTTCCATTTCATCTATCTCTTCGTATTCTCTAAGTTGTACGCAGATGCATCTTACATTGTAGAAAATAGTAGACATGGATATACAATTGTCTACTCCGGACTCCATCCTAACTTTCATATTCAACTAAAATTATTCAGTCATAACAGAATATAAAATCTTGGACCAGGCTACACAAGGTGAGACACAGTGACAATATCCACACACAGTAGTTAATAGTTATCATAGTTGTCTAAGAAATCTCTGTTCAACGTGAGCTCGGATTTAGAGACAAATTCATTGCCTTTGGTTTATTTTCATCAGTTTATTCCCTCGTCTACCCGGTTTTTGACAAAAACATTCCCTAGTCCAAGGTTAAAATCCTTCACGGACAGCTTCGGTCTAGTTTAGTAGCACAAATATTCACTTTTCTGAATATTGCAGAGTCAACTAAAAGATCCTTGCCTCGGTAGATACCTAGGTACATATTGGATTCATTAAAATTATTTATTTGACAAGAAGCTTTCACAATGGGACTAACATGGGCCCGTCTCCTTGTCACCATGATATATTAAATAATTCAATAACCCCAGAATGACCATGGAATGAATTAATCTAATTTTATACGAACCAAACCCTGTTAACCACATACGAAATATCTAACGTACGATGTAGATCTACAACATTGTAAATGGGGTTCAATGACGTCCATCGCATAAGATCTCGACACCTTGATTATTAGGCGGACATAAAAGCTTGGCACAGTCGTAGTTTATTGTAGTAATTTATTGGCTATAAGTCCGGACTTTGCCACTGTGCGGAGTACCCGTGGACATCTACAATTGGACCTCAACCTTAGAAAAAGACTCCTTGACAAAAAAGGAGAGCAAAATAGAAACCTTGAAATGCAGAACAACTCATGGAGATCGACGGTTTAGCGTGATATTGACGGACTGCGAGCTCCACTGGCTCGTCACTGGCAAGAAAAACAAGATTCGGGAAGGGCTGAGTCAGCCTTGGATTTAAACAACCCCAGAGATCCAGAACATCCAGGCCTGTTTTCCATGTGGACCAAAACGGGGGAGTTTCAGGTCCTTGGTTAACTTATATTTTCGTTTTGGTCTTGGGGAGCTAATTGTATTGTGCGCAATCTTGTCCCCAACCTCCCGGACCTCGTCGCTCCAGCAATATGGATCGCATCGACCCGGTCGAGGACCCCAACGCCCCCAATGGGAGCCCTCAGGGAACCCAGCAATCCGCAAGGCAATCCCCAGAGTCCGGCCCCGTCAGGCCAACAGGTCCTACCCCGTTGCGCACTCGAGGCGACTCGCGCACGCGACGACCGAGTATTCGCCTGTCTCGCTTCCCATCTATCCCTTCACTAGATAACGTCAATCAACCGGCGTCTCAACCAGAGAGTCAACCACCGTCCTTCGAGCCGCGGCCTATACGATCCCCTCCCCCCTAATGAAGAGGACGAAGCATGGCTGGCAGGCCGGCGGCGCAGCAATTCGGAGCCGAATCGGGGACGATGGTCATCTCCCCCTCCTGATTCTCTCTCGCGAGTGGCGACTCCCATGCGAATGATGCCTGTGACCGAGGAATCCTCACACCGAAGTCCAGTACCACCCTCGCCAGTAGCAATATTGCCAGGTCAAGAGACTCACTCCGATGGTGAGCAACTTGATCCGGAGCTAGGCGAAATCCCTCCCGCAGCGCGACCGCCGGGCCGGCTTCGGCGAACTAGTCAAGCTGCGTTGAATCGCTTTTCTCGAAACCGTGCAAGTACAGTGACGGGAGCTGCACCAACTCTGGGCACACAGGAGGAGCAACGCCAGAATGAGTATGGATCTCACGTGGTCGACGTGCTGGACGTGATCGGTAAGCGCTGGTGTGCTGTGATACAGAAACCATAATCTTAACTTACCCGAATCTAGACCCCGAGGTATCTGCCCTTTCCACTCTCACCAATGTCCAAAACTCTCTCTTTGTGCCGAATTTGGGTGGGTTCATCAATCGCACGCCCACCTATACGATTACACGACCACAATATTCTTCAGATGAGGAACAGGGAATTACAACGGACGAGGGTGAACCGTCCGGTGGCGACAAGACTAAAGAGCGACCGACTTTAGAAGAACTCCGCACTTTCACGAGTATGTCCTCGGTGTTGCGTGGTCCCAAATATGCTGTTCTCCCAGAAGGACAGGGACTTGAAGGATGGACAAGAGAAGACTATGCCGAACTAAATGATCATGTTCGGCATATGCTTCACTCTCGGCGGTCCAAGTTCAAACGGTCCATGAAAGGATTTAGGCAATACGTACAGAAGCGTGAGTGATACTCCCCACCGCAACATTTTTGCTTAATACTGATCTCGCCTAGCCCTCGGCTTTCTTGTAACTCTATACGCGACTTTGATAACCCTGTTTGGTCTGGCCTGGGTTCTTTTCTTGATCGGTGAGATCCTTTGACCTAATTTTCTAGCCAGTATGCTAACAGTCACTTCAGGTTGGATCAATGTGGGTGGAAAGCAAACGTATGTTATTAATGTCATAGATAACGTTTTGGTTGCCCTGTTCGCCATCATGGGTGATGGACTGGCTCCTTTCCGCGCTGTCGATACATATCACATGAGTTTCATTGCCCACTATACATTCTTGTCGTGGAAGGTTCGTCGGAAGCGAGCACTACCAGGCCTGAAAGACAAGAATGACCTTCCGTCGAAGCCGGAGAAAGCCGTCGACATTGAATTTGGTGACACGGCCAAGGAAGGCGAACACGAATTCTCTGTTCTTGATGCTCGCCAACAGTTGCGATTGATGCATCACCAAAACAAGTTCGCAAAGTCGCATACTTTCTATAAGCCGCACGAAACCATGACCCACCACGCCTTCCCCCTGCGCTTGCTCATTGCTATTGTCGTTATCCTTGACTGTCATTCTTTGCTCCAAATGGCGCTTGGTGCCTGTACCTGGAGTATGGAGGACCCCCATAAGCGCCCATTCGCGCTGACGACGGTTATTCTTTGCTGCTCCATCACCTGTAACATCGCAGGTGGTGTGATGATCATGATTGGTGATCGGCGAACCCGAAAGAAGGATGTCGTCGAACGGCTCTTCCGCCAACAGCTGACCGAAGAAGCCATGAAGAAGATGGAAAAGAAGAAGATCAAGGAGGAGCGCCGCAGTGCTCAGATTGAGCGGTCCAGTGCCCAAATTGAGCGGTCTAGTGCACAGATTGACCGCTCTAGTTCTCAAATCGACCGCCCAGTGCCGTATGGCGGCACCTGATCACAGCAATTTCCATGTTCTCACTTACGAACGTCATGACATGGGCATTAGGGACGTTGGTGCAGCTGCATCATAGCCTTTCTTTAATTTTGCCCCACGTGTACAGATTACTGGATGTTAATAATTATGTTTTTTACATATTCTAGCGACGGAGTTTCGCTGGATGTCATATAGGGATGGCTTTCGCTTTTTGTGGTCTTGTTCTCTGGCCTACGGTGTTTTCCAAGGTTGCTTTTGGCTGATATAATGCAGTGGCTGTGCCCAGGTGATTTGGGTATATATGGTTGATCTTTGAATATACCAGATCATCTGATTACTTGGTGTAAAATAAGTGAAACTCTTCAGCCATGTGTTTCAATGTATATATGAATGATGTGAAACTCCCTCGCACGGAATATGTATGAATCTCATAAAATTAAGAGAAGGCCAGAACCTCAGGTAGTGATAGTAACTCTCCCCAACCCATTTCCCTCCACCACTCTTAACAATCTCCTCAAAAATCCATTCACCAACTAAAGCCCGTGAAATCGTATATCCAATAGCAGGATCCCTCTCCGTTCCAACCCTCACTTTCCCCAGTCCCACCTCTTGACCCCCTTCGTCCCCCTCACAAACAGGAACCCGATGATCCCCCGTCAAAAGGCTGGGTCTCACAACAACAACCCCGGCAGCAAGCACCCCAGCATATCCCAGCCTAACCTCCTTATCGAGCAATTTCTCCATCTGCAGCTTATCCGCATGCGGGATCGGCAAGAGTATAGAGTACATAGGCCTGAACAAGACCGGCACATCTTTATTACCAGGCAAATGCCCCGTCGTCGAGATCACAGTGACCCTTGGTGCAACATCGCGATACGCCTCGTATGAGGCAAACCGCTCCGAAGCAATCTTGGCCAGCGCCGCCAGCAGCGCGCGCGTCGTCTGTTCTGTGATATGCGGGTTCGAGAGCTCAATGTGCGGTAAAGCAGGCATGCGCATCTGAATTGTTGCGCATTTTGATTCCTTGGTAAAGGAGATTGTCGGTGCACCGCCTATGCCGGAAACTATACTTGTCACAAGAGTACAAGCCCCATTGGGTGTGCTGTTGGGATCGGAGTTGGTGATGAGGGTTTTCGTGATGCTTTCTACATCTGTTGCGTCGCCTTCAATTATCTCCAGCTGACGAGAGAGGATCTCTTGTGTTATGCCAGGCTGTGAAAGGAGCAGCGTAGTGAGTTTTGATGGGGTGCGGGCTAGGGCTCTCGCGTTGTAGCCGTTGAGAAGCGTGTAGGTCAAGCAGGCGTTGGCACAGCCGCCGGTTGCTCCGAAAAAGGCAATGGTTGCCATTTCAGGGATTGGCTGTGCAGATATCCGTGTTAGACTTGGAAATTGTAGATTTTATCTTGTAGAATTGAGCCCTGAAGTTCGATTGTATTGCCGCGAGATAGATAACCCTAGGGATTCAAGGATCCTTTATACTAGTGACCGGTATATACCAGATTTTAATTGGAATCATATTGACTGAATATCTGTCCGTCTCCGATTGGGCCTAAACAAAAGTGAGGTTATAGTACGGAGTACACCTACCTAGGTAGGAAGAGTGCGGCCGTGCAAGCTAAGCCCGGGACAACTGGCGTACGCTAGTCCGAAAGTGGCTTGGTGGCGGGGGAACAACTCCCCGATGCGGACGAACTCCTGCTCCATTGAACCTCAATTGTCAATGATCTGGATTGTTGGAAATATATGACAGCATGAAGCACTGCTTTTTAATTCTTGAAGTAGAGTACATGCTATCTAAAGTGTGGAGTGTGGGTGGAATAATAACCTTTTAACATCTTGTTCGAGATATATATCTACCTCAGACATTATAGCTCACCATAAATGCAGTAATCATTCCAACTATTCACTTATTGTTTTGATCATCACCAAGTGTCATCAAACTGTACTTTCCGAATTCATAACTACAAAGACCCTAGAAAACCAAGCGATATATGCTCCCGTGGATAAGATTCAGGTCAACTAACAACCAAGCTTTAGTTAGATCTAAACCCAAGTAGAAAAGAACCACAAAGTCTATTAACCTGGTCTGCTTTTCATGTAACTGTTGCATTCGACCCGGGCAGCAATTCTGAATTTTCACATAATATAGTACATGCATCGTATGCAGACACCAGACAAGACTTCTTGGACGGGGAATAGCCGTAGTTCAGCTATGATAAGGTACAATTTGAGCTACTCTACTAACAACCCTTTACGGCATATAGTTCGGATCCTTCCAGATTCCAGATGAGATTAACGAAGATACCAGATAAAATTTTATTAATCTCGTCTGGAATCTCATCGTCCTGGAATTATCGGATCTGAAAACGTTCGATCTAGATTTGCATCGAGAAAGGAGAGTGTAGATCACCGGTTGCCCATCGTAACATTACAGGGTGGAAAATCTGAACTCAGCAGGATCGACATGGGTCCGTTGATCTCGAATTCCCTGGGATTGAGACATAGGCGGACGGTGGATCCAAGTGTGGATAAGAGACTCTAATGTAACAGGGTCTCTAACTATAATGTGCGTACGAGTGCAAAGAGGCAATAATGTAGAGGGCGCCACAAAGACACGCTGCCCTAATCATGATTGTAATGAGAGATGGGCATCGGATAATTTTTGCCACCCGGACGCCCTAAACGCCTCAAAACGCCCTCAAGGTATGCTCTTTAGTGACACAGTTATCAAATGATCACATTTTTGCGCAGGGACAGTTTTGAAACTGCAGGGAATTCGTCGGGGATGACGGTAGGGGCTGTCCACGCCCTGCTCACTTCTAGAAGGACCCTGCATTCGGATATCTGGTTTACAAAGTATGTGTATGGTTGAGCCTGGTTTAATTGGGGAACCATGTGAGACTCGCACGGCTAGAAAGTATGTAAGTCCAAATTTGGATATCCTAGAACTAGATCAGGGAACAGGGTAGTCTTGACAGATACCGTTGCGTTGACAGGGCGGAATGCAGGGACCATGCATCACCAGGAAGGGGGAACATCTCATTGATTGCAAAAATTCCGGAATCAAGGGAGGGCCAATGATATTGCTAGGGAGGTAGAGATCATCGTGGCAAGTTCGGGACTAAACCCTTGCATAGTTACATTCCAGCAGCAAAAATGGGAGGGTTGTATTTGGCCTGTTTGGTGGATCACCTCGTGCCCGAACGCTGTGACTTGAAGATAAAAGGCTCGTCATCTCTATTCTCTTTTTATATATCATCTCTCTACTTCTCTGCCTCTCTCTCTGCCTTCTATCCTCCCAAACCTTCCAATCCCATTACACTTATACAAGATTTTAATCTTTCAATACCCTATCTTCAAGATGCAGTTCACTCTCTCCGCCGCTGTCCTCGCCTTTGCTGGCCTTGCCGCTGCCATCCCTGCTCAGCAGGATGCTCCTCGCTTCTCCGTCCCCGACAGCCTGACCGTCGAGCAGGCCCAGTCCAAGTGTGGTAACCAGGCTCAGCTCTCTTGCTGCAACACTGCCACCTACGCTGGTGACACCACCGATATCAACTCCGGCATTCTTTCTGGCGCTCTCTCAAACCTCATCGGTGCCGGCTCTGGTGCCAAGGGCCTTGGTATCTTCGACCAGTGCTCCAAGCTCGACGCCCAGAGTAAGTTTTCCCGATCAAATTTTTGGCCGTGTTCCTCACTAACTTTTCTCCAGTCCCTATCATTGGTATCGCTGCTCAGGACATCCTCAACCAGAAGTGCAAGCAGAACATCGCCTGCTGCGCCAACTCACCCTCCGAGGCCAGCAACGACCTCGTCGGTGCCGGTCTTCCTTGCATTGCCCTTGGCTCTATTCTCTAAGCGCATCGTCCCGGAGTCAGTCAGCTTTGCACGATGGAAAAATTACAGGAGCTCTGTGGTGTACTTTGTTCCTGCACTTGTTATTTCGTTCGCAGTGTGATCCTTTTCAGAGAGTTATAATATCTCGCCTAATACATAAACTTTGGAATTCTTATTTCTCATTAAGCTTCTAGCGTGACATGTTATTGTAGATACCAGGGTATATCAATCCTACGGATCTCTCGGCCATAAAGGTCATTAAACGAAAAAGGAGTGTTTTCCAAGGTTGCCCAAGGGAAAACTTAAAGGAGCCACTACACCCTGTGTACGAAGAAAGCCGCTAGTTCTCTACTGTAATATAAGACTTTCTAGGGTGTGCCTTGGTATTATAGAGGACTTTAACAGAGAGAATATCTGGTATTACATTATAAGGTAGTTCTTCAATACAGGAAGAGTGCTATACGGAAGGATAAGAATGGCAAAATCTACCACATGAACATCCTATTGGGCCAAGAGAGAAACGTCTGCATGATATATGACATATGCAAAGCATGTGCTAATGAAGATTATGACAATGGTACGTCGGGAGCGGGAACAGCAGGGAGAGGGAATGGTGGCAAAGATACGTGTAAGGAGAGTGTTGGGGAGAGGTGATGTTGCTGGACGATAAAATGCGGCGATTATTTGGGAGTAGGCCGAAAGCGAATGTGCATTTTCAATGATGCTTTCCTTGATATCAGTAGAACAAACAACAATAGACAAATGGGAATACGCTTGAGGAGTGCCCTCAGACCACTCGTATCCATTTCGAACGGTGTTCTCTTGTCATAAAGCACTGCCGTTTCGCGACGCAAAGCGCGGGCGTTGTGAAGACATGTGCCTATTCAACCCCTATGACCATAATTCTAGGCGCAGTGACTGAAGCAATGCAGCCCCGGAGACAAATGGCGATAGGATACTGTCAATACAAAGGGGCCAGTCGTCATCCCATCGCAAAGCACAAACAGCCAAGCAATATTCCCAATATCCTGGATACCATCCGGATTACCCCAAATCAGTTATCACGAGGCGTAGCCCTTCTTGGTCTTGTCGAAATTCCTCGCAGAGAATAATGTTCTTTCTTTGTAAATCACCATGGGTGAATGTCGGGTTATGGCCCTTTAAGACAAAAGGAAAGCATTTTCGAAGATATTCCACTCTATAGAGTGGGCCTCCGTTGTAGGTGTACTTCCGCAACATTGCTTCGTTGAGACCTTCTTCGGAGTCAAAAGGGCCATCTACCAATGGATCTAGCTCGTGTGCCCAGAATATCTCGTCTAGGAGCCGTCTTTTGTCGAAACTGCCATAGTACTTTGGAGATGGAAGCTGGCGCAGGTCGTCAAAGTATCTCCGTAGATCCTTCAGTATTTCTTGCTTCTCGGATGTTGTAAGTTGCGGCCATGCTGAAAGAAGAGTTTGACCGAGTATACGCTCCATGACAATGAAACTTTTGCCTGTCTCTGGGTCCGAATAGAGGGCGAAGACTAGCGGGACAGCGACATTGGTATTCTCCTGAACAAACAACATGTCTTGTCCTTCAATAAGATCGACACCCAGCCCAAATTTCCCAACCAAAAAATGTTGACCTACTCCGACTATTCTTCGCCCTCCATATTCCATGGATATGAGTTTTACTACGATGAGTTGGGACATCGATTATGAGACGATTCAACGCGAGCCGGGCATTGAATGCGATTCATTCGAACATTTCGTTGTTCCCTCTAGGTATTGGAAGGAGGGTAGGATTCGGCCCGGAAAAGAAGCCAAAGATGGCGAGTATCAGTACTGGCATTGGGCATCTTGGTCAGAGAGTGGAATCCGTCACTGGGATTCGGTGTGGGACTTTGTTTGTAGCTGGGTGGAGGAGGTAGAGGAGATGATTGAGAAAGGCGAAGAAGAGGACTGAGAACCAAGCCCGTATATGGATTATCCGGGGGAAGTTGACAAAGCCTGAGGCGTGGCAGCCAGATTCACCGTTTCGGGGATGGGGGTGTTTGCAGAATATCTGGAGTTTGTGGTCGATGAGCTGATTCAGAAGGTGAGGTTTCATAGTTCAGGCAGCAACACCGAACATCAGGCCTTTCTACGTTTCACAGAATTCGTAGAGATTTATGAATCTGTCCGACCTGGCCTTTGAAAGGTTGCATTCAAGTTGCTGATCGGATATTTTAAACCAACTACTGTACTATTTCTATTCGTCTTAGAGACACGGCCATTCACTGCATTTGCTTCAACATTTGAGATTGATAAATATAGGCATCCACTATTCGTCAAATCCATATGCTATCCAGCAACATCATCCACGCATCTAAATCAGTCAGAGATCAGCAGCGGTCCGAGGATCTCCCTTACAACATCTACAGCGTATCCCTCAACGAGAACCTTTACCGAATTGTGGCTAATGCAGACTAAATCTTGGACTGGATACAGAAAAAGAAAACATTAAGCAGAACCAGCCCATCCAACTCGAACGATCCAACTACTATCTTCACACCGTCAAATATATCCCTACAGTGGTTGAATCGGCATACTGACCATGACTTGGTCGAAGCCATTCTTGAAGCTTCGCGACCAGCGACCATGGCTGTTGCCGCTGAGGTCTTCACAATCCTTTATAGTGACGGCGATCTCTCTGTCAATGTTCACGGTATTTTCCCCGGCCTCCTGAGGTCGAGAAAAAGTAAACACCAGCTAATAAAATCCCATATAGGATCTCTTTCTCTATGCTATGGTACACATGTTCTGTCTAAGACTTTTGATCCTTTCAAGGCTACCTGACTGCTGCAGATTGTCCCCGTCATGCCTCAGGCATTAGTCTCACGAGCTGGAGTAGCATTCGAAGATAGTACGAAAGATTTACGAAGATAGATACTCATTTACTAAAAACAATCTCTTTCGATAGGAGAGTATTGGAACATCGTCCTCCTCATCTCCGAAGCCGTCTCGGCACTTATATGCTGTCCGATATTCGGATACATGCTAGACGTCTCTGGAACACGCCAGGGTCCCTATCTGTCCGGACTCGTGCTGTTATTTGCATCTATGCTCGTCTTGGCAACATCACACTCAGTGACATGGTACATCATTGCCAGAGTCTTCCAGGGCGCAGCAACGGCCATGGTTTCGGTAGCTGGTCTTTCCATTGTGACTGACGCAGTAGATAGAGCGAGTCTTGGACAAATGATTGGATATCTGGGCACCGCCATGACACTGGGATTTATGTCTGGTCCATTATTGGGCGGACTGCTATACCAGATTGGAGGATTTTATGCCATTTTTGGTATGGCTTTCGGCGTTGTTGGTCTTGACTTCTTTCTTAGACTCGCTGTTGTCGAGAAGAGGATTGCTGAACGTTGGCTGTGTCTCGATGATGGCGAGCGCCCCAGTCAGGAGAATGGCTATATCCCTGAGCAGCCGCCATACGGAACTCTGGGGACTATACCCACTAGCGGTCATACTGCCACAGAAATTTCCAAGACTACTTTTGCGCTGGGCAAGCTTTTAAAGCAGTCGCGGATTCTTATTAGTCTCTCGGCAGTTACTGTTGGGGCTCTTGTGGTCTCGGCATTCGATGCGGTATGGAATTCAGTCTTTTATATTGGAGTTGCATTGACACTCCTACACAGACCCTCCCAGTCTTTGTGGAAAACACATTCCACTGGAATGTTCTAGGCGCAGGTTTGATATTCTTGCCAGGTGCTGCAGCAGCCATTTTTCAACCGTTTTTTGGTATGCCATAATAGTACCAAATTCTACTGCATGATCCTGACCTGCGTTTCTAGGCTTTTTATCTGACCGTCTTGGATCGAGAGTTATTACATTCGCAAGCTTTGTCATTCTAGCCCCGAGTCTGATTTGTCTTCGTTTTGTCGGGGACAACTCACCATCCCACATAGGTCTTCTTTGTGTGATGCTGGTTCTTGTTGGAATGTGCATCGACTTAAGCCAGCCAGCCTTGATAGTGGAGATGCAACGTGTGCTGGATGACATGGAAGCTGAAGACCCCGGGGTCTTTGGAGGTAGAGGTGCTGTAGCTCAAGCTTTCAGTTTAGAGAACATGGCACATTTTGGCGGGTTGGCATTAGGACCTATGCTAGGTGGATTTGTGGAGGTTCGATACGGTTGGAAAAGTATGACTCTTGCTCTGGGAGTTCTTTCTGCGGTAACTGCTATGCCTATGTTATGGCTGAGTGGTCCTATCGAAGAAGTCTCTTGGACTGAGTCTGCCGATGAAGAGATGGAACGTCAACCCCTGCTGACAGAGTAGTATGCGTTAGGCTGTATATAGTAGCACAAATGTGGCTTTTATTGCATTTGTTTTGAGATCATGGATATATTTACTCTTCTTTCGCATCACTAAATGTACTAAGTGTAAAATTATTTGTCAGATATACATGAAGCCGAATCCATGTCCCTCGGTGATTTAATGGGGAAATACCACTCCGTACCAAGAACGCAAGTTGACAATTGTGAGTAACGTTGAAGTAGTCATAGTTACACCAGACGATGTACGAGAATGATGAGGACTGAGCAATTGAATTGCATCTTTAAGAAGGAGAGAAACTCCTCGACATGAGAAGGGTGAAAATACACGGACTATCAACATGAAGCTTTTTGAGCGATTCAGCAAGTTGCTAGCGAACCTCTATACTACCACACATACCTGGCTCCAACCCTCTCATATCAGTGATGGAATCAAAGTACAAGGCAGCTACATCTTCCCAGCAGAGTCAGAACCTCATGAAGCGACAATCATGGGATTACCATCTCGGTGTTCTCTACCCCCCGATCAATATGATGCCATGTGCAATGAATTAGCGCAACTAGCCGCAGCGATCACTGAGTTCGAACCAGTTCGGCTGTACGTGAGGCCCGAAGAGATCCAATTGGCCGAGTCTTTAGTCAAGACATTTGTGAAAGATGCATCAAAGATATCTATCATCCCATGTCCAATCAACCACTGCTGGGTACGGGACACAGGCCCCGTCTACGTGCGCGACATGACAGGCGCATTTCCGAATCGACGCTTCGCAATCAACTTCCGGTTCAATGAATGGGGTGGGAAGAGACCCGAAGACGACGGAATCTGCTGGGGTCAGCAATGGCCCTTGATGAACGAGAAAGCACTACAGGAAAACGCGAATTTTGCCCAGTGGGTAATCGAGCACGACCGCGAGCCCAGCCCTGTTGCGCAGGTCGAAACTCCGATTCGCGCCGAGGGCGGTGGTCTAGTTACCGACGGCGAAGGAACCCTGCTTATCACAGAGAGTAGCATTGTATGTGATGTGCGCAACCCGGGAATGTCCAAGGGCGAGATCGAGATTGAACTGAAGCGGTTGCTCGGGATTGAAAAAGTGATCTGGTTCCCTGGACGGCACAATGTCGACATTACCGACGTGCATATGGACGCTGAGGCGAGATTCGTACGCCCTGGTGTCATCGCTTACTCGAAACCCCATGCCATTGCGATTGACCTGTGGCAGGAACTGTCTACAGAGATCCGGGAGATTCTGGATCGTGAGACAGACGCTAAGGGTCGGCGCTTGCAGATCCACACCATCGAAGAACCCGATCCACGCGGCTTGGTGAAATCCGATCACGATGAACTATCGGCGAGTTATGTGAATTTCTATTTTGTCAATGGAGGACTGATTATCCCCAAATTCGGTGATCGGGAAAGGGATCAAAAGGCTCTGGAAATGTTTCAGGCGTTGCTCCCTGAGCGGGTGATTCGGCAGGTGTATGCCAACGCCATTCCCCTTACTGGTGGGGTGCTTCACTGCGTCACTCAGCAGGTTCCTGCAATCAAGTAAGAACCAATGAGTCAAGGACGTGGCATTGTGGAGGAGCACATTGGGGTTTCCAGTCCATTTCGAAATAAGATCCATTTTCAAAGCTGTGTCAACCTGCATACATCCATGGATACGTTTAGGTCTGGGAACCAATTCTTACTCAGACATCGCACAGCATATAAGCTATGGGACATGTATTTGAACCGGATATTCCATCTCCCGGTCATTCTGACTCTAACTAGTCCGTGAAACCAAAGACTTCGGGGGTCTGAGGAAGCTCCCAGCGGGGATTCCAATGTTATGTACACCCTACGCCGGATAGAGAGCTGACTCCCCTAGACGTCAGAGGCCACAACTAAGTGGGTCTTAATCTGCATAAAAGGAGCAAATACATGAGTACATCCTAGAGAGCTTAGGGCCTCCGAAGTTCGACATGTCTTGGTCCGAAGTGTAACAGTATAATTGCCCGACAAAGCCGATAAATACAGTTAAAGATCGAGGTCCTAGCGGAATGATCTGGGACATTGAAAACAACTCATCTCCGAGATAGTACGCTTCAGGTGGACATTAGTTCAGCTGCGCCCCATTAGATGCATCACATCTGGAAGTGAAGTGGTTCCTGCATGTCGAAACCGGAATTGGGTCAATTGGGATTCTCTGACAAAAGTATTGATCTGTACATCAGCCCATTATTATCTGATTGTTGTTCCAATACTGGGAATATCAGTAGAAATTGTATTCTAAGCTATTACCATATCTTGTCGCACTGTAGATATGACCTTGTACTCTGATGTTACTCTACTCCGTGTATTGTACTTGCATTCAGCTCCAAGGTAGCTATGTGCTCTTGAGCTGATCATATTCGATATATCGAGTACATCATATCCAACAATGATGCAGGATTGCCTCGATATAGTGATCTTCCTCCTGCATATAAAATGTAGAGCTGGAAAACACATGTCAACTTGTTCCAATTGGCTCTCTCACAGGTTAACCTGGGGAAGTGAGGCCTTTATCCCGTGCGACTTATTGCTTATTCCTTTCCGTGAGATCCAACGTAATGCAGACTTTCAATTGCGTGCAACTTGTCTTTTAACGGTGTTTCTTCACCTGTTAGTCCATCCGAGCCTCTTCAATCCATCTGGTGTTCACGGAAGAACACTGTACATCACTCTAAGCCATTTATATACTCCAGGGCTTTGTATTATAGTCCTATGTTCTGTAATGCTGTTTCAGTTACAGAACTCTCCATTTTCCCCAGCTCTCCTCGACCGACTACTCTCCACAATCATGGCTCTCCTCCCTGCTCCAAGTGAAGCTGTGACCGGCAAGGTCATACATGCCGGATATCGAAACCTCCCACCAGATGAGCTAGTTGATCTCGCAATTGAGAGTCACATTGCCCGTATAGTCAAACGCTCTCTGGTTGGTGGCGATGAATCCTTCTTCATCGCCGATTTGGGCCAGATAATTCGACTGCATCGTTGCTGGACCCAGAGTATGCCCGGAATACGACCGTATTATGGTATAACGCTTCTCTTCTACCACGTTTCCTGTTTTCGGAATAGAAAAAGTAACCCTTTTTATTTTGCAGCCGTCAAATGCAATCGTGACCCAACCTTCCTCAAAGTTCTTGCAGAGCTAGGGACGGGGTTCGATTGCGCCTCCATTGAAGAGATGCGCGCAGTCCTCAGCCTCGGCGTTGACCCAGCCCGGATTCTGTTCGCCAATCCATGCAAAGCACCCGCCGCCGTAGCCTTTGCACGCGAGGTAGGTGTCCTGCGAACGACATTTGACAATATCGACGAATTGGATACCATCAAGACACACATGCCAGAAGCTCAGTTGTTACTTCGGATCTATGCCAATGACGAGGGTGCGTTCATTTGTCTGGGCGGAAAGTTTGGTGCGCAGTTGGACACGACCGAGGAGCTACTTTCAAGAGCTTGGGAGCTTGGACTGAATGTGATTGGTGTCAGCTTTCATGTCGGTAAGCATTCCAGTACTTCGATGTTATACCTGGTCAGATTTATTGACCATTCGGAACTATAGGGACGGGTGCTACCAACCCAGCATCATTTTGCAAGGGCATCAAAGATGCACGTCTGGCATTTTCACAAGCTGAACGTCTAGGTTTCCATCCCAAGATTCTCGATATCGGCGGCGGCTTTCAAGACGATTGCTTTGAGTCCATGGCCGCCATTATTCGAGACGCGATTCGATCGGAGTTTCCAGCTGGTATCACAACGATCGCAGAACCAGGTCGGTTTTTTGCTCGTAACGTGTATACTCTTGTATGTCGAGTGATTTCGCGTCGCCGTCAGCTTGGAAGTGCTGCTCTATCTGGTGTTCCAGACATGCTTTATCAAAACGATGGCATATACGGGAATTTCATGAATGTGATTATGGAGAAAGAGATCATGGTTCCTTATTTGGTCAAGAGTAAGAAGGCCAGGGTTTTATTGCACAAACCAAAATCAGAGGATGCTTTGCAAGTAACAGACCATCGTTACTCGATCTGGGGACCTACATGTGACAGTACCGATTGTGTTGTGCGCGAGGTGATATTTGATTCCGAAGTCAAGGTTGGAGACTGGCTCAAATATAAAAACATGGGAGGTGAGTATTGTCCTCTTATACTTGGAGTTTTGATAGAACTGATCGAGTTCCAGCATATACAAGTACCACTGCTACTCAGTTCAATGGCTTCAGCAGCACCTATGACACATTTTATGTCAACAGTGAAACATTGCCTGACTATTAGCCGTCCTGGTGTTTTCTTCAAAGGGTATTTGTGGTCTTGAACCCATTAGTGTTGGGGTAGCTTAGTCTCTCACTCGAAGAGCCTATTGTGGATAAGCTGAAATGGTATCCATGGATGATATATGATGGCATATCAGCAGGCTTTTAGAACGAAAAGGCAAACATAGCCTTGGCTCATGTGAATGACGGCCTTTTTGAGCATGTTGACAGCCGGTACAATCGGAAAACATGTTAGCAGGATTTAGATCGCTTACACGATCTTCTGAAAATTCCAATTGTAAATCGATGAATAGCCTGCATTCATTCAGCTTGAGCGCGCAGCCTCTCGCATATATCTATACCGAAAACCATAACATCCATGACTATAATAGTAGGATGACCGAGCCCATCCCGAATGAAACAATAATCGCACGCTTAAAGAAACACCATAATTTCCGGGGGTTTTCCTATCACTCCAGATGGAATGAAGATAGCAGAAAGGATATCAATCATGAGAGAAAAAGAAAAGAGGACCTCAGAGGAGACATAAGAGAATTGCCGAGGTAAGAGGCAAGAAGTGACAGAAAAATTGAAAATATGTAAAGAAAGACGAGAGAAAGCCCTTGGACGATGTCATACCTTCTCCATCCCGGACATCGGGACGTCGTCCTGAATCGCATTCTCTGGGAGGGATTTCTTGATATCCATGCCATACGGTTGGGCATCCGAAGCAGACTCGCCTTGCTTCTCTGGCATGTCGGAGGAAGCTCCGTTCTCGGGTCGTTTCCGGCCAAGCCGCTCGCACCAGTGCTCAGCACTGACCAATGTGTCATTGACGACGCCGCTGACCTGCGCCATCATATCTAGACCCTCTTGGGCTAGCACCAAGATGCGATGGGCACTGATTGTGGCATCGGAGGAGGCAGCTGGGGAGTCTGGTGGCGGCTGCGAGGTGGATGCGACCTGGAAGCGGTGCGGCAGCGACGTCAGGTGTCGACGCACTAGATGGCGGGCATTCTCTGGCAGGGCGCCTCCTGCATATTTGGAAACCACATCAACTACTTGTTTCAAGGTCGATAGCACATCAGCCTTGACGGCTTGGATGCGCTGGATAAGCAACGAGGCATTTTCTCCACTGCCTCCTGCCTCGACATCCGACTGTGATCGTGATTTGTGGTTTTCCCATTCGTTGACAGCACCATGTAGTGCTACAATGGACTTGCCTAATCGACCGTTTGCCCATCGAAGCCAAGTCAGACAATATTGCAGACTACGCAGCGATTCCTCGCTCATGGCAACTCCAAGCCCAGAAGTCGAAATAACTAGTCGACTTTGCCATGTCGCCGAAGTACGTCTTTCTGGTTTCTCTTCATAGTGAGGAGACCTCATTTCATCGTACGGGGGCAGCGGCTCGGCCATGGAGAGGTCGGACGAGCTCCGTGTGCGCGGTGGCTCAGCCGAACCGTCCGGTCCCTTCTCGGCATTCATGGTTCTCGGCGACACATCTCCATCCATTTTTCGTCGCTTGCTGGAGTGCTTTGAGTCTTCGCTTGTAGAATCTCGTCGCTGCAGCGCCCAACGGAGACCGCTCTCGACACCAGTCTTGCGGCCTACCGTGCCGACGGTGTTCGCGACAGGTGATCCAATATTCCGCTCGATGAACTCAGCACCAGATTTGAACCGCGGCGAGTATGATTTCGACGTGGTGTAGGCAGAAACTGAGCCGTTGATGGCAGAGGAGATAAGTGGATGGGAAGAAGTTAACAGAGACAATAATGGCTCTGGCGGCGGTGGGTCCGGTGAAGTGATGGGAAGGGATTGTCTCGCGGTTCGAGGCGATTGTCCAAAATCTGTTGTCGAGATTAGTTGAATGTCCGTCGCACAGTCATCCGAATCCAGCGAAAAACCGCAGTCGCGACATTTTTAGTGGGCTGGTTCGGGATATCAGAGCCACGTACCGGAGCGAAGCCCCTCCAGGGCTTGTGCGGCTTCAAGATCATCCATGGATAATACACTGGCAGCTCGACGAGATCGATCTTCTGCTTTATCGACATCCATCACGGATGGGGCATTATGATAAGGCGGAGCGGTAAGTGATGGGGCGAGGCTACTTGTAAGCGTGGGAAGCGAATTGGTCGTCAGACCTGTGGCGTCAATCTTTCCAGGTAGTTTTGGCCTAGCAGTTTTTGGGGGTTCCATGGCGGGTCACTGATCGTCCATAGAGAGAGAGAGCAATGAACCCAAAGACGTCGGAGTTTCGCATCGAATCGTCTTTCACGTGAAAAAGTGTCACTTAGCCACTAGTCCCAATCAGGAAGGAAGAAGGGAAGTGAGGTAATCACATTCCAACGGTACCTGCTCGTCCATACATTGCACTATGGTTGCCCATGTACCTTTTCTCATCACATGTCAAACATCCAGTTGTCCCTCGCCCCAACAAACTCCTCTTGGAACTTCAATCTTACCCGAAAATGATTATTTGTCTTTGATTTGATATGAGTCTGAAATAACCGGCAATTGTGCCCTAGAATGTAGCGAACGTGACTGTGTATAGGGCATTTCAACAGACAATTCCTACTTATTCCGTCCAAGTATGATGTACACCCATTACAACGCATAGGTATTATACGGAATAGTATGCATTACAATCCTACGGAGAAGCCTCCATGCTCGGAAGGAGACATTATAACATTTGAACCCCTCCCTAGGTCCATCGTTTCCCTATGTTTCCATTTTTACTTCAATATGCATGTACCCCAACATGCGCTAAGATGTGCTCGATCGAATACGAGAACGATTGTGATGCTCTTGATCCCTGACATATTTTCTCCACGAACCGGACGTTGCAATTCTGATTATTCTGATTATGCATTGGTTTGGTTCGCTGCGTCGGTTGCACTTGTCTCTTTCTCTATTCCGTACGTTGTACGCCTACAATGTGCCAATGTGCTCCGGAAGACCTTGCTCCGTACTATCACATGTCTACCTGAAAGTCGACGTATCGTATTGATCTTTGGCCTTTTACCAGTACGAGATGTACTTAAGAGCCTGCTTTCTCTTAAGGGAATTAATGTATTTTAATATGGACGCAGCCCAAATATAATCCTTACAATTTATAGGCCGAAATTTTATATTTGTTGGGCCATATACCACCTATTTCGGCTCTTGAGCTCGGCATGTGATGTGGGGGGGCATCTTAGCAGTTGACATTTGGGGACTAGGATGAACTCTCTCTGCAGTATTTAAGCGTATTTAGGCAAAAGTCTGACGGTACTGTTGTATGATTTGTTAAAAGTACTCTATCTTTAGTGACATGTGATTGGAGCGATCTACAACATATCAACTCTAACATATGCATGCAACATGACAAGGTATCTACAGAGTATCTCATGCTATGTTCAACATTCACAGGCAAATAATGTATCGCTCAGAATCATAATGGGCAAATCAAATGCAGGGTCGTTGTTGGCGTCATTCGTACCTCATTCAATGGACAATCTGTCCAATCCATCATCCCTTCTAAAAGGATAGCATGGCTTCAATGGCTTCTCCGTCTTCATACTCATCTGCAGCGTCGCTCTCATCCCCGGGCAATTCATTGGCTGTGAGATGTGACACCATTTTCTGATTCACTCGGTAGCAGGCAACCACCTCATTAGTGATAAGGCGGGATGGCGAGACGGACGCCTTGATTTCGCACAATGTCTCGCCAAAGGCGTGAAGGATAAACCGGGAGTTTGGACATCGATGGTAGGCGTACGAAGCTACTAACCGTCGCCACTCATTGCGGCTGTTTTGCCAGGTCTGGATGAGCGGATGTCTGCCGGCGTGGGGAGGAGCGAGTGCACCCGCGCTCTCGGCAGCTTGGCGTGATATGGCAGAGAACTCGCCACCGGTAGAAGCAGAGTGTCCTTGGTTCCACTGCTTGTATAGTTCGTCTATCGACCTTCGAACTTCACCGAGGGCATCTTTTAATTCTTGACTATGCGCAGACTTGCTCTTCGAAGCTTCATCGGCTTCGTTCCAGGGACGAAGGAGGTCATCATCGAGCCGATTTTGGATATCGTTCTCGGGGAAGGCCTCGTTGAGACCCGAGAGAATTCTGCAAAGCTCCGATTGTGCGACGTTAAACTTAAGGAAATCGACAATGTTCGACGATTTCGACTTGCGCTCTGGATTTCGATACGCGGGAAGCACACGTTGCTTAGGGCTAATGGTTTTGCGGTATTCTTTCCAAGCTTGCTCTGAAAGATGCACTCCACCTTTCCGGCCATCCACAAGATGACCCAAGAGACAGGCCAACTCTTTCGCTTTCGGGGAGTCGACTGACTCATCGTACGCCAATTTCTCGTGCTCGACGGTACAACGACCGAGGTTTGAGACGTTGAGGTTAAAATCGAACACGCTTTCCAAAAAGTCTTCCGTGGACTCCAGAGAGGCCATTGGAACGGAGTGTTTCGTCAGCCCGTAATGCTCCGCAGGATATTCATGTGGGGGCATTGGGGAATTATGGAATCTCTCGACAATCATTGGATCCCAGCAGATCCATGGCGTGTCACCGTCGTAATCTCCCCCGGATAGCATACCAGCTAGAGGAAAGTTCCCTGTGGTGGGAAAGACAATCACATCTTTGAAATGGCGTAGTTCACTCTTCCATACGGCTCTACGCCGTTGAATATCAGACGGTAGATGGGCCGGGAGTCGGCCGACGAGAACATCTACTCCATCCAGGAGGTTGTCTTCGAACTGGCCCTGTGGATCCCGCCAGTTATTCGAGAAGCCGAAGTGAACTTCGTCCGGTCCGAGAACTCCATATGGGTCGGCAATGCAGTACGCATAGGTTGACAGAGGGACCTGGATTTTGAGTTCTTCGACATGCCGCTCAAGAAGCCAGGTCAAATATTGTCTGATCTTCATTCGGAGGGGAAAGAAATCGCGCGGGGCAAAGCCAGCCTCTGAGAAACGAATGATGGATTCAGCATCATTAGTCACCCACTGCTCTAATCGTCGGGCTTTGCCAGTTCCGTCCTCACCGGAGGGTCTGAGCTTCTGAAGGAGGGCTCGACAAACCACGGGGCTATTTGATCGAAGAACCTCAAGGAAGTCGTCATAAAGACTCTGCACACCATCACGCGTGAGCTTGGCAATGTACTCCTTCACGTTCCCTCCATATTCCAGAATTGCAAGAAGCTGGATATTAAGGTCAACAGGATGCAATTGCTTAGCCCAATTGACTACTTCGAATGTCAACTTCTCGTCATCAACTGGGTCAACCCATTCCTGTGGATGAGGGTGTATCTTCAACTGCGAGTCCGAGATCTGAATCCAGACGTCATCGTCATTCATGGTAGTGATACTAGATTGGTGGCAATCAACCATCCAAAGACCCTTAGCACCTGCTATTCTGCCCTGGAAGCAACTAGGCGTGGCAGTTGTTATGCCCAGTTGATCACAAATTTGGTTCGCAAGAGTCCTCGACATCAAAGCACATCCGTCATTCATGACAGGCCGGGTTGGATCGTCCCTCAAGCGAAGTACTTGCGTTGGCTTCAATTTAACCGTTGCAAACGTCTTCGACAAGCCCAGAGAAATACGCTGGAAGAGCTTGCAATTGCTTTGATTCGCGTTCGCAGTCTTTGGCATATGCCATTCCAGCAAAGCATCTACACTCATCGGAGTATAGCTGTCACTCTGCTGTCGGGGAGGGGCCACCACTGGTGGTAACTGGTGCCCATGATCAAAGTCGTCGCCATCAATGGCGAAGAGTTCGACCCGAAACCGAGGCTCACCCTTGGCTTTTCGCTTGGTCTTCACTTCTTCGACATAGAAAGCCCGCCACGTCCGCCCGAGGCAATGATGATCATTCCGTGTGAGCCAGGAAGCAATACTCTCGCGAAAGACAGATGGGTAGGAAGGTTGTTTCTGGTGGCTGGGAGGCCGATCCGGGGCTGGGATAGTAAGAGTCAGGAATCTATCCGATCCAAATCTTCGGTGAAATCGACAGGTTCGCTCTGGCTTGAGCGGGTTGAGACTCAATTTGAAAATACCCAGCTCGGACTCGCCACACCAGTCCAAGTCTCCTGACAGTACTACCACCTCTGAGTGCTTATCTGATTTGAAATCACCAACAGCAGCATCCCAGGCCCGGCGCGGCGATCTCTCTGGCAACGGACAACCATAACGTTGACTAAGCCTGCTGACCCATGACCAGAAATCATCTTGAGTGCTGAAGTTAACACTGTCACCAACAAGTATTTGTTTGAAAGGGATCCCCCATGCACGTCCAATACGTTCCAGCTCATATCGAAACCGCAATGGAATTTTCGCCGGGAAGGATTCTTCCACCGAAAACGGGCCGTGGGACAGGAGCTCATCAACAAACTCATGTTTGAGGGAATACTCCGTCTCAACCGGGTCCGCATTTACCATCATAGAGATGGCAGCTGCGTCCACGCTCCGTTGCATCTCGTCGCTAGCCATGTACCCGACGACCGAGTCTGCATAGGTTGACTGGGTATCCATTTGGCTCGGTCATGTCTGTCATGACCGAATCAAATGATTGCTCCATGCTAGAATCCCGAGACATAAAGATTGACGAAGTGACCGTCGTTGAAAAACTGGTATTGGCTGACTGCGTCATATTATTGTGCTTCGATTCATCAGATACCGCGCTAAGCTTTTCAAATAAAGTAGGCTTCTTGAACTCAATATCTTCCGGGGCAGCAGAGGGTTCTTTACCAGGGCTGTTGACAAATCCAAACGATCTAAGATCCATCTGTTTTAACGGTGACTGGGAGGGTGATTTAACTGATTTGGGCGTTTTGGATGGCGATTGGACAGATCCTGGATCCTTCGCTGATAATTGGGCACCCTTTGGAGTCTTCGCTGGCGACGAAGTGCTCGTCGACTTCCTCGCCAAAGGGGGAACATTGTCTTGAGGCATGGATGGCGGTTTAGGGACCACTTTCCTGGAGAGCGATTGGTGATACTTTTGGGGCTGTACTGGTTGTCCCTTTGCTGGCGGAGGAAAGGTCGCCGAATACTTCACCGGGGAATGGAAGTTCTCTTTGTTATTTACAGGCGACTGAACGGACACATTGTTCCTCCCGGGCGACGGGCGAACTTGACATTTTGCGGGCGACGCAATTCCCATCGACGCCCGCGCGGGAGACTGAATTACTCGATGATTGTTGACCGGCAAGTTCGCAGCCCCAGAATTCCTTCGAGGCCCTCGAAACGCAGCCTGCACCATCTCGGGAAATTGTAAAGCTCTATCTCCATTCTTTCCTAAAGGGGACTGGGCTAGCACAGATCCCTTCACGGGGGAATTTGGTGCGGTGTGGAAGTTCTCGTCTTCATCTTCATCATCAAACGTTTGTTTCTTTGGTGATAAGCCCGTGGCAGCTCCAACGGAATTAGCGGCTAACCTTTTTTTGGTGTTTACAACACGGCCATTCGCCAGAAGATATTCCTCGTCTTCCATGAGCGCTAGCAACTGCCTCATGCACATGTCCTTCTCAGGGCCGGTGAGTGAGAGCCGGGGTGCCGGTTCCTCGCTCTGGTGTCGTTGGCTTGCCCGGCGATCTGCGCTGGTTTGATATACATTGTTGTGGGCGGCTAACGGCAGGTTCCCACGGACCCATTCCTCGAGATTGTCAATTAAGCTTCTCTTGTCAACCTTGTTATTGAAGAACAGCGGGCGGATATGCTTGTAGATCTGACTTGGGAGGCTGGTATTTCTCTCTCTCGCCGAAGGGGACTCAATTCCAGGGAGGGGGATCTCGAGGCCGAATTTGACGTTCACTCTTGTGATAAAAGTGCGGAAATCCTCTTTTTGGTGTTGTGGGGTAATGGGATGATCCATGTTCACAAGGAATGTAGAGCACAGGAGCTCCCATTCAACCTTCCAGGAAAAGGAATTGGTCTCGTTGTGTTGGAGTGTTAGATGAAAAATGAAATGACAGGATTCGACTGCTTCTGAGGGTTCTTTGTTAGTCTCATGCGACGTGCATGGTGGGGGGGGGTAAGCAAACTGCAGATGCATTCATTGGGTTTCCTTATGTGCAGTCTTCTAAGAATGAAGAATTTAGGAACTGAGAGGGATGCGGTTCTTAAATCAGCAGAATGTCTTAACTTGTCTCGTCAACCTTGCAAATTCAACCTACTCCGTATTCCGGAGTAGGTCCACGGGTGGTTGCTGTGCAAGAGAGCTGTTTACCCGCGCCAACTTCGGGGTAGCTGCTATTAGCGTCCCCCACTCGACCTGTCACTGTGACAACTGTACATGTTGTAAATGAGGATGGTGAGGGCTTTTAGGGATTACGATAGGTTTGTTCTCTGGAGAGAATAGTAATGTACCCGGAAATCCATGGATAAGTCTAATTATTACCTAAGGAGTGCAATGGAAGTTGAACATGGAAGTACCCAAATGTAGGTTCAGAATAGACATTTAGGAGAACCTTCGAATAATTACTGTTGATAGGATCTTGATCCCCAATGATGAAACAGAGCCACCTATAGAATAATGTCTTCCACACGATCAGTTTCCTTAAGCTCCGTCCCTCTCCTCCCTGTCCAGCTCAATCTTATCTGTCCATAGATCAGCCTCCTTGGGGTCAACACGTTTACTGTGGACAGCGAGCTTGTAGCCAACCATCAAGCTGATGTAAACAGGAATGCTGATGTAGGACGCAATGAAAGATTTCACGTCCAATGTTCGAACGCCCGAATCATCAAAGCTGAAAGAGTCAAAGACAATGGCGACAGAGATAAACAAGCAGAGAAGGAGAGCTAAGCACGTGCCAGGCAGACCGAAGCGAGCTCTAAAGGCAAGAGCTTTGTCGGGAATGCCTTGAGCCTTTCGCGCCCGCACAAAAGAAATATGGGTGACGAGAATGGAGATCCATGTGAGTAACCCGAGCATCGTGACCATATCTACGAAGTATCCGAACACAACAGTCGAATCTTGGCGGACGTTAAGATATGCCAAAGTTGCAGTGGATGAGCACACAGCTAAAGCATAGATCGGGACGCCTCTCCGGGTAGTGCGTGACAGGAAGGCAGGGGCACGGTGCTTGACTGCGAGGTCGCACATTGCTTTGGTTGCCAGATAGAGATCGTAGTCTGCGATCGACAGCACGAACAACAGTATGCATGCATTCAGCAAATCCGGTAGCACGGAGATGCCTGCCAGATACAGAGCTGCAACAAATGCCGATGCGGCGGCCTCGTGGGATGCATCGTTGGAAAATGCCACAGATACTGAGTCATGGGGGGACAATCATCCCGAGAAGGGTGATTGCAAGCAGATGGAAAACCATGATTCGGTAGAATGTATTCTGGATAGCCCGTGAGGTAGCTTTTCGAACGTTGGGGAAGTGGGCCAAGCCAGACCGCTCGCTTCCGATGTATGCAAACGTGGCAGATGACATCGTGGAGCAGGTTATGTAGAACTTCTCCAGCAACCCGTGGTCACGATGGTGTCGAGCGCCGAAAGCACCGGGGTGCGACCAGTATCGAAACCCTTTTGCCTCTTGATCCGGACCGCCTCCCAGAGCGATTACGGTGGACAGTATCATGAGTCCAAGCATGACGACAAGCTTGAATGAAGAGACGTAGAACTCAATTTTGCTCGGGAGGCGGTGGTTGACGAAGTTGAGAGTCACAATGATCGAAAGGAAAACCGTGATCCAGATACCAGGATTGACTCGCTCCGCGCCCACCCAATAGGAGACTACCAGCGCTGCAGCTGTGAGCTGGTTCGGTGTGACAACAGCATATTTCAGCCAAAATCTGCGGACACGGTCAGGAAACAAAGCAATTAGATGCAGATCTCGTGGTGGAGACTTACATCCAGCCCAAGCTGAATCCAAGTGCAGGATGACAAAATCGAACGGCTTGGTCTGCAACGGTATACGGTTTTGGTAACCATGAACCCACTTCACCCAAGGCAGAGAGGACGAGGTAAACCGCAAATCCGACGATGGTATAGGAGATTATTATAGCTGCCGGCTATAACCGAAACCGATCAATATCTTCTCCGGTGAGGTTCTTGGAGAAAGTAGCATAACTTACGCCGCTCCTGTGTCGGAGTCAGCATCATAGAAGAAACCCGCTTGGTATGAGGAACCTTACATGGACAATGCCCTTCCAGTACCAACCATCAAGCCCGTTCCGATTGCTGATCCAATGGCTACAGGCCTGTGTTAGTAGATCCCCCGTACAAGGCAGGGGATACACACTGATGATGCTCACTTGACGGGGTGTTAATGACCCGTATATGTCGGTGAAGCCCAGGGCATGTTCACTTTGATGAGCTTCTGGTGTAGTATGCGGAGCCGCCGGCTCAGCGCTGATGGGTCCTAGCTCGCAAGCAGAGGATCGCGATCCCGGTCGACGTCGTGGAAACATCTCCGTATTTTCCAACAGAACAGTACGTATTCCTGGCGGTCGAGATTAGATATAGCAAATGAGTGAGGCACGAAACGTGAATCGAAGATGGATTAGAGCTCGAGTGGACAGGGAAGGGTCCAGGGAACTTGGGATGACAGTGGTTAGGCAAGTGCGAGTATGGGAAAGAACGAGACACCACTGTTTGGGAGGTCGGGATCACAGATGAGTGGGATATATTTTCTATATGCAGAAACCCAATCATGGGACAACTTTGGAATCGAAATTGAAATGGCATAAACAAAAAAAATAGAAGCATTTCCTATGCCAGCTCTAAGGATCGCCACCAAGCCCATCGAGGAGGCATCAAAAAGTAGCCAGCGTCTATCAAAAGGCCAAAATCACAAACGCCCAAAACGTTGTCAACACCCCTGAAAAAGCACCAGTCGGTTGCATACTGAGTTCCATGACCCATCAAATGGGGCCAGGGGGGAGGAGGAGAAATGTCATAAAGTCTTTGTCAAATATTCCCAGGCAGCAGTTCGGGATTGGCGTTTGTCTGGAACAGTCGCTCCCTGGGTGAGGCGGAGAGGTAACGCGATATACGTAAAATTTGTTCCTATTCATCAATTCATCGCGACATGAGCGAGTCGCTGGATTCCGTCCGGGGGAATATGCGGGTGTAGAGGGAATCGCTGGACTCGGTACGCGGGAAGTGTCGTTGGTGCTTCCTTGAGATCACACGATCGGTGTAAATACCCTTGGCCGAGCCACGAATGACCGACTCGAGATATTCGCGGAAATCCGTGGGTTGGAATTCGGGGTACAGGTCCTGTGTGGTGTGGTAGCCAAGATACTTGGCGTACTCGGGGTTGTTGTCGCCGCGAATTCCCCAAGACAGTTGATATTCGGCCAGATACCGTGGAATGAACTTGATCGGGTCGAAGGGATAGGTTTCACTGGCTTGTCGGGCCGCCACAACTCTGCTGCAGATGGTTTCTTCGGGAACCTGTGCTCCGGAAAAAGAAAAAATCGGTTAGCCACATTGACTCATTCCGGAGCCGAGAGGCTGTGCAACTTACGTAGTTTCGATCAATCTTCTCCTCACTGAGTTCCTCCATGAGCTCGTAGATCTTGTTTTGCGAGGAGACCAGGTTGTAGGCGAGGATCTTCTTGTTCAAAGTGCGGGGGTCGGAAATGATCATAGCCATGTAGCGACCGATGTCTCGTAAGTCGGTGAGTGCTGTGGGCATGTTGCCATCGCCAATAATTTCATCATTCCCGGATGTCATGGCGTAGTCGACACGACCAGAGGGGAGGCGGGGGTAGGCGAGCTGGTACCACCAGCCGACATCAACGACGGTGTAGGGAAGCCACAGCTGGCGGATCTGGTTGTAGACGATTTCTTTCTGTATGTAGTCAAAGCCTGGTTAGCCGCCGACCAAAGCATCATGCCACATTCCTCATACCTCATCACGCAACCACATGATACCGCCCGGTGGGCAAACGGTGATGAAACCACATGGAACGAATCGCTTCACACCGGTCTTTTTCGCTGCCTTGGCGAGGGGGATCTGGTCCTGCTGTTCGGCAGGACCGACGCAGCTGATAACCACATCAATACCAGCCAACGCCTCGATGAGCTGCTCCTCTGGGGCCTTCAAGTCGCATTTCCGAATCTGGCATCCTCGATCCTGGAGGCGCGTGATAGCTGGCTTTTGGGCAGAGATTGGGCGAACAAGAGCGATGACCTCCTGTGTAGCGAAAAAACGAGGCAGAATTAGTTTGGGGTCAATTGGTGGTCACGAAGGAAGTTCTTACGAAGTTACCGGTATCCAACAGTCCGTTGGCGATGGAACCTCCGGTTTCACCCGCTGCTCCAACGAGCAAAACCTTGGTGGACATAATTTATTCAGATTCAAAATGAAGATGGTAAGGGGATGTTCAGATAGAGGGTAAGATTTGATGGAGGGGGAAAGATCAAAGGGAAGAAAGAAAGAGAGACAGGGATTGGGTAACAGGTTTAGGACCTGACGACGTTATAAATTCCCAAAGGCTCAACCCACTTTCTCATCCGCAGCAGTGGGTCAGTGGATGTTCGTTCCCCTCGTTTGAGGGGGAGTCTCTTTTTTCTTTTTTTCCCTTTTTTCTTCTCTTTTTCCCCTACGTTATTATCACTCGTGACTACGTACATTATTAACATATATCATACTTCTATTAGGAAAATTCTACGAAGTCCAGTACATATTCTACACCTTTTCTCCTTCGCGGGCCGGTGATTCGGGGAAAACCCTAATAGGTCGGCGACGTTACGTCATATGTTACGGCTTCCCGGTCAAAGGAAATTCCATGGGATAATAATGATGTTTGGGATTTTTAACAGATCTGGTATATATATATTGAGTACATGGATTATTGCATACATAGATGATGCATTTGAAAATGGAAATATATGTCTTTCTGATCAGGAGATCATCGACTCTTCGGTCTAGTCCGAAAGTACGGAGACCTCGTAGCTAGCAAGGACCCCTTTATAGCCCCCTTGTTCGTCGTGCAGAATCTTGAATACCCACGTCACAAATCCCGATCTGCGTGGTCACAGCTCTGAAGTCAGGTTTCACGTAGTCCCATGGACAGGAGTGACGAAATGGCGAGGATTAGTCAGTGGGTTTCATTGGTGGCGCAGCGCCTCTTTTGGGAAGGCTTTGGGCCGCCAATCATGGAGAATTCATGGAGAATTCCAAGGGATCCTATATGTCGGATAGCACACGGGCTAATTGCTTGTGACCATCCCAAGACCGAGCCTTGGAAGTCTTGGGGGTTGATCGCAAATGATAACCTTGTAATTAGCCAAGGGGGGGTCAGCCACAACCGGGAGATCTGTGCCTGGCGTATTTCCCCTCCTTTTCCCACGGTATCAAAAGTCCAATATTCAACTCAGCGACCCTTGGAACACATATTAACACATTTATTCTCGTTGTTCGCCTGCATTTAATATTTGGATTTGGTGGGGTAAGGTTGCTCGACTTTGGGGATTCTTCCTAAACAAGTAACTCCAGGGGATGATCTCGGGTCCTTCTGGTAATTTTCGCGGGGAATGCAGCATGGTGGGAGGGCCTAAGCATGACGGTGTTCTGGGCCCGAAACACCTTCTAACCAATGTCATCATGTCGAAGATTGATCGTCGTTATGGGCGGCTAGTCAAAAGAAATGGCGAAAATACTGGAAGATTGGGCAAGAGCTGGAGCAAGGCAAACCAGGAGCATTCGAGAAAAATTCAATTCTCGAATCCCTTTTGACTTCCCGAGTAACATGCACTGCAGACCAATAATGCCTCATAGCGGATCAACCCCAGCTTGGCTCGGGCTTTCGTTGCAGCCGTTGCTAGTCCAGATTAGGGTACGGAGTACAGACGCCTTGACTTCTTCGATGCGACAAGATTCCACTTCTGCACGTGAGCATGTTTACTGTAGATTTGCTTGAAGATGTCGGCATACCTTCTACGATAAGCCACTCTAACAAACTCATCCTTGAAAATATCTATTTTATGATTGCTTGGCGGTAATGGAACTCGCGATAATTTGATGCTGTTGGCCTAGAGTGTAAATAGGCAAGATCATGCTTAGGAGGAATTTGTTCATTTATGGCCAGCAAAATGTCTTCAACTTGTTCGTACGAATTTTGAGATCTACACACCCTACACTGACTCAAGTCTCTCACATGTATGGATAGTATGAATGCCGAAAGTCTTGGCGAAATCGACAAGGGCTAAGTATATCTTGGCTTTTTATATGGGTACATCCATGGATATGTAGACATAAACAGGTCTCATCTCCATCTCTCATGACTCTCTACATTGTCTCTTCTTAACCTCATTTCGGTTTTACTTCTCTCTTACTACATCCTCGCTCTCCTTCGTACCTTAACCTGCAGACCGTCCCGAACCCCCAATATATGCACATTTCCTCTTATTTTAACGATCTTATCAGTTCTATTGAATTTCACAAGATGCGACGCAGAGATAGAAGATATAATTATTATTCTACGGAGTGAAAGTACCAAAGGCCCTTGGCCACTACCAAAGTTCGATTGCTCAAGCGGGCCATCGAACAACAGCCACAGCTTAGACCGCAGCAGCAATTCAAGGTGTTCACGTTCTGTACCGGGGCAGAAGAGCATTGTGGTGATAGTGACGAGCGGGAATACCTCTGGGCGTTTGATGACTGCTATACTCAGTACTGCGAGGAGGGGTCCGTCTGTTTTGAAAGCAGGGTCTTGCGCATAGGCTGTGAGGTTGAAGGAAGTGGCGTCTGAGATCCGGGTCATTGGTTAGCGTGGTTGTTCTTTTGTAAAGCCAAGATCCACTCAAATGGGTACATAGTAAGTAGCATTCAATAAACCATCTCTCCTCATGTATTTATAGCATCCACGAAGGATTCATAATGATCACCCCTTTGCATTGCAATATCCATAATCTCCTTCTCTGTCGGACATGGTCCACATAGCTCATACTTGTAAGTCCTAACATGCTTGCCCTTGAACAAAATTCTGGTTGTCCGCATTCTCTGCTTTCGTCTCTCGTCCTTGATCTCGGCCCACCGGGCCTGCACTTCCGCGAGATGCTTCTCTCGCCCTCTTTCTCCCATCCGCCATGCTGCAATCTGGTGGCCGAGCGAATTACTCGGCTCATGCACCCACCCCACACCCCAGTCGGGGAATTCTGTGAACGCGGTCTCATCTTCTACGGCGCACTTCCATTGCCAGTGGGTCAGCGACCTAATATCATCCTTTGAGCGGCATAGATTGAGGATACTTCCGGGGGCGAGGTAGTGTTGGCGGATGTGGAAGTCCACTTGATAGTGGGCGAAAATCACGGTGGCTTCATCTATTGGCTTTCCTGACTCAGCCTCGGCCTTCTTGAGGATAGTGTCGATCTTGTCGTAGTAACGCTGTTGTTGGGCGGGCGTAATATATTCCCAAAATGTCGTATTGTCATATTCGTGGGCTACTATGTCTGTGTCGGAAGGAGATATGTAATCATCGAGTGTGATTTTGCTGGTGAAGAAAGGTGGGTATTGCGACGTGATATATGAGCCTTTAGCAATGTCTGCATTCATCATATATGGGATAATATGTAGATCTCTGCATTGGGTGCATTCGAGGGCATCTTGTAGAGCTGCACTTTGTAGTGACTTTGGTCTCTCAGCAAATGGTCCACACAGTAGCTGTTCGGTGGTGAGGAACTGTACAATATTTCCCTTGACAGCTTCTGTCCACTTTTTTCTTGGTGCAAGTCTGCACTTGCTAATGCGGTTTCTATCTCGCGTAGGGATTCCCATGGTGGATAGCTGCGCGAGAGAGCACACGGCACGGTTGAAGGGATAATTGGAATAAGGTATATGCAAGGTTTTGTGGTCTGATCGCGGGGTGAGGAAGATCTGAGGGGAGGATGATGCAGATGGGCATGCATTTATACAATGCATGAAAGGCCTTTGTGTCGATGTCGTGGACAAAGGAATAGAGAGAACAATAGATTCCATGATTCTAATTTAGATCCAGACAAACAAAAGACGCTTAGTTCCCATTGATTCGAGTCAAAGAAAGCAGAGCGGGTAAACAATGAATAGTGATGCTTTACTGCACAATGAGATACTTGGATACATGTACCCCAAGTTCAAACCTGGGAGAGCTGTAGTATCAATCTAAATATAGGAAGCGTCCAGATGGCTTCTCTAGATATATCTCAATATTGTTGAAAATCCCAGTTAATTCTCATTAATACTGGCCTTTTTCGTAGTGCAACGCTAACCCTAACTCGGCATTAAGAATGCAGATCCCATACACGAAGGATCTGCACTCTAGCTCCTGCTAGAAGAAGTCTGGCTCCCTCGGCTATATGCAGTTTGATCATGACATTGCTGTCCTCAGTATATAGGTCGTTATCTCACGGCATCAGCGCTTCGCATTTCAATTGAGCCTGCTTTCAGTCAGTTTTTGCTTCTTCTTATTGTTGTTGTTTCTCACCGAGCCCTGTTTTCTCACCGAGTCCTTTCTATTCTACCATAATGGGGGTATACGAAAAAGGAGTATAAATAGATGCTCCTTTCTATGTATGAAGAAGATAGACAAATCATTCATTTACTTTCTATAGTATACAATTGGAATCTTTATATTTATAGTACTTTTCATAGTATTATTTTTGTCTTAATATATATGCTATACAGATCGTGTTTCTATATTCAACAGGTTATAAGCCCGGCTTAGCTCTATAAGCCGGATTTATACCATTACTCACCCCCGAGCAATTCATCTTATTGAAGCTTTTCTATAAGCTTTAGCCTTTGCTAAAGGTATCTGCTTGCTAAGTAGTATTTATCGAAGCTTTTCTATAAGCTTCTACTTTTTCTATAAAGCATCTGTCTTATTATAGACAACCTTTATTGAAGCTTTTTTATAAGCTTTATCTATATAATTATTAAAGCTTTTCTATAAGCTTTATCTCCCCTTTATCTATCTCTTACTTCTCTCTCACTTTACCTTTATTTTTTTTTACTATGGCTCTAACTACCTGTAGTAGTGTAGAGCAGCCTAGTGAACCTTCTTCTTCTCGCCGCCGGAATCCTCCTCTTCCTACTCCTTACAATCCCTCTTGTTGATAATAAAAATAAGGATATACTAGTTTATAGCGAAGACGCTGAAGATACTATAGAAGCTGTAGATGGCGAAGAAGAAGAAAGCGACGATGACGCTGATACTAAAGCTGAAGCTGAAGCTGAAGCTCGCCGCCGGCTTATAGAAACGGCCGATATGCTAATATAGGTTTAAACTGAATAAGGAAGATATATGCGAGAGTAAGAATAATAGATAAGAAATCTATAAAGAGAGCTCTCCTAAACTAAAGAAGCTCTCGTAGCTGCTAAGTATGTAGCTGTATAGTACGCCGCTGCCTAATCTGTAGCTTTCTAGTAAGCTGCCCCTATCTTAGAAAGTATTGAGATATATCTTTACACTAGTACTAGTAAAGGTAAGTAGCTAGCTAGACTATATAAAATTGACGATCCTAATAATATCAACGAATCGACTGTTAATTATCCTATCCTATAGGAATCAACCCCTCGAAGAGAACCGACTATGTTCTTTATAAGAGAGTAGACGCTAGTTCTCTCCGTAGTTTAATAAGAAGCTACCGCTATTAGATATCTCTCCTTTGTGGAAGATATGATAAAGTTAGGAAGAAAGAGAGCTTAATTCAAATTCCTTTCTCTTACCGGTAAAGCTAACTACCGTTTATAGGCCTAAAATATGAAGTAGTTTATGAACTAAAACCTCCTCGAATAAGTGATCGAGGGCTAGGTAGGAGACCTACCTATTGATCACCTCTAGTACTACTCTTTAAAAGTGCTAAAGGGTAATACGTAGCTAATGATAGCTAATACTATTAGCGTAAAGATTAATAAAAACCTCCGATTTTTAAAGGATCCCGAACTAGAGAGAATCTAGAAATCTCTCCGGGACCAATATAAGACCGAAGAAGTCTTTATTGTATAAGAAGGTATATTAGCTATTAAGAAGATAGCTAATTCTAAATATAGATCTATTTCTGATCTTATTAAATTATTTAAATCAGTTTGGAATAGTAAGCTTATAACTAGATAAAGTAAGATATATATCTAGGAAGAAATAGACGAAATCGAGAAATATATTAAACTTATATACTGCCTCGATAGCCCTGAATAGTATATATAGAGATCCAATTTCGACGCACTTATTAGTAAGATAGCTAATCCCGTCGATCTCTACTAATTTGACCGTATCTATAGAGAGCTCTATAGAGAAAAGAAGACCTTTACCGGTAAGAAATTATATAGATTATACGCTATAAAAACGGATAAAGTAACCGAGTCCTCTTCCGAGTCCGCACTCGCTACTAATACTAAATTTAAAGGTAAAAAGGGATTAAAAACCAGCTTATCGATAGCAAAATCAACCATCCTAATATATACAAACTGTAATAAGCGAGGCTATACTATCGAAAAGTGCTAGTAGAAGTATCCCGAACTAGCTCCGGCTAGTACTAACGTAAAAGCAACCGACATTTTTATTATAGATACTATATAGGCTTTGTCCGAAGCTCTCTCTACCTTAGTAAAACTAGATATGTTAAGATAGATTTGTGATACTGTATATAATGTATTTATGATTTGTTCTCCGGACTTCTTTATACTAGAGACAAGTAGACCTTATAGTACTAGTATATGTATAGCACTCGGTGCTAAAACAGTCTATGGCTTTATCGGAGATGTTATAATAACTATCGACGACGGGACTAAAGAGGGAAGAAACCTTAGGCTTTTAAACACGATATATATGCTAAACCTCCGGATCAACCTTATCTCTTAGTCTAAGCTTACTGATAAAGGAATCATAGCGGAATTCGGTAATAAAAACGTGCTTTTTAAAAGGCCGGATAGAGTTATCCTAGTAAAAGGGAAACGCTTAGGCTAAAACTAGCTTCTTAATGTTAGGAAGATTTATTAATTCTAATCTAGTAAGTAAGAAGCTGTACTATCGATAAGTATTAGCATATAATATCTCGCTTCCTAATAAGAGATAGTCTTCGACGACGAGACTTCTTAGGAGGAAGAGCTGATCTTCGACGACGAGGATATAGATCCTACTTATTTATATATTACTACCCGTAGTAAGCGGCTTATAACTAGAAATTCTAGCTAGGAATTAGATACTAATACTCTGCTAGAAACTATACCTATATATATACCGGAGCCCTCGCAAATTGGATTAATTCTACCGGCCTTCTCGGCTAATTTATCTTCGGATCATTTTTCCTCGGTCCTAATATATACTTTAACGGAGTAAGCCGCTCCCTAAATCATTAAATTGAAGAAGGACCGCGTCAATATCAATATATAGTATCGAAGGCTATACCACATTTATCCTAATATAGTTATAGAGATAGCTATAGTAGTAGATAGGATTAATATAAAGGGACTTCCAATTCCTAAAGAAAAATGCGAGTATTGTATAGTCGGTAAGGTTTAGCTAGCACCTAGACGCGCGCCGGTGCTATACCGATCTATAAAAATAGGAGATCTAGTATATCTAGATCTCGGTGGCGGCGGAAAGATACCCTATAGATTCGGCAGCTAGGTAAGATACTAGATAATAGATATCGACGATTTCGATAGATAGGGAGATGTCTAATTTACCTCTTATAAAGACTATATGATAGATCTCGTTATTAATATTAGTAAGCGCTATATAAACGAGAGAGAGCTCGCTATTAAAGCTTTTGTTACCCCGGATCTGCCATTGCTAGAGTAGACTAAGATTCTAGAAAGTAGAATAGAAATAGCTACTTTTTAAAGCGATAATAGCGGAGAATTCGATAATTACCGCCTATAAAAGTGGGCTAAAAACACTAATACGAGGCTATACTTCTTAGCCCCGTACGTATATAGTCAAAACGGTAAAGTCGAACGGATGATACGGATTGTGTAAGAGCGAACCCGATCTATACTCCACAATATAGGACTTCTAGACTATCTCTAGCCGGAGATTATAAAGATAGTAATAATAGTACGAAACCTCACTATTTACTATAGAAGAAAGTAGTAAGTAGAAAATCAATCTGCTAAGACGCTATACGAAATTCGCTACGGTAGGAAGCTAGATATTAGCTTCCTCTGTATCCTAAGATATAATATATATATTATACGCAATCCGGAAGAGATATATATAGTAGTAAAGAGCACTACTAGCCGGTATCTTTAACCTAGAGCCTAGCTAGGTAGGCTGATAGGCTATACTAGCTATCACAGAGCTTAGTATAGAATCTGGAAACTAAGCTAGGATCCGGACTAAAAGGGAGAAATTATCGTCTATAGAGACGTTATTTTCGACGAGAGAGACGACTAGACCCTATATAATAACCTAGATCTACTAAAACTGTAATTAGAAGACTAGATTACTCGAATAAGGACTCGATTCCTAAAACCGAGCGCCGAGGAAGCTTCTATTGAAGAAGACCTGCTTTTTAATTAAAACTCCGATAAAGAAAACGACGGATAAGCTATTGAACTAATAGATAAAATATCAGATATAGATTCAGATGCTTCTGATAGAGCTCCTCCTATATTAATAGAGGAGCTATAGTAGCTTAATAAAGATATACGGAATCATGTTTACGATACTATATCTCGAGAAAATAAAGCTAAAATGTAAGCTTTATTAATAGCCGCTATACTAAATCAAAAATTAGATCTCCCGGATCTCCCCCCCTTTATTACCTATACTATTAATACAATCTATCGATATAAAATGGCTTAACGATCCGAAGATAGTTTTAAAGGCAAAAGCTTCACCTTTTTGGCCTTAGTGGTATCGTGCTATGAAGATTGAGATGGCTTAGCTAGATCTTATCGGCACCTAGGAAATGGTCCTAAGACTAAAGCCTTCTCCTAATATCAATATCTTTACTAGTAAATGGGTTTTTAAATTGAAAATTGATATAGACGGCCTACTATTGAAATTTAAAGCTCGCTAGGTAGTAAGAGGCTTCTAGTAAAGAGAGTATCTAGATTACGAAGACACCTTTGCTAGCACTAGACGATACGAAATATTTCGAGTACTCTTTACTATAATAGCTAAAAAGAGACTCGAGACTGTATATATCGATATCGGAAATGTATATTTAAACGCTCTCCTTAAAGAGACGCTCTATATAAACTATCTAGATAGTCTCGAAGATAGATTAGACGATAAAGTATGCTTACTAAAGCGTAGTATATATAGTCTTAAATAGTTAGTAGCGAATTGGTCTAATACCCTCGGTGATTTTCTTCTAAAAAACGGCTTTATGAAATCCTCTATAGACCTATATCTTTATATAAAGCGCATCCTAAAATCTCGCTCTAATTAGGGGGGCGGATCTTTATCCTTATCTTTATCTATTATCTATATCTTTATTTATATCGACGATATGCTGATTGTAGCTTCGAATATAGAACTGATTAATAAAACGAAAAAGCTAATCTCGATAAAGTGGATAACGTCCGATCTTGGGGAGATATATTATTATCTCTCTATAAAGATCTCCTACTAAAAGCTCGCCGGCGTACTATCTATCTTATAGAAGATATATATCAATCGGATTAGTAAAGAAGTAATGATACTAGATACTCTAACTAGTAAGAGCGAGAAAGCTTTTTTAAGAGCAATTCTTAAACCCGTTATCCCACTCTCCTATATACTAACTAAGGAGTAAGATCAGATAGTAATAAGTAAAGCTATTAAGTAGTATCAATCTGATATTGGTTCTGTGAACTACGCTAATACCGTCTCTCGTCTAGATCTCGTATTAGTAGTGAGTATGCTATCCCAATTCCTTATTAACCCTAACGAGGAGTATTAAAAGCTAGCAACTAGGTTGCTTACTTATACTAGGGGATAAGTAGCTATACCCTTATATACAAATCTGATAACAATCTCAATCTATAGGGATAAGTCGACGCTTCCTATATATCTAGAGCTAATATGAAAAGCCGCACTAGCTTTATCTTCTTCTTCGCCGGCGCTCCTATCTTATAGAAATCTTAATAGTAGTCTAGTACTACTAAATCTAGCGCTAAAGCCGAATATATAGCCCTTTCCACTATAGGAAGTGAGGCTATCTAGCTAAGGAGATTGATTAATGACCTCGATCTATAAAAAGATCTTATACCGATCCCGTTATATAGCGATAGCTAATCTGCTATCTTAATAACGCTTAATCCGAAAAATGTAGGCCGTATAAAATATATTAATATACACTAGTATTAGATTAGAGAGTAAGTTAAGAGAAAAAGGATCATATTACACTATATTAAAGGCGTAGAAAATATCGCCGACGGCCTTATAAAGCCGCTCCCTTTTCCCTAGTTTAAGCTCTTTATAGCTAGACTAAAACTGGATCCTATATAGCTAGATTTATTGACCCCTTCTTCTAATTAGGGGGCGTCAATTGGCGTACCAAAAAGCATCTATATACTTTTTATCTATAGCCTTTATACTACTTTTTCATACTACTTTTTTATTTGTAGTTTTTATACTACCTTTTTAATTGTAGTTTTTATACTATATTGATCTTCTTCACCTTCGTTTTTATACCTTATACGGCTTCGCATTAAGGGGCGTGTTGAAAATCCCAGTTAATTCTTATTAATACTGGCCTTTTTCGTGGTGTAACGCTAACCCTAACTCGGTATTAAGAATATAGATCCTATATACGAAGGATCTGCACTCTGGCTCCTGCTAGAAGAAGTCTGGCTCCCTCGGCTATATGCAGTTTGATCATGACATTGCTATCCTCAGTATATAGGTCGTTATCTCACGGCATCAGCGCTTCGCATTTCAATTGAGCCTGCTTTTAGTCAGTTTTTGCTTCTTCTTGTTGTTGTTGTTTCTTACCGAGCCCTGTTTTCTTACCGAGTCCTTTCTATTCTACCATAATGGGGGTATACGAAAAAGGAGTATAAATAGATGCTCCTTTCCATGTATGAAGAAGATAGACAAATCATTCATTTACTTTCTATAGTATACAATTGGAATCTTCATATTCATAGTACTTTTCATAGTATTATTTTTGTCTCAACATATATGCTATATAGATCGTGTTTCTGTATTCAACAAATATCACCCCAATATCACCCCTTTCAATGTTTTCAGTTATGACGTGTGGGCGTGAAAGGTCATATGGGGAAGGTGCAATTAAGGGTGTGACCGGACATCGTGAACGGACATCGTGACTACGAGATCCTCGGGCGGGATACTTGTGAAAACTATGAGGCCCTATGATAATTTACAATGTAACTCGGATTCAATCTATATGTTGATGTCAGTGATCGAGTGTCAGGACTTGCTATCTTATTGTCCTTAGGCAAATTGATATTAGTTTATATAGGTGAGTAGACGTAAGGAAAATAGTCGACTCTCGCTGTTGAATGAGCTTAGATACCTTTGTTTTTTCCAGTTTGACAAGTCCATCATGCTATTGTTCATCAATTCGCAGTAGCTGTTAAACTGCCGATTTGTGTTCCTTTTCAGCGTTGCTTCTACTTCCCTTTCTCCTCCCCAAGTTCACACGTGCATTCTTGTATCTCCAACATCGCCCCTTCACTCTCAGGAACCATTTGCGATCAGCAAAGTTATCATGGCAGAAGCTTCTCTTGCATTCCCGGCAATTTGCCTGGCCCTTTCATTCCTCTTCGTTGTTGCCGTCTATAATGCTTCGATTATGCAGCATCTCCGTGCCGTCCATCGTCGTGCCATCCTCCCCGCGTACCAACAGATTGCGCACAAATTCTTCAACTGTAATCCTGGCCGCCAAAGCCCACCAAACCACATGTCCAGGGCAGGATACGAGCCAGTTAACCTCGATACCAAAGATGAAGAAGAACAACATCCTCCACCTCCCACAACTTCATCCATGTCATCACCTGACTACCATCGATACGCCGATAACCCTGCTCTCGACACAGTCAATGTATTCCGAGAAAGTGGTAATGAAACCCAAGTTGACGGCCACGGCTTAACCACATCATATGCTGGAGGCCCATACCGTCCGCGACACCGTCCCACCTTCGCGGAACTCGGCGAGTCCCCCACCAACAGCCCATCCCCAAGTCCTCCTGGATCTTCAGTGTCCTCCGACGAGTACGGCTCTGACTGGTCCAACTCCGCTGTTGACGAGGCGGTCTTCGAGCCACGGAACCCAGTCGAGCATATCCCCGTCTGGGAATTCGAAGTCCAGCGTCCTATTTATACTATCGACCACGAGGAACAAAGTGGACCGGTAGCCTGGTTGGATGATGTTGTTGAGTGGACATCGCAGGGTGTTTTTGCCTTCGATACACCCGATATCCTTGAACGACGTGGGTGAGGAGTATATGAGGCTTTGGGAATACAACGTCCATAGGCTTGGCAGCATGTCCGAGCACCTGATGACCTGAGCGATGATCCTACCCGTGGACTGTCCGATGTCATTATTCACTTGACTAGAAAGAAACGTCACTTCAATATCCAAGTCCCACCCTAGTATACCTTCATGTTGCAAGTTACCTCGTAGGTGGTAGGTATTTTGATCGAAGCAACTGATCGACTCGGTCACATCGGTCTATGAGCCCTGTCACGCGGGGTTAGATCGCATTCCAGGATGTCATTGGCGGGGCTTTATCAACACTAAAGCGCCACGCAAGGGATCGAGCCATTTCTTCCTATGGTGTACAAGGATGGCATCGTCTCGTAGCGTTATTGGCTCGGCAATCGCGCACAAGTTGAAATTTGGCTGGTCGTGCCGGCGATGAGAAAATGCTTCCGTCGGGGTCTGGCATCGGTGTCTTAGACACCATTTTACCATGCGAGTCATTCTGGGCATGGGGAAATCTTGCAAATACAATTTTTTTATTCAGATTTGTCCATCTAAACTGTCTTTTTATCGTTACGTTCATCTATCGTAGCGTTTAGATTAAAACCGCTAACATCTCCCCAAGAATTACGCTTCAAACCGAAGATCCCGCTTTTCTAATTTGTATGAGAGAGAATTTACGGGGCGCAGTAGCCGCCGTCGACTATGAGATCAGCCCCAGTGGTATAGGTGGAAGCATCGGAGGCGAGATAGAGATAGGCACCCTTCAGCTCATGGGCTTGGCCCTCACGGCCCATGGGGATCTTGTCGCGCCAGATGTTCTTGGTATCCTCAGGCACAAAGTTGGAGATCTCAGTCGCAATGTAACCCGGGGATACGGTGTTGGCGCGAGCGTAGCGGACCCATTCGACAGAAAGAGACTTGCCTAGGAAGGTGTTAGCAGCGTGCTGGAGCCGATGGATCTAAACTAAAACTTACACAGATGAATGACGGCAACTTTGGCGGCATTGTAGGCAGCCTGCATCTGGGGGAAATTGACAATATGACCGCTCATAGAGGCCGTAGCGACGAAGCTACCGTATGTGAAATTGGTGAGCTTGTTGCCGTTGGCATCGGTGCCCTCCTCCTTCTGGCGGCGCCAGTGTTCAGCAGCAGCCTTGGCACAGTAGAAGGTACCATCAAGATCAATGGCAACGACATCGCGGTAGTGGTCGAGGGGACCGTCGACCATGGGGCCCTGGGTCCAGGGAACACCGGCGTTAGCAATAAAGACGTCGAGACGGCCATTGAATTCCTTGACAACGTCGTTTACGGCCTTCTCGACAGCCTTTGAGTCGGTGACCTGAACTTTATATGCCTTGGCTGTGAAAGAAATTGTATTAGAATGATGTGGAACCAATCACAATGCGTGGATTCGTTACGCACTCTGAACACCGTACTGTTCAGCGATCTCGGCGGCCCTCTTGATACACTTGGTGTTGCTATTGTACCACATGGCCACATTGGCACCAGCCTCGGCCAGACCTTGAGCAACGGCCAGACCGATACCGGCGCCAGCACCGGTAACAATTGCAGTCTTCCCCTTGAGGGAGAACATGCTCATGAGACTCGGGTGCTCAGGAGCAGTGGTGTTGTTGTGGACAAAGAGTCCATTCTTAGTAATTGGGTTAGCTGCCATTGTAGCAAGAGGAGAGAAGAGAGGATAGAGAGAAAATGACAAAAGTGAAAGAGGCGAAGTAAGGGCAAGTCCGGGAGGTCACTTAAATATAGAGCTCATGAGGGGCAAATCCAGAAACCACAAGGTGATAGACGGTGAGTGATGCGTTGGCGGGGAAATCGGACTAGACCATTGGCCTTCTCCCTTCCCTCCTATGTATACATACACCTTGGGAGCTCTCGCATTGTGTCTCGATGGCACTGGTTCATGTGGATCGTGGGTAATGGCACTATGCAGAGTAGTCAATTTGACAGGATGCAATGAGATACATCATAATTTGATATGATTAAATAGACCTGTAAACCTGTTTCCAAGGTCAGGTCTATCAGAAATTGGAAGAGGCTATTCTCACCTGGGGTCTTCCCACATGAGGCGGTGAAACCAAGACCTGGGGTAACGATCATCTTAGCCCGTTCAATGTGGGAACTTGCACTCCACACTTTCCACTACAATAATACATATGTACTCTTCAATCTTCAATGTGGATTTACCCTAGGATTGGAGGTTATAGGGAACAAACCTACCCCGGAATAATACTTGGCCATTCTCCTGGAAATGGCGAAGGACGCCGAGGTTTCAGGATACTTGACCCCAAGACGACATCCATCCAGGTCCACGACCGCAGAAAGAACTGCAGATGCTTGAACTGGCTTTTTATAAGGTTATATTGGAAATTGTAGAAATTCAAATTTCTGCTATCGGTAGGATCCAACTGTCTCGAAAAGTATGCGCCCAAGGGGTAATTATCCTGGTCAATGCATTATCACGGTACAATCCAATGCAAACTCCGCAATTATTACGTATACTAATCTATATTCCGGCATTAACAAAGCCACTCAGTTAGAATCAAAATGGATCACTTATCCGGACATTAATAGGGTCGGCCAAGGTTGTGCACTGATCATATTGATCGCCGGAGTATCGTCAAAGGCGACCAGTGCGTTATTCCATGGTTGGACGGCTTCTTGGGGCTGTTAACCATTCATCTAAACATTAGAAATATGTCTAAAAAGGCACCCTAGATTCCACCGAACAAGGGTATCAAATAAGACGTGGAAAGGGCACTCGAAAGATGGCGACATGTCCGTGTCAAGTATAGACTGGATTCGATTGGGCACTCAACATCCAACCAACCTATACTGATTCGCAGATGTGTCGATGGCCTGCTCACACAATTATATTTGGTGGCGTTGTCATTGTTGAAACAAGATTGAAGGGGGTATACCGTGTGGCCGCCAGCATTCTTTGCACCGGGTGGTGATGAATGAGCATTCCTCGGCTGGAATTAATGTTCCCATAACAAATGGTGGCCCCCCCTTAATTGAATGCTAGCAACTCTTGTTTTTCCTTATTCCTGTGAGGTTTTGTTCTAGGAGGATGAAGATTCCAGCTCTGTGAAGCCTCACTGTTGCCGTTTTGATACAGCGATAATCCCCAACATCGCATGTTCAAACCCAATCCGATACTCACGGATCGTCTCCGCCGATTGCGTCTTCACAGTCTCCGAGTCAGTTCAGTGACACACCAGCGAGGCGATCATGCTGGCCCTGCCCGCCGTCATCGCCATAGCCGCTTGCGGCGCGGCCATCTTCATTGTCCTCTCGGTGGTCAGCATCATTGTCTGGGTCAGGTATCGCAAAGAGCGCCATACAATGAGGCTGATAGGCCTCACCCAGAGGCAGGGATGGAGCAGTGGGGGCTTGCGATCTGCCCCGGTGGACACCTTGACTGAACTGAGCCGGGCAGAAGGGAGTATATTGAGGGCTCATGGGCAGCTTCCATATGGCAAACCATCAGAATGGGGACAATTAACGTCGAGGGAAAGTTTGCATCGTCCGAAAAGCGACTCAGAGTCATCTTTTCCCTTCACTGAGAAGGCACGATCTCTCCGCAATTCCCTTTCTCGATCTCGTTCAAAGCGCTTATCACGATCGTCCCACAAACGTATGAGCTCGTTGGCTACGTTGAGTGAATCAAATCATCTTCCTAGTCCGCCAACTAAAGCATCAATATCAATATCAAAACAAGACGTCCCACTTTCGGCTGTCGAGGGGGTTTTGGAATTACCAGCAGAACGAACTCCAACGCAAACACCAGATCTCAACGAGAATGATACTGGATTCCATCTAGGTATGAAGCCTGTTTCACCTGGATGGCCTCTTCCAGCACGCGAGCGGTCAAGTGTATTTCCTGTTTCGGAAGATCGTAACTCGTCTGGGTTTGATCCAACCGAAGAGTCTCCTACTCGTCTTCGTGGGGGAAGTATCGCTAGTCAAACTGCCGGGGTGATGCCTGGTCACCCGGTACCTCCTCCCCACCAACTGCATATCCCCCAGACAGATTTAGTTACGCTAGGAATGACTCTGTGATGAGACTTTCCTCCATGAGTCTGGATACTACCAATAGTTCAATTTTGGATGACGGTAGAAATGGTCCTAGGTCGGCTGACACTGATATGACCTCACCTGACTTCCCTTCAGGCACGTTTGTGCCTTTCAGCGCTGCCGACGTTGGAGTCAAGGATGGTCGGAGGAGTTTCATTGCCACCAACACCTCCATCCCTCCTATGCATAACTTCCCTGTCCGCTCCTCCTCGACGACTGAAACTCGTCATAAATCTGCGCCCTTGTCACCTCGACGAAGTTTGACGACTCATCATTCGGGCCTCTCCAGTGATCGTCTTTCTGGTGCCCCACGTCGAACTGACTCCATGTCTTCATCTAATCCCCCTTCAAGACATGCCTCCCTGCGGTCTGGGACTCCAGTGGGACGTCTGGGATATCCAAATTCAGCCCCGTCCTGGCGATCATCGGGCTCTCACATGCCCTTTGGACCACATGTCAATCAATTCCAAAGCTGTACGGACTACGAGAATGATGAAATAGTGAACGACCCATTCTACGTTGGCTCACCTGGGGGTGGGACTCTGTTCCAACCGGTCAGATCACCAGGCAACGCAGGCAAGACCGCTAAGCCACCAAGTCCGATGCAACGTACCAGTCTCTCCCTAAAGGGCAATCCTCCCTCCGCACTCAAGGGTGGAAATCCTCAACGCAAGGGTCACCGACGCCAAAACTGCGTCCGTATTTCTATCCATCCACCCATGACGTTTGGGTCATCGACGTTTTCTCCTACCGTCGAAGAAGAACCAGAAGACTTCGACAAAATGGAGGAGCTGGATCTGCGTGAGTCCGCAATCAACAACCCACCAAAACCCTTGCCTTCGCTGCCACCAACTCCACCGTCTCCTCTGTCCTCTTCAAGGCGCAGCAAGTACGGCAGTCGACATGGCAAGCCCGGACTAGGCTCTCTCGGACCCCTAGTCGAGGAGCCGCAGCTCCAAATGTATGACGACGACAGTCCTTGCAAGAAGAGGAGCCGTGCTCCTTCTGCAATGGCTGGCAATAAGCTTCCATTCGAAGACAATCGCGCTCTCCCTGAACTTTTCACATCCCTCCCTGTGTCTCACGGCAACTCTCTCACTCACACTCCCTCTTCCGAAAAAGTACCACCTGTATGGGAGCTGTCCGATACTCCATTGCCATCACATGAGAACTCCCCTGCCATGGGTAGCCCACGACGCTCAGCGGTAAAGGGGCCTCGCAGCCAACCCGGCGCCATTCCAGCTCGCAGACAGACGACTTGCGCCCCCTTAACCTCCTCCCATCATACAGATAGTCCTTTGGCCTCGCCCAACCGCCTCCCTCTTGTCATGAGTATCACAGGAACAGAAGGCAGTGACTGGCGCAGATCCGCAGACTCACTTCAACGCACGAAAACGGATGCTCCAAATCGCTCATCCCGGCGAGATCGTGTCTCAGTGTCTAGCATGGACAACGGACTTGGTCCCATTGGCGGGTCTGCACTCTACGGCTCCCGCCGGTCCTCAATGGTCAAAGATCGTGTTACTATCTTCGAGGATTCCAACCAGACTATCTCCCCTTTCAAGACCTCCGTGCAGGCCCCGATTGGATCATTCCCGCACGCCTGAGTCCTCCCCCACCCGTGACAAGAACAGTGTTCCCCGTTCCACGCCAACCAACCAACAATTACCACCTCATATGTCGAGCCACCATGCACCCCCGACTCCTACTTCTCCCCGTCGAGGGATGACTACTCCAACGGGCAAGGGTCTTGGACTTGGAATTGGAACTGCCACACCTGCTAGCCTTTACGACGGCGATGGGTTCCTACGGGAATGAGCGTGATTTTGCTGTGTCTTTTGTGAGCTTTGAAAGCGACAGTTTTCTTTTGATTCATTTTGATTTCTTTTTATTGTGCAGTATCTGATACTGATGTTGGCGAAAAGCTTCAGTGTCCTTTTCTTCTATCTGTCTTTTATTTGTTTTATTACTTCTTACTTTGTGTCGCCTGGTGGTCGGTCTTTCTTTTGTTTTCATATGTATGTTTTCTAAGGTTGATATTCATTAAAGAAATCTAACCATTCTCTACTATGTTTCCATTCTACAATAGCAAAATGATCCATTGGCAGTATAGTACATAACTACCCAAGTATTTTGAACGCCAAATCATACACCGAGTATTTCATATTTTCCTTCGTAGCAGTCTATACCAAATCAATCCGTCTTGCGCCACTTCGTCTCGTCCTCATCTCCATTCTCGTCGACGCCATTCTCCCCCTCTCGAGCCCTAACAGTCCCAGCCCCAGGCCCAAGAGGGAAAGAAGGCGGCTCACCAGCAGCAATCCAGTTCCCATCCGCATCAAAGAACTGATCCATGTTCTCCGCAGTGATCCATCCGGAGCTCCCATCAACAGGCGGGGGCAGACCGCCATTACCAAGCTGGAAGACTCCATCGTGCTCCTCAGCCGAAATGAACTTAGGTCCATCTTCCTCGTCGTCCTCATCTCCCTGCTCGACAGGGTCAGGGTGTAAATTGGAGCACGCCGAGACAGCGTTGTAAAGCTGCTGCGTAGGTGTCTCCGCCTCCTCCGCGGCCTCAGTGGACTCTTGTAGCGTGGCGTCGGCGGGCAGCACCACAGTCATTGCAATGCATTCCTCTTCGTCGTCGGCAGAGGGCGCACCCGGCGTCGCGACCTGCATGTACAGACCCTGGACTTCGGCGTCGGTGTTTGGGACGCGTAGCCGTTGGAGTGCATGTAGTGAGATCGAAGGGTAGGGGATTGACACGCCTGTTGAGACGGTGCGGGAGAAGAGGAAGAATTTGCTGTTGAGTGAAGAGTTAGTCAGTCGGTATACTCATTTTGGGATGTAAAGGGAATTGATACACTCACTCGGATGTTACCCAGATATCCACGTCTGAGATTGCGACCTCTTTCTCATCGCCGTCCTGCTGGTTCCGGCTTGCGGCACTGTCGTTAGCACCATCCTGGCCGCGCAGGGCACTTAGTGCTGGAGTGGCAAGTAGCTCGCGCTCAAGGATGACGATCTTGCAGCGCTGGCTGTGGTGGTACAATACTGGGGGTCCGGAGTAGAAGGAGCTTGGGGTGCGCGACTGGTGTTCGGCGAGCGGCACGAATGAGGAGGCTTCGGGGGAGCTGTTAATGGCCTCCATATCGTAGTATATATGTAGTTATAGAGAGGGAGGGGGGGAAAAGCTTGAATGATATATATGGAGTTGGGGAATGAAAAGAGCTTCCGGCGCGGGGTGGAGCTACGGCAATGTGTAGCCGCCAGTGCGCCATATCGTATTTTGCTAGCAGAACATTTCATAGGACTAGTATTCGTGTGTTTTATTGACTATAGAAATAAAAATTGATAGAAATTCATGGCGTAGAAATTGACACTATAGAAATTTTGAGATATTATAGAAGTTGAGATATCTAAGGTCATATATAGAAAAGCTCCCTTTATAAATTAAGCCTTTTTTTGGCCCTTTTCTACTATCTACCTAATAAATTGAGAAGGGGGAGAAAATATCTAGAACTACCTAGGTAGATATTAGATAGCCTATGTACCTAAGTAGTCTACTAAAAAAAGACCACTACAACATAAAGACTACGGCTGTATAAGCAGCCGACTAGTCTTGTTATAGAAATTGTGATATTATAGAAATTGACCCTATAGAAGTTGATATTATAGGAATTAATCACTAGAATTTGTAGGTAACAGGAAATTGGCGGTATGACAGTCAAAATTCAATATAGAAAAATACGATATGGCGCACTGGCGGCTATACACTGGTAGAGGGATCTTTTCCGTGAGCTTGGGAGCCGCTCTATTATAATCCATTCTATAATTCTGGTAACCATGCACTTTCTCCTAGGCTGTGAGGAATTTAGCTGAACTTATTAAAAAAAAACCACACATCTCATCTAGTGTAGAAGCGACCGCCGTACTGGAGGATCAGCTATACGCATCCTAGAGGCTCTCACCTCCAGAGGACTGACGGTATATATTGCAACTGGGGCCATGCGACCCTCCATTGGAGCAACACAGGCCTCCACACACCCTACAAGACGAAGTATGCATTGGTCCATTAGATTGAACATCCGATCTAAAGGAGAAGTAATTGCAATAGGAAAGTCTACAGGTAAAACATAATAGTGAAACGTTAAGTGAACATCCGGTGTATCCCTGGGCTTTTCTAAAACTTAGTAAAACGGGAAACGATTGGATTCCTAGGGGGGCAAGATTAGTTATGATTTGATATGACCTCGGGATAATACCTAGGTAATGATTCAATTCGCTTAAGTCACGATATCTTTAATAATCTTAGCGCTGACAGTCAAAGTCCCACTGCCACACGGCAGGTGAAAAGTCGCAGACTTGAACTGCTTTGACGAGGCCTTAGAAGAGCCCAGCGCTGGTAAGGCAGCCTGAACCATATCCTTTAGAGACCTTGTTTCGAACGGTTGATCCACAGTGCCACGTTGAGAATTCGATCCCCAGGCACTCCTGTAATGTAAAGAGCAATGAGGGATGAACCCCTTTCAAGATCACCCTTCATCATTTCACGCCTAGGCCACCAAACGCTCTATCCAACTCTTCCCCATCGTTCTGCGGTGTCATTGTCGGCAATTGTGGAGAGCTCTGATCAGGGGTAGAGCTATCCAGAAGGCTTGGATGGGCATCGCCCTGGACGTCAGGGGAGGCACTGACCCGGCTAGGCTGAAGCAGCTTTTCCTCTCGGTCGAGCCACCCAGGAGCGACGCGTCTTTTTTCAGCCAGCTCGCGTTGCTTGATTGACTCTTTCCATTCGTTGATCGCTTGGTCCGCGTTGGCGCGAGTCTTATTCAAATGTTGTTCGAGGGAGTGGCACGTGGCGAGGATGTCGTCTGGGTGAGCTGCGTGCCCACCGCTTGGGGAGACAACATAACGGGCCTTACCATCCGGGCTGCTTGGATCGACTGTCACTGAAGGAGGTAGAGATGAGGGGACAGATTTGTATGTGTAGGGTAATGTGACGGAGGTCGGGAGATTGATGAAGGGAGAGACGGTCAGTGGGACCTGGGCGAGGAGAGGGTGTGGACCTAGAAGATTGTTAGCTATTTAGACATATATTAGCATGATAGAAATACTGATAGAAATACTGACGATAGGAGTCGTACATGGTCCAAACGTTGAGTTGTCGAAGATGAGGCTGAGTGCGGAGTAGCGGAGTAGCGGAGTAACGGATATGGCACATCACGGCCCCCGGAGCCGCAAAGCACAACACTCACGTATTACCCGATGCACTACATGATCTACTAGATAGTAATGATTAGCTCAAGCAAGGTATGCCAGCCATGGACTTGTCTGTCAGAAAAGGGAAAATAATAATAATAATAATAATAATAAACTTGATCATTCTAAGATTCTAAGATCCCAACATCCTTCAATCTCCAGCGCTACTGGCTTAAATTACTCACATCCAGAAACTACCTGGGTGCCGAAGACTAGCGGATAAGATATCCCATCAAAGTCAATTCCCAGTTGAGATAGAAAGGGAGGCATTGGAAGGATAAGGGATTGACATTGTAGATATAGGAAGGAGACAGCAGCAACAAGAGACAACAACGTAGACAAGAAACAAGACAACAATATGAGTGGAACCATGAGAAGGAACCTTGAACCAAGTGCCCTCAGAAGGACAACAGAGAGCTATCACCGTGGAAAGGTTCCAAAAATTGGGTTCAAGGAGATGAGAGCAGAGCCCCCTCGGAGGTTGGTTTAGATCCAGATCTCGTGATGGACAGTGGAAAGCCTAGGAAAGTATAGGCTGGGATCCGTAGTGGTGAGATTATAGGCCAAGGTTGTTTACAGTGAAAGCCAAACTACTAGTCCATAGGCTACAGAATACATCTTAAGTAGAAGATCAAGTTATATTGTAATTCTACCTAAGAACTTGCTTGGTTTCACCGTAAAGGTTACTTATCCTGAACACCACGTAAAGGTGCAAGTCTTGTTCAGGTTTTGCACACAGGACCCGTGCAACTGGGTAGGGAAAGGGGAGGGGGGGGGGGGGGAGGGGGGAGGGGGGGAGAATAAAGCAAGAAACAAAGAACCTAGGTAAGCAATAAAGGAACAAACAGATAATAGAAACAAAAACAAAGGAGAGAAGAGACGTACCTAAGTAAAACTTCAGATCTCCTGATGTTCAATGGAGAACCCAGAAAAGTACAGTCTGTTTCCGCAGAGGTGGAGGCCCTGATACCAAATCGGGTACCCAAGGGATTCCCAGGGTTCCCTGAGTTGTCCTGTAGGGCTCAAGAGATCTTAGGTTTCCCCGAGCTGTCCTTTAAGGCACCCACCCCACATGCTTCGTGCCATTCACAGCCTTAACTGGGCCGCATCAAAGAGCCATCAGTACCTCAGGGTTGTCCTTCACTGGTCAACAGTAGACATATCTCGGATATGACTCTGGAGCTGAAGGGGACCACGATGTGCAATGTGGATCTAGAGGAAGGAAGGAAGAGAAAGAAGAAAGAAAATGGGGGGGAGGGGGGTATTTATAATTTTCCAGTGGCTGAAGGCAAGCAGGAACTGGGGTGGGGGACGAGTTCTCGAAAAGGGAAGGCACCTGAGCTGGGACGAGACAGCAAGCATGAAGAGTCAAGGCCCACTATCTGTTGCTCTAGATCCTCTAGCTCATCTCAGGTTCACCTTCAGGTGTCAACTCATGAGCTGCAACCTACATGTACCCTGAGACTCTCGTATCATATGCCTAAGAAGTTCTCACTGTAATCCATGCCATGATGATGATGATGATGATGATGATGATGATGATATTATCACTTGCCTGGTCTATATATGTTGCTTTATATACACGCTGCGATGCACAATGGATATCAGACCAAGTCCGTAGCTATGAATGATGAAGTTGAAGTTATGGGGTATCAAAGGAAAAACAGGGCAATATACGTATGACGACGATGTCGAGGGGTAATCGGCGGAGAGTGGACGTTGGAGTATATTTCGGCGGTTGCTTGAGAATGTCTCGGGGAGTAGAGGGCCTCTCCTCCATAAGCAGGGTCGAGAATGTACAAGACAGGCCATGCGGGAGTGCCGACAAAGGAGGCGAGAGAGTTTGGGGATATCGACTCTATCCAGCTTCATATCAGAGAAGAAGGATATTCGTCTGAACTTCCTCCAAGGTCTGGATCCAACCGCCAGGAAAGGAGCGTCGCTTGAACCAGACTCCTTCTAGGACCTCGAGTGCTTTGTCGACGTTCTAGATTGTGAGATATTAGCATTCGGACTGGCCTCTTGATGAAGTTGAATTGCGACATACCCTGAAACCAAACCGCTTCAGCTCTTGCATGGTTTGGCGAACGTATTTCTGCTCACTCTCGTTCCGAGTCTCCTGCCCGGCGATGAAAAGCGGCCATAGAAAAGCCAATTGGCCGACATCTTTTGGCAATTTGTAAGCCAGAAGAAGAATCCGACTGACAAGCATGTCCATGTACGTCCAATCGGTGATCCAACCGACACGCCCAGCTCCAGCGACCTGAAGCAGATGAACGAAGGTCGCCTTCTCGTATGCTTCAATGCAACCGGCATGCTCAAGAACGTCGGGATATGGATACTGAGCAAGGCTCTCGTCATCCAAATCGGTGAGCAGCTGTAGACAGGGTGGGGTCATCGCACGCCATACAACCAGCTGGTTGAATATGTCTTTATACATAGCGTCCGACTGCTCGATTGTCATCCACGTTTTCTTGTCATATGCAAATGTACTGATAGCTGCTTGCACTTCCATCAGACTTGACCATGCCTGCCGTAGCTCGACCAGACGCGGGTTATCCGGAATCGTTGACAATAAGGTTGGTGTCCCGAGATTGTATTCCCACCCTCCGCCCATGGTCTTCCAGTAATTACCTTCGACCACGGTACCGCCGGGGGTTGCACACGCACCCGCCACATCGAGATAGGATAGTAGGGAGACGAGGAATGGACGGAGTGGGTGGTTCGTCTCGGCGACGCGTTGTGCTTCACGTGCCGAGTCTCCGGGTTGCGGGTAGAAGAGGATGTTGTAGATTTCGCGAGCTCCTTTGAGATGTACTGCCCAGTTGTGGTGTTGGGAATCCATCATCTGCAGGAATGTTAGTTAGTTGACGACTGGCAAGTCCGCAAGAGGTGGGGAAACGAACCTCGAACAAGGAGAGCAATAGGCATGTCGCGAAATCCGTTAATCCAAGCTGCTGGCTAGGATCGGAGTATCGTGCGCGGAAGCCCTTCACCACCACACCGTATTTGCTCATTGCCTGCTGGAAATGCCTATTCCGCTGCGACCCCACCGATGTATTTGCGAGATGTAATGCGCCCAATGCCTGCATTGCATTGGCCATCGTTGGCGACGAACGGGCGAAATCCGGAAAATGTGTGCGGTAGGGATTGGCATTGTGCGGGGTGTTGTAGATGATCAGGAGAGTTGATACCTGATCCGCAAAATGAGCGAGATAACGCTCCTCGGTACGCTGAATCGATTTCGCGATGCTGGTGAAGGTAACAGGATCCTGGAAGCGGAACTTGGTTGCTGGTTGTGGTCGCGTTGTGGGGGCGATCATAGCCTGGCAAGTTTGCGGGCTGTCAACATCTTCCCCTAAGGGAGAGGCCGTAGAAGCGTCGCTTGAATCTGGGCTAGAAGTTGAATTGTTGTTCTGCCTCTTCGGTGCCCTGGATAACTCTGGCGGTGAACTCGTCGGTGTCTGGGAGGGTCCGTAAACCTTGAAGGTCATCCGCCCTTGAGCGCCATCGCACTCGCGTCCAAGACGGACACAGTTATTACAGGCGGGAGAGGCCTCGTCGCAGCGAACATGGCGGCGGCGACAGGTGGAACAGCCTGTAAATCCTCGGTGATGCCATCGGCGGATTCGTTTCGGGGGTCCTTGTGTATCCGTGTCTGACAACGGTGCGCCCTCGGTGCGTGTCTCCATCGGGCGCGAACGGTAAAGCAATGGTCAGACATGGACACTTATGAAGATCAATCGGCCATGGTGGATGTGACAAGATATAAGGAGAATCCAAGATTGTCTCCGCAGGCTCTCTGGGTCTGGAGGGGCGCTAACGGCAAAACGCATCAGCTCTGAGCCAATGGCTTGTCAACTTTTATATTAACCCATCTCATCACTCAAAACTAAACACTTTTATACCCCTGCATGTCGGTTTTCTAACGCTTAAAATCTCCTAGCTCGACTTTAGCGCCGAGGTTATCCATATAGGCTGAAGACAATGTCATTCTTCATGTTAGCAGTTTTGAATTAATGCCACACAATCAGGGGAAGACTCGAAGGATTGATCTCAGTAGCCTAAACCATTCCTTCTTGGGAGCTGAGGCCCCCTACCTCGTGGGGGCCGTTTTTGTATGTGGACCATTACTGATTATACGCATCGAACTGGAATGAAGATCAGCCTCAAATCTTAGTAGAGAATACAAGTTCACTTACAATGCATTGTTCAAAAGGCACGCTGGAGTTTAGAATGGCCCCTATGGCCGCCCGGGCAATCGTCACTGGCACCCCAATATGAACCGCCTGCTGCTCTGCCTGTTTGAGGACGGCCTCATTGCGCGAGGGGACGTTCACAGAAGCCCGGGAGGACTTGAAACGGGTCGCCTCGCGGACATATGCGGCTCTATATGAGTCAAGATGTCAATGTTAATGTTATGACTAACTAACCTTAGATCATAGGGTTCTAGATTATAGAAGCCAGAGAGGGTACGGAGGCAGGAGTACAAACCGCCGGTTTAGAAGATCAAGTATTTGATCGTCGATGTCATCGAGCGCAGTGCGGATCTCGTCCAAAGAGTCACAACATGTAGTTATCGTACCATTTAATGACGAAAAATGGACACTCGGGGTGCCCCATGGCACAGGGCGATGGTCGGCTGAAGGTGCTGAGCTGACATTGGAACCATAACAGGCATTATTGACATTTGCGTTGGTTGTTGAACCAATAGCAGTGGACAGGGTTAGAAACCCGAAGAGAACCCGGGAAATCATGATAAGAAGCTAAGGCACGGAGAAAGAACTAAAATTTCGAGGGAATAATACTAATGACAGCCCTAGATTTCCTTTTTTTCCCTCTTGATAGCCTACCCTAACGGGTTAGGATAATCATCAGACTAAGACTAATACGATATTTCCCCTCCAAAGATATACCTTCATACACCAATGCGGGGAAGGTAAGCGGATTTCTCTCCGAGTTTCGTGCCGAAAACCCCCTCTTCGGCTTCTTGGAATTACTTTAAAAGCAGTTGCTTTTCTATTACTTCTAGTCACTATCAATTATCTTATAACTATCCTGCCAAGATGCCCCAAGGTTCAAGACTCCAAGGCAAAGTTGCCATCGTCACCGGTAAGACCGTTATTCTACCATCCCGTTACAGATACTAAAACACACTCATTTTAGGAGGAGGTAATGGATTTGGCGCAGCTATCGCTCGACGATTCGGCGAAGAAGGTGCCAAAGTAATCGTTACCGATATCAACGTTGAGGGCGGCGAGAAAGTCGCCGCTCAGAATCCTTCCAACCTCATCTTTCAGCGCCAAGATGTCACCCAAGAATCGGACTGGAATATGGTGTTAGATCTGGCATTCTCCAAGTTCGGACGAGTGGATGTGTTGGTGAACAATGCGGGCACTACTTATCGCAACAAGGTGGGGGTTTAACATACTGTGTGACGAGACTTTGCTAACTTTCCTTCAGCCGACATCAGAGGTAACAGAGGAAGAGTGGGAGCGTGTATTCAAGGTCAACGTGAAGAGCATTTATCTCGCCACGAAGGCCCTAATGCCGCGTCTCATCGAGCAAGGCCAGGGTGGCTCGGTGATCAATATCTCCTCCACGGGAGCGAGTCGACCACGGCCTGGATTGGTTTGGTATAATGCAACTAAGGGGGCAGTCACTAATGTGAGTAAATGTTTGGGCAGTGGACTTGAATGAATAATTAATCGCTAACAATCTATACAGGCCACGAAAGGTCTCGCCGCGGAGTACGGCCCCCACAATATCAGATTCAACACAGTCGCTCCTCTTCTTTCTGGCACTGGGTTATTCTCAATGTTTACCGGTATGGAAGATACCCCCGAGAACCGAGAGAAGTTCATCGGAAATGTGCCACTGGGCCGCCTCACCGACGTGGATGATATCGCCAACATGTGTCTGTACTTGGCCAGTGATGAGGCTCGTTTTATCAACGGCACTGAGATGGTGGTGGATGGTGGAAAGTGTGTTTAAATGTTTGAGGGTCAGACAAGCAAATTCAACCTTTGTAATTAATCTTTCCATGACGATCTCCCCGCAGAAACGTGTGGTAGAAGTAAAGCTAGTGGACGAAGGTCGTGGGTGGCGGAGGCTCGCGATATATATTGTTAGACAGGGGAGCGAAATGCATAAGGAACAGTTTCAAGATTTGACAGCTATTAACCATTGAAGCCTACGAACATGAAGCCTCTTAATTTGCTTTTCCATTCTACCTTCTACTATGCTACTTTTTATTGCTCTATTTGATACTGATTCGGGCCTCTCGTACACAATCACCTTGGACAAACTTGTAGGGAGAATATCTAGATTTTGGAAACGTTAGGTATTTGAAACGGACGAAAGGGAAATTATGGTGCGTAAATGGGAGAATAGAATCGGCTTGATAATAGAAACCTCCATCTACCTTTCATGAAGTTTTTGTACAAATGCAGCCTGTTTTGAGATCTTTTTTATACTTCATGTGATATTGAGCTAGTTCCCTGCAGTTCTCGACTCAGTTGAACCACCCTCGAACCCCCATATAGCCCCAATGAGAAATCGGTGAAAGCCGCTATGAGGGCTGGATATCTGTGTACAAAATAGGTTTGATTTGGATTGCAAAAGCGCCAGATCCGATTATCGTTAGCAATCTCACTGGTTAAGCAGGGGATGAACCATCCAGAGATGAAACGTTGCAGCCAGGAAAGGTTGCACAGACATGAGAAAGGGACACTTACCGAGTGTTGGAATGTAGGTCTCATTGTGGATAGATGATCATTCTACATGATATAGTAGTATGCATCATACTAACGATCACGGCTAACCTGCCATGAAGGGAAGGCTGGAGTAAGGCAGAACTTTGCGCGATTCAAATTGATATGTCATGGTAAAGGGTAAAGCAGGGGTGTACTACATAGTTGTATGAAATAGGTATCTTCGCATGCAGTACCCTCTAAACCCTGAATGCTGAAAGAACAAGAAGCAAGGTAACTGTGTATGGTTGCACTAACCTCAAGATATACCATGAATCATGTATTTCGTATTTCTCCGGGCAGATTCTAAGCGGGATTTAAAAGAATATAGTCTATTTTGTTCAGCTCTGGTCGTTAACCCGCCTCTCGAAGCTATTGTGTCCCATCCAATTTCCATCATAAACGATCAGCGAACATGAATGTAATGGCCAACCAACATTAGCATTCTGCCATCACCCTGCTTGTCTAAGCTACATTCTAAGATGAAATATTGTGATCGCTCACATTGCATGGGTTTGATGCACCCACATTGATACGGACCAATGGTTGGCTGATAGTAAAGACGGTGAAATATTTCAGCTCCTCATGTTAGGTGGTATGCACTTCATGCCTCCAGTTTACACGGAGAGGCACATGATGCAAACAATTCTGTTCTATATTCGAAGCTCCGGAATAGGATAAATAGCTGAATGTATTATCGTGTATGATTTGTAACTTTCCTATATAAGAGAGGCCTGCCTTCCTCGATCTCACGAAACTACAACCCTCTTGAGTCAATTCCACTCATTACCACTCACTACCCAATACCTCAAAATGAAGCTTTCCACCTTCCTCCTCGGAGCTCTGGCTTGTGCTGTTTCCGGCTCTTATGCCGGCTCCCTCGGCCCTAATGCGCCTTACTGCGCTCTCGGCGCCACCTGTGAAAATACTCCGCAGGACTGCTCGGATCTTGGAGCAACTGGAACAGAGTTCGTACGTATTCACTGCACCTTGATGAGATTTGGAATATATCTGACATGACGGACAGACATCGACTCCTATTTACAATGATGCCGGCGAGGTGAGTCCAAATTTGCCTTTTTTGCTTAGAAGATCCAGTTGCTCAGACGTATTAGGTTTGCTACCAATGCTGCAAGGGCTAGGCGTTGTCGTCACCAGTGTCAGCTCGTTCGTTGAGCGCCACCTCTGGGTTAAGATAGCTGAAAAGAAAATAGAAACATTTTTGCTTCTTCGTATCAGGCAAGATCGTCTTGGGCTGTTCTTGTCATATATTGTATATCCATCTAGACAAGAAAGTGCTGGTTCCGTAAAACATATAAAATATATAAAATGCATAAACAACATAGTTGTGGAAAGCTCTCTAAGCTTTAACGTTAACCAAGATCCAAGGATCGGTCCGGGGCGGCTACTCGGGTCGGCTAAGCAAGGGGGTTTTGGTATGTGGACATGTTGCACAAGCATGCCCTTATACTTGACGATCTACTCCGTGCTTGGCAATCTACTTTCCGATAATTTCATAAAAATTCAATTTAGAAAACTAAAAACCCCGAAATTGAGTGCAATCTGATAATCAGTCGGTCAAGCCAGAACGATACAAATCCCTCTACTAGACACCAATAATCTCCTTTATACCCGAGATAGAAGGAGTGAAGAAATACTCTCCACCCTCTGCAATGACACAGCGTTGGAGCTTCCACTTCTCCGCCACGCTGGGATCGTCGAACCTCGGCATGCTGATAAAATTCGATTCATCATCATCCTCGGCCCATTGACCGATGATAGGATCGAGCCCAGGCTCTGGCCCGCCGTTCCTGGTCTTCCCAGGAGGGAAAGAGGTTTTGTTGGCCCATTCTAGAATACATGTTAGTCAATGCCTATGCCACATGAACCTTCTGGGAGCTTACCATTCTGCACCTGACGGAATCCGTTGTGAAGGTTACTCTGATAGGACACGAATAGAAGGCCACGATCGTGCGTCGTCACCCCATTCCGTTTCTCCTCATCACTGGTAACCGGCCCAAACGAGATACCGCGACGAATCATTGCATGGGTGTCATCCAAGGTGCCGTCGGGGCGCATAAGTTCAGCTCGAGGACGCACTTTTCGGATGTGCGACGCAAATGGACATTTGTTTTGGTGCTGTATGTCCTGGAAATTGAAGTTGTTCGATGACAAGAGCTTACGGTCTTCAGCGCTGAGTTGACCATCATCCTCGGGAAGAGCTTTGTCAGTGAGCACATCAGTTGGCGCTGGTTTCTCCTCAAAGGAGATACCTACAATCGACATGTCAGCCCAACCTCTGCACAATGTGCTTTAGAAGTAAAAACCAAACTTACCGTTGGGCCATCTTCCCACTAGACGAGAGGACAAGGTGGAAATCACTCCCAATTTCAAGCCGCCTTCATTTGGTAGCGCCGCTTGTGGCATAATGTTTTGTACCGCCCAACTAGAAATTGTGGTTAGTATCAATCCACGCAATGCTTGCCTGTAACTTACTTGGTGAACTCGGGAACCAGCTGCTTCAGCCTGCGGAAGACCATGAAGCTACCATCTTTCGCCCAGTCGGGATGCGATTGAGTATCACCCTCCTCTCCGACGATGATGTAACTGTTGGTTAAACGTTAGTCTCCTATTCCTTTGAAGAATCTATCTTCGAAATCTCACCCAGGATGAATGTTGCCAGGGGACAGCTTTTCGGTGTTCTCTGGATCCAATCCCTTGATCAGAGGCTGGGACACACCGTCTTTCCATCCGAAGCTGGGGCATTATTAGCAGCATCGACATATATTAAACAGACTTCCACATACTGTTCAATGTCATATTTGTTCAGAACCGCGCCACTTTGAGTGAACAACCATCTCACGGTCTTAGAGAACCTAGGATTAATGCCGTCGGTCATCCAATTGTTCACAGTCCCCTCTGAACTGGCGGCCAAGGTAAAAACTCCGTCAATCTGTCCACGCGATCCCTTGAACTCGCCCAGCCACTCGGCATCTCTGTCAAGTCCGTCGTGGACCATGTCATGATACATGCCACTTTTGAAGATATAATCTCCAAGGTCTGTCTTTCCAAGCTAGATAAAAACCAATTAGCTGGTGAACAAGATCTACAACCAATGTAGCTTACTTTCTCGAGGCCAGCGGCAGAAAAAGAAATGTTTGTGCAAATGGTCTCGACCAATTGGCTCCAAAGCCCACACCACTTCGCCTCGTAGAGCTTGCCACGGAGGCGGTGCGCGGTTTCTGCGGTGGTGAGATGCTTCAAAAATATGCCAAGTTCATGTTTGAACTGCTCCACGTCCACAATCTCAAAGAATAAGAATGTCTCATATTTCTTGGGCAGCCGGGGCCTGGAACGCTGTCAGTTTAAGCCTTCATTTACCTGAGGGTTTACTCACCAAATGTCACCCTGGATGTTTTTGATGTTTGGTGCCATTTGGAAAGGATAATTCTCGGTATTCCTTTACACGGTAACTGAGAAGATGATCTGAAGTTGGATCTCTTTGGAGTGTGTTGAGGCACCTTTTATATCCCACTGTCTGGGTTGAACCCCACTATCTAGAGGGAAAAATCGGTCAATATGCTACGTTGCAAAACATGATTATCAATGTAGTACCATCAGATGGCCGGATGTGCTTATGCATTGCATTCGAACAGCATCTGAACACGGATTCGACAAGTGAATGACGGTGCCTATATGTCTCTGATATTATACGCCCAGACTCTCTATGCAATCCACGTGGATATGCAGCAAGCATTAAGTTATGCATCCTTCCTGATGGCGTCCAGCATAATCGATGTTGCCCTAATGCAAAACTGATTCATGTTCCATGTGATAAACCAATCATAGCCACAATAATAGGGTCACCGAAATTAGAAAGACGGGAAGTGGCATGCACCATTCTTATGTCCTCATTCTTAGGAAGAACGTGCACAGTACGTGAAAGCGTAGGAACTTGATATTCTCGCTATTTATCAAGACAGCGCTGGAGGGCATATGTACCATGATTCAGTCTATAGGGAGGGACAAATTATATGCAAGCAATTTCAAAATTTGCACGAGTATCCACCCCCATGTTGCATAGATCTACATTATTCGGGCGGGCATCGATCCCACGGTACCAGATCCATCATTTCTTTGTGCTGGTCTTTCTTCTCGCATTCCCTTGCGTAATTATCTGCCGCTTTAGGAGGTCCCGGGTCATTGGCAAGCATTAGGCGTAACGATGCTGGGGACGATGCTCCACTATGCCTGGCCAGTTACACGACATGGGTAGGTCAGAACTTCTGCAATGCTCCAAGGTTACAGTTATTACTTTCTTTTTGAGAGAGATCGGCGTCATTACAGATGCCTGCTCAATGAGGAATAGGCCATCGCCATACCTGCCTACGGAGTAGGTATATGTAGGTAATGCGTCTGACCCACCTCTGAGATCGGGCTATACAGTATTATCCTCTGGTTTGATGATCGATAAATGAGATGTAAGGTACAATGACATTTTCATCGATCAGAAAGCGAGTCTAAGGGCCGGTCTTGAGCAGGTATGGTAGATACCGTGGTCTTAACCATCTGTAAATTGAAAGTATAAATATACATACACCGGACCGGCCCGTAGAACGAACTTAATCAATTACCTAGGAGAATATACCAACGTGCTTACGGGTAAGGCGTTTTACTTCCACATTCCACATTCGTAGATAAAAGATTGGGCTGAGCTGAAACGCCTTCGGATCGTCAAAGAAATGTGCTAGAGGCAAGGGCATGTGAACTGAAACGGACAAATTCCAGGGCCAATCTCCCATTATCGAATGCTCTCCTTGCAGAAGGAATCCGATCAAGATTGTTACGATATACATTCAACTAAAACGGATCTTCGTAGTTCGCCTGTAGAGATATAATATTTAAGTCTGCCTATGGTTAAGCCTCTCTTGAGCCTGGAGTAGCAGAAACGATAACGGGCAAGATGCACCTCAGGTGGCTCACGGGATTCTTGCTGCTGGGTCTCGCCCAGGCAGACAACGACAACTCAGTTATCTCGGATAAGCAGGTCGCAAACCAAGATCACTCTGCCACCACGGATCCTTATGCTACAACCCAAGCACCACCGCGTGGAGAGAAGCTCAGCCGTCGCAGATGGTCTGTTACCTGCGACAGCAGCCAGTCGGGCAATGAGTGTGAAAAGCTCTTCGACAACGACCTCCAGTCCTTCTGGTTATCAGGAGCCGCGGGGGAAACCCATGAAGTCACCATCGATCTCAGTCGGGCTGAAAACGTTCATGCCATTTCCGTGGTGTCGCGCCAGGATGGCAAGACGGACGGGCAGATCGCGGCCCATCAGGTTTTCGTGAGCGGAGACAAGGATAACTGGGGCGAACCGGTTGCTTATGGGACATGGTATGAAGGCACAGGCGAGAAACTTGCCATCTTCGAGCCTAAGGAAGGTCAATACGTCCGCCTGGTGTCCCTCGGCAGCAATGTGGCCAGTATCTCGGAGCTGAACATCTATGATGGTGCCGACCCCAAAACCGTCCCCAACGGAGGTGCCTGGGGCCCTACCATTGACTTGCCTGTTGTGGCTGTCTCAGGCGCTGTCATCCCCGAGACAAACGAGGTCCTTGTCTGGTCGTCATGGGCAAAAGACGACTATCTTCACTCTCGTGGGTACACCCTCACGGCCGTCTGGAATATGAACGACAACTCGGTCACCCAGCGCAAGGTCCAAGAGACACACCACGACATGTTCTGCTCTGGCATGTCTTACGACGGCAAGGGTGAATTGCTTGTTACTGGTGGCAACAACGATAAGTCTACTAGCATATTTGACCCAGCCTCCGGCAACTGGACGGAAGGTAATACCATGATCATTAGCCGCGGCTATCAAGCCTCCGCAACTCTTGCCGATGGTCGCGTGTTTATCATCGGTGGCTCTTGGAATGGTGGTACGAATTACGACAAGGACGGCGAGATCTACGATCCTAATACCGAAAAATTCAGCTTCCTAAAAAACGCTTTAGTGAAGCCCATGTGGACGGACGACCATGACTCTGGTTATCGGCGCGATAGTCATGGCTGGCTCTTTGGATGGAAGAACGACACTGTGTTCCAGGGCGGACCCAGCAAGAATATGAACTGGTATTATACCCAAGGAGATGGCGACCAGAAGCCTGCAGGAACACGCGCCGATGCCAACGATTCTATGTCTGGTAACGCGGTGATGTTCGACGCAGTGAATGGCAAAATCATCACCTTCGGCGGCTCGCCCTCTTACGAAAACTCGTACGCCACCACAGATGCCTATCTCATTGAGATCGACGAGCCAGGCTCTCAACCCAAGGTGACCGCAGCAAAGAATCCCAACGGGGAGGGCATGGCCTACGCCCGCACATTCCACACTTCAGTGGTTCTCCCTGATGGTGGTGTCTTCACTGCCGGTGGGCAGTCATATGGCGTCCCATTCAACGACAGCAACGCACATTTGACCCCCGAGTTGTACGATCCTAAGACCAACCAGTTCAACGAACAGCAGCCCAACAGTATTGTTCGCGTTTATCACAGCATTTCCCTCCTCCTTCCTGACGGCCGTGTCTTCAACGGTGGCAGTGGTCTGGGTGTCTCGGCCCCTACCAACCATTTCGATGCGCAGATTTACAGCCCCCACTATCTGTTCAATCAAGACGGCTCACTCGCTACCCGTCCCACCATCAACGGTGTGGCTAATAAGAACCTCCGTGCCGGCGACAAGCTCAGCATCGGCGCCAGTATCGATGTCAAAAATGCATCTCTAATCCGCTACGGTACGACCACCCATACTGTCAACACCGATCAGCGCCGCATTGCCTTAGATTCGTGGACTGCGAATGGAGATTCGTATGAAACTACTCTCCCTGCGGATAGTGGTATTCTTCTACCAGGTCCTTGGATGCTGTTCATCTTGAATGACGACGGTGTCCCGAGCGTCTCTCAGACCATCCACATTCAGGTTTGAGGGCTTTTCAAATTGGTTGCAAGAGTATTGCATCGCAAGGCCTTTGCCATTCCAATGCATGGATGGCTTTCTCTGATGAGTGATCGTGAAGTGATGTTTGGAGACTAGTTATTTTTTTATTTCTTTTTACTTCCTTTCTTCTTGGCTTGTATTATCACAGTCTTCGGCGTGAACAGCCGTGCTTGACTCGAATTCCTTCAGCCAATTTCCCCTTCGGCAACACATCTTTCTTGGTTTGCATGTATCAAAATACCAAAATAATTAGATAGTAACATGGCATGCTACATGACCTTTTTGCACGTATCCCTGAATATAGCGTAGGATAGATACAATGTGCCCTAATATTTTCTCTTAAAAAAGAGATATCAACAACCAGCCTACATCATTACGTGATATTACGAGCCCCTCCAACAGAAATTTTTAATCTAAATGGTTAATCTATATGACACCAGATCGGGCGGATGATATAAAACTTCCGATCGGCATCGGCATTTTTGGCGTAAATGCCGGTGCCGCAGTCCCCGCCACTTCAATTTCTGACCGCCTGACTTACCGCCGGTTTTTAATTGTTTCCGGGTTACCAGTCCTGTATCTTGGACTTAATCGTGCCAAGCCCACCAACACTACTACCCAGTGTTGGCCCACACCGGTCCGAATGATGTAAAATTGGTGGTGCTAATTGTATAGAATACTGAAATTACACAATATATTGCAGGCAGAATATGAACTGCCGTGCGGGGATCGAATGACATGCCAAGGAAAAACACGGGTCGGAAACGATTCGCTTATGTCTATAGCGCGAACTGAAACCAGAGGTGATATTCAGGGACCTGCCATTTTAGACTACTCGAATGGAGACATGTATACTACGTGAACATCTGGTAGACATATGAACCTACTGGATGTAGGATTTGGACATGCAGATCTGGACATTTGCCGCCTGTACCTGCATAACCTCGTTCGTATTGGGACACGGGCAGGGGTAGTACTTTGGACATCGCACATGGCATAGATGGGATAGACCAGATCTCAAGGAACCTTGGAAGTTTCAGGGTTTCATCCCTGTGAACGATCAAGTTAGGCCCACTTATTCATCCCCACAAAGTGGATTCGTCCACGGGTCCAAACAACCTACCGAAATTGGAAGGAACCTTTCACCATATCCATGGATCTGTCCATGTGCCCATGGTACTGGAATTTACCATCTTGGTAGGTACCATTGTATCTAAGTACATAGGTACCTAGTCCACGGGTGTAGAGGCTGCTGCTGACCTCGAGTTTTGATATTCGGCCTGCAAGCAGCATATAGATGTGAAATGCCCGATGTTGTGGATAGATTTATTGGCTCTGCATGGTTCATGGGGAAAAAGGGGGAGAGAATAATAGGTGCCTAATATATTAAATTGCCACTCAAGTGCAATATAGACATACTATCATGTAGTACTTTGTACATCATGTATAGTACCCTAGGAATGGGTGGCGTCGGAACAGTATAAAGCAGTTTGCAGATCATCGTTTGAAATAAACACTTCAACGTTTCGTGTTTATCAACTTTCAAAGTACAAGGTAATACTCCATAATGCAATAAGTCTATATAAAGGGCCTTCCCAACCCGACAGAAGACTTCGGTCCACACAACCAATCCTCTCAAACCATCAAAATGAAGTTCTCTCAATCCCTCCTCTTCGTTCTCCCATTCCTCCAATCCGCCGCAGCCCAGGGCGGTGGCATGGTCGGCATCGGCTGGTCCGTCGAGAACGTCCCGGACGAGGGCTTGTCCGAGATTTTCTTCCCAATGGACATCCCCGGCGCTCCGCACGAGGGCGGCTTCTACTTCGCCCAGCAATTCGGCTTCGTCGACCAGGATGACGTGGGCTACACCGGTCTGCAGCCCCGTGAAAACGACCACGGTCTTCCCGTCATCCACGGCGTCTTCTCCAGCTTCCAAAAGGGCACCACCTCCGACGACCCCAACTGCTCCGACGGTGCCGACGGTGGTCCCGGCGTGAGCTGTGCTGTTGAGATCGTCAGCTCTTACGATCACCAGTACCAGCTGCACATCAAGAACACCGAGGGAACCAAATGGGTCGGCACTTTGGTTGATGTTGTCAAGGGAAACAGCACCCAGATCGGCTCTTACACGCTTCCTGCTGGATCGAAGGGTATTCAGAGCTCCCAGATGGGCTTCGTCGAGTTGTACGGCTGGAACGACAACAAGAAGGAGCACGTGTGCTCCGATGTGCCCAAGCAATCTGTTATTTTCGGCGCACCTATCTCGAAGGGTTATGATGGATCCCTGAGTGAGCCTTATGAGTACGGTGACTGTGTTGGTGAATCCCAGTTCGAGACACACAGCCACTCTGATGGCAGCTACTCGGTCACTGTTGGATGGTAAATGGAGGAACTCTGTCTGGTTTATCGGGCATGAATTGAACTTGGACAATCCCCAAAATCTCCATCTGTCAATGGATTCTCCATGAAGGACATCCAGAATTTATTTCTCTTGCTGGATGAAACCACGAAACGATGTCTTTATATCCTGGGTCAACTACATACAGGGGGGGTATGGGTGTACGGATTTTAAGTCAAACAACCTTTTTAGAAGCTTGAAAGAGATAATACTGTTCAAGTTCAATTCAGTGCACACTTTTTTCCTATGTAAAATATCTGTCTTATTTTAGAAAATATCTAGGTCTGACTATGAACAGTCCCTCAGAACTCGAGACCGCGAGTCTCTCAGAACAAACCCTTTATCATCTATTATCTAAAACCGCCTGCTCTCAACGGCAGGCTTATTTCCAACAGCAACCTCAATCTTCTCAATAACCTCATCCGTCAACTTCTCCACCACCTCCAAAGCCCGAATATTATCAAGAACCTGCTGCGGTCTCGACGCACCGGTAATCATAGACGAGATATTCGGATTCTTCAAAATCCACGCAAGCGCCAACTGCGCCGTCGAAACCCCAAGCTCCTCAGCAACAGGCTTCAACGCCGCAACCTGATCCAGCTGACGCTGCCACGTATCATTACCAACCGTCTTCCGCAGACTCTTCACATAACCATCCTCCGACTCCGCCAGCCGCGACCCAGCCGGAGGCGCAGCAGTATCATTATACTTGCCCGTCAAGACACCACCCTTCAGCGGTGAGAACACCGTGAGACCGAGTCCGTGCGCCTCGTACAGCCAGCGGTACTCCTTCTCCACGCGCTCGCGCACGAGGAGATTATACTGCGGCTGCTCGACGACGGGACCAACAAGACCGAGTCTGTCGGCGATGCGCCAGGCATCCGCAATCTCGCTGGCTGACCACTCCGACGTACCCCAGTAGAAGGCCTTGCCATTGTCGATGAGGTAGTTGAAGCCGCGGACGATCTCTTCCATGGGCGTGTCGCGGTCTGGGCGGTGTGCGTATACCACGTCTACGTATGGCAGTGCTAGGCGTTGCAGGGAGAGGTTCATGCCCTCGATGATGTGCTTGCGGGAGAGTCCGTTGTTGTTGAGTGGTTTGTCGGGGTTGGCGCTGTTGGCTTTGCCCCGGTAGATCTGAAAAGGAGTTAGTGGGGATAGGGAAACTGGATGGGCAATTGTGTTTCTTACTTTAGTGGAAATGACCAGGTCGTTTTGCTTCCAGCCGAATTTCTTGATTGCCTCTCCGAGGACAATCTCCGATTGTCCGCCTGAGTATACTTCGGCGGTATCGAAGAAGTTGACGCCGGCATCGTAGGCAACCTTCATGCATTCAAGGGCGGTTTCTGTTGTCTGTTAGCTTTGATTAACTACATTGATAGAGGTGGCCATACCATTCCCGACGTGGCCGCCATATGTGAGCCAGCTGCCCAGCGAGATAACCGAGACTTTCAGTCCGGTCCTACCGAGGAACCGGTACTGCATTTCAGGAAGAGCGTTAGGCATTGTGAACTGTGTAGAATCAAGATAAATCAAAGGAAGTAAGAAGTGAATTCCCAAGGGAGAAGACTTTATATATGTTTTGTAGGTAGACGGGCCGATGCGGGGTTAAGACGCGGAATCCACCTCGTGTTTCCCCGATTGGGACCCCGAGAGGTTAGACCTTCCGTCTTTTAGGCTAATTAGATTGTGTTGAACTACCTAGGCAAGAATTGTGCAATATGTGGTGACAATGACCTCAACAGTACGATTCAATTAATGTTTACTACACATTACTTAGTTCTCTCAATTATTCCCCCTTACTTTCAATAACATCAACGTTGCCCTCATCAAACCCAATTGGATACATGTACTCATCGAGTTCGGTATTCACACCCAGTTGGATTAGCACCAGACCAGTCAGGATAGACTGGAGTCTGCGCCGGGGAGGCACATTGACAAAGATTGGCTTCCAGAGGTATATCCGAGCAAACGCCTACTGGCTGGGTGGCGCAGTACTCATTGATCGACACAGAGGTCGTCACCGTGGACAGTAGCTGTACGGCATACAGAAGGTATCATAGGTTGACGAACCTGGTAATAGGGTCATGCTGTACCATTGATTTGTGGCACAGGAGCAGGAGACACCTACAAGAAGCGAGGACATCCAAATTAGCCTCGACGCTCGAGTTTTACCTCGTGGGAAAATGAATAAGAACGAAGACAGAGAAAACGAATCAAGAAACTCACCCCTAATCACAGTCGATTCTCCTCCCACCAACGTGCCCTGGTAGATGGTCGACGTCGAATACGGGATAGCCCCATTCGAGCACTTCGTGGTGATCCAGGGTTCACTGAGAGGGAAACAGCTCGATTGCTCCATGCAATGATCTGGATGCCAAACCGACGGGAAGGATCCCTGTGGGCACTCGAGTGGAGGCTCCTGGCTAAAGCAATACGAGATTGGGGTTCCCATTGTACAGTCTGTCGTGTAGACGGCAGTCTGTCCATCTGAGCATAAGAGCTCGGGGCCTTGGGTGATCACCGCCGGAGCTGCAGCCGTGGTGATCGAGCCGGTTTGTTGAGGAACAGCCATTGTGGCCGAGAGGTAGAACGCGAGAAAGAGATAGACTCGGAGGGGTCCCATTGTGATATTGTCAAAGTTCATCAAACAGGTGTAGAAGAACTTGATATGAGAATTCCACTAGTGTGGTGTGCAGCAGCTGCTGTAATTGAGCCAGAAACAACTTTCTCTTCGGAGCGTAGAGCTGGATCTTGTTTTATATTGTCGTAGATCCAGCAGGATAGCCCGATCTGGGCTCTTGAGGTTCGAGAGTCGCTCAGCTTGGCTGATCGAAGCTACCACGGTAAAGTAACAGTGATAGATTTGCTGGCACGTCAGAGGCAGTGAAGCTCAGCTCATACTACCTCGCAACTGCATGCAACCCTTTGATACATAGCGTTCACTAGGTCGAGAACGCTCTTTCCAAATTCCTCGGCCTAGCTGGGCATAGTCTTAAAAATAGTAGCTTACCCCTCGTCAACAAGGCAGGGGATCCTTATTCGGGAAGTCCATGACACAGAAAACACTTTCGCAGTAACGGGATCAGTGGTTATCGATGTCACTTCAGTGGCCAAGTATAACAAGGTCTTGAAATGACACTGGAGCAGAGAATGGGTTTCCATGTTGCGCGATTTAAGTGTGCTACACGGACAAGTGGTCGGGGGGAGATAAACCGTCGCAAGATACATAGTTGGCATCGTTGCGACGCTGACTTGACTTATCTTGGGTGAAGCGGCTGGATAGATGATTGCGAATATTCGTGTTCTTTGTCACCTTCTAGACCATCCATTTTTGTTCTGTCTTGGAATTGATGGTCTCGCCGCTCTTGTCGGGGCTCATTATGTCCCATCTGTCCCACAAGGTTGTCGCACGGAATATGTACAGCATGGCTTTTGCCAACGGAGCTAAGGTAGGCTGGTCTTTGTTTTGTATGGAGATACTGAGACACCTGTTGGAAGGTTGAGTTGAAATGAGACATTGGAAAATGGTTAAAATGCGAAAGGCGGAGCTCAACTGAGACCTACAACATACGTTGTACATTGCTGAGACCCGGAGATAACCAAAATGGTGCACAGGGATGGAATGCAGGCAACTCGCAAAGAAGCTTGTACGTTTTACCTCGATTTACCTCGATTTACAGAGGGATTATTATCGACCAATGCGATTCAATTGTACCAGCCAGGACTATTTAAAACTTTATCACGAGAACGACAGTATGGTCAATGTACACCCTCCCCGACTGACTGGAGGATGTCCAATCAGAACAAAATAAATGTACATGAATCAAAAGGCTCCCAGGGTACAATCCAGCAAGTTCAAAGTCCAACTTGATATAGAAGCAGAAGATATATCCTTTCGGTCAAAGGCGACAGAAAGGAGATGCGCTGCGTACTTTGCGCATTGGGTTCAAGTCACCCACAGAGGTTGTTAAACCTAGTTGTGCATGTGACCGTGACGGTGGTGAAGATGTCTACGGGCATGGCCAGCAGCCTGCACCGGTTCCACAGGTTCCGGGACAGTGTCCTTCTTCACGTAGGAAACGGCCGTAGAGGTCTCCATAATGGTGCTGCGGGTAGTGGAGACAGTTCGCACGGCGCCAGAGCTAGTCGAGTAATTGTTACCCTTTCCATCACAGAGGACGACAACATCGCGTTCGAGATAGATGATCTCTTCGGTGAAAGGATCAACAACCGTAGATGTGACAGGAGTCGGGGTTGGCGAGGGTGTCGAAGTGGGGGTGGAAGTGGGAGTGGAAGTGGTAGTAGCTTGGGCAGTGCTAGTAGCTTGGGCAGTGCTAGTAGTTTGGGCAGTGCTAGTAGCTTCGGCAGTGCTGGTAGCCTCGGCGGTGCTAGTCGCACGAACCAAGGTGTTGGGATCAACCGAGACCTCAGGAATAGAAGGAATAGAGAGATTGGGAACCACGGTGTTGGGGTCGATCGAGATACCACCAACGGAAATAGTGGGAAGCGAAATCACATTGTCGGTGGTGGTGGGCTTCGGCTTCATCGAGGCAGGCTCAGGACCCCACTCGACAGGCATGCCGCCAGGCAATCCGCCATGGTGCATTTCACAGTTTTCGTCCTTGATCTCGGATGGGATGGAGAACTGGCATTGACGCTGCTCATCTTCAGTCTGGATGTTGAAGACTTTGCACTCGTCAATGACACCGCTCTCGCTGGTGCAAGTTTCGATGGCCTCCTGCAGCACACCCGAATCCCAGGCCTGCATGAAATCACCGTGGTATCCGAATCCTGTGGGGTCACCGTTGGCCAGCGCGAAGTATCCGTCGTAGTCCTTGAATGCGTAGGTGTCCCAAATAGTCTCGTAGAAGAGCGATACCAGGCGAGTTTCGAAACCCTCGGGGCAAGTACCATCCATAACAAGCGACGGGTATGCGACGTGGGACTTGTGGTCAGGGGAGTCGGCATCCTTGCCATTCCAGCAGGACGGGAACATCAACTCGATACGGATTCCATCGGTACAATGCTCATCGAGGAAGGCCTTGTCGGGCAAGAAGTGGCGGTGGAGGGAGTCTTCAGCGGCAGTCTTATAGTTCAGACAGTTGAAGCCAATGGCCTTCTGGCGCAGAGCAGCCTGCGAGGCCTGGTCACCACTCCACTCGGACTTGGGAGGGTCGGGAACGGGCCAGCTGAAGTTGCGCAGGAAGGGGTCACCTGCCAGCATGCGGAAGTCATCAGGGAAGGCCTTGATGTTCTCTCCAGTAGAGAAGATAGTAGCTAGCCGAGCGATGTTAGTAGAGCTCCACCACGGGAGCCAAAATCGGACTTACGCAAGCATGCCTCCAACCTCGTCAACTACCTGGGCACTGCCATTGGTGTGCATGAAGTACAAAGCGGGAGCCCAGTAAGCAGACTTGTCCTGGGTCACTGCGCACGAGGTGCAATCACCGCTGAGGAGCGAGCTCTGATCCGAGCTCATGCCAAAGTCTAGCCACAAGTCAGCACATCCGTTGGTGACAATCGAAGCTTTGGGACAATGCGCGCTTACTTCCACCTCCATGGACCGCGTGAGCGTGACCTGAGATCTCACCCGGCTCCACAATGGGGTCCAGTCGGGCGAGACCAGATCTTCCACGGCAAGGAAGACGCCAAAAAGCATTCGTATAGCTTGGGAACAGCGCGAAGCAGGCCATAACAACGGCCGTCAGTTTAAGGTCCTGCATGTTGCAATGGTTGAGCCGCGTCCACGGGCTCGATTGGATAAAAATAAAGAATGAATGATCTCAGGGACACAATTGTAAATGACAGACTCGCCTACCGAATCAATCGGTTATAGCGTGGAGAAAGGAGCGAGAGACAAAGTGTACTAAGCAATATGTTAGGATGTAAAGTCAAGGCATTAAGCACAACCCCATGCAGATTCAAGATTCCATGCCAATCGTCATCTTATACCCCCTTCCAGTACAAGGGTAGAGGAATGATCCCTTGCTTGGCTGGACACACCACTTCCGAGGGATCGAGTAAAGAAGGTAGCAAGGTATGCGACTTACCGATCTAACGCGTTTCTCCTGACGTCAGTAAACAAAGATGATTTCTGGCGATTGACGATGTCTGTTGCGATCCCTGATGCGCCCATTTTATCAGCCTCAACTCTATTTTTTTTTTCAATAAAACGCCCCCTAAAACCCCCCAAAAGCACTTACTTGGATTCCAAGTATAGAAAAGAGCGAAATAGTAAAAAAGAGCGACAATAATAATGAGTGACAGACCCTGAGATAGGGCAAAAAGAGGGAGACGCAAGTAAGAGAGGGGAACAAAGGGAACAAAGGAGCGGACACGGGGATCAAGTACTTCAAAGAAAAGTTAGAAAAATGCCCAAGACCCTCAATAATGAGGCGCCAATCCCCCCCCTTAACGAGTTAGTGCTTGGAGAGGGGCCTGAGTTTAATGAGCCGACCAATCCCTTGATATATGGGATATTAGGGATATTAGGTACGGAGTATACTATTACAATATCATCTCCCCTGTCTATGTCCCTACTATGTTACAATCGGATTCCGGGATAAGTTCATGGGATTTAATATAAAATGTTAGAACACGAGGGAAAAGAGAGGGGAAGATTCTCCAGGCATCCCGTGTGTTCAAGCCGACTGAAACGAACGGCGCGTTCCTGGGCTAAATCACTAGCGTCTTGGAGAACCCCACGTTGAGAATGTGGATTGGCTGAAAGGGGAGATGAAACGACCCCGTAAAATTATATATAAAATTATATAAAATTATACCCCTATTTAGTCGGGAAATTTGACATTCGATATAAAATTAATCGTACGGAGTACTATAAGTTGCATATGTTGTGCGGAGTAGAGTTCGTATACTCCGTTCGGATATAGATGGTTAACTATCTACATATGTAGTTTAATGGTCAGACTACAGACGATAACCATTTGAGGTTTAAGGGAAATATCATTCCAATGCAATGTCCCGATCCTATAACCCGTAATGTCTCAGATCTCACATAGTGAAACCATGAACGTAATGAAGCTTTTTAGTATTAGTTAACGGACTCCGTAGTTCACCGGCACTCCGCTATTCGATATATATTCTAATAATAAAGTCGTCTATGGATATGTTTTATTATTAGATCTGCTGTGGGGATAGCAGTTTTGGAAATCCTACTAGGATTCCAGAGTATATATATATTCCTCCGAAGTTGCAATTAGGTCTTAGTTAAAATAGAAGGCTCCCATGGATACCAAGGTTCCAAATTACTTCTTTGCGGGATACCTTTGAAAGCGTAGTAGAGTAGAAAGTGAAGATTCGTTCAATGATTCTGATGGTCTTTCCTCATCGGGACCCCAGCATCGGAACATCGGAAAGCGGCAGATGGCAACATTGGCGTTAATAACGAATATCATACAGATCAGAGTAGATTTCGAAGCTCTAGGGGTCTACCATAAGAAGGCAATCCATATACAGTACACTGTTCCATGTTGTACAACGCAATTACACCTTCACCTCCTCGAGTGCCTTTCTGGCTCTCGCAACGCACTCTCGTGCACGGGATTCAGATACATCCTCGACAGCCTTACCACCATCCCGCACAATACCACGAAGAGCAGATTCAGTGTCCAGCAGCGATGTACGTCCTTCCTCGCGGACCTCCTCTTCCCAGAAAGTACGGGCGACATCCCACCGCTTCTGCTGGCGACGCAGAGAGTAAATCAACCCCACGGCGGCAAGGGTACATGACTCGTACACCCCGGCCGATGGAATAGCCACATACGTCAGAGCGGAGAGAGCAGAAGTCAGAGTCGTGGTCGACACACTGAAAAGCACCAGACTCTGGGCGAGGGCTTGAAGGGATGGCACAGTGCTGGTGAGGAGCTTGGTACGCAGGTCGGGGATCTGGGTTGGCCAGGGAGGCATGACAGAATCCTTGGTGGAGTCAGGACTTGAAGATGAAGGCTCTTCCAACAGGCCGGCCTGCTGGTACTTGCCCACGGTCCAGATGACCTCCTGTTCCGCCCGGCGAAGGAATTTCTTTTCCAAGATCTCAGATGTAATCATGCTGACATCGTCGACGCGCCAGAAGAGTTTCCACCATGCAAGACCGCGCCAGCGTGGACTGGCCAGTCCTTCCTCGAGGGCACTGCGGAGCTCAGAGTGAGCACGCTCTGCCCAGCCAGTCACGGCCCGGTCCAAGTCAAACCGAACCTCTCCAGGGGTTACGCCGACGGTTTGATCATGGAGCGCCTTGGCGTCTCTGACGATTACACTAGCGTCGGCTGCGTCGATAAGGGACTCCACTAGAGGGACCAATGCCGGATTCAACGCGTTTCCAGTGGATGCTTCTGTGGAAGTTGCAAGCCAATCAATGAGAGGTTGCACGCCACTGCCATTCCACCCACGTTCGTAGTCGGAGGCATTGTGGGCGGATTCACGGAATTTATCCAGTGCTGTGCTGGCACGGTCAACATCTACTAGGGACACGCGCTCGTTTGTGGATTTCTGGTCTGCCACTGGAAGTTCAATGGCCCCACGCACTGAAGAGGCCTCGTTCTTCAGGTCCGACCGACCTATCATTGTGCTGTACGACAGCAGGCCATCCACTCCACGTCCGCATACGATCGTGCGGTGCACGGGATACCGAACAACATTATGCCGACCGGAGTGAGAGGTCTGAATGGTAACTGTGGGGACGAGGAAGGTGTCGGCGTGCAACGTAGGGGCGTGGTTGTCCGGCTCAGAGCCTAGGGTGCTGACCAGGATCTCTAAGTTGCCTTTCCTCAGGATAGGTGATGGCACTGATATAGTCGGTAGCAAGTCATTGGGGATAGATTGTGAGATTTCGCCATATCTGTAGGATAAATCCTTCCAATCAGTTCTGGTCACAGAGGATCAACACGCAGATAGCAGACACGTTCATACCTAATCAGCAGCCCGCGAGATGAATCGGCATCATATGAGTCGAGAATGTCTTCCCAGGTTTCTCGCGGTGACAATGGGTCGGCAAGTAGTAGTCGAACAAGTTTGCGTGCAGATACCGCATCATTCAATCCAAGAACTAGGGTCCAAATCGAGAAATCAGTGCCATTATTTCTTCGAAGGGGAAGATCCATTGCCGAAGAGAGGAATAGCCTGATCGTATAACCAGAAACTCACCAGCTACTCTAATAAGAGGCGTTTCAGACTCCAATCCCCGCAATGCAAATTGCAGCCGACTCAGATTCACCTGTTCCAAGGCAGCATCCTTCACTCCCTCGAGGGCGGCATGCAGCTCCTTGAACCGCGGCGGCACGCTCTTCGCAGTGATAACAGAGGATGTGGTAAATGCCCGTGGAGCTGAGCCTGTGATAGTGTTTTGAGCTCTGGCGACCCGTCGAGATGTGTCGGGTTTCTCGATGCTGCGACTGGTGTTGGCGCGCGTGGACAAGGTTCGTCGCCAGATCGCGCACGAGGGGCAGAAAAATACAGCGCTGCTATCCAGTGGACGCGACAGGCTCTTTGCGAGCGCGCTGCGCAATCTTGGAGCCATTGAGGCGCGGCGAAGCGAGGTTGTAGAGGATGTAGTTATCGCGATGTTCACTTTCGGTGGATGAACTTGGTTGAGCGGAAGTGAACGCGGGAACAAGGCTTGGCATTCCATCACCGGCTTTATCGTCTTATTTTACATCTCAGACCATCAGATAAATTGGTTGAAATGAGATTGACCATTATGTTAATTTTACAATCAAGTAAACCCCTTTCCCTACTATAATTGCAGATCTGGCTACGAAACGTGGGGAAAAAAGCACACATGTTTAAATGAACTGTCCTATTTATCGCTAGAGTTGTGGATTCACAGGTTAAATTGCCAGGCGAGGGGTAGGATCAAGCAGATAGATAGGGTATCGTATCGATCGTGTCGGGACAAAAGGCGTGTGCGCTGGAGGATAGGAAGAAGAAATGCATAGATCGTGTCATAATATCAACTCGGTCAAATCATAGTTTAATCAGACATCCTTAGGAGGATGGATCCCTCTGTCGAGGACGGGGGCGACCTGAGCCAGCAGACCTGGTGATTTCGATTAGTATGTGAAATGGGATGGTGGCAAACTCTCTCAAGCGAACACTTACATGCTGATCCGTCGAGCAACTGTGGCGAGTCCGGCATCGTTGGCAGCCTCATGTTCAGCCCGCTCCAGGGCGATACGACGACTCTCCTCGCTCTTTGCGATAACTTCTTCCTGGGTAGGAGGCATGTGCTCATTTTGGATATCAACCTTCCGGGCATCCTCGAAGTTGTGAATAGCCTGCTTGATACCTTCCGCACCCAGCATCAGGGTTCCAGCAGGAAGACGACCGCCAGCCGCCGTCTTCAGCTCAGTGACACTCTCGGACTGTTCGCGGAGAACCTGGAAGACACGAGAGAGGCGGCCAATGGCAAGAATTTTGTTTTTGATGGCACGTCGCTTGAACTCGGTGGATTCAGGGTCCATCGACGGAGACGTGATTGAATCCTTATCCATGCTTTCACTAGCAGAGACGGGTGTGGGGGCCTCGTCCTCCAACTCTTCCTTCGAGCATGTGTTGAGAATGGCGATGAGCATATCCGTAATTTTCTCACCAACGAATGGCAAAGACCAAGTGAAAACATCCATGAAGTTGGGCAGCCAATATGGGTGGGGGGTGCAGTTGAATTGGCGGATGTTCATCACATTGTTCTCATATTTGAGGACAGCTGCCTTGTTGTTGTAAACATCCAGGTAGTTGGGCGCACTGAAAATAGTCATAACACTGGGGAAGCCGGTGGTTCGTGTCTTTCTGTACATGCGATATCCGGCATCCTGAGCCTCATGTGCTCTGATGATGGAGAGCAAATTGTTCTTCTCCAAAAACGCGCATGCCGCGGGATAAGAGAAAAAGTAGGAGCAACCGCGGACACTGTTATGAATAAAGAAATCGCCTGTCTTTTCTTGACCAAATTCCTCCAGAGGGTCGGCCCAAAGGATGTCGCACATGAGCCCGTGGGTTGGAGGTTCGCGGAAGCGATCAATCTATGTCTTGTAAGCTGTCTGCTAACACTATCATTCAAAATGTGCATAGGGAAGATACATACAGCCTTGATATCTTCGAGGGTATGCAACTCGGGGCTGAGACCACCGTGAATGCAGAGGAACTGTTTGTTCATAACCGCCGCCAGCGGCAGCGCACAGAAGGATTCCAGGCATGCCTCGTAGATCCGTTCACTATATTTGTGCTTACACTCCAACTTGAAGGTGAAGTAGTCTGTCAAGTGGCGACATTCGTGATTACCCCGCAGCAACCAAAGTGAATCGGGATACCAGATCTTCAATGCCCAAAGGTAGAGGACGCACTGCAGAGACAAAGGGTTAGGGTAGTTCTTCTAGATTCGAGGAAACTCGGCATGACCCACCTCAATACTGAAATAACCACGGTCCACATAGTCACCCAAAAAGAGATACCTCGTTTCTGAAGGGTCACCGCCAACCTCGAACAGCTTCATCAAATCGTAGTACTGGCCGTGAACATCGCCACACACCGTAATGGGCGCATCCATTTCGAGCAAATTTGGCTCAGCCTTCAAAACCTGCGTACCAGCGTGGATGATCCATAGCGCCTGTTCTTCTGAAAGACGACCTTCACGATAGAGGTGTTGCTTGAGGTACTGGAGATTGGGCTTGGAGGGATCCTCTGGCGACCAAAACATATCATCCGGAGGATAGCTGAGAGCGGGCGCTTGGACCTCTAAGATTACGAAAGAACGTTAGCGATCAGGTTACCAGGTCTTGTGAAAGCGATCGAGACCACTGCGGCATTTACCTTTGACCACCCTTTCCATTGTTGACACCTGCGTGTTGTCCTCCATCGTGTGCAATGTGAAATCGATCTCCGGGACCGGCTGCTTGTCGGTCACGGCGCGTGCTATAGCCCGATCCATTTTGGCGGAGACTGAAACGTAATTTGGTTTTTGAGTTCGGAGTAAGGGGGGAGGGTGATGGAGAGAAGCGCGGAGTTGTGGCGGGGGTGAGTTGAGCGCGGGATAGAGCTCCCACGACGAAGCAGAGTATAAGATTGATAGAACTCAGATCAAGCCAAAGTTTTGAAACCGAAAAAGGGGAAAAGGAGAACCGAGCCCAGAATGTAAAATGCTGGGGGTTGTGTGTTTTGGGGGGGGGAAATGTGAAGTTGGGAAAAAGAGAAACAAATTGGATAAGCGGCTTCTGGGCCGTCCTTAGATTGGTGGGTCTCACACCAACTTTGATGGTAACTGTATCTGAGATTTTGACTTATTTTGATTTTTCTTTTCTGGGGAAGACAGTGATTGAGATCCGGGGATGACACGAGAGAGAATTACCAAGTTCAGCCTCATGTCAACGTGATTGACCCGGTGCCTAAGGCAACAACGGCTTTTACCCCACGCTATCAGATTCATTCGATTCCAAATTTGGATTATTTCCACATTTCACGTTTTCATCTAAACAGTGTGGTAATTTACTATTGTGAATAACGTATTCAGTTGTTGGCCTCGGCTTTGAGTTTTCATCTGAAGTTGCGATTAGCGTCTATTGCGCTTAGTCCCAATTTGCCTAGACCGCTAGACTCGAGGTATATGCACGACTGATGCTCTGCATGGGAAATTCTTCATAGCTGCACCTATTGCTCTTTAATATTACCTGCTGCCTCGATAAAATGGGTTAGGTCTACTACAATACTACAAAGCTCAAGGTAAGCTTAACTGTGTAGAGTCTAGACCCGAGGCTCTGATTTTGGTGATAACTGGTGACACTAAAAGGACGTCGGGAATATTCCCAAGGTTTACGAGTCTTGAGGCCCGCTCGAATATATGTACGTCGCTCAGAAGACATAAGCCATCGAAGGATAATAGTCATAACATACGCAGAAGGGATTTGAAAAACAAAGAGAAGAAGTTGATCCTATCTTGCCAACTGATATAGGTCATCAAGTGTTGAGATGACGGTGTTGTCTATCATAAGGAAGTTACTGACTCTCCTTCGGAGATAAGTCTCTCCCTCCGATCAGCATCCCTTCAGCCTGTTTTCTAGCTCTTGAGACGTTATCTCAACAGGATCATCACCGGCATACTCTTCATATCCATCCATCCCGTCCCCGGTCCAGGGCTGACCTCGGGAAATACCTCATGACTCAGCCTCCTGCCTGAGGCGACAACCCGAGTCTCGCTCTGCGCTTCTGTTCGGATGTTATGTTTATGCAGTTGATTTTTACTACGATCGAAATTTCTCTGGCAAACTGGATGTTGTGGTAACAGGAAATATAGGTCGCTGTTCGGCGCAAAGGATCGTGTCTCTTGTCACGCAGATATTGATTTAGAAGAATGACATACTTCTCCATCAGGGTCTACGTACGTGTTTTCGCAGTGCTCCCGTCAAGCTAAATCCTTATAAATGTTCTGTGGCAACATGGGTTGAGCAGCAGAAGTTCGGGAATCTTCTCGAGCATTTCAATCCATGTAGGGTAGGTTGATCTCTTGATACAGTAAGAATGAAGCTAGGGCAGAGCTAGTTTCCTAGCTGACTTCAACTGTCAATGCAGCTGTTAGAATTGACAAGTTCGCATCTATCGCGCATTGGACAGTTGCCACCTGGGCCACTGCGAGGCCATGCATGAGGGCTAATTGTAAGGTGATTTTATAGAGGTGTCCGGATTCACATCTCAGGGACAATTTGCAGCATGTCTATGGCATTCCTTCACATATAGGGAGAGCGGAGAAGTATACTATCTTGACCAAAAAAATTACAAACTGACAGTCGCTAGAGCGAGATGCAGTACGGCCCATTCAAGGCATGATATATATCAGGATCCCCACCCCTCATCTTCCACACGACCCCAGAGAACGCTCCTATTCACCTCCCAGCGTAGCCTTCATCTGTCGGCTCCACTCATCCCGCTTAATACGCAGAATGATCAAAGGAATACCACTGAGCAGACAGAATAGACCAACCGCCGTGAACGACCAACCCGTGCCAATCGCGTCGAATAACGGCTGCGCAATGACCGCACTCACGCACGACAGACTATTTCGCATGAGATTATTCACGGCCACACCGATGGTGGAGTTCTTCGGTGTAAATTCTGTGAGCATCGTCATGGTAATGTTGGTGACAATCATTCCACCAAACCCGTAGAAGAAGTTTCCGAGGAGCTATTACAAACCAGATCAGTCCCCGCTCGAAGCTGGAAGGGAGAAAGGAGCGATGGAATGAATAAACTTACCGGGACCAGCCAGAACTCATGTTTGTCGGCCGTCCATCCCCACCACAAGAGTGCCCCGGGGAAGAGAATACCCCCAAGGAGGCAATTCTCGCCCAGACGGTCAACCGGATGGAGGATCAACTCGCCCTTGTCATTGTATCGGCCCTCCTTTCGAGCAGTCCGCGCCATGATATAATCCTGCCAGCGGCCACCAATGATCGCACCGAAGAGTAGCCCCAGGCCGCTGGGGATATAGGCCACACCGACAATGATAGGACTCCAGGAGTATGGTGGCAGGGCGAAGGTGTCTTCGATGGAGACGCAGATGAGGTAGTACGTGGCGAAGACGACACTGGTGTAATAGACCGTAATCAGGATGGGAGGGTATTGGAGGAGCGTGGCGGCTTTTATGGGCTTTAGGAGGAAATAGAGGGCTTTCTTGCCAGGGCTGGTGGCGTCGTTTCGGTGCTTGCGGCGGTTCACTTCGAGGTTTGTGGCTGTCTCCGGCATGAAGAAGAGCATCACCGCAAACACGGTCCAGCCATATATGACCATAAACCACTGTGTGCTGCGCCAACTCCAATTCATGGTGAGCGCCCCGCCAATGATGGGGCCAAACATGGGGCCCAGCATGGGACCAAGCATGAAGACACCCATGGCCTTGCCGCGATCTTGTGTTTCAAACATGTCTGAAATGGTACCGGCGCTGACGGCTTGAAGGCACGCACTGGAGGCACTCCCAAGGAGTCGCATGGCGATAAACATGCCGATGTTGGGGCTGATAGCAGCCAGAATATTGAAAATCCCAAGGAAGAAGAAGGAAAATATGTATACCAGTCGACGACCATAGAGCTCGGCCAGGTATGACCACCACAAGGGCGTGATGGCTACAGCGAGTGAGCCGAAAGCGATAGACAAGTTCACCACTGACACGGTGGTATGCATATCCTCGGCGATCTCTAACAGGCAGGCTGTTTGGAATCCGGCATATCAGCCTCTTGTTCTGGCTAGGGAATAGGACGTCGTACGGAATAAAACACCGCTACTCAGCGGAACTACCAACCCTCCCATTGCCACAATGAAGGTCAGACCCCACTTCGTCCCCGGGTATATTGTCTGGGATCCTGCAAGGCTGGGACAAAACATAACCATGGGAGGAATCCTCTACAAACTTTTGCCGAACCATGATGATCAACCTTTTGCCTGGTTCCGAATTCTGCCTTGGTGTCGTCTTGCGTGAGTTGCTCGGGCGAGTCAGTTCGTTCGGTCTGTGTGCTTTTCGGGGATTGCATCGTCTTAAATGCTGGAGACTCCGGTGTATCGGTCCTATGCACGAGTGATATTTTGACTGCTTGTGAAGTTGAGTCCATTTCCACCCTCTTCTGACAAGCAGTATATATACTCGAAGTCATCAACCCTATATGATCCACCTCGGCGAGGTGTGGGGCCTCCCGCCTCGCACGAGGCCCACTCCTCGTCCGGTCAAATCAGGGCCTCGGGAGCAGCCTTAACCTTTTCTGAGGTGATGAGCACACGTACGACATACCTAGCAGGGTTAGTTGGATGAGTTGGTCCAAAGGAAGACTGACTCATAAAACTGACAGATTGCCGAAGAATTGCAGAGGCAAGGAGAATCCCGGACTTATTTCGGAGCAAAAGCAGTTTGTCAATCCTTGCAAGTAGCCACATGGCCCCAAGCTTATTCTCCGAGAATAGTCCCCATCGTCATGCTAAACAGCGTGTGTGTGTGCCATGACTGTAGATGATAATATCTCTCTTATATACCGGCATTCCACAAAACAATGCTTCAGTTATGTATGACAATAACATGCCAACGTTCTCAGCAACCCTAGCAATCTATAACTATGCCAACCCATGAAACCCCATCTGATCCAAATTGGCCAAGTCCGCAAAATCGAAGTCCTCCAGATTCACCAATCCCATGAAATCCGCCGTATCAAAGCCCCCCCACCGAGCCTGGAGGAGCAGCAAAATTATTCATCGGCATAGAATGATTATTTTCAGATGGACTGGTCCCAGTACGTGGATTGTCAACCATATCAGAACTGAGACCCTGTTGTAATCTAATGCGATTAACCAACCAAATAACTGCGGGCCATGCACCCGCGGTATGCTCACCCCGGATCTCGTAGATGGCGTTAGCTAACCGGAGGCCTCGCTGGCGGAGATCGGCCCACTCTGGCGATTGGAATCCGGGGCTGTGGAGTTCGGAGAGTACGTAGAGAATCAGGTAGAAGCCGGCGTGTGAGAATATATGCCATCGGAAGGGTTCATAGGCCTTGCCGGAGGCGATGGTACACCAGTTCTCTATGGCCGTGGCTGCGTCCGTGAATACACTTGATGTTTGATACTGTCAGCCAAAACATATCTACTTTCCCTTTCGGGTGAGCCGTTAGGAGGGGGAGGCAGGAGGGGCTAACCTTCTTCTCATAGGGGGGCTGATGACCTTCTCGCGATCTTGTCGAGGGATTTGAATCCAGAACATGACCCAGGATTTGGATTTCAAGTAGTCTTTCAAATCTAAGGTCATTGATTGTATACTCACCCTCTTGTCGCAGTATCGAACAAGATCATCCAGGTTCCTCTCAAACTCGCTGGCGAGATTCTCAGCAGTGTTCAACAGGCCCTGCAGCTCCGCTAATTTTTCACTCTCTCCCACAGGACCGCTGGCGCGCAAACGCTTCCGCGAAGCATGCGTCAACTGAATGATGCGCCCATAATACTGGATCGCGGTGATCCGCAGGAGATAGATGGTCATATCGGTGAATTTGGGGACATCTGAGAGCCCGGCCGAGGGGGATACCCCTTCGACCAGGTCGACATCATCCAGGCTGAGGGGTCGACGCGTATCAAAGTCCGACTCGTGAATCGAGGGGGCAAGCCCGTGATCCTCCGCTGTGCGGAAATCCAAGTAACAGATTTGCGCCCACAAGCGACGGCGCAGCTCCACCTGTACGACATCGATCGTCCCCAACGGTAGAGCTAAGGGGTCCCGGTGGAGTCCCTGGACTGTCGCCATCCGAATAGCCAGTCCAGTCAACGGCCATGCCTTCCCCATATCATCTTCCCGATATTGCGCGGTCTTTGGGGTATTATTGCTTAGCCCGATACTAACGAATTTTGTTGCGTTCTCGCTGAAACATACCAGGAAAACCACAAATGCCTGCAGAACCTCAAAGATCCTTGATGTCATAAACTTCTGCCGTTTTAGATGCACTTCCGTTCCCGTTCGGTATCGATTCAGGAGGTAGGACTTGTCCGTGCCGAACATGATGGCCACGTCGGTATCCTTCATGCTGTTGACGGCCGCGTAGAAGATGGACATGGCTAGCGGCTCGAATGCATCCATATTATTCGGGTGGGAAGTCATACTACTACTGCTCTCCGTTATGATAGGGGTGTGATCATTCTCTAGGAAGTAGTGAGTGCGAACAAACGCGTCAAATCGACGGGCTAAACTCGGACGATGGACAATTCGGTGAATCGGGTCTACATTTTCCAGGAAAACATTAAGGAGTAAATAGCAATCCTCTCGGGTATCGGGCCAGAAGGTAGTCCCGCTAGTTACAGGGGAATCGGCGTCCCAGATGACATCTTCGAGCGCGTGTTCGGGGGCGGAATTCTGAGATTCAGCGAGAACCGATTGGATATCTTGGAGCTAAGGAGCAGACGAGATTTGGTTAGTACCTCGGAGCCTTGGTTTGAGCGCAAGGTTCAACGACAATAGGAGGCGTACCTCTGCTGCCATCCAGGCCCAGTGCTTACCGGGGACGAAGTGGGGCACTCCGTTATCGAGAATCAGTGCATCGTCTTGCGATCGCGACTGTGGGGGTGACGCATTATGGGGTGCGGGCGTCGATTGTGTAGGTGTGAATGAGCCCAGCAATGAAGTGTTATGTTCCGATGCCTCATATGCTTTCGCTTGCGCCATGAAGTTACCAAGACGCTGCAGACCGGGATTGATTCGGGCTAGCGTGGATGAAGAGACCTTGGGGGCACTGCTGGGTTTGGTGATCCGGCTCGATTCCGGGGCCAGCCCCAGCGGCTGAGGCGGCTTCGACACGTAAGAACAGGCATAATGGCCTCGCTCACACACCAAACATAGTGGTTGTCGGCGGTCACATTTGACCTTGCGACTACGACAAGGCAGACAAGAGGTAATGGGACGAGAGAGGCTACTCAGGGCCGGAGACGAAATAGATCCCACAGGATACTGTGTGAATGAGGGGTCAAGGGAAGAGGCATACATGGTGAAAGAGACGGAGGAAAAAAGAAAAATGTGGTGCGAACTGCTAATTAAAACTTCCGCACGCTGCTAGCGGCAGCAGCTAGAGATGGCCCCAATGTGGGACTGGAACGACATCCACCTTCGACGCGAATAAGACCTATGAAACTTAAGGCCATAGGAGGCGAATATAGATATTCTCTTTTGCATGTTCTGGGTTTAAGACTTCGAAACAAGACCAAAATGCAAAAAGAACGCGAAGACTCGGGCACGAGTGCTTTTAGGGGCCAGCACGGCAGCCTTTCTGATGGGGCTACGGCCTTCATCACGCCTTAGCCCTTAGCCTTTGCGCCCAATTTATACCGATGTAGTAAATAAGAATAGTTAGCTACTTATACAGCCTTGATATGCGTGTTTGACCATGTTTTTTGGTAGTCTTTTTAGTAGTCTTTTTAGTAGTCTTTTTAGTAGTCTTTTTAGTAGTCTTTTTAGTAGTCTCGATAGTAGTCTTTTTAGTAGTCTCGATAGTAGTTTTTAGATATATTTTAACACACTTACATGGATATCTATAGATTTATATATTCCCTTCCTTTTCTTGGTGCTATATCTAGAAAGATAGCAGGCTCAGCCAATTCTGCTATTTGACGAACTGTCACATCCATGAATATATCTGGAAGAGGCGTTGATTGAGAGTTTGAGTAACGCTACTTTTAACGATAGCAATAATGTCAAGCCTTGACGACGTCAAATCCCTCCTCCCAGTTATCTAGGGCCGCCCGAATCTCAGCGGCATAAGCAGGAATACCACCGGAGTAGCATACTGGCTCATAAACCTTGCCAGGGATACTCCCACCCATGTAGGTCGAGTGCGTTCGTGGGGAAGAGAGTCTTATTATTGAGCTCCACAACATGGTCCTTCCACTTATCAGCAGCCTCAATCTTGGGATTGATGTACTTGATGTTATTGGCCTCGATTTTAGCTATGGCGTCGGAAATCCACCGGCCCTGCACCGCGACTGACGTGGGTCCATTACTCAGGAGCGTCGGGCCGTGTGCGCCATAGATGTGGAACATATTGGGGTAGCCGCTCACGGTGGTACCGAGGTAGGTATTTGCGCCTGTAATCCATTCCTTCTCGAGCTCGGCGCCGTCGATGCTCTTCAGGCCAAGTTGGGTCATGACGCCAGTAACAACGTCCTATGAGTATTAGCGCTTGCGCTACTTGCTGATGCATCAAACAAAACTTACAAATCCAGTCGCGACAGCAATGACATCAAGCTCATGGTGAGTTCCGTCCTCGAGGGTGATACCAGTCTCAGTAAACTCCCTGATCGGGTTATTCTTGATGTCAACCAGATGCACCGACTCCCGATTGAACTGCTCGTAATAGGTGCTTTCAAGACATGGCCGCTTGATGCCGAAATAATGCGGCATTTTCCGAGGCGCAAGCAAGTCTCTCGCCACGGGGTCACCGATACGATCACGCGTCTTCGTAGCCCAGAAATTGTAGGCCTCTTTGTTTGACTCAGGGTTGATCAGGGTATCCTTATACACAGCAACCCAATAGCGGAAGCCACCTTCCCTCCAGATTTTCTCGTAGAAGGCTTGACGCTCCTCGGGTGTGTCGTCAAAGGCGTTGCGCTCGCACCAACCATACAGGAAACCGGCAAAGTTTGTCTCGCGGTAACGGAACAACTCTGGATAGTAGGGCTTGATGCGCTCCTGCTCCTCAACAGTGAGGTCGCGTTTGCGCATAGGTATGGCGAGGTTAGGAGTTCGTTGAAAGACCTTGAGGTCACCAGCCTTAGGCCCCCAGGCCTGTGTTATTTGCACGCCCGAGGCACCGGTGCCGATGATAGCACAGCGCTTGCTTTTCACGTCAATTTCCTCCTCAGGCCAGAAAGATGAGTGGTGCACGACGCCCTTAAATTTATCCATGCCAGGCCATGGGGGAATATAACGCTTGGCGGCCTAGGCAGTGCATTAGTAGGTTTTTCTCTGACTGACGGGTGTAATTGAAATTACTCACGAAGCCGGTTCCAAGGACGAGATACTTGGCCTTGGTATTGCGACCATCTGCAGTTTCTATATTCCATCTCCCCTCGTTCGTATCGAACTGGGCTCCAACCACGACGGTGTTGAAAGCGCAGTCCTTCTTGATACCAACTACTTTATCCACGTGATCAAAGTAATTACGCAGGTCTTTGTAGTCAGGGTAGTTGTTCGGCCAGTTCCACGTGTTGTATACCTCGGGCCAAGGCAACTCGTACTCGGGGACTTCAGAGTCGACACCAGCGCCGGGGTAGCAATTCCATCGCCAGGTGCCACCCATGTCATTGCCGGCCTCGAAAATGGTCGTTTTCAGACCGCGATCCCGAAGGGTCTTGAGCATAAACACACCAGCTATCTCGTTAGCTGGCGAATGAATGAGCCCTATACTACCAACTTACCAAAACCAGCACCGACGACCAAAGCATCGACCTCGAGATTTTCGGCATATGGCCCAGTCTTATTGACATGAACAACCGAGTAGTCGGTAAGCTCAGTGTTATACTTCTTCGGTTTGAAGGATGTCTCTGCTATGCTACCCATCTCGATTAAAGATTGATATCACCAAGTATTGCAGTTGTGACTAATAAAAGGATTGACTGTTGGAATGTCGTAGAGATTTCCTTTTCCACCTCGCCCTATTTATATGTACCTTTGTTAACATCTTAGTGCCGATGCTAACATACGCTGTCAATAGTGTCCTCTTCACTAGTGTGCCCATGATACAGCTAACCGCAGGGTACCCCCTCACTCATGCACGACGTGTGGCAGACATTTGGGGCCATCGTGACAACGTGGTCTTTGCCCAGGAATTTAATCCTGGGGTTAATGGATTATGATTGGGAGTATCGCCTTTGAAGACCTTTCAATTCCAAGCCGCCCTTTATGGAGTGTTTTCCCCATCATCTGGAAGGGTTAGAATAACCGAGCCCAAGCAATGTAAACTCCCAAAAGGACCAAAGCGCCTCAAATCTGCATCGTCGCTATGGCCCCAAAAAGCTACCGTACACCACATCACATTAGGGCTTTCCTAGGAATGCATGAATTGGGGAGTTAGGTCACCTAGTCACCAGGTCATGGGTATTACTGGTAGGCTATAGGAGTTACCATGATTGACCTAGTAGGTAAAAGTACAGAGGAACCTCCGAAATATTGGGCCAAATATTGTAGTGCCATGTACTGCCTTTGGCCAATATCTAAGAGGTTCCACTAGACATCCATCGAAATTATCATGTGGAACCGACCTCTAGCTCCTATGATCTACCAATAGTTGCTAGTGACCCTTACTATTATTAGTACAGGGTGGCCTGATGACCGAGCGAAACGCCTTGTATGCATTCCTCGTATCATCACATCCTAAGCTGCAACTGTGACTGGACCTCTTTTCGCTAGCGGACCTCGGGACATCGGGAGCGAGCCGAGACATGAAAGTTCCCCGCTTCCGATTCTGCAAGTCACAGTTCCGTACGGTAAACCTAGGTACCTTTGCGCAACTGTATGAGTAGAACCCTGCAATTTTTGCCCTTAGATTGCTCTAGTTTGAATACACGTCACCCTAAAAGTGGAGCATTCGTGGGTTCAATGTTGCGAGTCCCTACATGTAGGTAGGTAGGCGCTACGGTTGACTTCCCCCGCACACAATCCACTGTTTGAACCCTCTTTCTGTTCATTTTGGTAGGACCTTTTCCCAACACATACACGACTCCCACAATTGCCTATTCATTCCTATACAGAGATCAAAAATATGTCTCTCAATGCGCAAGTGCATTCGCATATCTGTGATATTATAGACAAAGCCTGCGAAGACCAAAAGACCGGTATTCCCGGAACCACAGTCGTGGTCGTCGGCAAAGATGGCAATGAACTATTCGCCCATTCTGCGGGCAAGCGAGGCACGTCATCCAAAGACCCTATGACCTTGGACAACATCTTCTGGATTGCATCTTGCACTAAGATGCTGGTTGGTGTTGCTTGCATGCAATTGGTTGAGCAGGGTATTCTCAAGCTGGATGATGCAGAGCAGACGGAGAGTCTTTGCCCTGAATTGAAGGGTCTCCAGGTTCTGCTGCCAGATGGTAGTTTTGAGGAGAAGAAGCATGGAATTACCCTGCGTATGCTGTTAACCCATACTGCCGGATTCGGGTATTCATTCTTCAACGAAAGATTGAGGCAGTGGTCGTACCCGGTTGGCATGGATGAGTTCTCTGGGAGGATTGAAGATATGAAGATACCTCTGCTATTCCAACCTGGTGAAGGTTGGGAATATGGTGTAAGTATGATATGTTCATAGTCATGAGATGCATTGCTAATGTGTAAAGGTCGGTATCGACTGGGCGGGGATCGCACTGCAACGCGCAACTGGTCTGACCCTCAACGACTACCTGCAAAAGAACATCTTTCTGCCCCTTGGCATCAAGGACATGTCCATGATCCCAAGTCACGACATGCGCCAGAGGCTGGCGTACATGAATGCTCGAAGCCCTGATGGCACCCTGAGGCCCCGAGACCATCCTCTTCGGGCGCCTCTGGTTGTTGACCCGGAGAACGAGGCTGAAGTCGCCAGAGTGTTTAACAGCGGCGGTGCGGGTGTATTTGCCAAACCGCAGGAATATTGTAGTGAGTTGCGAGTAGCTCCGGAATACAGTCAGGATCCCACAAACTGACTTCTCTCCGCAGAGGTCCTCGCTGTGCTGCTAAACGATGGAACGTGCCCTAGAACGGGCAGCAAGTTGCTTCGCAAGGAGACCGTGGACGAAATGTTCTCTAACCAGATCCCACGGTTCCCCAACTACAGCCGTCAAAGCATTCCAGCTGCCAAACCGGACCTGACCAACCCCATTGCTGAGCAATACCCAGTTCCCGGGAACCCACCACAGGGTTGGGGCCTCACTTTCATGTTGAGCAATGGCGGTGTGACTGGGCGGTCGACTAGCACAGGGCACTGGGCTGGCCTGCCGAACTTGTGGTGGTGGGCGGACAGGGAGAAGGGTGTTGCGGGCATGGTGTGTACACAGATTCTGCCATTTGCGGACGTCAAGGTGATTGAGCTGTGGGTAGCAGTTGAGGCTGAGATTTACAAAGCCCTCAGTGAGGCTTGATGTGGAAGGTAGAGGAAGACCTTACTCCAAGGTTGTTCCAGGATTGTTTGTCAGGCTCTTACAGGCTGCTTTATAAACGCTAGCCTTGATTATGAGAATAAGACATTTTCTTCTACTTCTTCTTCTTCTTCCTCCCTCCTCCTCCTCCTCCTCCTCCTCCTCCTCCTCCTCCTCCTCCTCCTCCTCCTTCTCCTCCTCCTCACTCCTATGTTGTAGCATAGAGTTACATATGTCGATCTTATCTCCGGTTTCACATAACGCCCCACGGAATCCTGTCTCCTGGAAAAGAGCAGTGCTCAAAGTTTGGCGAAGAATACCTTGATAAAGTTACACGAATACAAAAAGAAAGACCACCGATATACATGAAGAGAGCAGCTCATTAATATGAACGCACTGAAATATCGCTGCGACACGCTCGAGAAGGGCCGGGGAAAGAGCGGCCCCACAGCGTTGTTGAGGTTTCACTTCAACTAAGCTTGAAACATCCATATCGAACTGAAGATACAGACTCCACCAGAACGCTTTTCTTCGGGCTATGTGGGACGCTTGTCTACACCACGTGTTACCGAAATCCTACAGCAGCAGACCGACCGAAAATAATCGGTGATGATGCATTACCGGCCGCAACTATGATGGCTCACGGCCCGAGAATCACAAGTCCATAGAGTGCTACTCCGTACATTGGCGAAGCTTCCCACAAATGACTTCACCTGGCAGGTCTTGCTTTGCCTACACGTTAGCAGCTGTCCCACTAGACGCTCCGATTGGAAAGGATACGGGAGTGCCTGAAGGAGACCAAGAAAGATTACTAGATCGGTCCACGACAGCGAACCTTTGCGCTTGGTGGAAGCTTCACAGAGGTGCCGAGATACATTACGGCCAGGAGCTCTTTTCGGCCCACTTATCTGCATAGTTTGACAAAATTAGATCCGGGTAACAATCGGGGGCATATCGGGAGAGGTGAGTCTATTGCCTAGCATGGACCCTAACTATCCTTTCAACCAGTCCAGTAATCATTGATTAATATGTACCTGTTTCAGACTCGTCACTGTTGATCCACATGTTTAGGTCTGTGAAGCTTACAGTAGGCTAGGTCAATACTAATTTTATCATGTTTGTGTCGAAAGAGAACCAGACCAGAAGGGTATCGCCAGGCGTGGACATTGATTCAGTTCCCTTTCCATTTGCTAATAGATATACATATAGGGGTTCTTTCAAGGCTATGCATATATCGATGAAGCGTTACTGCAGGTCAAGGACTGCGCCTTCCACATCTAGGCGTAATGTCTTGATAGTCATAACCTGTGGAGCTTAACAATCTATTTACGGCAGCTTGAATTCGGATTGCCCGATTGGACATCATTTGTCTCGGGTTGACCATGAACCTCCAGATAACACGTACACTCTTACGTGCCGTCTAGAGATAGGAGTGCCGACCCTAAAAGTACCAGTCTAGACAGGCGGGACAAAACGGCGTTATAAAGGGAAGCCTTTCCCTGGTCAATGGGTGCATATGCCCTCGAATCACCTTTTCATTTATCATCAACCTTCCATTTCTTACGAAGTCGGTAGCAATGCGTTTCTCGGCTCTTTTCTTCACGGCAACCCTGGCCCTCTCTGTCGTTGCCCATGAAGGCCCTCATAGGCTACCAACCGACAAGGAATTTTCTCGCAAAGCGTCTTTGTCTGCTCGTTGCTCGGAGCATGTTGCTGGATTCAACACGCGACGTGTGAAGCGTGCCTTCACTCCCCATGTCCGAGGAAACACCACTGTTCAGATCCAGACCCAAGCCCCTCTTTACGAGACGATCCAGAATGATACCTGCGTTCTCAGTCCTGAAGTTACAGCCGGCCCCTACTACTGGCCTCACTCTCAAACCCTCCGTCAAGACATGACAGAGACTCAGGAAGGTGTTCCTCTGTGGCTGGACATCGGTGTTTTGGACATGGCCACCTGCAAGCCGTTGGAGGGAGTGATGGTTGATCTATGGCATTGCAATGCCACTGGAAGCTATTCTAGCTTTACTGAGTTGTCCCCCAACACCAAATTCCCGGACCTTCTCTCTGAACTAGGAAGGGATGCTTCAGACTTTGAGGTTGGCACCACCGATATCCACACCGACTCGGAGACTTGGCTGCGAGGAATGTGGCCAACTGATAAGCATGGAATGATGCAAATGAAGACCATTTTCCCAGGTGTGTCATTCTTTTAATTATTTGTTATTTCTATAATTCTTTACTCATGCAACAGCAATAGGATTCTACATTGAAAGGTCTATCCACATTCACGTCCAAGCCCATACAGACTGGACCACACAAGAGAATGGCACGCTTGTCTTCGAAAACACTGTGAGCACTGGGCAACTGTATTTTGAGGAGGAGCTCGAGGAGAAGATCATGGCTCTGCAACCATATGCCTCTCATACGGAAATCAACCGCACCCGGAATGACGTCGATATGGAGTTTTCTAAGGGTCAAAAGAATGGTTATAACCCGGTCGTCTCTGTGGTCGCGGTGGACGACGATGATCTCACTAAGGGATTAATCGGGTATATCACCATCGGCGTTGATACCACTGCTATTTCGGATGAGCGTTGGTCTGCTGCATAGGCTCGAAAAGCTCTCCGCAATACTTGGGCTAGGAAGGTTATTCTTTCAGTTCTGGAAGAAAGACACCTATCCGAGGTTTGGATCTAGTTGGCGGTTGTTGGTACAGGAAACAGATGATTTGTTTATATAGCCCCATCTGTTCAAAATGGGTACGGATTTTAATAGGTTCCCTGCTAGACTTATGAATTTGTCATCGAGTTTAAGAGCGGGAAGTGAAGGAAGTGACAGATTCGAAGAGAGTATAGTTCTGTTGGGAAAGGCAGATAGATGCGTGGGAATATAGCTTCTAGAGCCTTACATATACCAAATAGACAAAGAAGCTATCTCTCTACGCGCCTTTACTATGCCTTGCCTTTATGAAAGCCCAGCGTACACGGAAAGAAAAGTATTTACACATGCAAGTACGGAGTAGTTATAAACCGACACAAACCCCACAGCCCTGATCCCATCCCTCTGAGGAGCGGTACCTCAAGCGAGAAGCCGAGAAGAAAAACCGACATAATAGTCCCGCTTGCCTAGCGGAACCCCCTCCTTCCGAAGAATACCATACGCAGTAGTAAGATGAAAATAAATGTTCGGCAAGGCGATGGTATGGGCATAGGTAGCACCGCTGATTTCCGCCGCATGATCCGGGCCCAGTTGAGTGAACTTCAGCTTATCAGGGTGCTGGTTGACGAGCTCCTTGTCGGCCTCTTTAAGGGCTTTTAGCACCTTCTCAATCCGCTCGTAGCATTCGGCGTATGTGGTGGGTTTGCCTTCAGTGATTACCGGCTCCCGACCGGTTAGTCGCGCGACGAGGTTTTCTGAGAATTGGGTTGCGAGGCGCACTTGGTCGGTCACTGGATACATGTCCTCACAGAGACGTGCGTCGAGTAGATCGGTGGCATTGGGGCGTTGCTCGGCTTGTTGGAGAAAGTGGGAGAGGGAGCACAGGATGTGTTGGGCCACCACAATGGTTCCGTCGTAGAAGGTGTGGACCATGATGGAGTAAGAGGTTTGTTGTATGGGATCTTGAGAAGAGGAGGATTGAAGAGTGCAGACATGAGTGAGATCAGTTTCAGTTTGTTTTCGCCGTGCGGAGGGGTCGGATCTAACCAGTTAAAATTTGGGGGCTGAAAATGCTACATCATTAATGTCTACAGAGTACCTAGGTAAGATGCTAGCTAGGTGACAAATCCTTTAAGTGTGCCCAGACGTGAAGTGGTCTGAGTCTGGTGCCATGTAGCTTCTCATATGCTTCTATCGGTTAGCTTTTTTGATTCCTCGAGCTTCCCTTGCTCTTACGAAGGCATAAAGGCGTCGATTACGTTGTGATCATATACTCTTTAAACCAGATTTCCTGTCTTGTCGAAAGACTCTGGGAGAACGTGTGTGCAGAATCGAAATCTATCCACAGGGCCTTGCACTGATCCGCAGAGATCATCATATTCCTTGGGTAAGGATCACCATGGAGAACCCCCGCATCGTGAATCTCGTCGAGTATGTGACGAAGTTGGCGCAGGTATCGCAATGAGAAATTGGAAAGGTCTATTTGTTGCACGTTCGGGACATACTCAATAAGGATAGCATTTGGAGGCAACTTGTCGTCAAGAAACATATCCAGACCGGGCCAGCTAGCCGGTTGTATGTTGGTTATTATTCCGTAGAAGTCCGGAATGACCCCTCGCTCGCATAAGCCTTTCGCTTTCAGTCGCGCATAGGCAGTGGATTCGCGCACAAAAAGGTTCACTTCTCGGTCGGGGGGATCCCATTGAGAGGGACCTCTATCACGGAACTGAAGGTCATCAGAGAAAATGTCAGGCCAAGGAAAGTGGTACTTACCACCTTCATTACACATATCGTCCCATGGACTTCGGCCGTGAAAACCACAGAGTTCTTCGACTCTTTAAGCTTTTCAAGAAATTCCACATCGCCAGGCTTCACTTCACGAGCGTCCAGAACCATGAGGGTCTAGTTAAGTAGAAACGAAGATAGGAGAAGGATATTGGTGACAGCAGCCGAAAACCTTTTAAGGTACTCCGTAGACCTTCATCAGACACCGCCTTTTTGACCAGGATAATAAGCTAAGACTCTTCTAATTTTAGGTCTCTGTCCAGCAATCCCGTGTGCCTTTATTTCCAGTTGGAGCCAAGAAAACAGCTGAGGGAGACTACCTACCTAGGTAGGTACCCGGCCCATGGCCCAGACGTGGGCCACGTCGATGCCTACGGGCCGTCCCGCAAAAAGTTTTGGCAAAATTGCAAAAATTTAACGACGGCTGCATGATTCGAACATGCGCCCGCGAACGGAATTGATTTCTAGTCAATCGCCTTAGACCACTCGGCCAAACCGCCGTATTGATTGAATTGACGATCCGATAGATGACTCAGGAACGACTTGGAAGCTACCTACCGCCCCGAGGTCATGTACTTTTGCGTACATAGAGCGGTCAAGGATAGAAGGCCAATGAAACGCCACTGTAGCCCGTAGGGCGGTGAGTCCAATCGTATCTGCCAGGGGACATATGTACTCCGTTCATTGTTTAGGTGCCCAAGTGCAGGATGTCCATGTTTGCCCGACACACGGTATCTGGTGTACTCTTCACCCTTGTGGAATTTGTCCGGAATACGCTGAATGTGGATCCTGTTGTCTTTGTCAACTCTGGACTTGTTGTAGTCGGTCTCATCACTTCGCTCCGCTCCGCTGGGAATGTATTATACACCTACGCAGAAAAGACATGCTTGTCAACTGTACACGTGAGGGCGGAGGACCCCCTCTACGATGATATCGTTCGCTGGATGAAAGATCATGCTTTCCAGCGTCGCAATTTTCTTTCAGTCTTGGCACAAACTACCAATCGCTCCGACAACGATAAAGCTTTAATACAAGCTCCGCTGGCGCATCCAAATTCCAACAGGCTGGTCAGCTATCGAGAGGTAGACGATAACTCATTTTTGGAGCTCAAACCTTTCCGTGGATCACGTCTCTTTCGGTTCAAGCGAACATGGATGCTTTTCAGCCACGCAGCGAGCAGTCCTGAAAGTGTTCCACAGGTTGATACGAATCCCCCGTTGAAGTTGCAGTGCCTCAGTCTTTCACTCGCTCCACTCAAGAACTTCCTTGACGAAGTTCGTGCCTACGGTCGTAAGGTCTCTGTGTCTAGCATCACAGTCTACCGCACTAAGCCCAATTCCCGAGACCACATACGTTGGAGCTCAGCCGCTTCGCGACCATCCAGAGACATCTCCACTGTTATCCTTGATAAGCAGAAGAAACAAACTATCTTGCGGGATATCAATGAGTACCTTCATCCGCATACAAGACAATGGTATGCCAACCACGGCATCCCGTACCGGCGTGGGTATCTGTTTTCGGGGCCTCCGGGAACAGGCAAGACGAGTCTTGCATCTGCGATTGCGGGTGTCTTCGGTCTGGATATATATGTGCTGAGCTTGCTGGATCCTACCATGACAGAATCACAATTCAGCCGGATGTTCTCCGAAGTGCCTACACGGTGTGTGGTGCTTTTGGAGGATGTCGATGCTGCAGGGTTGAACAGAGGTGACTTGGGGTCGAGCGAAGATTCCAGTCAACCAGGATCAGCGACCAGAACACTAGCAAATACATCTGTATCTCTTTCCGGCCTGCTCAACGCAATTGACGGCGTTTCGTCCCAAGAGGGCCGCATCTTGATTATGACAACCAATTCGCCGCAGCGGTTGGACCGCGCGCTGATTCGGCCGGGTCGTGTGGACATCCACATTCGATTTGAGCTTCCATCTCAAGAGGAATTGCGAGATCTCTTCTTGAGCTTATACAGCGACATGTTCCACAACACTGAATTCTCTCCAAAAGAACAGGAGAAGGAGGCGGCAAGGCTGAATGAACTGGCAGTGCAGTTTGCAGGGTGTCTACCTGAGAGGCAATATAGTCTTGCAGAAGTGCAAGGCTTTCTTCTGCAGTACAAACGTCAGCCGGAGGAGGCTTGTGACAATGTTAAAAGCTGGGTCGAGGAGATGGATTATGAAAAATAGACATGCAGCTGTTTTGGCTGGATGATGTCGAAGAAATGTGGCAGTTTTGGGAACATGCTCTTCGCTTTTTGTATTACATGGATCTGTATCATAGATGGACTTTTATTTAATTTCACTCAATTCCCAAGTTTTTGCATGGCTGATGGCATAGGCAATGTGATGGAGTCTGTAAGAGTCTGTGTCCACGGATCTATACAGATCCACAAAAAGAGAGAGAGAGAGGTAGCAGAATCAATAATAATAATAGACGCTGGTGATCTCTATCTAGTTCCATAAAGCTCACTATTATATAGCTTCATGGGACAGAGGAAACAAAAGCACAAAGCCTGGAAAGATCTAGCAAGAAACGATCCATAAGCAGCTGCGATCAGGCCAGCAACAGCAGTGGCGACAATATTGCCAGTGTATAGGATGGAAATACGCAGAGCAATTTCCTTGCGCGTGTAGAAAACTGACAACAGGAACAGCGCACCTGGATAAAATGGAGCCTCCGTGACTCCTAGAAAGTATCGGACACGCAGAAGGCCAATATGGCCTTTTGTCAAAGCTGTACAGGCCGAGACTATAGCCCATGTTGCCATGCACGCGCTCATGTATAGAGACGGTCGGAACTTCTTTGGTAATAGGTAACTCGGTATCTCGATATAGTTACCTACCTACATATATGTAGGCAGTGGCCTCCGTATCTTAGTAATATGGCGTAGTTCACAAGGTAAAAGTATGACTTGATCTATTTGGTAAAATGTCGAACGGCTAGAGGAGGTTTATATAAGAGCTTCCACAATTTATAAACAACTTCACATATGCATTTTAATGTCCATCTTAGTATCGTACTGATCCGGTGTAGAGCACTTTGCTTTTTCCCCCTCTCTCTCCCCCCTTTTTCTTACTTTAAGCCATGGTCCAAATGGCTAAACGCTGAATGAAAGTAACCTTCCAGTAACGAAAATAAAAATTAAAACAAGATAGGAAATATACAAAGGCCGAGAATCTCCAAGTCGCACCCTCTCAGCTGAGCTATAGGATAATATTATTGGATGCCCTAGTTTTATCTGCAAACACTATCTCTCTTGGCATCTGCACATACTGTGTAAGTGATAGACAGAGAAAGGACGTGCTACTGCAGGAAAAAAGCTCTTTTCCCATCACTATTTTTATGTTTAGGCCATTTTTGAAGCAATCCATCCGCACCATATTGGATTTCTCACCTGGTACCTTTCGTTCCAGGCTCCTTGTCCCTTAGCATCACAGCAGATGGGTATAAGACATATTTTTCTGAAATTCAGGTGCACACAAGTCTGATTTAAATGGGGTTGATCAGCATGGACAAGTGCCAATAGAAATAAATGCTGTCCCCGGCCTCAGTTGGTTAGCGCTTACTATGTACGCACACGCATAGCCTACTCACAGCTTCTTCGCCCCCGTTACTGCTCACACTCCAGATTCTATCTTGACATAAATCTCGACTTCCTATTTGCATCGTGAATTTTCCAGGGACCTAGTCAGGACAAAATTCCGTCTGGCTCAAGAATCACCATCTGAAAAGAGAAATCGACAAGTCTAAAATGTGCAGCCCGTACCCCCGCTGTCCCGACGAGAGAGAATTGACTACGAAAATACGAGTATGGGAGTTTGAAGGTGATCCCGATATTGTGAGTCTCTGAGCTCTCCAATTGACAAACGCTTGCTATCGAGCACCAAACTCATAGTGTACATCTAGGCTGGCATAGGGTTATAATTGATGCACTCGCTTTAGGGCTCCTAGAAATTTATTGACAGCTTCAGCTATAGGTGATTACTTCATTCTTTGTCTACGCGATATTGACCAACCTCCTCGCTTTCTATGCCTACTTCTTCGCTGACGGGATTGTCCCAGGCGACTTTTACAACAACCTCGACTCGCTTATGCGTACGAAAGCGCAACAACTTCTCAGCTTTACTAAAAAACGATGCATCAACCCTCTGTTGGAAAAATTATCGAGCTGCATCCCGTTCTCAATCCGCCGTCTATGTCTCTCAATTTGGCACAACCGAGTATTAAGCATCCGCACAGAGCGCTTGCAGATAATATGTCTCCAACTTACTGACATGCAACTCATCACCGGCGCGTCCATTCTCATAATCTTATACTCAACCCATTGCACTATCACGCAATACCACTTCTATATCGGATCCCAACTGGCTTATCTATCTTTCGTTACTTTTCAAGCAACATTCATGACAGTTAGGGATTATTTACAAGGAAGTCTCTCCAAACGACTCTGGCGCTACCTCTGGATCGTGGTGATATTTGGCGCTGTGCTCCCAACGAGGATTCTGACTTGGAATGACTATTTTCTCCTCGAGGACCTATACGGGGCATCCGTGCAATGCGTCCTAGACAGGATGAATGAAGGATGGGATACACAAATTGTGCTCTTCGTGGTAGTGGAATGTTTTATGTTGCTCTGGTCTTTCTGCGCTATCACGGTGTCGTTATTTCCGCGCGTGTCATATTTTGCCCCTTTTGCTCTCATGGAACGTTTTATACATTGGACATTCTCATGGCCGTCTCGTCATTTGCTTCGAGCACAGAGCCCCGACGTGTCCGCCCCAAAAAAAGCGTTTTGGGTCGTCATGTTCTTTGTAATCATTCCGTGTCGGGAGTTTTTCTTCTCGGCGGCCTTTGGTCTCCTGAGGATATACGTGATGCTGGTGTATGCTGCAAACAACGTGCTTTATGAACGAGCAGAGGCTGCCCACCAGGGGCGCCAGGGTGACGAGAGCGAATGGGGGTTCGGCCAGGTCCTGCCTGTCCTTTTACTAGCAATCCCATTTTCCCAATTCGTGGAAGAACTTTGTCGTATGTACTACTCTGTTCCCTACCTGACCACAGCGGCACCATTGACTAAACTGGCTTTTGTGGGCCGATCAGGAATTGAAGATGTTCCTTCTAAAGGACGCAAGCTTAGCACTGAACGGAGACCTTCATCTAGTCATACCATCTCAGGTCACAACCAAGAGTACTACGAGCTTGCTGTCGCCTCCAATCGAACGGGACTTGCAAGAGCATGGACAGCGCCATCGCGAACAGCATACCTTGTAAGGAAGCTCGACAAGCCGCGTATGGCTGCAGAAGTCCATGAACACAGTATTGACCCTATATTATAGACTCGAAAGCAAAGAACGTTGCCCTGGTCAGTACGTACAGATACTACTCATCAAGTATCTGGTCGTGAATCTCGGGTCTTGACGGCAGAAGACGATATGCAAGACAAGCTTGATCAACTTGAAAAATCCTTTTTTGCGAATGGTATATTCCAGACATGGATGATTTTTCTTTTTATTTCTGTCTATGCCGTCTCAACCTGGGTAACGCTTTCATTAGGGTTGCCATTTTAGCAGCGTCGGCCAGAGGTATACGTATATAGGGCCATAGTGCTCAACACAAACGCGTCGCTCTCCAATTCCTTCCGTTGTTGTATGACGTTGGTAGAAGTCAGTTTCACCTTGCACAAAATGAGGAATAAAGTTATGTTCATAATTGAATTGATCAATATATTGGATGGCAATGGATCCAATACTAACTGGATATCTATCCACGAAGATTCTGGGGAATTCTTTAACTATTAAGGGCGACCACGGCTAAAACAGACGTCGAATCCTTCGTAGAAGCAGAAATCACGTCCTCCGAGACTGGTCCTGTTCTGAACATCCCCAATCCTACAAAACGCCCGTTCACAGAATAGTATGTGCCTACACTGCGACTCTTGCGAATTTGGCGCCCTTCATCCCAGTACCACTCAAACGACCGTAAGTTCAGCATTGGCTGCAGCACATATTGGGTCGTCAACGAATGGGTATTTTGGCTATCCATGGAGGTTAGAGTCGACTGCCATTTCTCGGTGGAAAGATTTCTTCCTAGCAGGATCCCGGCTCCGCGAGCGTCCCGGGCGGGTTTCAATATGTACTGGTCTTTGATTTCGGGGTTGGTCTGGGTGCGATAGAGCAGGTCTCTGAAATCAGCTGTTTTGGGGAGGATGGTAGGGATGATATGTTCGCGAAGGGTCTGCGCCTGTGCAGGAGACAATGCCCGTTGCGTATCCACGAGGCTGTCTAACTCCTGGAGGATAATGCCTAATATGCGTTTATCATGGGCGAGGAACACGCTCCGGGGGTCATTTATGCAGCACCCAGCGATGTGTCGCACCATCCCGGGGGATAGAGAGAAGAGCTCAAAGTCGTAGAGCTGAAGGCCCACCATGTGCACAGGTTCCAACACCTCACCATCTACTTCCAGCAGGGAGTCAGGGGGAGTTTTGACCGTGGGATCCGCACCCCAGACACAGCATAAGATAAATCCGGTTTGGCTGGTTGCACTGGGCACCAGACGAAGATCGCCAGGCCTGACGGTTCTCGGCCTCCACCCAGTTCGCTCTTCGATAAAGCCAAATAGAGGGCTGTCGGACGGGAAAGTTTGACTTTCCTTGACAAAGTGAATGGGGCCATCCGAGTCGAACAAGTCAAACAGGCTCTCTTGAAGTACATTGTACTTGGTGGCTGGTTCGATCGAGGGAGTATTCCATGTGCTGCCGGCTAGTGCCTCATAGGCGGTTGCGACGTAGTGGAGAAAACTGATCGGAAACCGGCCGTTTATTTCACAGACGCGAAATTCTGGGATTTCACGGTCCGTCACTGGGAGCAAGATATCTGGTCGCAGATTGCCCTGGTGGCCTTGGAAGCGTGGCATGATACCATCTGCAGTCGCCTTGTCTACCCACTGCAAGAGCTCCTCGACATGGGCTTCCAATGGCATTCGACTCGGTAGATCAGCCTCCTTGTCTCTCCACCATCTTTCGACGATGTTATTCAGAGCTATGGCCAAGGCTTCATTAAAGGTCTCCAACTCCTTTACAAACTGCCACGGCAGGAGTGCTGGGTGGGGATTAAGTCTTTTCGCGGCCCCGGGAAGTGCACCATACGGACCAACAAAATCCGCCAGTCTCTTTTGCAGTGCCTCGCTTTCACGAATGCGAGTTTCTGCATGAACCTGTTCCGGTAGGACGGGGTGTTGCGGATCCTGGGTGCCACTCAAGGAGATTTGAAGCAACCACGGGGACTTTTTGGCGAGAACACTAGGTACCTCTTTTTCAACGATCGCCATTGACTATATCACAGGTCAGTCTATTGCTGGCGCTATCAATAAAATGCACTCACGCTTTTGAATGAGGCACTCATTCTCATTTTCAAGAAGCATTTGAATGGCATCGTATCTTTCGTAAAGTAGCGATACATCTCCTTTCCGATGGGGCCCCGGCCCGTCTCGAGGACTTCGGAGAGCGTCGACCGCACGATGGCCCATCCGTCTTCTGCACCTTCCAGGCCGAGCGCATATAGCATGTAGCCGACGTTGTTCTGCAGAAGGGCATGATGAACCCTGTTCCACACTTGATCGAGGTTTTCTGTGCAGAGCCCGGCAACATCTACATCAAATCCCTGCTTTTTCAGCGTCGGCCCATGGAGTTTCACTCCGGCTAAGTCTCGAATTGCAAATCCTTTGATCGCCTTCGACTTGCGGCAAATTCGAGCGACGGTATTCTGGGCATGGAGCTCGCATCCAACGCTATAACGCAGTAATGGATCCAACCCAAGGCGAAAGAGGCATTTGATATAGCTATTTACCGTATCAGCTGAAATCAATACATGGATTTTGAGATGAACGAACCCGGTGAACCAATTTTTCTTTTCGGCTGTTGTTTTCAAGTCAAACAAGATTTCTGCGTACGTCTGTTGCCTACCTAGTGGTCTTTCCATTAGTGCCGAGACCAATACCAGTGTTTCGTCATTTTCTTGCGCCTTTGCCAGCAGGTTCTCCCTAAGAATACATGTCAAGTGGCGGGCTTCACTCTTGTCTTCCTGACTTCCAGTCACAGCAGCCACCTCTCCAAACAGCCATAGGTCCTCCGGAAGAATCTTCTTCATTAAAGCAGTCATATCCGGTGCTGCAGCCGCAGACCAACACGGCAGAACTCGTAGCGCGGAGGTAATCTGACACGCAAGAGAGAATTTCACGTCAAGTTCATAACCAGTAATAGAGACTGTTCGGATAGCAGCATGCGCCTTTGCAGCACCCGGGACAGACTTGACATGTTTTGCTTCTGGGAAGTAGTTCAAGACCGCTGGCAATTGTCGGGAAAGGCAAGGGATAATAATCAAGTCAGTAGAAACCGGGGAGAAGCTCCCAATCCTTTTACCAGAGAATCGGTTAGCTCCTCGAACGGTCCATACGTATGAACTGAAGACCGCTGGAGGAGGACCAGTGATATACCCGGATTGAGCATATCAGGTAGATCCTCGGGTCCAACTGGTTCTACCAGTTTATCGGCGAAGCATGTTCGATGGAACTGTATTTCGAATTAGCAATTATTGATCACATCTGCATTGGAGTCCGAATATACCGGGTGAGTCGGATGTCCTAAAATGAGAGAAGCTTCCCATTCCAGAAAGGAAGAATTCAGATCCAGCACTGGCTTCGTGGCAGCAATCTCCAACCATTTACCTTCTATCCATTAGTCAATTTGACACCGTTATGAACTAGGATACAGACTAGACATAGAAGCGCTGTTGCGCAGTTCGCGAGTAATTGCGTCCTTTGTTGACTCATCACACGCAAACCCTGGTGCGAAGAATTCAAACACAGCTCCAGGATCAATTTGTTGAACTTCATGGTCTGCACCATCCAAGAGGACGGGGAGTTGGAAATCATTCGGTCGCCAGTGATGACAACTGAGAGGAGTTGAGAAAGAAGATAGGTCCACTTGTGCTCGTCGTGTCGTGTTGCTGCCTTCTGTAGTCAAAACACATGACCATGTCTGAGATTGAGGAGGTGGTGGCAGTAAGTGAACGTTCACAAGTCCTTCGTTGGCCAGTTGTGCAAGAAGACGCTTGGTAGTCTCAGCCATGGCTTGGGACTGGAACGTTGTGACTGTCATTTTGAGAAAGATGACCCCAACATGGAGGACTAGGACTACTTTCTTAATCGCTTCCACAGACACAGCTGACTCAATATGCAAGGTCAATACAATGTGTATTTGTTAGCTGCATATGTACGGTATTTTCCTTTTTGTTTGTAATTTCTCTTCAGTAAGTGGAGACTTAATGAGTTGGTTACACTTGGTCGGGTTTGTCGATTACTCCCAATCCTCTTTGTACTCTGTGCCACCAGAGCTGTATTACTGTGTTGGTTGGGCTTGATAGATCAGGTAGATCGCTCGCGCTCTTCACCGCTAGGTTCAATACATCATCTGCAATGCACGTTTACCGAATCAACAGGTCAATCGAAGATCTCGTTCGCCATCGGGCTTGGATCCTCAACCTTTTATCTAATGGCATTGCCTTGCATGATTAGCTCCAACAGAAGGTTCCACTATGTTCCTGTGGCTGAATTCCAGCTTCAGCTCAAGAACCGAATACGCATGACAAGTATTGAAATGGAATCTTGGGAATTCACCCTAGTGATTCATTCAGTGCATTTTAACTGGGTATTTAGAATTTAGAATTCGGGGTATTGGGCATTTACTCAGCTCCTTCTTCTTCTTCTTCTTCTTCTTCTTCTCCCCTCACAACAGCAAAATCCTTGGGGAAATATATTTATTGCTTTACAGCACAGGTGACAATGCCTTCCGTCCAACCTTTAAAACACGTGCCTGGATCTGTCGTAGATTTTGGGGTAGCAATCGACGTGGATTTGGAGAACCTGACCGGTATCACTGTCAGCACATTGTGAGATGCCAAGCTAAACGGTTTAATAGACGATGACTTCGCCATTGTTCGTGACGCTCTATACCACCACCATCTTGTTTTATTCAAAAATCAACAGAATCTCTCCCCCAAAAGCCCAATATGAGCTGACCAAACGTTTTGATCCGGCCTCCGAAGCGTACGGCCACGACAAAACTGCTGATAATTTTATCCACGAATATTTCACGGGGATCCCCGATCAACCCCAGGTCCAGATTAAGGGACACGGCTTTATCGAGTCTTTCATGGGCCTCGAAGACATCAAGCTGCGGCATCCCCATCACCGCCGTTCCCACCGTGAGGTGATTCCCGAAGACAAAGCCGACGCATATACCCGCTTCAATCGCTGGCACATCGACGCGGCGTTGTATGATCTCAACCCGCCAAAAGTCACCACCCTCATGGCGGTGCAAGTGCCCAAAGGTCGTCGCCAGACGATATTATACGACGATGGTTCAGGAGAGGAGCTGGATGCACCCCTAGCAACCACAGCGTTTATCTCTGGTCAGAAGATGTTCAACATGCTTTCTCCGGAAGATCAGGAATTCGTCCGTACAAGCAAGGTGGAATATGCACCACATCCGTACGTTATTTCACCATAGATGGATACAAATTGTAACCACATGTAATGAAAAACAAGCCGCTGATTCGATGAACAGATACAACTGGATCAAACCCGCTAAAATGCACCCCACCGGCCTAAGCGTATATACCGAAGGCCGTGAGAAGCCTGAATCCGAACTACCTCCTGTCGACCCTTCCAAGATCCAAATTCTACCCATGGCCTGGAAGAACCCTGTAACAGGCAACCTATCTCTACAGGTCCACCCGGCTGCAATTCGCAGGATCCATCTCGCCGATGGAAGTACTATTGACAATTTAAAAGAGGTTCGAGATATTATGTACCGTCTTCAACGTCCCGCAATCAGTCCACAGTATGTATATGCGCATAACTGGGAAGAGGGAGATATGGTGCTTTTCAATAACCATGGCTTGCTGCATACCGTTGTGGGTTCGTTGAGGCCGGATGATATAAGAGTCTTTAGGCAGTGCAATCTGGCTGCGTCGGAGCCACCAGAAGGGCCGTGATTGTTTCCTTTGACCCCTTCTCTGTTGCATATATCGAGTTCTTGAATGCAATACTTTTTTAAAAAATTCGTCTACATGGGTCTTGACCCAGGATGTACGACATGAAATTAACTTCTAGGCACTTTACACCGAGCGCGTAAACACCAAAGCCCTGACCTCAACACTGATCCTTGGGCGTGCATCATTCGGGGTATCCGGCAGTGCGAATGACGTGTGGGGGTATCTATAACACAAGATATGCTTCGCTAGGATAATATTGCTCTCATTTTCCGTCTTCGCATCTTCGAATGAGATAGCATGGAATCCAGGGTTGGAATATTACTCAAGTTTCACACTACCCTTTCCGAGTCAAAACTAATCAAAACTCTTGAACAGCAGCACATCTTCAACGCCTTGTCTGCTTAAATAGTACCATTTGCGAATGTTACTATTAGGCAGTGCGGTTACCATTGGCGTGTGGAGTAGATGAAAGTTCGAGCGAAAATGGAGCTGGACAGGGGAGAGCAACAGGCTTAGCCCTGGGTACCTGGGCCCGCCATACGTCTGGATGACTAACGGATCCGGGAGCTCGGGCCCCTTCACCATTATTATATAATAGGCGGTGGGTTAGGCGGTCAACCCTTTACTATGGGAACTTTTTGATACAACTGGTTTGATACTGCCGGTATATCGGACGGACCCCCTCCGGACCTTCCAAGATTGGGAAAGTTAATAAACCTTGGAAGTTCCAAGGTTACCTAGGTATTAATCCAGTGGACTCTTTTTCTACGTTATACTTACCCGGACAATTCAATAGCAGGTATATAAAGGAAATTGGAGGACTCTTTGTATATGTAGTGATATCTACTATATTCTATAAAAGGAGACACAAATAATAGTAGTCATAGCCATAGTTGCAATCAAATCCAACTGTGGGGTCCTAATCTTCCCGGTGGATCATTCTGAGCACGTTTTGACCGCGGGACTAATAACCTTAGAAAGTCTATCTCTAAAATCTCTGATCTCTTCTCAACCTGATACAGAAGCTTGTCTTTCTTTTCCCTATATATCTGTCATCCAGACATGGCCTCTCACGACCCTGTCGCTGGTTCTGCTGACCTCTTCACCAATCAAGGTGAAGGTGAAGCTAATCGGGCTGAGCTCAAGGATCAGGATGATGCCGCCTTGCTGGTAAGTGCTGCATCCAGGTCTATAAATCTCAAACTAACGTAATCTTCTAGCGGACCTTGGGTTACAAGCCGGTAGGTCAAATCATATAGATTAAGATGATCGGTGGTCAGCAACTGAGTCACGAAACAGGTTCTTCATCGGACATACAATTTGTTCGAGAATTTTGCGACCACATTCGGTACGTTTTTCGCCTGTTCACCACTTGGTGCATGCATTCATACTGACTTTTGTCAAGCTGCTCTTTACTTTGTCGGTGGTGTTCGCGTTACTTTCAGCACTGGTATTGCCGCCGGTGGAAACCTGGCCTATTGGACTAGTTATGTAGTGACCATGGTGTTCACGTTCATTACTGCTGCTGTCATCGCTGAGGTTTGTTCGGCTTCTCCATCCGCCGGGTCAATTTACTTGTGGGCCGCCGAAGCTGGTGGGCCTCGATTTGGCCGACTCCTTGGCTTTATCGTCGCCTGGTGGAGTACAACGGCTTGGACGACCTTCTGTGCAAGTGTGTTGCGTATCTATCCCCCAAGGCTTGCATGATGCTAATTTGATCATAGGCAACACCCAGGCTGCAGTAAACTACATGCTTTCGGTAAGCTCTCTTTTTTCTTCGTTCCCCGGGATCTAGACTGATACACCGCTTTTAGGAAATAACCGTATTCAACCTCGATTTCCCATCGGACGTAAGCAGTGTCAAATTCCGTGCAGTCCAGTGGATCTGCACTGAGGTCTTGCTTGCTCTGGCCGCCCTGTTGAACTTTTTGCCTCGTATGTACAAACGTGTAGCTGTTGATTGACTGCGTCTGACAGCATTTTAGCTCGATATTTCAGATATGTCTTCTGGTGGTCCGCTGCAGTCGTGATGCTCGACTTTGTCCTGAACCTTATCTGGCTGCCCATTGGCACTGCTCAAACCTGGGGATTCCGTACCACCCATGAGGCCTTTATGACCACATACAACGGTACCGGGGCTCCGGCTGGCTGGAACTGGTGTCTTTCTTATCTGGCTACCGCTGGTATTCTGATTGGATTTGATGCGTCGGGTCACGTTGCAGAAGAAACCAAGAATGCCTCTATCACTGCTGCTCGCGGTATCTTCTGGAGTACCGTTGCCAGTGGGTTCGGCGGTTTGGCTACGATTATTCTTTTCTTGTTCTGCGCGGTTCGTCTCGTGTCTCCATGGATAGCAAACTTCGAATTTCTGACCTCGTTTTTCTCTAGCCCGACGCCGACACACTTATGGGCTTCGGTTCCCCCAACCCTTCGTGCCTCTTTACGCCGTGGTTCTAGGCAAGGGCGGCCATATCTTCATGAATATCATTTGCATTTTCGCTTTATGGCTGGTAAGCTATCATCTGTTTGTGTGTGTGGATATTTCACAGCTGACTTTGCTCCTCAGAACACCGCAATTGCCATCATCGCTGCCTCTCGCCTTGTCTTTGCCGTTGCCCGTGATGGTGTACTCCCCTTTGCGGGTTGGGTTTCCCGTGTAAAGAACGGTCAGCCACGGAACGCAGTTATTGTTGTCTGGGCTGTCGCCGCTATAGTCACTTGCTCCATTCTTCCATCCTCCACGGCTTTCACTTCTCTCGTCTCGGCAGCCGGTGTTCCCAGTGCTGCAGCTTACGGTTTGATCTGTTTGGGTCGGCTGCTTTGCACTCCGAAACGGTTCCCGAAGCCGCAGTGGAGTCTCGGCCGCTGGAGTAAGCCGTTCCAGTTTATCGGTGTCTTCTGGAATGGCTGGGTTGTCGCTATCCTGTTCTCGCCCTACGCGTTCCCTGTCACTGCCGAGAACTTGAATTGTACGTTGTTCTTTTTCATATGTTTTTATCCCGCTAACTTCCTGGATAGATGCCCCCATTATCATGGCTGGAGTCACCATCTTGGCATTGATCTCCTACTTCGTGATGCCTGAGAGTGCCTGGCTTCCTCGTGATCGCATCACTCACTTCATTGATAGTAAGGGTGCTGTTGAGACTGTGGATGAAGTCAGCTCCGACCATGGTGAATCGAGCACTGGTCGATGATGGAGGAATGCGGAAGTGTAACTGGCTACCAGTTCCTAGTACCGGGCATATAATGCCATAGAGATTGCAGTAGATGGCTTTCGGGCTTTAGACCATATAATATTTTAGTTAAGTCTAGCTAATTCAACTTGCTATACTATCATTGTTCCTTGTTCCTGAAATGGGTACATGTGGAGAATCAAGGGCTTATCTTCTCCAACGCCCCCCGCGTTTTATGATTATGCGGGGGAGAAAGGCTACAGTTTATTAGTATAGATTATAGGCTATAGAGGTACTTAATAGCTCACACTATAAATTACAAATATCCGGGCGTTTCATCGCAAGGTAGGAATCGTACATAGCCGCTTCCCCTCTTTACTTGGACATTCTGCCGAGAATCGGTGCCTTGACTCAACTTGAACTTCCCCTCCTTTCTCTTCTTTCTTTTCTTTCTTTCTGTCTTATTGCCTTTCTGCTGTGGCTTTTAACGCTTTCTGAAACTTTTGTTTTTTAAAGCTCTTTAGCGTTGCTTCTATTTCCCTTTCAGTCCGGGCTGGATGCGGTACCCTAGTCCTGCTCCCCCTTCCTGGGCCCAATAGGCGTTAGATGAGACAAAGACCCGGCATAACGTGCAGCCTGCAGGATCACTCGCAATGAGCGCTCCAGTATCGCTGCGGTCAGCTCTGCGGCCGTGTTTTGGGGCGTCCATCGCTCGCGCGGGGAAATCTTTCCTTCCGGTGACGTCGGGTAAGCTTCTCCAAATCGCGGTGTCTGAAGCCAAAGTTGAGCTGTTTTCTGACCACTTTCGTCTAATTAGTCTCTCAAATTCGGCAAGCTACATCTTTCACGTCACAGAATAATCGTCCGTTCATTTGCCAGCCGCGATGGCCCTCCATTTCCAAACGTACCGCTACAACCGCACCTGAGTCACCTCCCTCCGAGCCCGTATCTACCACCCCTTATTCAGCCTTGACCGTTGGTGTCCCTCTGGAGATCTTTCCGGGCGAACGCCGTGTGGCGATTACCCCGCAGAATGTCGCCCTTCTGTTGAAGAAGGGGGTCTCCCGCGTGCTTATCGAACGTGGTGCAGGCGAGCGCGCTCAGCTACTGGATCATGCCTACAAAAAGGCCGGCGCGACAATGGTCGACCGGGATACAGTCTGGTCACAGAGTGAAATCGTACTGAAGGTCCGCAGCCCCCAGTCGGAGGGACCATTCAATGAAATCCAGGCTTTGCGCAAAGGCTCGACCGTTATCTCTTTCATCTATCCCCTCCAGAACAAGCCGCTCGTCGAGGCACTCGCGGCTCGTGGTGTGACATCCTTTGCAATGGATCGGATCCCGCGAATCTCTCGTGCACAGACTTTCGATGCCCTTAGCTCCATGGCCAATATTGCAGGTTACAAGGCGGTCCTGGAGGCCTCTAATCACTTCGGTCGCTTCTTGACTGGTCAGGTTACTGCAGCTGGAAAGATTCCCCCAAGTAAAGTCCTCGTTATTGGTGCTGGCGTAGCTGGTTTGAGCGCAATCGCGTCTGCCCGTCGCATGGGTGCTATTGTTCGTGGCTTTGATACTCGCCCTGCTGTGCGCGAGCAAGTCCAGTCTTTAGGCGCTGAGTTCGTCGAGGTTGATTTCCAGGAGGATGGTTCTGGTCAGGGCGGATACGCCAAAGAAATGTCCAAGGAATTTATCGAAGCTGAAATGAAACTGTTCATGGAGCAAGCTAAAGAGGTCGATATCATTATCACCACGGCCCTGATTCCAGGCAGGCCTGCACCGAAGCTCATTACTAAAGAAATGATTGCTGCAATGAAACCCGGCTCTGTTATTGTTGATCTTGCCGCTGAAGCAGGTGGAAATTGCGAAGCTACTGTTCCTGGAGAATTGAGCAGCTACAAGGACGTTACTATCATTGGCTACACGGATCTTCCTTCGCGTCTTCCTACCCAATCTTCCACGCTATACTCGAACAATATCACCAAATACCTTCTCTCCATGGCCCCCGAGGAGAAGTCGTTTGGGATTGACTTTAAAGACGAAGTTGTGCGCGGTTCCATCGTGACTCTAAACGGTGAAATAATCCCCCCTGCTGCTCCACCCGCTCCACCCCCAACCCCAAAGCCAGAGGCACAAGCTGTCGCGGCGAAGGAGGAAGTCGCTTTGACGCCGTGGCAAAAGGCAACACGCGATGTGACAGCGGTCACAGGTGCAATGGGCACGACCCTGGCCCTAGGTAAGGCAGCCGGTCCAGTATTTATGGGCAACATGATGACCTTCGGACTTGCTGGTCTGGTCGGCTATCGTGCTGTTTGGGGCGTAGCACCTGCGCTCCACTCGCCGCTCATGAGCGTAACCAACGCCATCTCGGGCATGGTCGGCATTGGTGGACTATTCATCATGGGAGGAGGCTATGTGCCGACTACTATCCCAGAATACTTCGGCGCTGCTTCCGTGCTTCTGGCTTTCGTGAATATCTCTGGCGGCTTCGTTGTCACGAAGCGTATGCTGGATATGTTCAAGCGTCCAACTGACCCTCCCGAGTATCCATGGCTGTACGCTGTCCCCGCTGTGGTGTTTGGTGGTGGCTTCATTGCGGCCGCCAGCACTGGCATGTCAGGTCTGGTTCAGGCTGGATATCTCGTCAGCACAATTCTGTGCATGGGCTCAATCTCTAGTCTTGCATCGCAACAAACAGCCCGACGTGGCAATATTTTCGGTATCCTGGGGGTAATCTCCGGTATTCTGGCTTCACTGGCTGCGGTAGGCTTCTCTACTGAGACGCTGACGCAGTTCACTGCTGTTGCTGGAACAGGTGCCTTGATCGGAGGCTTGATCGGCCGTCGCATCACACCAACAGGTCTTCCCCAAACTGTCGCTGCTCTCCACTCGGTGGTGGGATTGGCTGCTGTTCTGACTAGTGCCGGAAGTGTAATGGTCGATATTGGTGACATCACAACTCTCCACCTGACGACAGCGTACATGGGTGTTCTGATTGGTGGTGTTACCTTTACCGGCTCGATCGTTGCTTTCCTGAAATTGGCAGGGCGCATGTCTTCCAAGCCGACGATTCTGCCCGGCCGACACATTGTCAATTCAACACTATTGGGCGGTAATATGGCAACCATGGGAGCGTTCATTACAATGGCGCCAGGAAGCCCTGCAATCGCAGCCATCTGCCTAGGAACAAGCACCATCCTCAGTTTCCTGAAAGGATATACCACGACAGCAGCCATCGGCGGTGCCGACATGCCCGTCGTCATCACTGTGTTGAACGCTTATTCCGGATTCGCCCTTGTGGCTGAAGGCCTGATGCTTGACAATCCACTTCTCACCAGCGTCGGATCCCTGATCGGTGTTAGCGGTTCCATTCTCTCGTACATTATGTGCATCAATATGAACCGGTCGCTAACAAATGTCCTGTTCGGCGGAATCTCGAGTCCGGCTGCGCAAAACCAGAAGAAGATGGAGGGCGAGATCAAGCAAAGCAGCATCGATGACACCGTGGAAGCTTTATCCAGCGCTGAGAATGTCATCATTGTAGTTGGCTATGGTATGGCTGTTGCCAAGGCTCAGTATGCTCTTTCGGAGATTGTTCGCTTGCTGCGTGCCCGTGGTGTCAACGTTCGCTTCGCTATTCACCCTGTTGCTGGCCGAATGCCCGGTCAATGCAATGTGCTGCTTGCGGAGGCATCTGTGCCCTATGATAGTAAGACTTTTATGGTTGAAATCTGTGAATTACTCGCTAACAATCGATGCAGTTGTCTTGGAGATGGAAGAGATCAACGAGGATTTCTCGGACACAGATGTTACCCTCGTCATTGGCGCCAATGATACCGTTAACCCAATTGCCATGGAGCCAGACTCCGCTATCTCCGGCATGCCTGTCCTCCATGCGTGGAAGAGCAAGGAGGTTATAGTTATGAAGCGGGGGATGTCCAGCGGATATGGTATGGTCTCTTCGTCATTCCTGATAAATGAAACTAACATTCTTCACAGCGGATGTTCCAAACCCCATGTTCTATATGCCCGGTACTCGGATGTTATTCGGCGATGCCAAGACCTCTTGCGATGGTAAGTGTCACTTGCGTGAATATCTACAGAAGAGAAGATGGTGCTAATTCATTTCGAACAGCCATCAAAGCTGCCCTGGAGGCACGGAAGTAGGCTTCGACTAGAACTCATTATCCTTTTACGACTGCATGCTATTTTTGAATTTTTCCTTGTTAACTGCGAGATTTCGTGCCCCAGTGGCTATTCTATTGTTCTATTCCACGCTCATGCTGGATGAATTGCTATTTCGTCATCGGTTTACTTCCCCCGGGGCCAGTAGGTCGAGTTACTTAACGCACGCGCAATCCTTTTTTATTAAAGATACGACACTCTGAATCCTGTAAACACCCAACTTGGCATTGACATACATAGTGAAGATCTTCATAGTGGAGTACCCAGCCGAATCCCTAGCGGGCGAGTTGAAGTGGGCGCTGAACCGTCCTGTCTCGGATGATCGGGGCAGTGGGTCAAATAGACACGAAATTTTCGCAAGCCCCTCTATGTGATACGAAGTATGGAGTAGAGTATAGCGCATTCCCCACTCGAGGACAACATTCGCCCTTGTTGCTGGAGAAAGCGGCGAATTTACCTGTATCAAGTCAACTCAATTCCAGCGGGTCCTCCGGGTCTACGCTCGTACTCGGGGGCTGGTACTCCTCGTGTACCCCTTGCTAAGGTTCTATGCGCTGTCGAGACATGTAATTTCCCTTAAAAAAAGATACGATACCGCTTGCGTTTTAAAATGATGATAGTAGGGAACTACGGTGTCTCCTTTTGTATGTGTACGGAGTACCGGGAAATTGATCACCATGTACTCCACATCCGGGGAGTATACAAGTTGAGGATACGTGGTAAATTAGATATAAGATACCTACTAGTATACTTGAATGGAACACGATCAGGTTGTATGAATAGACACTAATATCAAACTGCGCCAAGATGTCTCGATAGCTATTTAGCTATGTAATTCAGAACTAACCATAACAAAAACCACCCAATAATGTTCCCAAAATCAGATACCATGCGCCAACCATTAAAGTAGACATTAGCCATCCCAGAATTCGACTTGATGCAGCCCTTGACGAAGTCAAGGACCGTCATACATTAGCTGATCGAAACAGAGGTGAGAGGGAAAGAAGTGAAAACAAATAAACGCCATATACCAAACACCAGAATAAGAACCCAAAAACCAACATCCAAGAGATTCCCCATAAAAACATTACTAGATCAATATATGTTAAGTACCAGAAAGCAAAAAAAAAAAAAGGTAGAACCCATCTCAAGCCTTAGCTTGCGACTTCTTCCCCAGCTTCAACCCCATAAATCCCCTCCCCGGCAGAACGCTATTATGCCGTGAACGGCGACGCTGGCTAGACTTGCGCACAACATGGGAATCAGCACTGGGCAGCGGGGTAGGCTGAGTAGCGACCGAGATCTGCGAAGCAGAGGCATCATTAACGCCGACCTCAGAACGCAGACTACTTAGCGAATGCACGCTGGAGGAAGAGTGTTTCCTCGTCATGCGCCGCATCATAAGTGGAGAGCGGCTTGAGATCATATTCGATACACTGTATGTTGAGCCGCTGCGTTTCGAGGAGATATATGGCGGTGGTGAAGAGGCGGATGAGATTGAAGCCGGGCTGCAGACTCTGGTGAGTTGGGAGGGTGTATCGTTGTAGTTTGGTTTGCTGTCCTCGGCTGAGAAGGGTGTTGAAGGGCGGGAGGTGTAGCTGGGCACGCTGTTGCTGCTTGTGCTGCGCATTGAGGGGGGTCGACGGGTGCGCGGGTTTAGTGGTGGTGGCATTGCGTTGTCTTGGCCTGAGGTTCGGGGTCGTCGGTACTCTTGTGTTGGGACTGTGCGTGGTGGTGCTGGGAAATAGAGGACTGAGGGGATTTCGGAGACGCGGTTGATGGTTGCGCTAGGTGCGAACTGTGTATCTTCTTCTAGGGTTCCGGTTGGGGTTGTGGTTGGAGCGGTAGCTGTAGCTGTCTTGGGCGTCGGCTTCATGCTGGCCCTTTTCTCAGATACTCGCGGTGACTTGGTTGCCGAGGCTGACGAGTGTGGCAATGTAAGTCGGCGGCTGTCAGCCCTGACAAGCATAGAGCGGGTGCGGCTGCTTTCGCGGGAGCGGGAATGGCTCGAACGAGATTTTGAGGTCTTGGACCGTGACCCCAGAGCGTCAATCAAGACCACTGTAGGACGAGTTCGGGGCTCCATGAAGGTCACTTCCTTTGCAACCTGAATATCCGCCTCCTCTACCGAAAAGACCGATGAGGGCGAAGTAGAGCGAGACCTTGAGCTGGCCGGTTGCGGTGGTTTTGGCCAGACGTATATCGATGGCTGTAGAAAGGTGTTGGATGCCAGTTGTGGCGAAGAATCTGACGGTGGCAGTTCAAGAACCATCTGCTCCTCCGGATCAAACACATACGTATCTTCGTCAAAGGTGGCATTGCTGTTTCTCTTGATAGTAGCAGAGGAGACGGGGCGGGCTCGTTTGACTGTTGGTGGAGCCAGAATATCTTCATCCCGGTCAGAATCAGGGTCCATGTGAGAGTGCTCGTCGGCACTGAGATCTGAATCAAAGATTTCAGTTTGTGAGCCCACGGGCGAGGAAAGTAGATCCTGGGGCCCTGTATCGGATTCAGACACAGCCTCCTCGTCTGACTCGTATCTATCTTGGAGGCTATGCCTGCTCAAGCGGTGTAGGCTCAGCGAGGAAGTAGGTTCGAACATGTTCCCGGCAGTGATATGGTTGTAAATGGTTGTAATCGGTAATAGGGCAGAATAGGAAGAGTAAGTGTTCCAAGTAGGCAGTTCTAAAGCAGAAAGGAAAATGCAAAACCCCAAGGAACCCAAGGAACGACTAAGAATACCAAGGTAAAAGGGAGAAGGAGACGTAATGTCAAATATCCCAAAGCTGCAAAGGAGATTCAAAAATCCAGGGCGACCAAAGGGCTCTTTAAGTGGAGAGTGGGACCAAGGAGCTATATATTGTATGCAGATATCATATATAGTACTCCGTATGGCCACCCTGTACGGAGTACACGTGTAGAAAGGTAAAAAAAAAATTGGAAGGTTCGTTATAATTTTGTGATAATCTTTTATTTTTGATATATTTTTTATTATATTTATTATATTTTATAATTATATTTGTACTAAATTTGTACAGCGCGTAAGAAGAAGAGAATTGTGATTGGTGTCTCACCCTTGCAGGACTAAATAGGGCCAGTTTCAGCAGGGGGAGAAAACGCGTTACACTGGATATCGTGGCAGGACGGCTGATTTCAAACTTTCAGAGATAAATAGATTAAATAGATTAAAAGGATAAATACCTACATAGAAGAATAATCAGAATAATCAGAATCTGATAGATCACCATGAGCTATCCTTGGTCAAGGTCCATGCGCCTAATCCTCCGTTATTCCTTGGACATTTATGCATATCAGGATCTCAGGGGGGGCATGGGATCATGCAGGGCATTGGAAGAATTTTCATATCCAGGGAAGTACGGGGTCCCAACAGTGTAAGAAAAGAGCGGGATGTTGAGGGTCCATGAATGAGACATCCGTCCCTAAAAGCATTCCTCCATGTGGAGCAAACTACTTAAGCTGAACAGATTACAACATAGATTGGAATGGACACGCCCACGGGAATAAGGAACGGGGGAGTCATGACCAACGAGTGATCGGATCAAATCACATCAGGCGTTTAACAGCTCTGCCAAGTCAATCAGTGGGGCCCAAGTGTATAACTCAAACACACTGAACTCCCCTTAGCTTCAAATGGGCTAACTCGGCATACGGTGGATTCTCCTTACTATGCCAGGAGGTGTTAAACCTTGGGGGTTGGTTAGAGGTTGGAGGTATATTACCTACATACGTACCTAGGTATATTGTAGGTATTCTTCAGGAATCAGGGGGTTATACATGAACACTGAAGGATCAGAACACGCCTAACATGGGAAAAATGAAAAACTCTCTCCATCTTCTCCTTACATGAACATATCTCGGCGATTTTTCAATCTCACCTGTCATCCATATCTATCATCTGTCCACGATGATATTACTCCGTACAGAGTACGGAGTAGTAGTGTGGAAGATACTAGTGCAGCCACCAGCAAGGACTCAATATTTCCCACTCTTTTATGCATACACTTTCTGCATGTCAAGCTCTTGACACTTGATTCAACTAAGTCGACCAACCAGTACTCCATATCCAGTGGAGCCCCTACGCTAGAAGGATCCGGCATCGCTCCGTGTACACATCTAACCCGTTTCAAATCCAACCAGGGCCACACTGGATGCTCATCGGCCGATCTTCACTATTAATGTCGGCCACTACTGCACGCCCATGCGATTTTTTCCCTGTTCTTTTTCAAATTGGCGACCATGCTCCGGCTGCAAAGCCCAGCCCTGCATGTCCGTCCAGTCTCCGAATAAACCACGCGCATGACATCCAAGCAAGGCGCTTGTAACTTTCGAGAATAAACCATATCTCCTGCCTTTGACTTTATCTCTTGTCCTGGTCTATTGAGTTTTGCCCAGCCCCATTATATCAATGGCTGGGCTGGGTATCGAGAGATGTGATGGCCACCGCCCTTTCAATCTCGGTGGCTGGATATAACCAGCCTTGCTCCTCGCCTTGCGAGTTCAGGTCCTTTTTTCGGGGAGGTTCGGGGCTTCTCTCTGGAGGCTGAGGCTCTGTATGTTTCGTTACGCGACGCGTTGATCGCCTTGCTAACTGGGCACGTCCGGGGCATATCAGATACATCACTTTCGTGGCGTTGTGCCTCGTCGCACAGGCCATGATGAGCATCTAAACTCCACCTGGCGGTTCCTGTTCCTGCGTTTCTGTTTCTGCCGCGGCAGTCCAGTATGATACTGCACATTGTGGTACGGAGGTCAGTATATAAGCTTTATGTTGCCATATCAACAATTGGCGTTAATGGTGTGGCGAAATGGATTGGTTTGAATGGATAGCCTCGAGATATGGTCTGGCTGAATTGTCTCTCGAGATACAGACCAGGTCTGCATGGATGATGCATCTTGAATCCCGCTTGTGCTGAAGGTGCTGACAGCATAGGCAATCAACCTTCCAAGGTTGAAAGCAAACATGCCTTGCTGACCAGATGCGAGCCATGGATATGGTATCTGACCTGCCGATCGTCTGCTCCCAATCACACTATTGTCTAAAGAACAGACATGATTACATTTATCTTGATATTATGAGCTAACGTCTATCAATGGATACTTTAATAACAATAAGGGCGAAAGGTACAATCCCATGGCCTGCCACCAAACGGGGGTGATAACGACAAACATGAACAGAAGAAGAAAACGACATTATAAAATACAACCATGACGAGACCACTGGGGCAGGGTAATCCAACAGCATTGCCCCTGTAGGTTTTCCGACAAAAGTTCCGGCGCACTCCAAGGCACATACCCCATGCTCGGGCAATGGGCAATGGACCTGGCATCATGAGGTGGTCATTCATTAAACAAATATAGGGACGCATCACCCAATAGCAGCCACTCTGCCCTGCGCTGCTTTGTTTGGCCACAAGCATTGGATGAATTTCGAGTTCGATGGCTCATCCTAGGATGATTCAACAATCAAAACTCGGGGGGCAATATAATTCTCCCAAATCACACGCTGAAAACATTCAGACGCGACTGTGCTTTGGTTGATTATTTAGGCCTTGCGAGAGCGTGTCACAGGGCCGTTGGAGCGGCCAGTGGACTTGGCGCTGCCGTTCTGGGTACCAGCCGGGGAAGGAATTTCGAAGTTCTTCATGTCGATCAACGATTTCTGGCCAGTGTTGCGGCGGGGACGACCGGTCTTGGCGGTCTTGTTGTAGGTGGCGATGTAGAAGGAGATGAACAGGACCAAGTAGGAGCTGATGATGCCGATACCAGCCAAGGCAGCGAATTCCTCACCGGCACACTTGCCCATGTTAGGGAGCCACGGGAAGTAGGCAGAGGTGAAGTAGGTGTACGAGGCGAAGTAGATGAAGCCTTGAAACTGTCAGTATTCCATTCTTTTCATGTTTCTGGAGGCTGAATCACTTACCGACGTCAATGACGAACTGGAGGATCTGCAGCATGGTGATGTACTTCTTCCACCAAATGCGAACACCGCGGGCGCTCTGGAAGTAGTACCAGTACATCACGACATGGACCAGCAGGTTGATGGTGATGGGCACCCACTGCACAGCAGTCACGCCGATAAGCTGAGTGTAGCAGAGTAGGGCGGTGGCACCGTGGTGGTAGGTGTGGAGGAAGGTCAATGGCTTCTTCTTGAGGACCAGGAAGACGGTGTCAATGAACTCGACGTATTTGTTGATGTAGTTGAGCTAATCGAGGTTGTGAGTTTCTCTTCTTCGACGGTACAAGCGCTTTGCAACTTACGTAGTACAGAACGATCAGAGGACGAGTCCAACCACCCTCCTGGTCACAGATAGTGTAGAAGACTCCGTGTCTCCAGAGGGTGGGGACCAGCTGCTCAATGAACAAGACCAGCAGGATAGCGCTAACGGTGGTCAAAACGAAGTTGTGAATCATGAACAAGGTGTTAAGCTTGAATGCAGGCAACTTCTTCATGACCTCGCGACCACCGAAGATGACAACGTAGTAGGTGATAAGCATCATTGTAGTCTCCTTCAGGGTGGACAGAGGGGTGACACCCTCGGTGAAGTTGAACTCGCTGGCGGGATACCCCATGACTTTCTCGTAGGCCTGGTCGAAGAGGGGCCACAAGTGCACACCGAAGGGTCGATCGACGGTGGGGACCGAGACATGTTTGAGGATTTCGGACGCCATTGTGACAGGACTAGGTTGTTCTCTCAAACAAAGATGGATCGAAGATAGAGATAGCGGAAGGCAACTTGTTCTTTTGACGGGGGCAGTAATCTGCAAGTAAGCCGCCAAAACAAGAAAAGCCAAATGAAGGAAAGGAAAGGAATGAAAGGAAAGAAAACCAAAGAAATGAAAGTAGGAAAGGGGGTAAAAGAAGAGAGGGAAAAGCTGGAGAAAGAAGAGAACCATTACTTTTTGCGTCCGGCGCGTCCGTTGAGGACCCAAAAGGGTTTAGCGTCTAAAAAAGGGGAAGATCAGGTTCCGATCGCATCTACAACATACAACATACGGAGTACTTTGTTCAATTATATGAAACATTGATCATGGAGTAAATAGATTAGAATTAGATCTTATTTATTCTTAATAATAATCTGAGATAAAATAACTATGTAGTGTTGCTGAATACAATAATGCCCTTGGTGTGAAACTATCACATGAATTCCAATAGTGCAGTATCCATTACAAAGAAATGAACTATATAAAATTGCCGAGGATTATCCAAATCCACTATGGATTATGTCCTATGCACATATCTTCGGAAATTGACGACCTTCTGCACTCGATGGCTAACTCATGAGGTGGATTCCAGTCCCCGCCTTAACTAGATCCATACCCGAAGCGTTGCATTGGAATTATATCGAGACATTTCCTATTATTGGGCTACAACTAAATAACACGGAAGTCTGACATTGCAAGTAGCCTTAGCAGGTGTATAAATGTCATTTATGTATACTAGGTTGCGCCAATCCCCGCATAGGTTATACGTAGAGCATATCCACAGAATAGACATGTGGATCATAAACAATATTTATTCTGTTGTCCATTTTTCTGTCTGGGTAGAAGTGGGAGTATATCCATGGATCTACTCCGTACCTAATTCAAAGTTATCAAGATCTTAGATTGCGATGTCGCCACTATTAATACCCTCAATTCCCATTCTAACCGAGGTCTACCTAGGTAAGCTCGAAAGCCAACACATGTATCTAGTCACATTCTCCAGTGCCTGCCTACCTTCTTGGCGTATGCAGTAACAGATTCATAACAGAATAATTGAATTGGGGCCAATTGCTCGAATAATCATCCAAGTCAGTTTCTCTGCGTAGCCATTGGGGACAAAATATATATTTGAACATCCAATTACCATGATAGTTTGGCTTGGGTGTTTCGAGAGACTCCTCCAATGTTTAGCCTTATCATATAAAACATATCCATAAATAGACATAAGCAATCTAAAGAACAATGGAATATCGCATGAACCGACTGCACTCGACCGTCATGACCTTAAGACTCGGCCAATGACACACATCCAGAAAGTGACAACCATTCAACCAATCAGGGGCCACCATTAGAGATCAAGTCAACTTGGAACGGGGTCAATCGGATGATGACTCAGCACCCGTATAGCTGCCTCAGGCGTCGACACCACACCACCCGCAAAATCCTAGAGGCACTTCACACCTCCCCTTCCCGTCCCCATCCACACCTCTCCCCTCACCATTGCTCCTGTCCGGTCCACCGTGGTCCCCTTCTAAAAATGTCGTCCCTCTCCATCTTCCGCGTGGCGACCCGCGCCGTTCGCCCTACCGGCTTCTTTAGAGCTCCCCAATTGACCCGGTCCCGGATGCAGTCCCCAGTGACTCTGGCCGCCGCCCGCGCCCACAACTTCGGTACCACCGCCATTCGCCGCTCCGGCCACGAGGATGAGACATACGAAGAGTTCTCTGCCAGGTACGCCCCCAATCGCAAGCCATTGAGGCCGGAGGAGTCGGACAGAAGCGTCTTGCATCTCCATGTTAGGCGCTTCCCGGAACGAACATCGGCAATCGTCTGGACATGATAGGGGCGTCCCATGCTGACTGTGTATCCCAATGGCAGATTCGAGAAGGAATTCGATGGTGTGCAGGACGTTTTCGAGCTCCAGGTATGACTATCTCGACTTCACCCGAGACATATTGATCGGCATGCGATACATGGCATCAGCCACACCCGTCACTTCAACATGCGGCTCCTATATCCGCACCAATCCAACAATTGACTAATGCATATCCTTTGCAAACAGCGCAACCTGAACAACTGCTTCGCTTACGATCTCGTTCCCTCCGTCGAGGTCCTCACTGCCGCCCTCAAGGCCGCCCGCCGTGTTAACGACTTCCCCACCGCTGTTCGCGTCTTCGAGGGTACGCTTCCACAGCATCCCTTATTTGAGCACTGGTGTATTTCGTCGCTGAACCCAAGCTAACGTCACTTCGTTATTAGGTGTCAAGGCCAAGGTCGAGAACCCCGACCAGTACAAGCAATATCTCGAGTCTCTCGAGGGTCTGCGCGTCGAGCTGGGCGTCGCTCTCCGGGAGGAGCTCTACCCCCAGGAGGCGTAAATTCCCATCATCAATTCTACTTTTACGTCAATTTTCTCTTAAACAAACAGTACCCCCCTCGCATGTTGTTTATCCAGCACTGTTTGACTGGCTGAGGACTCGGTCAGGTCGAAGAGAAAACTGTATACATACTTTAGAGATCTCTTGTGTTGTTAGTGCTGCTGTTGTCTGGAAAAAGGTCCTCTGTGCCTTACTTGGTTGGTGCTTAATCTATCTTGATTCCATCTTGTTCAGCCATCTTGCATTGTTGTATTATCAACCGCTCAAGTCAGTCCTCAGTCCTCGACCCTCAATCCTCATTCCTTAATTATCAATTTGCCAACACTTGGTTTACGGAGGACATTTCCTCAACATGGTAGAATAGCCAGACAGGTCTGAATCTCGGTTTGTTCCTAAATAGCAAATATATCACAAAATGACCTGCGAAAGCAGGCCATGGGGCACTAGACAAACAGAGCCTCCAACAATGACCATGCGCAATCGATATAAGTACAATGTAGATAGGTCTCCGTAGCTCTCTAGGAGACAGCAACATGGCCGAAAACGAATTTCGTGACAAGGAATTAAACCAAAAATAGGAAAGAAAAGGGAACACAAAATCATCAATACACACAGGTATGTGTCCGCTCAAACGCCGGGTACCAAGCCACTGATTTTCAGTAATATAGTCATAGGGGTATGCAAGGTGATGCAAGGAATCGAGTCATGAGGCACTGTCCAGAATGACAAGAGACGAGAGAACAGATCAAACGAGACATCATGATAACTAGTGCGTCCCAACATACTTGAAGTAAGTAGGTCGGCAATCCTCCTTGGCAAGGAAGTCTGCGCCTTGGAAGAACTGGCCCGCTTTGCAGCCGGAGCACTTGGGAGAATTGGGGCAGTTGAGATACGGGATGTGGTTGTACCCGATATCACGGAACCTAGTGAAGATACAAGTGAGTGAGGGTTCCAAAATGAGAGAAAGTCCATATGACTTACCAGTGGACGTTGGCGGCATCGGCGAAAAGACCAATGCCAAGGGAGTGGACGGGAGCATCACCCCAGCGTTCGTAGAAGAACCCACCGGCGCGATCCAGGTGCTGGAAGTAGGCCTCGTACTTTTCGCCGCGGAAGAAGTCGAGATCGCCAATTTCGAAGTTGGACCAGAAGTGGCAGGTGGAGTATCCATTGGCGCCCTTGGTATGCTCCGGACGAGCCACGTCATCCGTAATCCACTCCCACATGTTGTTATCGCTGAGGTACGACGGGTTGGCGGCGAGGAATCGCTGAGTCTCGGGCCATAGGGAGGGGATACTCTGTGGTGCATCGTAGAGGTTGATGGTGAAGCCGTAGGTCTTGTTGCCATCCTCCATGTATCGGAACACATCGTAGTCGACATCGCAGAAGAACTTGACATTGGGCTCGATGCGCCAGTAGTAGCGGTAGCCTGCAAGGGCTGGGTGTTTGTAGAACATGCCGCTATTCCAGCGACACATCTGGTGATAGGAGATCTTGGAGCTGTACTGGATGTCTTGTTCCTCCAACATCTTTGCGGACTCGTGGAAAAGGTCCATATTGATCCAGTCCGGGACATCCCAGTGTTCCTTTGGTACAGTTTCTGTATCTAAAGTTAGGTATGGTTCCCTCTCGTTCTAATCCGACTGGAATGCATACCATATTGACACTTGGCTTTGGTCATTGCCTGAGTCTTCTGCTTGAACTCATCGGTGAAGGGCACATCGTTGAAGAAGATATAGGGATAGTTGAACTTTTTGTTCCATGTTCGCTCCAGGTCACTCATTGTCGAGAGCAGCTGATCCAGCTCCTCATTGCGGACGAGGGTAATAAGCGCAGCATTGGTGCGGGCCGATTGTTCGCTATCGGGGGAGTAATCGTGTTCTTCGGCTCGCCATAAGTTTCCCACAGGTTCTCCGGTTGCTATAAAAGTAGTTAGTATGGCATTTAGGGTGCGATGGTTGTAATAGGAGGCGTGGCAAGAAACTGGGGTCACGCACGATCTACAAGAGGATCCTTTTTCATGCCATGGGCCAACTTAGACCCTTCTTCAGAGGAGCTTTGGTGTAATTGGAAGACAAGAAATAGACAAAGAAGAATGCATGCCGCACCCAGCATGCGAATCGGTCGCGCGATAGCCATGATGGTTGTGTTTGCTTAAAGGGGGAGATGGTCGGAGGGAGAAAGGCGCGCATAAGAGTGGCCATCTTACCTCATCGGGACTAGTGTCATCCAAGCAAAACATCACTCTTCACTTTATGTTTCTTCACTTCTTGACGTCTGGAGGCATCTCGATGTGATTTAGACCTTGGATCTTGGATAAGAGCCTATGTCTGAAAATGGCTCTCGCGGCTGATCTAAGTACGCTCATCGATGCCTTGATCACTTCAGTTGCTAAGATATCACCGGACCACAAGGTAATATATTGGTTTTCCATTATTCTCGTCTCATCATGCATGGTGTCTAATATATACGTAGGGGTCTGCGCGTGTCCAGAGTCTGAAGCGTCGTGTACAAGGTGGTCTCCGAACTGGCTCTCATACGCGCACCGACCAGTTCGCGGTCGCCAAGCAACTCGAGGGACTACAGGAAAAGTTTCAGATCTTGAATAGAGATGAGCTTGCGGAAGCACTTCACATTCACCTTGCGGAGTTGGAGAGCAATCGAAACCCCTGGCTCCCAGAGATCCTGAGTCTCTTACTGCAACTCTCAGATCGCCCCGCTCTGTTGTCTGCGGTCAAACCTCCGGAGGAACGGGCCAAGGCACCAGAAGCAAAGGAGACTCTTTCTTGGTCAGAACTTAGAGCAGATGGGACGGCATTCAGTGACGAAGAAATCTGGGAACAGGTAGACTTTGCTGGCGACTCATCAGATGACGACTTTTCGTCCGTTGTCAGTGATGTATCTCTTCCAAAGCACAGGCCTCAGTCCGCCACAACGGTGGATGACGAGTACATTATCCCAGATGACACTTTTGTGCCAGCAGAGAATGGGGATCTTATTGCCTCTTTAGAAAAGGCTCAATTCTGGAGAGCCGAAAATCACCCTTCGGCAACCACCTCGCGACTTATCACAGAATCTCAACTTGCTAGAGAGACTATCTTTATGCTTCAGGGCCTTCCGACCTCCATTTACGTACGTCTGGACGATGATTTTGGGGTAGATCGAAGATACGCACTCGAACATTCATCCAGCGAAGCCCTGGCATCGCTTTTACAGTGTTTCAGCGAGATAGGCGCCAAACTCAACGATGTACGGTCTTTCACTAAGCTCCCACAGACAATTCCATATATGCAAACATTTTGCCGGGGTTTAGAAGATCGTCTTCTTGAATTTGACAAAGTCTTATCTCACGTTCAATGCAAATACCTTTCCGCGGGGTCAACTATCAGTCTCATCCAGCTTCTTGCTGACGTTCGTCAACACTCTCACGAGCTAGTATTGCTCGCAGAAATGATTGCCAAGCTAGGCAAAGACTCGACTGATCAACCAATGTGCTGTCTTGATTCGCTATACGATTTAATATGCATGCTTGAAGCCCTTGGCGACGAAAGTTCGTCTCAGCGCCTAGCAGGGCTATTCTTTATGTGTTTCAAAACATATGCAAGCTCGATCCGACGCTGGATGGAAACAGGTCAGGTCGATGTTTCAGACAGCACTTTCTTCGTGCGAGCCAATCGTGAGAATGGGGATCTACGAACTCTTTGGCATGACTGGTTTATACTTGATACGGGTCACAGGCAGCAGAGGATCCCTCAGTTCCTCGAGACTAGTGTCCAGAAAGTCTTCACGGCGGGGAAGAGCATGGTATTTCTACGCCATCTAAATGCTCTACCAGACATTGAGGCCATGAGATTCGAGGACCTCTATTCCTCTTCGCAATTACTTCCTTTTCCCGCATTAGTAGAGTCTGCTTTTGAAAAGCTTGTGGATGTGGACCATTCACTCAGTGCTAGTCTATTACGCACGGAGCTCGACCAACAATGCGGATTATGGAGCTCCCTTGACGCTCTTCAGCATGTCTATTTCGCCAAAGATATGAGCGTCGTCAGCATTATTGACGCCAAAGTCTTTGAGTTGATCGATCGGGGTCGTTCATGGGATGACAGGTTCCTACTCACTGAGATATCAAGGACGGCTTTCAGTTTAGTACCCGTCATTGACACATCAAGGCTCCTAGTGCGGCCGGCTAGTACCCCGATGCGGGTTTCTCAAGGTGGTCATCGAAGCGTGGGGATTTTTGGTTCGATAACAATCGACTATGGCCTCCCATGGCCCATTGCAAACATAATCACCGAGGACGCAATACACACTTACCAACGAATCTCGACCTTCCTGATGCAAATCAGACGCGCTAAATATGCTATTGTGAAACAGCGTGTGCGCGACGCCCGCATTACCACACCTGACGACAATGACACATTGGTGCACGCTCTACATCACAACATGCTTTGGGTCCTTGATTTCATCTACGGCCATCTGACCTATCTCGTAATATCCACCGCAACCCGATCTCTACACAAGGATTTATCTGGCGCACAAGATGTTGATGCCATGATATCCGCCCACCAATCTTACATGTCCTCTTTGGAAGCACAGTGCCTCCTCTCTGAAGATTTATCACACATCCATGATGCAATTATCAATTTCCTAGATTTGTGCGTTCATTTCGCAGATCTACAAGCCGCGCACTTGCTCGGCGACGAAGAACAACATATGGAGAATCCGCACACAAAGAAAGAGTTCGAAAACGAGTTCGACTCCGATGATGATGATGATGATGATGACGATAACGTGAACCATGAACACACACTCACAGTCTCATTTCATGATTCGACCTACAGCCAGCAGCTGAAAACGGTCAACAACCACTTCAACCATTTGACAACTTTTGTCACAGATGGCTTGAAAAATTTAGCTCGTGCAGATGGGCTTCAAAGTTGGGAAATTCTTGCCGACAGGCTCGAATGGAGACGGAATTGGCGCAGGCATTGATACACGATACAAATACCCTTTGGTTTCCAGCGGGCGTTGGCGTTACATAGCTCAAGAATTGACGTAGCTTAACAATTGGGATAGCTTAATAGGCTAGAAATGACACTAAGTAGTGGAAGATGCAATAATGACTTTTTCGACTAAATTTCTGTCTCAAACTCAAACGGCCAACCAATCCGTTTTGGCCCGGGGCTGTAAACATCTATGGATGCTAACCCCGTCCGATTGGAGCCTGGTGTATGATCTGCGCTCTATTATTTTGCGCGAAAAGCCAATTGCTCTGAAGGTTGGGCGGCCTCTTGCTCCGAAGGCTGGGCTGCTGTCTCTTGCTTGGCGCCCGGGAAGCGAGAACCTCTGTCCTTAACCTTCTTTACCTTCTTGTGCACAACTGGTGGCGGGTAAGCCTTCAATGTAACCTCCTGCCATTCAGCGGAGGCTGCGTAGGCCGCCTGGATAGGGGCCATAAGGTCGACCATACCGGCCGAGACAGCAGGCTTAAGCAGTTGTGGAGTCAACTATAACGGAGTTAGTTAATGATGTAACCCTTTCGAGATAGGTATACATACAATATCAGCTCTGTAAGCGTCTTGCAGCTGCTTCATATCGGTAAAGACCAGAGGTTCAGCGTCCTTACGCTCGACGCGGAATTCTCCATGGCCCTTGAGGACCGCTGCGGGCAATAGAATGTGTTCGACCAACGAAATCACACCGTTGTCTTCGACGACCTTAGGGATACACTCTGCCTTCCGAATTTTCTTTGAGATGGCCTCGGCAGGGTCGAGCAGGTCGATTTTACTATCTTATCGGGGTTTAGCATTCTAATAACTGTAATAAGAGAGGGGAGTGCAAATACCTGGGTTATCACTAGAGCTCATCTTGCCGGAGGATAATGAGGCCATCATAGGGTTTAGAAGATGCGCGCGCTAGACATAGGTAAGCTTCTTATAGTCAACGTTATAAGACCCGGATTTTGCCCCTAATCTCCAAAAGACGGCGGCAGGTGCGGTGCCCGGGTGCGAAGCCAAGTTGAAGGGTGAAAAACTTACAACACGGTATCCAAGTTTGGGGAGCCACTCTGTCGCAGCGGTAAAGAGCTTCCTCTGATCTACTCCTCCAAGCTGAGCATCACAATTCAAATGTTGTTCATCCAGAACCTGGAGAACTGGGTACAATAGTCTGGTGGACGGTTAGTATCTTACGCAACCCGTATAGGCCGAGAGTGTATAGGCCGAGAGTGATCAGATATCCATACCCACTCAACGGAGCATTCATTGTCTGCTTTACCACTTCTGCCCCTGCCTTCTTAGCCTGACCTTCGGAGATCAGAGAAGACAATTTGTACACATCGAATACATACTCGGGACTCTTCTGGTACGAGCTGCCGAGCACGAAGGTGAGCTTTTCAATGGGAACCCCGACGGCCTGAAGGATAGCGGTGATAACGTTTCGGTAACTGTTTATCTCAAGCGGTTTGGTTAGATCGGGATCTGAACGAGCCATTCCAAAAGGTATGCACTGACTAAATCGCGCGATTCTCCACAAGCTCGAGTGGCGCCTTTAACTGTTTACCTCAAGAGGGTTGGTTAGATCAGGATATAAACGAGCTAATTACTCCAGAAGGTATGCGCTTACGTTGTCGAGGAAGGCGTGGACATCGGCCAGGAGAATAACGACATCACAGTCTGCAAGTAGCAGCTGGGCAATCTTCAGCGCTGGCACAAAGTAACCAATATGAGGGCGACCGGTTGTCGCTGTACCCCAATAGATCCTAGGAGCGCGTCCTTCCTTCAGAATGTCCTGGATTATCTCTGGGTTTAGAAATTCTGCGAGGTTCGAGTTGATCTGTAGCAAGTTAGTATTTGAAGTAAGAAGAGTTTGCGCGGGTTCTCACTAGATCGAATTTTGTTTGCGCCGCGGAATCCATGACGGGCTGAAAAGCAGGAGAAAGAGAGAGATAGAAAGAAAGAGCGTAAAAACCACGAAGCCAAAAGCACAGAAGACCTGGAGAGTTGTCCAAAGGAGATCTCGGCAAAAAGCAAAAGGTGGGATGACTCAGATGCCCCTCTATCTCCGCTAATCTCCATTCCTTCTGAGTCTCGGAATCCTTCCGTTCTGCTATCTATGTTTTGTTGATATAACTGCATGGAATTCATATTCATATGGAAATATTATTGATCAATTTTGCTATATACTGATTTGGGAGGTCATTTTGGCATGTTATTTTTTCTTAAACTCCAGCATGACAAAGAGAATATGGACAGGAACTTGGAACAAATAAGGGAAAAAACGGTTTAAAGAAAAAGCTTCGTAAATAAGAACTAAAAATTCTAACCAACCCAGCGTCTGGCGCTGTAGAAGACACGTCCCCAAGGGCCAATCTCGCCCCAGGACTCGGCGTTCGGAGGCAACCAGCTGGCGATACCGTTCAGGACAGTACGCTCAGGGTGAGGCATGATGGCAAGGACACGACCATCGGGGCTGCGCACACCGGCAATACCCTCGGGACTGCCGTTAGGGTTGAAGGGGTACTTCATGGTGGGCTTGAGGGTGGAATTGTCGACGAATCGGACGGGGGCAAGACCCTCGCGAACGAAGTCGGAAGCCGAGACGCCCTGGGAGTTGGCGAAGGAGGCACGACCCTCGCCGTGAGCAACGGCAATAGGGAGCGAAGTGCCGTCCATGCCGTGGAAGAAGACGCTGGGGCGGGATGGGTCGGGGTCGGAGATGCGGGCCATGCAGACACGGCCTTCGTACTGCTCGCTGGCGTTGCGCTCGAAGCTGGGCCAGTAACCCGCACCAGGGATCAGCTCCTTGACACGAGACAGGAACTGGCAGCCGTTGCAGACACCCAGGGCAAAAGTATCCGGACGCTCGAAGAACTCCTGGAACTCTTTGCGGGTGTTCTCGTGCAGCAGAACGGACTTGGCCCAGCCCTGACCGGCACCCAAGACATCACCGTACGAGAAACCACCGCAGGCAGCGAGACCAGCGAAGGTGGAGAGAGACACACGACCGGAAATAATATCGGTCATGTGAACATCGACGGCGGAGAAACCAGCGGTGTTGAAGGCAAAGGCCATCTCAGCTTGACTGTTGACACCCTGCTCACGAAGGATAGCAACGCGGGGCTTGTTGGCGAAGGGGGAGTATTGGGAAAGGCTAGCCATCATGGGCAAGGCCTTGTCCTTCGGATCGAAGGTAGGGTTCCAAGAGAGACCGGGGTTGGCGTCGTCAAGGATGTTGGCATACTCCTGCTCCGCGCAGTCGGCATTGTCACGAATCTTCTGCATGTGGTAGGAAGTCTTGGCCCAGGTCTGCTGGAGGCTGGAACGGGTGTTGCGGTAGATCAAAGAGGCCTTGTGGTAGATGGCAAGGTTCTGCTTGGGCTGTTCAGAGACACGTCCAATCCTGTGGATCAGACCTGGAGGAGGACCGCAAGTGGCGAAGCATGAGCGGAACTGGATCTCGTGCTCCTTACGGACCTGGAAGACAGCACCAAGCTCTTCGGTGAAAAGGGTTTCAATGACATCCTTGGTGTTGAAAGAGGCACAGATGTTATCGAGCATGATCTCAACACCGCAGCGACCGGCGAACATCATCTCAGCAAGAGTAGTCAGAAGACCACCATCGGAGCGATCGTGGTAAGCCAAAACAATTCCGGCTTCTTGAAGTTGCTGCGTAGCATCGAAGAAGTCTCGGAAGAGATCGACGTCGCGAACGTCAGGGCACTCGGAACCGACTTCATTGAAGACCTGAGCAAGAGCCGATCCACCAAGCGTCTTACGACCGAAGGAAAGGTCCACAAACATGAGGACAGTCTCACCAACTTCTTCGAAGCTACGAAGAGCCGGGGTCCAGGTTTTGGTGAAATCGCCAACCGGCGCGAAGGCAGAGATGACACAGGACATGGGAGCAGTAACCTCCTTGGCCTCATTCGAGGCCTCATCCTTCCACTTCATCTTCATGGACATAGAGTCCTTACCGACGGGAATGCTGATGCCAAGCTTAGGGCACAGGTCCAGACCGACAGCCTCCACGGCTTCATAGATAGCAGCGCCCTCTCCAGGGTGGCTACCGGCAGACATCCAGTTGGCAGAGAGCTTCACTTGGCTGAGACGATCCACAAGATCGGAAGCAGCCAGGTTCATGAGCGACTCAGCAACAGCCATACGAGCAGATGAACCAGAGGAAATGAGAGCCAGAGTAGGCTTTTCACCCATGGCGAAGGCTTCACCGGTCTTCATACCTAGGGCCAAGGAGGTGGCAGTAACTGAGACATCCGACACGGGTGTCTGCCACTTGCCAACCATCTGGTCACGGGCTGTCAGGCCACCGACAGTGCGGTCGCCGATGGTGATCAAGAAAGACTTAGAGCCGACTGCAGGCAGAGACAGAACTCTGTTGATAGCCTCGCCGACAATCTCCGTCTTCGAGGTGAGAGAGGGAAGATACTTGGTGAGGCTAGAGTCCACGGCGGGCAGCTTCAGCTTCCGCGAATCGACAGTTCGGGTCATGCGAGGAGTCTTTCCGAAAAGCACAGACAAAGGAAGGTCAATCGGGGCTGGGTACTCCTTGGACTCTCGATCAAGCAGAATGAGTCTTTTTTCCTCCTCGGACGAACCGCCACCACGACCGACAACGGAGAAGCCACAACGCTCACGGTGAGCGATAGCAGTGAACTTGTTCATGCTCTCCTCGCCAACGGCCATGACGTACCGCTCTTGGGCTTCACAGCACCAAATTTGCATGGGGCTCATGCTACGGTCTGCGTTATCGATCTCACGAAGCTCGAACGTAGCTCCCAAGCCGGAGTCATGGATCAGTTCAGGAAGGGCGTTGGACAAGCCACCGGCACCAACATCGTGGATGAACTTGATGGGGTTGTTGTCTCCCATGGCCACGCAGGCGTTGATAACCTCCTGGGCTCTCCGTTGAACTTCGGCATTGCCTCTCTGGACACTGGCAAAGTCGAGCTCCGCGGATCCTTCACCAGAAGCGATACTGGAGGCAGCACCTCCTCCCAGACCAATAAGCATGGCCGGACCGCCAAGGACGACAAGGAAAGCACCGGGCTTGACAACATCTGGGTGTTTGATAGCGTGTTGGGGGCGAACAGTTCCAACACCACCAGCGATCATGATGGGCTTGTGGTATCCTCGCACTTCCTTTTCGCCGTTGCCCACATCAATCTCGGTGAGCAGAGTGCGGAAGTATCCACCAATGCAGGGACGGCCGAACTCGTTGTTGAAAGCAGCGCTACCAATGGGTGCCTCCAACATGATATCCAAACTGCTGGCAATGTGGTTTGGCTTACCGACATCGAGCTCCCATGGCTGCCTCAACTCAGGAATCAAAAGGTCTGACACACAGTAGCCGGCGAGACCGGCCTTAGGGCGCGAGCCACGACCGACAGCACCCTCATCACGGATTTCTCCGCCGGATCCTGTAGCCGCACCAGGGTAAGGTGAAACGGCAGTGGGGTGGTTGTGGGTCTCAACCTTGGCCAGGAAGTGCACAACTTCCTTGGTGTGCATCCACTGTCCGGTTGTCGGATCGGGGGCCCAGAACGCGGCCTCGGGGCCCTCCAGAACAGCGGCATTGTCACTGTAAGCACTGACGGTGTGCTCGGGATGCTTCTTGTGTGTGTTGCGAATCATGGCAAACAGACTGTTTGGCATGGGCTTGCCATCAATCACCCAGGAGGCATTGAACTGCTTGTGTCGGCAATGCTCCGAGTTGACCTGAGCGAACATGAAAAGCTCGACATCAGTAGGGTCACGGGCAATTGCGCCATTCGGACCATAGGCCTCAGCAAGATAATCAATCTCTGTATCATCAAGGGCCAAGCCGAGCTCCGTGTTTGCCTCTTGGAGGATTTCTTTGGGGGACTTAGTACCGCCTTGGAGGGAGATGGTCTTGAGGGGCTGGGGAGCGTGCTCGGAGAACATAAGGCTTAGCTCGGGCTCATCCTTGCTAATGATCTGAGTCATCCGATCATGAAGTGTGTCCATGTACTCCGGCTTGTAGTCCTCCGCGCTGTTACGGAGACACGAAATCTTCATACCCCGTTCGATCCGCTTGACGTATTTCTGCAGGCCACAGACGTGCGAGATGCCCGTTGCCTGGGAGCTCCATGGTGAGACGGTACCGGTTCGGGGGAAAATGTAGAAGGTATCGAATTGACCGTCGGTGGATTCGAAAGTGGGAGGGATGTCTGTGATGTCGCCGTACTGAAGCAATTGTTCGAGTACCGCACGCTGGGGCTCGTCCAAGGGCTGGGTGGCATGCACATAGTGAATCCACTGGGCTCGAACGTCCTGGACACCGATGCTGGTAGCAATAGCATGCCCCCGGGAGCGGGAAAAGGCAACGGAGCCTGGGATGGCCAGGTAAGTATCGGTAGAAGTCATCGTGAAGCAATTTGGGGATTCTCCCAATGAGTCAAGTATGACACAGGAGATAGGAATTGGTTCTCCTGGATTGAAGGAGATTGAGTGGCTCGAGTGCCTCTCTCAAGTGGACTTGAGAAGATCGCTAGAAGAGACCGGCGATGACTCTATCGCCGCTTTTTTTTGTCAGAGAAATGAGTTTCCCCGCCCTAAGCCTGATTCGGCTTATCATGTTGGATCACGTGCCGATAACGGATTTAAAGTTTGACACCAACAAATTCTTCATTCTCTTATACAATAATAGATCCATTAAACGTACTTTTTTGAAGGAAACCGTTGGTATATAAAATATAGCAATTTTTAGGCTTTCTCATCTGATTTGACAGTACTGAAAGGAGAGCGGAGGGATCGAATGGAGGAGATTGTGGGGCACCGAGTCAACAACATCGGCCGGGGAATCACCTCAGTACAATACAACATAAGCACCACAACAACCTTGAAAGGTGATTTGTTTTTCTTTGGCTTGTCAGAAGCG